ATACCCTATATGCGGGCTTGCGTGACGAGCCCGAAACCTTTAAGCAGAACCCGTCGCAAGGTCTCAGAAGCAGAATACATCCGGGTTACGCGGCTATGGCACGTGCAGCCTCTAGCCTGCCGACGCGAACATTCGCCTGCAAAGAACACGGCTACGCAGCGTCGACTTTGCGCCGACTTGCATGAACCCATTCAAAAACTCCCACAAAAACACAAAAACAGTTGAGCGACATTGCTCAACAAGTGCCCGCCCTTGGAAAGCCTTTGAAAGCATTATCCTATCATGGCACCATGTCGGCGCTCTATCACAGACAAGCCACTCAGGGCTGACCTCGGCGGACTCACAAGAGAACTTGCAAGGTGCTCTGACCAGGCAACCCCAAGACATTGAAGACACTACTAAGCTGCCATCTGTTACCCGTAGTATCCTGCGGAACCCTGCTAAGAAACGTGCTGTCAGTGTCTGCTTTGGGGGTCCAGGATGGTTCAGGGCATGCGGGCCTTACACCAGCTTCTGGGGCTGCAAAGCCTCTTTCGTGGGTCCTGCTGTTGCCCTTCTTGAATTCTTGTTCCGGCATGTTCCGGCACACTTCTGTGCGCTTCACAGAGGGCTTGCGAGTTCGTGCGTGACGATTATTGGTTGTGCTGTGCATGCTGCTTCCCTTTGGTCCAAGATTTTGGAGGTCTGACCGTTCATACACGAGGTGCAAATGCATAAGTTCAAGTCTGAGAGGCTGCACCGAAACCTGCTCGTGCTCCAGCTGCTCCAACGCAGCCTGTAGCTCAGAGCACCTGAGTTGAACGTGAAGAAGGAAAGTTACGATACAGAATTGCAAATACTGCTTGTGGCAACACTATGGGCAAGTGCTGCACGACCATCTCTGCTGATCGTGCTGGGCACGGATAGCGCAAAGGGACGACCCCACAAAACAAACACCCGGAGGACCCTCCAACGCATTCCGGGCCTGAGCAGGACATGTACCCTGATCGCGGACGCTGTGAATTCATGTTTAGGGGATCTCCGTGCCAGGGCGCTCCAGCCGGGATGCCTCCAATGCGGCTTCTGCCAGCTTGCGCCCCTGAAGTCAACCACTCGGCTCTGAACATCTCTGAACCCTCGCGTCTTTGGCGCCTTCGCTTCCTGGTGCATCTCCTGCTTCAGCTGCATGGCACTGCTCCTCAGGTCCGCCACCTCGACAGCACATGGCTGAGGCGAGATTGCAAAAAGAAACTACGAGCCGTCGCGCCTTTTCCTCAAGGTCTTCCATCACTTGCATGTGCAATGCAGGCGTTGATGTCTTGGGGGCCGTCGCCAGCGCCTCGCGAAAGGCCATCATCATGGTCGTATATGATCGTCGTCATCATCACTCATCATCATCCCAGTCCCCCCGATAAGCGCCGTCATCCCTCCCACGCTGAAGCGGAGAGCCCGTCCCCGGCTCCTCCTGAAGCTTTTCGGTGGTCTGGCGCAGCCTCGGCAAGTAAGAACCCTGAGCCCAGCATACTCGATAAGCTAGATGCCCCTGAAATTCCTTGAGCGGTGTTCGAAGCGAACTGCGAACCCCCTCAGTTTTCGGCTCTGCAATCTCATGGCTCTTCCTCACCAAGACCTGTCTCATCTCCTGGATCTCTTGGTTCTCCCTCATTTCCTTGAGCTTCTCGAACTGTCCCAGGTCCACGCAACCTGCAACTCGAGGATTGCTTTCCAGAATCATCTGTAGCTTCTCCTTCACCGCCAACAGCATAAACTCCGTTTCTCTTGGAGTCAGAGCTTTGGCCGGATCGAAGAAATACACAACCTGCCGAGCGCAACAGAATCCTGCAAGATCTTACAAGCACTTCGGTTCCGCACGGCCATGACATTTTCTGGATGCAGGCGACAACAGGTAAGGATCCCACATCAGATCCGCGTCCTTCAATCTGCCAATCGGAACAGTCCATGTCCCCACCTTTTTGCAGGATAGCTTTGGGTAGCCAGCTGGTTGAGGGCTTAGAAACTTTAAAGCGGGTTAGGGCCTACAGCAGTCTCCTGCGTCCCTCCTGGGCACTTGGGACCTTGCGCACACGAGTTTGGTCGCGTAGCATGGACAGTTCTTGCAAGTAGTCCTGACCAAGCATGAGGTAATCACGCCATAGCAGTCGCAAAGGCAACAGCAATCAGGCCTGGCGAATGGTGGCAAACTGCTCTTGGAGCCTTTGAAAGGTCTCTCATGATTCTCATGTTCTTTGAAGCCATGTGCAAAACCTGAGACACAACATGCAGCTGCTTAACTTAGGGTCCCCTTGCTAGGCACCTTTGTAACTTAACCATTCTGGAATCTCGTGTATTAAAGAACCCCAATGGACCCGTAATTCAGAGCGGCCCCACCCGAACCCCCACCCCCTTTCACTATCTTCAGCTCCATTTTTATGGAGCATGCCTAGATGATGCACTGGCTGCACGCAGCCATCAAAAATCCTTCCTTGGCCAGGCACTCGTCATAATGCTGTCGAAGCCATTTGAGCTCCTGGTCCTGCATGTAGAACGTGCGCCCATAGGTTTTTTTAACTGCACAGCAATGTCCTGACAACACTGAGACAAAGACCGTCCTGTTTTTGTATGTAGGTTGACCAGCAAATGCGCAGTGCCGTCCACTTCGATTGATGAACAGCCTGTCACATCTTTGTTCCAAGCCGTGCGTTCACAACTCGGAGAGTTCATATTGCCATGATTTGCCATGCCGGCATCGGGGCATCTCCGTTCATGCTGTCCACATACTGTCAAGGCAATTCGGCAACCTTGCACCACTGCAGTTCTGCCCACCTTGACTGCCAATCGCATGAGGATGTCCTTCTTGTGCTCTGCCGACATGGGCCTGAGGAACAGCCAAGCGCCCTGAATTCAATAAAGCGCAACAAGTCTGCTGCCTCGCCTGGCAATGCTGCCTAAATCCTCATGTTTTTACGTAGCTGACGGCTGACGGTATGCGCAAGATGTGCTCACAAGACACAAGAACACTTGAGATCCCTGCTCCACTTCGCCCCCGAAGCGGCTTTCGGCCTTCTGCGGAAGGACTCCTGGGTCGGAGAAAGCAAAATTATGAAGGCACATGAAACACAAAGCCCGAAACGGGTGCGATGAAGCTAGCATGGAGACGCGGGAAGGAGTACTAGGCTAGGGAGCTGGAGAAGAGGAAAGGATGTGGCGAAGCTTTGCGTTCATCTCGCAGCTGGCTGGTTTTTTAAACGTGTTGCGATTACATTGGGTTTCTATATTAGGCTGCTATTTACCTAGCTCTCTGTCGTTGCGGCTCTTTGGCAGACTCTTTGGCGACATGCTTTTAGGAGATCTCTTGCTGCGGCGGGCTCGGACCTGAGCAGATGTTGACTCTCAATTTTGGCGTGGGGTCATCGCCAAGGACAGGTCCCTGATAGCAGTCCAGCACGGTCCAGTATTGCCAGGGGAAGGTCATGGCCAAGAATTCATTCCTGATAGAGGTCTGGTGTGACCAGGGACATCCCCCCCGGGGCCATGTTGACACCTGCACCCCCGAAAAAAATGGGGGAAGGAGGGGGGCTTCATTGCAATTTCTCATTTGCAGCGCGGACCGGGTGCATGAGAACATCACTACATTGGAGGAGGGAGGGGAGGTGGAGACCCCCCGCTCACACAAGCATTGCCCAGTGAATTAGCCTGCCGATACGGATGTCTTTTTGATCCAAGAAGTACACAGGAAAAAGCGTGAGCTCCCAAGGTAGCTAGCGTGTCATGAGTCTGCTAGAGGAGCCTGACACTGCAACTGTCATTCGTGCTGCGGAGTCGCCAAGCTCGTCAAAAAAGCCAGTCATGCCGGTCAGCTCATGCTGAAAGTTCCGCAACCTGGATGCTAGCTCTTCACAGCGCTGTTCACTGCGGATTCATCTTCGCCAAGAGACAGCTCTGTTGTCTTCAGCATGAGAAGAGGGCTGGTGAGCACAGCTCCAAGTACGGCCTGTTGAGAAGCAGGGCTGACTGGGCAGGTTAGCCACAGCAGACCAAATGCAACATGCTGTATCAAACATGCACCTCCTCTTCGCGGCACAGCCCGGCGGTCGGGCAGTAACTCTTCCTGTGCAAAAGACAAGAAGGAGCACCAACTGCTAGGCATTCTAAACCAGTCCGAGCATGGCAACATGCGCCTTTAAAGCACAATCAACAAGGCCACACACAAGGTGACAGAGTGACGCATCTGCTCTCCTGTAGAGGTGGGACGTCTTGATACCCGGCTTCGCCGTGAACCACCGCACTGCCAAGAGTTTCTGGACCTTCGCCTTGCAATGTTTCGAAGCTCGTGGGCACAAAAGGAGCAAAAAACAAAACCGAGCCTGGAACTTCCTCCTGACACCAGATTTCTTAGCATCCTCCCCTTCATCATCCAGCGTGTTGCCTGAGTGTGATTGGCTTTTATGGCAGCAGGAGCGTGATGTCCCTTCGACAACATCTTTTCTCGCACAAGAGGACAGCGAAAAGCCAAGCAACGCAAGCTTCTCCGTCTGCGCGCCTAAGGAATTGGGAGAGGAGTGACTGACACGACATTGGTGGTCCGCACATTTGCTCGCTTAAGGATGCTGCAGTCATGCAGTCGCGAGGGCCGTGGAGAACGGCGCACCATCAGCCCATGGCATCCGCGACGATTCTAAACCCTCGGACAACTTCAAATCACCTCGGAATCTATTGCAAAGTTGATTATGCGCAAGGTATGAAGCCAAGCAAAGCTGGCAACAACAATCTGCAGGCATCGCACAGCTTGACCGGGACAGAGAGGGCTGGGCATGTCTGCCTGAACTGTCTTTTGGCTTTTACCACACCAGAGCACATTCGGCGGCGCCATAGCAAGCCTAAAACAAGGCTATACCTGTACTAGATTGTACTAATCACGCCTACCAGTACCTCTATGAGCTCTTACATTGACACCATCAACGCAGCTTGCTGTGGGTCCCATCCTGTGGCTGGTGAACAGTGCTTGGTTCCGAGGGCGGCGCATTGGACTGTGAGAACTTCACTGCCGTAACATGGCTGGCATGCCCGCTGTAGACCTTCCAGCTATCCGCCGCTACCGAGGGATTGTCGAGGGGCAACGGTTCTAAGACACCAGGATGCATTGGCAAGTGCTCATGGTTGCAAGCATGATGTCATCTTCAGCGCAACTGAATGATGTTCACATTGGCGGAACACTTTTCGCTAGATTGAAGAGCCCCGCTGCTTCACATCTGTCAAAGGCAACTTCTGCTAATTGACCGCACACTGACAACGACTGCACGGAGCCACCAAGCCTTCACCCCAGGGTCCGTGAAGGGGCTCGGGAACCGGATCAGCTTCACGCATCCGTTGTCATCACCTGTGGTGGCTGCCAAAAAAACGTTTAACAAGCATTCCAACAACTCCCAGCAGTCACCACACCTCGCACTACAGCGGAAACTCAGGAACCTGCCAAAGGCCAGCAAGTCATCCAAAGGCTCCTTAGCAGCTTAGCAGATTCTGCAGCACGAGAGCTCAAACGGTGCCGCCCCTGCTGAGCCCAGATCGTTGGATTGACAGGCCGAGTTGATGTCAGTCCTCAATTCATTGGCCACAATCAGGCTTGCACTGCCGTCGCCATCCTCTTCGCCTCTCTTGTCAGCTCTCTAAGTTCTGGTCCCTTTTTGGGGGTCACGGTCACTGCCACTTTCTATTGGAGGCGGGGAGGGGTTCCCCAAAACCCCCACACAGAGGACCATCATGGAACTCTCCCAGCATCCCAGCATCCCTTGGCTGCGAGCCCGTCGTAGCTCGGGTCGCCCCAGATGCCAATGACGTGCCATCCCAGTACCTCAGCATCTTGCATCTGTTATACGAGAAATGGGTGCAATGCGATTGTCATCCTGCTGCAATCTTGTTGTATTGTTGTATTGCCATATTAACATGCCAACCTCATTTTCCCAAGGGTCGAGAACCCAGTCAGCAATAAAGGAGATGCCCGGTTTCACTTAGGTGCTGGCCGATGTCCATGGCTTCTGCCACCTGCCACACTTCTGCAGTTCGGCAAGGAAACAAAATCATGCGACTTGCAGTTGCGGATAGGCCTCTAACACGGCACCAGCGTTGCACATCGAAGCACAACTCTGCTCCACTTTTGTGCTAGTGGGAAGATTGCGAACAGCAAGGAATCGGGAGGAATCGGGAATGGTAGAATCTTGCAACTAACAACATGCTTTGTCGGACAATACCATCTCAACACCTGACCGTGAAACTGACTCCACGCCTGGTGTCTCGGAAGATGGATGAGTGTCTTTGCGATGCTCCGTCCTGCAACCGGCCCCCCCTTCCCGAGAAACAGAAGCAGGAGGGCTCAAACGCACATTATCCTTCGTGCTCCAGAAGAGGGTCTGGGCATCTTTGGAACTGGACATGACATATTGCCTTGGGCGGCGTGACATCTTCGGCGCAGGGTCCAGAGGTCCCAGATCGCCAAATCGCAGGTACTGGTACATTGGCCTGATGCTGAGCGCGACGCGAATCTGCAGAAAACATCACCGTGGTGATGCTTGAGCTGTTGCCAGACAGGACTCGGTGCAGAAGGACCTGGCTTACACGACAGGATGGCAGTACAGCTTGGCACGCACTCACGCGGAACGCCAAGGCATGCACCTCGGCATTGCCATCACCCACAGCGGTCAGCTTCAACAAGTAGACCTGCATCATGGTTTCGGTGCGAAAAGACAAGCAAACTGAGGCAGCCACAAAGAAGATGGGTTCTCAAGTCTTGAACATCTATATTTCGCGTCCCCGAACCCCTTGATCTCGACTAACAAAAGTTCATGCATCCAAAGGCTGACCTCCTGGTCCCAGCACCCTGCGGCGAGCCACACGCCGCAGTTGCTGAAGCGCAGGGCGCTGATGCGCCTGAGAGGGGCCTTCACAGGCCTTGGGGTCTTGGAAAGTCTTGGGTGCTGAGGGCATGGTCAGCCAATGTGTTGCAATTGAAGAACTGGGGAGAACTGGGGCACCGGCTCACCTGCATGTGACAGCCTCTCAGCTCATCCCGGACACTTCACCAGTTCCCTCGTGCTCTTCAGTTTCGCCTCTCGCGGAAGGCAGGCTGAAGGGAGGGAAACCGCAGCACCTGCGGACGGCAGCCAAATACAGGTCAACACGAACAGGGTCAACACGAACAGCTGCCGCAACGACATCATGTCCGTCCAAGCTCCCAGGCCTCGACCATGCCTGAAGCGACACCGAAACGCAGTCACAAGAGAAGGGACGTGACCGATCGACTGGGCAGCGCAGCCTTTGTCATGCCCAAGGGCCATAAGAGAGCCGTCCTGACTGGGGCTCTGCCGTGTTCCACATTAAACAAAGCAAAGCATCGAGGCAGGGGCCGTTGGCAAGAATGCCAGTGACCACACGGCCCATTCCGTCTTCAACACCTCCAGATGTCTGGCAAGCCACAATATAAGCCACAAGCAGTGCCCCCAGGCACCCTCACCCAGATCACCTCTTCTGCAGAAAGCCCTCTCGTCATAACTTGCTCATTTGTTGCCTCGCCTTGCCCACTGCAGGCTTCCGATCGGCGACGTTCCAGAAGCGGACATCCCCTCGCGCCGAGCCCGTGGCCTCGGAGTTGATGTTCAGTGCAGCTGGGGCTTGATTCTAATCTGTGTTCCTTTTGGGGCATCAGGTCTCCTGTACTTAAGGGCTTTGCGGACGACACGAAAACAGAGACCCCCTCCAAAAAAGTCGACAATCATATGCTTCTTAGTTCTTATCGCAAACTTTTGGGCCCCCTGCCAGGATGGCCAGTTCTGGGTGGAAGTCCAGAGCCCAGGCCTGCACGAGAAAAAAGGGCTGACAAACAAGCCACTTAAGATGGGACTTGGGGTTGCTTAGGGTTGCTTAGGGTTGCCTAAGGTTGCTTAGGGTTGCTTAGGGTTGCTTAAGGTTGCTTAGGGTTGCTTAGAGTTGCTTAAGATGTTTTCAAGGAATGTTGAGGGGATGCCCAGATGCCACTGAGCGGATGTCGCCTCCACGGCATGGGCCACCTGTAGCACCCGCACCAACCTCGCCAGCCCAAATTCTGCCCCGGTTGATCCTGGTTGCGTGGCGTACGGTGCTCATGCTGCAAGTGCCGAAGGCTGACATCCCGGCTGACGTCGCGTGTAGTCCACGAGCACAAGAGCCTTCGATCCAGGTAGCACTATGGTGGCGTGGCGCACGGCGCCGCACGATACTTGGGGGCAGATCCTTCCGGCGCGATTGCGCAGCGCCAAGTTGCGCGCGTGATTCGCCGTTCCGAAAACAGCCAGGCACCCTCGCCTTGGCAACGAAGCACCACTTTGCCCGTTTCCCGATGCTTGCCCCTCCATGTGCAAAGCTGCAAAAAGCTGAAGCGGATCTGAGCAGGAGGCACCGAAACAGAGTTGAGGCGAGCCGAAGACGTGCTGCAAAAGGCCTTTAGCAACTTTAGCACACGGCTGGAAAGCAGCGTCTTGCTGCAACCTTCACTCAGGCACCACTTTGCCTGAACATCGGGTCCTCGTAGCTGAGGGAAGCGGATCGCTTCCTGACCCGACTTCTCAGACTCGGCAGACTCCACGAACGGAAGCCCGCAACAAAGCTCCAGAGTAAAGTGGAAGGATGGCAAAATGGATGCTTCATGGCTCCTCGAGCTCAAGGCCCTGAGAACCTTCAAAAACAGGAGAATGCTCACAATTGCTCACACTGTTTGCCGCCTCTGGGCTCGAGGTGTGTGGGGCTGTAGCCTTACCATAACTGCTTGGCCAGCGTGGCTATCGCCTAATGCGCCAGCCTAACTTAGGTCAAGTGCCCTTGCGGCTGGGCCTTCGGTATTGGAACTATCCGGATTCGGCTGTCAATATTCCTTCTTCCAAGAACGGCGGATGCTTAAAAAATTTCATGGTGCCGCCTTATGACGAAAAGGATAACGAAGGTCTGGAACGATGGCTTTGGCAAGTACAGAAGTATAGTACTAATTTTGTACCCTATATTACCCTATGCAAAAACCTCGCAAAACACACTAGCGCCTTCATTTTCAGACGCGTCGTCTTCGGAACTACTGGAGCTGATGTTTCGCAAGCAAACATCAGCATCCTCAGCTCATACCATGTCAGCTTTGGAAAGGGATACCTAGCGCCACACTGGCGCTATCCTGGCGCCTACATGGGGGAGAGCCTATATACGCATGGTGCCGCCCTGTGGCGAAGACATAAACCAGCAAGAGCAGAACTTCATATCGCACTTCCATCATTTTTTGACACACATGGTATTTTGACGTCCGCCCGGATAGCATCGGGCGTTCGTGATTTGACTTAACCTTCTGCTCGAGTGAGTAGGGCACCGACCAATGAAGATTGTTCCATCAAGACCTCCGGCTATCCAGCGCCCATCTGGAAGTTTGGCCACCTGGTTACCCACCAGCGTGCACAATCGCAGGATCTGTGCGTCCCAGGGTACCATATGAGCAAGAACCGACAACTGTGTCTGTATGCTCCTGGCGCAACCCAAAGTGGCAGCACCTTGCTGCGGCTGAGCCGGTGGAGCCTCTGCGTCAGCGGTTTTTGACAATTTCGCAAGGCTCGGGCTAGGTTTGCAACAGTCCAGGCCGTGGGCAAGCTGTCTTGAAGCCATAGCGCTGTGTCTCATGGCTAAGTAGATGTGGCCACTGTCTCCAACCTCGGGTATGTCGAACTCCATGCTTGAGCTAGTCCACAGCTAGTTCACATGCCATGCTCTGTTGATCCCCACCATCCAAGCCGAGCCGTCTTCTCCTCGCCATGCCCAGTCAGTGGGATTCCTGCCAAGAACCCTGACCCTCCAAACTCTAGACCAGCCATCTCCTTTGCAAAGGTCCTTGCAGCCACACACTTGCCGTAGGTACCCTTTTTCTGTGTGACCTGGGAGGAGAGCGAAGCAGCAGCTGTGTGAAGCAAGACGGTCCAAGTGAGGAGTCAGCAAGGGATTCAGGGCGAGCAGCAGCATCCCATCAATTGCAAAATCAGCGTGAGACTGTTGCTGAAAGGGAGTGTTGCTGAAGACAGCTTTAAAAGGAATAAGCACGATTCCCGGCAGTGCGCACGCAAACGAGCTATGAAGAAAAAACGCAGCTTCAACACTTGCCCAATCTTACCCACCGTAGTTGCTCCCAGGGCGCCGCACAATACACCAGCAGACATAAACCCCACGCCACAGAATAAACTAGTATGTGGTTCTCCTCATTCAGGGATCACTGAAGCTGCTCCGCCCGCATCGGCCACGCCGATGTGAGTGTACCCACGACTCAACTTAGCCAAATCACGACCGGGGCAGCGCCCGTCTGCTTTGGGAAATCGACGGTCCAGCTTTTGAAGTGACCGTCACCAACCTCGGATTCGGGACTTCGGGGCATCGAGTTCGAATGCAAGATGCACTTGTAAAGACTTGCACGCAGAATAAGCTCTCCGGGAATCTTGCCGTGCAGAATGCCATCTGCCCCGGAGATGGATCTGGCTCGAGGAGGTATGCTGCAGTGATCAGCCTGGGACCAGAACGTTTATCATCCCGACAAGACTCTTAACTCTTAGGAAGCGAATTCGCAACAACTCTTGGCAAAGTCGTGGCTTGGCGGCCAGCTGCCGCCCAGCGGAGCCAGAGCAAACCGGAGTCGACATGTTACTGTTGGAGGAACCCTTCCTGACCTGCATCAGACAGGCGATTGTAACAGGCTGCAGGTATCCGCAAGACTCCTCAAGTGCAAAACCTAGCTTGTGTGCCCGCATCGCAACAGAGCTGCTGCACGAGAGAAGTCCGCTCGCCAGATGAAGAAGCACTTTGCCTCATCCCGGACTCATCCCGACATGCGGCGGTTCTGTCGACCCGGACCTCCGAGCCTCGTCCGACGTGAAGGTCACCGCTGTTTGGCCATCTGAGCCTAGGAACTTGCACGTAGCCAACGGCGGATTCGGCAAGACGCAAGCCCCTGAGAATTCCGTGAAAGCTCCTTGCTGAGAGCAACAGCGCTAATCGATCGCGAGTCTCCGGGATGCGACCTAAACTAGAGGAGGCATCGAAGTGCACCAAAGTGCATCGAAGTGCCATCTGACGCTTTGACTGACTGGGGCTCCAACAAGTTGCAGTAACTGCTCACATTGTCAGGGCTCCAAACGCAAGCTTTGGGGCCGCCGGCACCCTGCGAACAACTTCGAACCGCCAAAAATGACACAGAAAATGACACAATCTGTCCTAGTGCAGGTCATATTATGGCCGTTCACGGCCATTCATGGCGGCTGCCTTCACATCCGTCTGCCCAGAGATGCACAAGCGCTTGGCTTCGTTCCAGGCCTTCGGAAGGCAAACATCGGCAGACACTGTTTCCTAGGGCGACGTGCAGCTATTGACCGGAGATTGTTAGACCGGGCTGCTGCATTGCAAAGCGAGGCACCAAACATAGCACGTCATTGGTGTGGCCCTCAAAGAACCGCTGCTCGTTTGACTTGACATCCAGCAGAATGACCTCGCCAGGCGTCAGCACTCAACATGCTTGCCTCCACATGCGCTTGGTGGCTTAGTGGCTTAGCACTTCTTCAAGCAAACGATCCACTGGAGCCATCCCTGAGGGAGTTGTTGAGCCCCCGACAAGGTTTGCCAACGGGTACACCTCAGAGTCTGGGCAACTATGCAGAAAGCAATGGGTGCTAAGGCAGATCTGCGCTTGCTCGTGTAAGGCCAGCTCTAACTCAGTTTCTGAGATGAAGTGTAGTGAGTTGCGACCTAGGCAATGTCGCTTTCAGCTGCATACAGCCGGTGCCTGTTCTGCCCGAAACTCGCACGTCGCAATGCAACGGAAGCATAGGAAATTAAAACCATACTCATCAACAGAATAAAGTACACGCAACAGCTTGAATGGCTTGGCGAACCCAAATACACCCAAATGAGCTTTGGCCAGGACAGTTTCCGTTGTATCCGTACACCTGTGCTCAAGCGCCACTCTCTCCTACTCGTGTGCTTGGACTTGGCTCAGAATCGCGCATAGTCTCGTTGCAGTGACCAACTTGGTGCCCTTGGCAACATGCAAGCAGGCGAAAAGAGATCTGCTGCGGCAATGAGCATCTCATCGACTGTGGCGCTTGCATTGCAGCATCTTTCCTTTGACGCCAATCGGATGGCGGGAAGACCTCATGTGTCAGCATTCACATTAGGGGTCAACATGTTCATCCCCGCTTACTGTCACATGGCACAAGATCCTGGCAAGTGAGCGCTGCCGCCCAAACCGAACTCGCATTCCGCCACCATCCTCCACAAAGAAGGACAAAACAGAAGCAGCCACAACAACGAAAGCAAACTCAGCGACATGCTAGCACAAGGGAGTCTCCTCGACCTGGACAGCATTGGACCTCAGAAGCCCCATTTTCCGTTTCTTTTCTTCTATAGAACCCCTCATGGGCCTGTGCGCCCCGCGGCTTGGGAGGGTACTTGGCAGAACATGCCGTGGTTTGCCTTTGAGAAAGAAAGTCTCTTAAGTGATCTGCAGGAAGTCATCAGCACTGGCTGCACAGGCTTCGGGTATCTTCGGGTCAAAGGGTGTGTGCGAAAGATTGCGGCCCATGGCTACTGCGCCTGGAGCGACGAGGACCTGCAGACGTAGAGCGCCCTAACCTTTGCGGCACAGAACAACGCAGCAACTGCATTGAACTACACCTTCCAGGTTGCGGCACGCTGATGAGACAACTAAGGTCGGCATAGGTGTGTATCTGCAAGTTCTGCAAGGATCTTGAAAAACCGCTAAGGGGATCTTTAAGGCTGCTGCATTCTTTGCCATGGGCCTCAGCCGCGAGCCGCTGCATCAGCCGAGTAGCAGCGTAGCAAATGATATGAAGCAGTGAAGCTGCTTCTGGCTTGGTATGGCGTTGTTGTGGTGGCTCCGGGGCATGTTAAGAGTAGTTGTTTGGAAATGTGAGTTCCCACTGCCGCAAGTTTCTTGAGCCACTGAGTAGCTCCAGTCGCGGCCACCCACGGTCAAGCAATGTCAAGAATCTTGAACAAGTGTTCTGTCCATCACAGGTGCCACGCCTCCAAGCAGAGTACCTGCAGCAAGCTCACATGCTGCTCGACCCCACCATCTGGGCTCCAACCAGCATGCCAGCACAAACTGAAACAGATGCTGTCATCGCAGGATGCCGTCCAAAGAAAGCTGCAGAGTCTGGTATTCCTTGCATTGAATCGCGGAAACGCTTGTCAGGCGCACCTGTCAGTAGACCCAGGCCCAACATGGCACAGGGTCCGAAGTGTTTCTGCTAAGAAACTCCGCTGAGGATCCTCTTATAGACTCATCGCTCACTTATGCAGAAGAGCCAGACGAGCCGTGCTCAAGTGCTTCTCACGAGGCTAGTCATGTTGACGGCAGGTCGCTTCTGCGCATGCCGCATGCACATAAGCCCAGCGAAGCAGCGAGCAGCACCGTAGCATCACCTTCTCTCAGGGGCTTAGAGTTTGTACAGTCCAGCTGTCAGGTTTCCTTTTGCTATGTGGCATGTCGGTGATCGTGCAACCCTGACTCGCGGGTGCCGCGTAGCAGATGCAGCTACTAGTACAAAAGTGCAATGGAATGGCCTTTGGGTTGCCCAGGGCCTGGCAGAGACTCGGAGACTCTCAAAGCTCTGGCCCTGGCATCATGCTACCCCGAACTAGCCCATGTTACTGTCGCTACATCACCGCAATATTGAGACCGCATGCGCAGCTCTCCACCTTTTTGTTGCGATGAGATTGCGGCACAACTTCTGCGGACCGGGACCAGGATTCAGCAGCACACGAGCCCTCACTTTAGTAGCTCCGTAGAATCTTATGGGCTCTGCTGTGTTTTTTTGCTGCGCAAGTCGCAATGCACTTGAGCATGCCTGGATTGCCCTGTGATGCTGAATCCACACGCTTTCACATGACATTGCTGGGTTTGGCGGCCCGGCATGATCCCTTCCCGCCTGCAAGCCTCGTGACAACAACAGCTTTTTCGCCAACCTAAGCCCTTGACAAGGTAGTGGTAGGGGGGTGGGAAAGGATCTGCCCAGGCAGTGCAGTGGTAGCTGCTGCCTGGAAATGTCTGGCAGGTTTTACCAGACACCGAAGACAGCAAGAGCTCGTCAGAGCTTTGCAGCCGTGTGCCAGACTGCAGCAGCTATCATGCTCCTGTGCCGTCTGACATGCGGTCATCTGATGCCATGGCTCCAAAGCGCTGTTCGCTGCTGCGCAAATTAAGGGCGTCATGCCTAGATCTCCGCTATCTGTGGAGCAACTCGATTGTTCGCAACAAGCCTTCCCCATCTTACGAGTACCCAAACACCGTGCAGACTCGCAACTTTGCAACGGATCATATGTGCAGCTGACCAGCCCATACGAATAATTTGTATAAAAGTACCCATGCACTCAACATGCACGGCTGGGACATCCGGCTCTGCTCAGGGGGAATCAAGGGGAAGAAGGAAGCAGCCGATTCCCATCGACTCTCTCGACACCGCTTTCTGCTCGAAGCTCTTCCGGCATCCACCGCCCTTCCTTCCCCCCGAGCAGCAGCTTCCGGTCGAGCGCAAGAAGTGATAAGTGATGCAGAAACCTCCACTATCCTGCACTAGTTGGTGCATATGTCTGGACCAGAATCGCTCCACTATCAAGTCATCTCAATGCTTGCGAGCTTGCCGACCATTGAATCGGCCAGGTGAAATCTAGCAAAGAGCCTTCGAAGGCTATCATTATCTCGATACCTCTTGAGTCTTCAAAAGGTGAGCAGTCCAAAAGGTAGGTCCATGTGGGAACAATTTTCAACATCTGCAGCATGACCCTAAACCTTAAACATCCCTAAACCCACCCCAAGCCCTACATCCTAAACCTTACACACTCTTAAACACTCCAAAACTTTCGGCTACCGGGGGAGGATCCATGATTTTTTCCTAGGACTGCCGAAGGTGGCTCCAGCTGACCTCACTTTGACAGCCCCCTGCAACCTGGAGGCAAAAAGGAGTTAGGAATTAGGGTTGACGGCTTACAGCTTAGGGGCTTGATGGTATCAAGCGTTGGGAGGTTTAGGCATTTCTGCGCTGTGCACAGGTTTGGGGTTTGGGCGTTTAAAGTACACGCTGGAATCCTCACCGAGTGGCTCTCTCTCTCTCTCTCTCTCTCTCCTGCACGCACACCGAGTGGCTCTCTCTCTCTCTCTCTCTATATATATATACATATTATGTGCGTGTGCTATAATCATAATGATGATAACAACAAGAAGAATAATAACAATATTGTATATACATACGTAGAACCTTTATGCTGTGTGGCCATTTGGCTTGGTTTGCATTTTTTCAAAACCATTAAAGCTCATCGATCAAAATTGCCCAGCAGGGGGAAATCCATTCATCAAGTTGGGGAGGAGGGGCTATTAAAGACAGAAAGCGAACTTTTTGCAGTGCTCCACTTGTTGCACAGTTCCAGGCCTTTGGGCCAAACACACACACACACACACACACACACACCTGCCGTCCTCTGCCCGAACTGTAACGCAACAAGCCCGCCTGCTAGAGACGCATGGGCCGCAGGATCTGGAAGGCACAGCACAGCCGTTCGTCCACGGTCATGATGGCCGCCTGGGGCTGCTGGGGCTGGGTGCAACTCGGTGCAGTGGCCCTTGTGCGACCTCGAAGTATGCGAGCTGAAGTTGAGGGCGTGGCAGAATTGTCAAACTCGCCGCAGTAGTTTGGGGCGCTAAAGAGCGTCACCAGCGCGCGAGACGCGAAGAACTCGTAGCCGTCCTCAACAACCTCCCAGTGAACGAGCAGAACACTGCAGAAACCGCGCTTTGGCTCTCGCGAAGCCCCTGCTGCGCAAAGCACTGTTTCAACCAGCCCATCCGGTGTCAAATTTCAAACCCGTTGAATATTCCGCCGAGGCCTCAGGCCGTAGGAGTTGGGGAGCATTCTCAGGTCCCCAGTATACCTCATCCTCCTCCCATGGACGGCGACCCTTTTTGGCTTTATTATCCAAAAATGGGTGGAACAAGTGCCCAGCCGCACAGCATGCGGGAGCGGACGTGCGCCGCAAGGGGCAGTCACCCACAAATCGGTTCTTAGCCCACCCTCGTCACACGTCCTGGGAAACCATGCGGTCCCCCAACTAACCCGCCTCAAACACATCCTGGCACGCGTCAGGCCTATCCAAAGCGTGGGGGTGATACATCGGGGAATTAAAGGCGAATGCCTTTCTCCACTCACACATCCCAAACCTTAACGCTAAGGCTTGCCAAGGATTCTGCCGAGTCATTAGTTATGATTCTTCGAAACATTGAATGCCCGGATGCCCATCGGAAGATACATTTTGCAGCACGTTTCCTTAGGAGGGGGTGTGCCTTCCGTCAGGGAATACATCCCATCCGTCAGTGAATACACCTGTGACTTCAGAAACTCACAGGAACCTCTCAAGAAACTTCGGCACCGTGTTGCGAGTAAGTTATTCCAATGGCACATTGGCGGGTGTGTAAGATACTCAATTGGCGCATCGGTGGGTGTCCTAAACGAGGAAATTCGCTTAGGTGCTATGTAAACACGCGCTCATTATCATTTGCTGTTCAAAAGCGACCAGCTCTTTCTAGTGACGAAGGATAGCTCATTTGCCAAGTCGAGCAGTTCATTTGCAAAGAACAGCACTTCATGTACACAAATATTCATGCAGGCTGGCAGAGAAAGACTTCACTTGCAAACACGAGAGGATTCGAGGATGCCCACAAAAAGGGTCCATTCTTTCCCTCCATGGCCATGGCCGATTCTCGGGGGCAAAGGACTACCGCAACTGCTTCTGTGCCTGGTGCGCACGGCATACAAGGTCCAGGCTGTGCTTTCTCAGAAATCCTGACACCTCGGCTGCATCTCTACTCTGAGACACTGAGAGACTGACAAACAAGCGACTCGGGGCAGCGGCAACGTCGGGCCCGAAGGTGAATGAAACCCCTCTGTCCTGCAAGGTGCAATTGTGCCTTGGGAATGAAGAGGCTTCAGAGAGGGGCGGGCATTCTCACCCCAGCCGCTGATCTCTTTCTCCGGATCTGACCTCGATCCGAACTGACACAAGGTTACGCGGCTGCGCGTCGCGGGTTGTCTCTGGGTCTGGGGCCAGAGGAGGTCGCAGAGAAGGCCTGCAGGAACAAAGTTTAAGCGCACACATCGACCCTGCATTTTAGGCGAACAGTGCAGAGGTCAGCAGCTCAAAGAACCCAACTCACGATCACGTGATCCCACCTGTGTCTGGCACATCCGTGGGTCTGACCACCTGGTTGATCTGCCTTCGTTTCGGGCTGGGCTCGGAGAACGTCCCGCGCAACATCCCGCGTACCACACTCGTACCACCAAAGAGGGGCAACTTCTGGCAACTTGAGGAGCCAACTGGAGCTGATTTAGCTCGGGCGAGAGGCCGCCATGCATGCACACAATCTTGTCCTCTATGACCTCGCAAGGTGTGGCATATACAGCACACGCGCCACTGCGCGCCGTTTTGAAAGGTGAGAACTCCCATTGTAATATGCTCTGCACAGGCACAGAATCATCAGCTCTCTGCACTCTGCACACGCACATGCAGTGCCCAGTGCAAACAGTGATGGCAGACAGCCGGCTGTTGAATGCTGCTCTGATCCACCGCGCTTTACATTGTGGCCCCGCGCTGCGCTGACCGGAAGGCAATTGAAGCAGTCAGTGAAGGTTTTCCACAACCTTTCACAAGCTGCCACACATGCTGCTGCATTCGGGCAGGGAGGGCGCACACGCGCACACACACACACACACACACACACACACACACCCACAACTGCCAGGCCAACCCCTCCCAGCGTATGGTGCCTTATACTGTACCGTCGCTTGCACTCATCATAGAAGCCATAAATACGATTGATGGACGCCTGGGGGCAGCACACAAATCACAGTCCAACTAACCGCACTTGAAGAGCTCATGGCAGTTGCTGTTTCTGCCAAGGGGCGCATTCATGGTTGCCACGCAAAAGGAAGAAGTTCTCAGCAAACTTCACCTAGCCGCAGGTTCATTCTCTGACTGCCATTTCAGGAGGCATCGCTTGCAGGTGGCAACACCGTCTCTTTCAAAAGGAATGCTGAGGTTGCTGAGGCATCGCTGTAATGGCGATCACCCTCAGGAGTCTCAGAGTCTATGTACATTGCGGCATCCGGGCCAAGATCTCGAGCTCCTCACGCTGGAGCTTTTCCGCATACTGCTGCACCTTTACAGCCAGATGTATCGGCACGGGTATAAACACGGTTGCATACGGTGGCACTTGAGACCAGGTGTCTGCAAAAGGATCTCCATTTGAGGAAGTACAGGCTCCGAAGGCAGTGGGCAGTCCCGGTGGAAGCTGCTCTGTTTGCCGAGTTTTTGCAAACACCGACCACCATCGGCGCCAGCCAGCGTTCCTCTGTCGCCTTCTGGCAACCCTTGCAATTTCAGGGGCGTCAGGATACAAGCTGATGGGCTTTGGCCCGTGAAGCGAGAAGCCGTGAGTTCCTCGGAGGAGGTGCCGCCAGAGAGATGTGTCTTCCAGTCTGGGTCCCAATCCTGGTGGCCCGGACACCCCGAACAGCACCACTTGAGGGTCGTTTCCGTCGGGCTCGATCTCTGGTAGTGGCTGCCAGGGGTCAGGGACACAAGAGCAGATGTGCCAGGCCTGTCCGGAAACACAGGCATCGCAGTTTCGGGACGGACCCGCATGCGTGTGTTCAGCTTTCGCGCACTTCTTCAAGAACCCTAATCGCCAGCAAGCATTCTCGTTCCGCCGGTAGAACCAGTAGTTGGAAGCCAGTTCGGCCTTTGGACTCCATATGGCATGTCACGGGACTACATGCTTGGTTTTGCTCCTTGCAGGCGAGATGCTCGGTCCACGTCGAACACTCGACAGGACTCTTCGGCACGCAAAGCCGCCAGCCACCCGCACAGCAGCTGATTGATGGAGGGCTTTGAGAGACCTGCTTGGGAGGATGTGAAGGGGATTAACGGGTCCCAGAGACGGGCTTCTTGAGGAATTGCAGTTTAGGGTCTCCGGCGTTCTAGTGTTTCCATGTGTCTCCGGTGTGCCTCCGATGTCGATGTCTTCAGCGAGCTCTGCGTCCTGGTTCTCTAGGTTCGCTTCTTGGCGCCGAGACCTCCTTCTGCGTGCACACTGCTGCCACTCCTCGCTCTCCGCATCCTCAGCATACAATAGCATGCAATAGCATACAGCATACTGCATACGAGCTTTTTCAGAGTAAAAAAAGGACAACACAAACACCTCAAGCGACCTCAAAGAAGCATATTTTGCACGAAGCCCAGTCACAGCAATCGCCTTGCCTGTGGTCTCAGCGGGTGCATCCGGGTCTTCTTGCATCCCCAGTGCGCCTGGCACGTCTGAGGCGTCTGAGGCGTCCGAGGTCCCAGTGTCTGCTTCAGCTGCAGAGCCCTTCTCAAGTTCGCCCGGCTTCGGCGCAGCAACAGCCTCACGATTGTGAGACCATAGCTAAACAGATACGATACAATCATACTACCCAAAATCAAGACTAATAGAACGTTGACCCTGCTATGGAAGGAGCCCATAGACCTAATCGAGGCAAGGGGCCCCAGGAGTTCTGGTCTCAGGCACCACCTAATCCTCCTCCCAAACCCTCGATCGACTGTCGCTCACCCTGCTCGACACGAGCAGCCGCCTTGCCCCCCACCCCCGCGGCCGCCGAAGATGCTGGAACCAAGAACTATTGAACGACTCGCGTAGACGATGCTTGGAATGACCCCCTGAACACTATACCCATGAGGTTCCTGTTCAAGGTGGGTATGGGCTTTATTTGGAATTGGGGGGGAGGGGGTGCGAACAAGTTCAGGGCAATTCTCCGGTTGAAGATGACAAAGGGTTTTAGAGACATGGGCAGGTCCGGGCGTAAGGCCAAGCATTGCCAGGAAGCAGCTGCAACATTCTGGCGACCTTTGGGCTTTGCTCGCTGGGCTTTCCTGGAGGACTCTGCTTCCTGCCAGGTGGCTCGCTCTCAACCCTAATGCCCCTAACCTCCCCCATACTTCAGGGTGCCCAAGCACAGCCCCAGGCCCTACACAAATCCCACACAAGGACCCCTAAACCCCAACGCTGTTTGGGGGGTGGCTTTACTGTGACCTGGCGATCCCTTGGCTCGCCTCGGCCAGCAACTGCCGCTGGCTCTCTTGTGCCAGTCGCCAGGCTTCAGCATCTTTGCCTTAGGTGTGCGACAGTGATACGGCTGACAAGCACAGGCAATGTGACCAGCCCTGCCTGAAGATGAACGCCTCTCACAAGTAGAGAGGCCCTATTCACTGAATGCAGGACTGGCTGTGCATGCGAAGCGACCTGCAGAAAGCAAGTACCCTAAACATCACTTCTCAAACACAGCAAAACACACCTGCTCGTCTTGGCCGGTTGCTCTCATCGCGAGCATCGGGGGCTTCCAGAAGCGCTGCAGCAACTTTGGGGCCACCGAGGATCATCTCCTGCTCCTTTGCAGCTTTATCTCGCGAACATGGGTTTGTGTGGGGCAGAACATGCAAGTGCGAAACCACAAGAGATGTCCTCAAAAAAGATGAATTCTGTGTGAAAGCAAGCGGCTGCACTCTCTGCAGAGGATCGTCGGAGGAAGGTCACCTGATGTCTGCATGACCCCTCGCGCCAAAGGCATACCCGCGTTTGTGCGACTATAATACCTGCGTAGCTTTCAAGGGTTGGCCCAAGAACAAGCCTTGCTATGTCTTGCCCGTGGAACAAAGCTTCGCAGGACTGCGGATGCGGCTCAGCTACTGCTTTCACTTCAAAGGGTATCCAGAATACCCGACCCCGTCCTGAGACACGAAGGGCCTACTAGTATAAGCTCATCAGGCACGTGCGTCATCACTAGCGGGAATTTGTCTCTGGCGTCTTTTTGGGTTCTGGCCTCTGTCAGCCACGTTTTGTGAGGGAGAACCCTCTGGAAAGTTCGGGCACTCCCTGCACTCTCTGCGTCTAGGCGCTTGGCGTTTTACATTTTTTTGCTCTTGCACATGATTGTAAGGGACAGCTGCCTTCGATGTTGAAGTTTTGAACCCCTTCCTTCCCCCAGCAGCCCCTTTGTGGTGGCGGCCTTCTGTTACACATGCTTGTTGCAAACGGGGTGCCCGGGCGCAGTCCCAAGTTTGGATCCCCCCAAATCAATCTAAAATTCAGCATGGCCCCTTCAGCGCAAGGAAAACCCCCCGGATGAGTTTGACGTGATTCATACATGTGTATGAACATAAACACGCACACACACACACAACTTTCCACACACATATATATATATATATACATATTGATTATGATTATGACTATGATTATGCATATGATGATGATGATGGTGATGATGATTATGAGTATATCTGTATGATACGTCTGGGTACGGTAGGGTGGCAAGCCACAGCATTCCGTGAAGGCCTGTGCGCTGCGGGAGTTTCTCAAGGACCAGTTCTTGAGCTCCGCAAGAGGCGACCCGGCTGCCTTCGGAACTTTGAGTTGTGACGGCCAAGCGATGATCTGATGCTCCACATACTTGTCACATACTTGTGGGAAGTTTGAGTGCGCGGCGGATTGTCTGATAGACCCACACTCCCGGAGCACGCAGGAGAACACCTCGATTGACATGCACAACTCTTGAGGCTGTGCCACGGTGACCGCCGTCCCAAAACATGACTCCTAAAAAGGTCCTGAAAGCCCTGAAAGAAGCAATCCGATCGCCGAGGAGCCAGGACAAGATCGGCTCCTTTGGGCCTGGCAGAATTTCCCCCTTGAGCATGAGGCCATCCAGGGGTGCCTCAACCCACTGTCCCTCAACTTGTGCCCAGAGACTTTCGGCACGCCTGAACAGCCGTTAACCCTTTAACCTCACGGGCCGAGGCTGGAAAAAATGCGGGTAATCTGAAACAATCTTTGATGCTCAGGAAAAAATACCCTCAATAGATCGCCAGGGAGGCGGGCCGGCAACTGAAATCAAAGGCACGAACTACGAAAATTGCTAGGACGCCGTATAGGCTACCCCTCAAACAGTGGCTTGATCATAGCGGCAAACTTGATTTTATAGCAGGCCCGCGAACGAAGGGGGTTGCCACATTCAGACCTAGTCATCGAGCTTACAAGGTCAACTGGGTCCCACAAGTTTTTCTTCTAGATCCGGAATTGTTTTGGAGCCTTATGAGCCCTGTAATCATGCTCTGAACCCCGATGCTTTTGGGAGCTTGGGGTGGTTCAAGCAATGCTGATGCTCAGCTGGAGGAGCCTGAGGAGAACTGGAATGGCCCAAAGCGGCCGCTTGCCGGGCCCCAGCTGCTCTACAAACTGCTGGGCATTCTTCTCGTCCACTTCGAGGCCTTGGGGCGCAGGGAGTTTCGGGACTGAGTTGGGAACGGTTAGTTTAGGGACTTGGGAAGCTTCAGGGTTTCGGGTTTCGGGACTGCAATCGGGAGCTTGGGGGTCGTGGGACTGAGTCGGGGGGCGAATGCGCGGCGTTTTCGGCTTGCATGCCTGGAGCCAATCAAGAGAGCGAGCACGCGCACCGTTTCCATTGCGAATGCGTTGCGAGCGCGCGATGAGCGCGCGGCAACTTCGACTTGCATGCTGGGCGCTGCTGCAAAATCCATGTGGAACAGGATAGTTCGGACCGCTTTCCACGTGCCCATGTCTTGCTACTCTTCCCTTCAATTTCTCAGATTTTCCCACACAAAGTGTCCCTTTCAGGCAAAAATGGCGAAGTTTGCAAACCTACTGTAATCATGTTTCCAAAAAGATGTGCAACAATTTTGCCAATTTGTTCCCGCGTGTTGCTGTATTTCCAAAACACTTCACGTAATCAGCTCTATGTCTCAAACACTTTTTGACCTTCTTCGATTTGTCGAAACACTTTTTGACCTTATTGTTTGATTTTCTCGAAAACTTGTTGATTCCACCCTACTTTCATGACGAACTTCTTGCAGCCGGCGCGGGTGTAAGGCTGCCCGGAGGGCTCTAGGAGATCCTTGTAGAGGACCTCCAGGAAGAGCTCTGCGCGCGGCCAGGGCAAGCTCCTCAGCCAGGAATTTCTTCCACCTAGACTTTGGGTCTCTTGCTCGGACTCGAGCGTGGACTTCTGCTGGCTCGCTCTGAACTGCCTTCAGCCAGCAGATCATGCAAGAAGGCGACGCGAAGCCTCGGTGAGGCGCTCCGGGCGGGAAACACGCGTCTGCAGACCCTTCGGCGTAGCTTTCGATCGCCTCGGCCGGCCTCTAGCTGGATCCAGAACGACCTACAGCCAAGATGAAGGGCGCACGTCTCAGCACATGTCAAACTGATTGAATGCTGGTTCTCCAGCATTTGCTGACAAATCTTAGGAGCCTAGGAACCTAAATAATGGTAGGTTTCTTAGGGTCTAGGTACGGTTTAGGAACTCAGGGTTCAACGCAGGAAAAGTTGTCAATGGAACCGGTTCCTTGAAGTTATTGAAATCGTCTCCTTTGATTTCATTTCAAGAAATGATTAATTATAGATTGGATCAATATAAACTGATTTTCTTCCAATCACTTCGAGACCTCGAGAGGGTCGGCATGGCGAGGCCGCAAGACCCCAAAACGCAGAAAGTGCGCTCCGAATGGTTCAAATTCAAGGAGGTGCTGGTTTCCTGCTCAAATCAGCTGTACCCCTTGGTGACCCAGACACTCGAGAGCTTGGAGAAGTCGTAGTTAGTCGAGATGTCAACGACAACAAAAGCCTTGCTTGCTCCAAGCGTGCACTGATGAGCAAAGCCCTTTTGCAAACGTGATCTACTTGCACTAACTTCAACGCAGTCACTGCATTCGGATGCGGAGTTTCCAGAGAACAGCGTGCTGCGCTAAGAGGCACAGCTCTCTGTCCTGCAAGAGTCAGAAGTTGGCTCATGATGCTTGAGCAGGCCCACAGCGCAGCCATCTGCAGCTTGCATCTCCTCGTTGTGTCAGGTCCTCGACCTGTGCCTGCAGCAGCGCATCTGCCAGCTTGCGTGCAAGGCCATTGGGGTCTTCGAGGTCAACGGGCTCCAAGCCTCAGCAATAGTGTTCGATGAATATTGTTCAATGCCATGCTGCTCAGGATTCAAGGTATAAACTTTGCCGAACAATTGCTTATGAGCACTCATCGCTGCTGCCGCACGGCGTCTTTGTGCTTCATCGCTCCGCGCATCGCCGCGATGTGACACGGAGCGGCGAGGCATGCAACCAGATGGGTGCTATCACTGCGCTATCGTCTCTAACAGGTTACAGGCCATCTGCAGGATTAGATGGATTTAGCTACTCTTGAGGGTACACATGAGCTATGCGGTGAAAGTGGGCCTTAGGTCATGAAGATTTCTGGGCTACTATCACCTTCAGCTCCGCTTGACACCAGGTAAAGAGAGCCATCGGAGTATCTGTCATTCAGTGGAGCAGGACCATTCGCGCGCATGGCCAGAGACTCTCTCTGAGACGTCAAGCCTTGTAAGCAAGGAGGCAGCAGATTGTCTCGAGGCTTTGCTTGCCCCTGTCGACATAGTCTCCCAAGAAGAGGTAGTTCGCCTTGGCAAGAGCAAAGGGTCGCTGCTGCTTTCGCTCGAGCATTCGCCGTTGCCCGCCTCTGGCGGGAAGCCGCCGCACTCAAAGAGCTTCAGCAAATCGGAGTACCTGCCGTGGTCAGGACAAAGAAAACTAACAGTCCAGCATTGATGTGCAACCAGCAGAGTCACATGAATAAGTGTACATGCCAGCCGGACTGTCCATGGACATCCCCGCAAACCTTCAGCGGACAGCCCAGCTCAAGCAGTATCGGCCTGTCAGGGTGCTGAAACATGTCATACGTACAGCACGTACGCACGCACCCCCCCCCCACCACCCACCCCCACACCCACACCCACACCCCCACACACCCCTCACACCCGACACACCCACACACACCCACACACACCCACACACACCCACACACACCCACAGAGTCACACAACACACACACACACACACACACCCACCCACACACCTACCCACCCACCCACCCACCCACCCACCCACCCACCCACCCACCCACCCCCCCACCACCCCCCACCCACCACCCCCCCACACACACACACACACACACACACCACACACACACACACACACCACACACACACACACACACACACACACACACACACACACACACACACACACACACACACACACACACACACACACACACACACACACACACACACACACACACACACACACACACACACACACACACACACACACACACACACACACACACACACACACACACACACACACACACACACACACACACACACACACACACACACGCACACATCGCGCGAGTACCATCAACGAACAACGGAACTGGAGGTTTGCCCAAGCTTGAAAGCAAAGCAAGGTGAAGCGCCAACTCTTGGGCTGAGGCTGGTCCATGAAGACCTCGCGGGAGAGGAAGCCTCAGCTGGTCCGAGTCATGGCTCGGGCACTTTTTTCCGCAACTTTCCTTCAGGTTTGTGGGGGCTAGAAGTATTTTCGGGCGTCCCCTTATGGATAACCTTGGCCGTCCTTTATCAAAAAAGGACACCCCAACCCTCCACCCCCAAAAAGGGCATTCATCTGGAACACCCCCCGTCTTTTGACACATTGGCGACGGAAAAACGGTGCGATCAAACTGTACGCAAGCTCTGCGGTGGGACGATCACTCAAGACCTTCCAGTCCTTCAACGCTTTGCTCACAGAGTCTGAGAGGTTGTGTTCAATACCCCATGTTGAGGATTTGGGGCAAAAGGCTTCCCTGGATTTCCTGTCTGATGCAGGTGTCCACTGCCACTCATATTACACCAATACCCGAAGAGGCACAAGTACATTCGATCGAGTACTCCTCTATTCCGGGGAGAAGAGACATTCAGCATTCGGGTTCAACATTCGGGGAAGGGATCGACAAAATCCTGTCTCCCTCTTGATCCTTGCCCCCCCTAACCCGCTTCATGGTTGTTTGCCTTGATGCTAGCGGTCTCGGAACTGTCGACCGAGAAGAACACGAAGCATGCCAGCAGATGCCAATAGCCAATGGCGTAGGAATCAACAACGACGCAGAGGTTTCCGAGAAAGAAGCATCATCTTCGAACGCAAGCCAGCTATTGTGCCATAAAACAAAGAGGTTCCAGTGAGTTCCAAACGGCTCTAGCATGTTTTAACCTGTGCACAGGGCGTCTCAGGCCTGCATCCAAGCAGCATAGACTGCTGATCTCTACTTCTGTGAGCTGGACGAGCTTCAGCGGTCTGGTGTGCCGGACCTGAGACGAAGATTGTCCAAGCCCTGGGATTCTCGGAACGCTGGGCCGAGCTCCCGGCCTCTAGCAGCTGACCGAGGATTCGGTCGACATCCAATGCCTGCCAGCTACACTCTCTCGCAGCTGGCATGGAAAGCATGCGTGGGCGATCAGATATCTGCAGTTTCTTGAATAAGGTTGAACGTCTTGTTGGCTAGCTGCTACTGCACTCTTCGCCAGCCAAGCCCACGCCCCTGTGAAGCTCAAAGCCTCCATGGTGTGCCGGCAGCACGCGCTGTGCCACAGCAGGCCTGCGATGCTGTCACACCCAGTGGGGGCGTCGGAGCATATTTGTTTGCCATTAAGGAATCCGGAATCCTAAAGGCACAAGTCTTTGAAAAGGGCTCCAAGCCCTGGGCAGTGCCAGCGGCATCAACGCCAAAGCCGCATGCCAGCATGCCAGCTACCTTTCCTTGCTATAGACGCTGCGGTGAGGGAATGCGGGGATGTGAAGGGTGGTGGGTTGGCACATATAGCCATACTTCGCTGAACCGCAGGTCTGTCCCGCAATTCCGACCTGCGCAATGCACTTTTTCCGTGCAACATCCGATGCGCCACTCCCTGATGGTTCACGCAATCATGACCTCGCATTGGACCGTTATTTGCACGTACCCACTGCACACATTGCCAAACTCGCAGCAGGTGTCCATGAGACCATTCCAGGCTCAGCGTTGCACTCGTCCGCACCACTTTGGGTACAAGGTTTCGCCGCCTCCTTGCCAGTTGCAATTGGAATGGAGCTCTTCTTTTGCAGGAGCAGTAGTCTGTCTGCCTTGCCGGATGCCGCGCCGGTGCCACCTGCCCACCAGATCACACTTCTCCAGTCTAAGTGCCTAACCCAAAGGGGTGGATCTGTGTCACCACGAAGGAACCAGGATCCAGGCCAGTTGCAGCGCTCGACTCCCCGCTTGGACCTCAATGTCCAACAAGCTACATGTCGGGGGCCCTTAACAATGTCAGCACGGGATGTCGTTGCCTGTGCACCGCCAGGCAACTTTGCACGAGCTTCTGGGGTCAAAAAGCAGATGCGCAGTCCGAGCGTGCCAATTTGCCCCAAACTGAACCACGCGCAGCAAACCCTGAAGCCCAAAATTTCTTATGCACCGACCACCCGTTGACCCGGGCTCGGCCGAGCTTGCTGAGATCCCTGGTAGTTCAGGGTTCAGAGTTTAGAGGTCACCAATCGGTGTACCAATCTGTGTGTGTGTGCCTTCTAGACCTCACAAACCCTACCAATTCCAAAAACTCACACACTAGCCCAATTCCAAATCCAACACCAAAAGCAACACACACCCCAAATGAAAAAGAAACAGATTCCGCTTCCATCCCCCAAACCCCCCCCCCCTTCCCTTGCCTTCCCCTTCCCCCCCCCCCCCCTCCACCCCCCTCCCCCTCTCCTCCCCTCCCCTTGCCCCTTCCCCCCCCGCTCCCACCCGTCTCCATAGATGCATCTGCATCTTTTTCTTTTCAGGTAGTTAACCGCCAAGCATAAGCATGTCTGGAGAGCAGGCCCAAGCATGTCGTGTAGGCAGGCCTGGTTAGCACCGCAGGGTCGGGCATTAAACGAGGAAAGAAGGATCCGGGCCGGTTGCACCGGTTGCACCGCTCGCCTCCCCGCCGGGGCCTCAAACTTCGAGAAGTTTTCTCATACTCATAATAACAATATTAGTAATAATATTAAGAATAATATTAATAAAAAAAATAATAATTTTAAAATAGTAATATTAAGGCAAAGTTCGGCAGAGTCATCTGCTCCGCAGAGGTGCATCCCATTTTGCTCTCGAATCCTCCTAACCTACCTGCCCTAAGCGCTCCGCACCATCTACTCAGCTTTATGGGAAATCTAACTGCCAGGCGCAAGCGCGGACAACTTCGCCAGAAGTCCGTCACAGGCCAGCAGTAAGGCAGCTTGGGCACAACTTCGAGCGCTTATCCGATTTAGAGACAGCAGCATCGAGTGTGAATTGCCCGGGGCAGCTCGCAGCATCTGGGATCCTTTGGAAGTTCTCGCACGAACGCAGAACCTGCCTTTTTCAAGTAGCCTTAACTTGAGCCCTGGAGAGATCTGAGACTCATGCCCTCAAAGATCCTCAAACCGCAAGCTGCACGTGTGCACAGGAGGCGAGGCTGTACAAGCGCCAAATCTGAGTGATGAATTCAATTTCCACAATTTCCACTTGTAGCCGCAAAAACAGCTGTTAGGGCTACGCTCATGCCGAGCCCCCGGGACGAACACATGACATCTGCCTCCAGGAGTCCGCACGGCATAGTCTGACACGGCCAATGCCAATGGGCAAAGACCCCAAATATAAAAAAGACAAAACAAAAAGCCGCACTAATGGCGGGCCAGATCGGAAAGCAGCCCTGCTGCTTAGATCATTATCTGCCCCCCCCTTTCACACGGTCTGTACACCATCTTCGCGCCGTGTGAATGGTCGATGTAGGAGTATAGACTCACACCTGGACCTGTTCAGCACACGACGCACTGTGACGGCATGACAAGCCGCTTAACTGACCTTCAACCCACGCTCAGCTCACAATTTCGTTGCTGGTGTAACGTTACGAGGCTACACTTAAGAGCGTTTGCTGAAGAGTGCAACTTTCCAGTTTCAGCCAGGCCATGGCTTTGCCAGCAAATGGCACATGAGCCTGCCTTGGGCTACCGATGCTACCAACAAACGCCTACTGGCTGAAACTAGGTAACTTCAAATCTCGATTGAAACGCAAATATTCATCAGTAAAGGTGTGCTGTACAGCTCGGTTGGAAATCTTGAGGCGGTCGCCTGCTCTGTGCTCACAGCTTATTCACTGACCAAGCGGGGTAATGCCAAGACTTGCTCGTCTTCGCTGCATCAAACTGGAGCTTCCTCAAGGAGTTGCGACACTGCAACCCCCCATCTCCGCAAGAACCACCAAAGCTCATCCCTAAACCCTAAAACCCTAAAACCCTAAAACCCTAAAACCCTAAAACCCTAAAACCCTAAAACCCTAAAACCCTAAAACCCTAAAACCCTAAAACCCTAAAACCCTAAAACCCTAAAACCCTAAAACCCTAAACCCTAAACCCTAAACCCTAAACCCTAAACCCTAAACCCTCCCCTCCTCCCTTCACGCAAACAAGCCTTGCGCGCTCTGGCGGTCCTGGAGCTTTGAAACTCTTTTTGGGCTCCTCCGTTAGTTTTGGATCCGCCATTGGTGTTGCGGAAGCCATTGTAGTGGTTGCGTCCTTGGAGCGGCACTGCAGCATCGGCACTTCAAAGCAGATCTGGCGATCCGACTTGCGATCCGGGTCTTTGAACACATTGGCACACATTTGCAGCCAAGAAGCACTCACAAAACTTGAGGAAGTGGGCGGCGGGGCCACGGCAATTGGGTCTAGCTTGGTCGGAAGCTCCTGTGCACCAATCCTATCAACCCCACAACCTCAATTAGTTTTATTAATATTATTCATATCATTCATATGATTCCTATTATTCATATTATTCATATTACGAAAACTATTCAGATTATCCTTGTTATTCATATTGTTCATACTAATAATATTATTTATCTTACGAATACTATTCATCTTATTTAAACTATTAATATTCTTAATATGAGATATTAAAATTCTATATTATTAACATTATTTGTATTATGAATATTTTTACTATTAGTAATAGTATTAATATTATTCATATTATTCATATTATTCATATTATTCAGATTATTCAGATTATTCATACTATTCATATTATTAAAATCATCAATATCATTAATATTAATATTAATCATATTATTCATATTATTGAGATGATTCAGATTATTCAAATTATGATTATGAACATTATGAATATTATGAATATTAGTAATCTTATTAATGTTGCTAATGTTACTCATATGACGAATATTCTTTTTATATTCTGAATACTACTCGTATTATTCATATTAGTCATAGTGTCGCGCTTGGCTCCTTTACCTCCTCGTGGCTGCTCAGACTGATGTGGCTGCCTCGGCTTCTGGGCATCTATCCCCCAATCCCCCTCACAAAAAAGCAGGAAACACAGAGAGGGACCATCAGTTGCAGCCAACTAGAAGACCAGTGACGATCGGATAAGTGAGGAGTCGATTGGGGACCATCACCTGACAAGTGAGGATTCGGCTGAGGATAGAGTATAGCTTCGTGCTGTGACGGCAGTGGCATCCACATTTGACATGCTAAGGCTATCGGCTCTGAGACCCACACTGTTATCCATGAAGATGTCAGCCGGGGATGCTGGGGAATCCTGCCCCAGGCGCACACACCCGAACACGGAGAAAAAAACTTTCCTATCTAAAATGGGTCCTGACGGCGCGGCGCCGATTTTGGCGATGCGTGGGCATCCTCCGCTCCCTGACCGTTTGCAACTGGAAAGTCGTGGTCTCACTCAGGTCAGTGCTTGGACATTGGGAGTGTTCGGACTGAGGCGGCTGCCTTATAGGAGAACTTTGATGGACTTCTTTCCAAACCTTCTTCAACGCCTTCCAAAGGATTCAAGTAGTGCTTGAGCGACAACCTCAGCTGCGCAAAAGCATTCTTCCTCAGCTTGCGGAGCATGCGGTGAAATTGAGCCAAGTGGCTTGTCTACTGCAGAGGCAGAACGCTGCCCCCCCATATGGGACACTTCCATCTTTCGTTTCTGAAAGTCCTGCCGCAATTGTATCTCAAACACCCTCCACTTAGACTCTAAACCCTAAACCCTAAACCCTAAACCCAACAAAACGAATAAGACGTCTGGACCAGGCCCCAGTCCAGCTGAGAGCTGAGCACGCCTTGGACCCGGCGCAAGCAACGGACTAAGGCATGTCTGGCCCTAGTCAGACGGCCGAAGACACCGAGGCCCCTTATAAATATCGTTAAGATGATTAGTATTAATAGTATTAGTAATTAGTAAGATTAGTAATATTATTCATATTAATAATAAAATTTCTAATATTATTCATATTATTCATATTATTCAGAATATTACTATTGTTGGAATTACTTTACCATTATTAGTAACTCAAAGCTGTCAGTTTTATTTGCAAGCGAAGCTCGTTGATTCCCGGAGGATGCATCACCAGGACTCCCTGAAAAGCCCGGATGGAATTCCTGCCACGATCTGCCACAGAAAGACGGATAAGAACGTCAAAAAGGGGGGGGGGGGGGGGCCGAGGTTCCCACAAGGGGGCATGCCCCAGTCCTCAGAGTCGGCCTGGGATCCACCGAACAGGTAGGTGGATGCCGATAGCCCAGACTGAACGGAAAGCGTCAATGCACCTGGGCTGAACAGAAACGAGCTGACCTGCCCTGTGGCCACGGCCCATGTTGGGAAGTTGGGACTAAGATGCGCACTCTGGTTCGCCTTAGGCAATGCAGCACAGGAATTCGGCAGATAACCGCAATGCGGCACGCAGAACCAACCCTGATGGAGCTGAGCTACAGGAGTTGAAGGAAGCGGTGCGTAGTCGCCAAGGGGAGTTTGCGGAATTGCCCCTAAGAGCTTCTCCACCTTCTGCATGGAAAAGGGCCCCGACCTCCAGCAAACAACGTGTTCGACATTGCTTGAAGACTACAGAACATGATCCTGAACCCGAATCCCGTTCAACAAAGGTTACTGATGCGTTGAGGTGAGCTTCTCCACCAGGGCCGTGAGTCGCTTGGCCAGCTTTGACCCTTTGCCTGAGATCCCATGTTAGGGCTGAAGGAGGTCAAAGGTAGTAGGGGGATGTTTAGGGTTTCTGGGGGGGTTTCGCAAGAGCATCGACAATTGATCGTGTTCCTGTGCCGAAGGGCTCTTTTTCTGACGGACAGAGATATTCATGGTCTCGCAGCTCCAGCCGGTCATAACCTGTGCAAGTGGGGAGACACCCTTTTGCCGTTGCCGCTGAGAACCGTGAAAATTTATATGCGATCTTGATCTGATATCACTCTGCTACACTGCAAGGCACAAGGCGCAAAGACTGCGCCTTCTGCGTGAGCTTGTTGACCTCTGGAGGGCTCTTCGGTGCATCCGCGGGGATCGCCTCAGAACGGGGGCGCGAGGTGCCGCGGCTGAGGGGGCATGCCGGAGTCGTTGAAATCGATAAGACTCGAGAAGACGGCTGGGGTCTCTGACTGGTCTCAATTTCAATGAGGATGTTTCATGAAGATACTTTCACGAGGAAATCTCAGGGCATGGCCCACTTGTCAGGCTCCCGGTGGCCGGACCCTTCGGTGTCCTGCAAGGCATGTAAGGACTCGCATATGCCGATGCATTAGCTTTGAACTTGGCACATCTACAGGTGCGCAGAGCCGCCCACGAACGAGTGAACGAGAAGATACGAGAAATATCCTCAAGGCCCTCTGCTATGTGCTCCAATCCGTCCTGACAGGTGGAGGGCTGATCTCCAAATGTGCAAGCCCCGCGTGGCCCGAGCGTGCGTTTACGAGCTACCGTGAGGTGCAGCAGGCGCCTGAAGCGTAAAGTCGTGGTTGCCTGAGTTTTCAAGACTGTTGCGCTGTGCCAGGAGCAGAATCACCGATGCTGTGAACTTCATCGCTGCCGCGGTAGCATGCAGTAGCATCACTTGGCATTGCAAGCAAGGCACCGTCGGTTATAACTTCTTCCTGGACCACTGTGAAACGGGTCTCGGAGAGTGCTGCCATGCATTTCAAGGCTAAGTCGATGCTACGCAAGCTAAGCCCATGTCCTCCGCTGACATGGGCATGACGGAGGCCATGCCCTCGGAATTCGCAGCAGCATGTTAATCTTCTGTACAAGGCAAGCTTGGCACGAGCTATAGACATGCACGCCAGGAACCCTTACGTATGATTTGCTCGGTGTTTTTTCTCGATCCTTGGTACATTCACTAGTACTCTAAGAAGAAGCAACCAACCTCAGGCCCCCAGGCCCCCAGGCTTGACTCTTCAACCCGACCCCACAAGAAAAGGCTCAACAAAATCAGTTAAAAGTTGGGTCCCCATGCAAGGGAGGCTAGGCTAAACCCTCAGAGCCCTAAACCCTTTTAAGCCATCTAAATCTCCAAAACGCTCAACTTTCCTCTGTTTCGTGCGTCATGGTGGCTTCATCAGTTTCATCTGCACATATCAGCTTCATGGTGGCTTTATCAGTTTCATTTGCACTATAGACGTAGACTGCTGGGCTGTACTTTCAAGACAAGCAGCTCGAGGAGCAGGTTGCTTTGGCGTTGGTGGTGGCAGTCTCTGCACTGCCTGCCTCGACGCCAAAATCGCGGCACCGTAATCCACCTGACATGCGGGCAGACTTGGGTGATGGCTCTGCTGAATTTTGCCGTTCACAAATGCCCCCACGCCCCTACCTTTTCGACCAGCAAGTCCTGCTGCTCCTCACACAGATGCTCGACGTGCAGAATGCTCTGCATTCGCACTAAGGCGCGTGGGTGAGGCAAGCATGTTGAAGCGGTCCGGCATGATGCTCATCACCGACCCAATGCAGTCACCATGGGTGACGATAAGAAAATTTCGCCTAAGCAGAATACTGTTCCGAGTTGTTAACTCCACGGGTGCCAGCGCAGCCGTCAAGACTTTGCCAATGCGTGCGAAGGAGCTTTGCCACAGCCCCACGCTGCAGGTACTGTAGAAACCGCAGCGCGAATCGCCGCCGGGCGTCTTGAAGAGATTCCGGCCACACCTGTCACACAATGCAGGAAATATGCAAGGCATTGCCAACACTGCAATCCTCACCGCCCAATCACCGTCCCTCAGGTCACGGCCGGCTTTTCCCCTACCGCTCTGGTCACGACATTGATGCCATGAGCCCTGGCATAGTCCACCTCACAGCGCACTAAGCCCGATTGACCCTGAAACCCCCAAGCCCTAACCTGGGCTCAACACGACATGATGCGAAATCCGAAGCCGAAACGCTCCCAGAGTTCCGGAGAGGCTTAAGCCCCCTTCCATCGCCCTTTTGAAACCATTTCTGCGGCACGGTGACCGCCACTGTGAAAGCGCGGAGGTGATCGCGAGGCTGCGCCTACTCCAGCTCAGCTTAGACGCTGAATCTTGTGCGAAGTAACACTGACACCGAAATCCTAATGGCCCAAGGCCTTGCGGTTCGTTCGGGCTTGGGCGCGTGGGGCTTAGGGCTTGGGTTTTTTGGGAAGGTGTTAGGGTCAAGTCCGGACTTAGCGACTGAGCCCGAGCAGCTAAGATGCATTTGGTCGACTACAGTGCCTCTGCATATCTTTTGTTTTGTATTTAATCGCTTTGTACAAGCAAGGATGCGCATACACACTGATCCATCGAAACTTTCGGCACAATGCAAAACAGCTAGTGGATCCGTAACCCAAGTGCAGTATGTGCTGATTCTTCAAGCATTCGAAACCTTTCAGCATACCACTGTTAGCACGACCTCCGTTGATGGCCCGAATGTTTCATAATACTCAGACTACGAAAAGTAGCAACTTATTCAACTGACACCTTCGAGAAGCTCTTACTGCCATCAGCCGTATGCACTCTTTGTACGATTGAGATTGGGGACTTCATGTTCCTTTGCTAGGCAGATTCTGGATCTTTTGAAAAAACCAGCCTCGCCCATTACCGAGGGGCCATAGATCTCTCCCAGCGAGTGGTCAATCAACATCTTGACTTTCGGTCCTGTTTGTGAAACGGCCGCATTCTGATGTCTCGAAGTCACCAAGACTCACCCATGAGGAACCCAGGATCCTAAGTGCTGGCACATCTTCACCGCCGTCTGAACGCATCGCGAGTACGGCGAGCATACGACCACGTGGAAGTCAGTGCCTTTCCTGGCGCAGTGAAGGGAGGGAAGGAAGCTCAGCGTGGATGCTGCCGAGTGGGATGCTGCCAATCTAGGACAGTGCTGGTTGGAATTCTGGCCAGGACTCCGCTCAGCAAACTCCCGGATGTCGACCCCGAGGACTTCAGCCTACCAGGCATGCAATGCAAGGCATTAGTGACCGGCAGATAGTCAAACCTCCACATACTTCAGCATACTTCCAACATCCTACAAAAAAGTTTTGGCCCGCCTGCTCGTGACCTGCATCACTGAGCGGCGGATCCAGAGGAAATCTGGAGACGCAAGGCACGGCTGGCTTAGGGTTGTCCACATTTGTCCAGTGTGCCGTTCAGCTCCCGTCATGCCTTCTACAGTCTTCCGAGCTCGACCATCTGCCGTTCTCCCAGAAGGCGAAGACTCCATCGGCACGTTCTGTGTGCCGAACGACTCCGAAGAGTTGAGTCCTCAGAAGTGCAAGGCACACGCATGTGTACCTGGCGTACTTGACGTTGAGAATGCAAGACTGCCGCTGGCAGTGCCATGGAGTTCAACACACGTCCTTAAGCTTCCTCGCAGCAGGGATCTGGATATCTGTGTTACGATTCTCTAAGACGCTAAGATCAGAGCGGTAACTTTCTCTTTTGCCAGCCCGCAAGGAGCAAGTGGCTAGACCTGTGCCATTCGGGGTGGACATCAGCACTGCAAGACAACTCAAAAGACAAGATGTTGCACCGATTTGCAAAAGGCTCTCTTGCAGTGGCCTCTTGGTTGCTTTCAGAGCAGACGTCGCATTTCCAGTCGACGCTTCGTTTCCCATCGCAACAAGCCGTCCCTAAAGGACGCTTGAGGTAAGCGCTGCAGGTTGCGAGCGGTGTTGCGAGTCATGGCAAGTCACGTGATACATCTTACCGCCTTACCGCAGCAAAAGCGTGGAATTCCAAGGTCTGGGCCGAATCCAGGTGGTGTAGGAAAGCCATTCAAACCTGGGTTATTAGCGGCTCGCTCGCTGTCTCTTCTCCTCTCTCTCCCCGTCGTTCTTGCTGGCTTGCAGCCTGTCTCTCTCTCTCTCTCTCTCTCCCAGGGTTTCATTTGTGCCCGACCGGTGCCTGAGACCTAAGGCCGCGACCTCCCATGCCACCCATTCCAGGCATTCCGGGCATTCCACCCATTGCCCCCATTCCCCCCATTCCTGCGATCGGCCAGTCTCCGAGTCCTTCACCCAGCCCATACCTCGGTCACTGCAATCTCTGCAGATGTACCAGCCAGAAATCCTCCTTCCATTCCGCAGTCTTCTGAGGCTGTGTCGGACCTCCCTTCAGATCACCTCGGGCCGAAACAAAGTCTTTCTGCCATGGATACAGCTGGTACTGGTAAATCGGTAAATCGGTAAATCTAATGGAAAGAATGCCCCGATTAAGAGGATACACTGGAATGATCTCAAAGAGCATCCAAGGCACCGAAGAGGGAGCTGCGACCTGGCCTCTCATTCCCACCTCGTGAGAGTGAGTGTGCACCATTCATATATATATATATATATATACTGTAGTTTTGAATATATAGTATACCTGGTACTGACCAGAGCAAGTTTTGCATCTTTTTGTGCAAAAGTGCGGGTGCTGGGAGTCTCGGCGTCGCCGACGGCTGTATGGCTGGTACCTCTCGCTGTGCTCACTGCTGTAAAATGCCCCCACATTCGACTCCTACAAATCCTAAACATGCCATGTCATGTCTGCTATGTGCACACCCCGAGTCGGTCACGTGGTCCTGGCCATCAGGTGGGCCATGAGCCCGAAGATGATCATCGCCCAAACCTCGCAGTGTCCACCAGCACGTTCAAGCTTCGTGGAACGAAGGTAGCTGTGAGCCACTCTGTGCTGTGGGATGGTGCTTGGGACCACACGACAGGAGGAAGATGGAATGCCTCTGGCAACCAGAAGTTGCACCTGAGAGCCCCACTGTTGACTGCACTTGCGGCGTGGACACCGAGCCAGGCTCCAAGCCACCCGAAGATGCTCTCCATCGGGTCTTTCCCCTCCCTCTTCTTTCTCCTGAGCAGTAAAAAACCTCGACCCCTATACCAAACTGCGCTGCCCAAGCGCCCCGCTTGCCATCAGCGTCCTTCTTGGGTGTCAGCTCTTCGCCTTGGCAATCCCCGAATACCGAGCGGTCTGGTGAGTTTGTACGGGGCTTTGAGCTCATCCCCTCCCCACAAGCATCTCCTGGCACTCGTTTCCAAAGAAGACAATGCGTATGCGCATATGTATACATATATGTATATATACCTTTGTATATATATATATATGTATAATACATAATGATTTTGTTTCTGTCTCTTTGTGTTTGTTTATTGTGTTTATTTGTTTGCTTGCTTGTTCTGGCTGTGTATCTGAATTTTGTATGCATATTTATTCTCCACTCAGTGTGTCAAATGCTGAGGGGTTCCCTACGTCAAGGTTAAGCGTGGGCAAGTAGATGTTGCCGTGCGGCACGTGGTTTTTTCTCGCTCGCTTTTTGGACGAAGTCGCGCTCTCGCCCCAGGCGTGGGCGTTGCCACGCTCGCCGGGACGAAACTGTCCTCGTTTTTTGACGTTCTTGTTCGCCAAGTGCGAAACTGTCGTCGCTTTTGTGGACATCCGTGCTCGCCACATGCGAAGCTGTCGTTGCTTTTGGACGAGTGGCACCAACGTCGGGATGCAAGTTACATCCGGCCGGGTCGCCCGGCTGTGAATTTCCGGGCTCATGTTGGAGTGTTCCGAGACTGAGGTGTGAAATGGCATAAACCCCAAAACAGTGAAAGGCACTTCAAAAAGCATTCCAAGAACACCTCGCAAGTGCCCAAAAACCACTCCGCGAGCACTGCAAGACCCCTCCAAGACCCATCCAAGACCACTACTTCACGAGGGCACGGGACCGCTGCTTGAAACACCTCGACGTGCAGGTGCCCTAGGACGCAGCCATCCTATCCAACAGCCTCAAATCACATGAAAGGAACGCCCCTGCTCTGTTCGTGCGACACGAAACGGTGCAAGCGTCAAAGTGTGCGCGGGAACTGGGCGTGAGCATGATTTCGAACATGCAGGACAAGAATATTTGGAACACATCTTGATGTTTGCAGTCCCTGAAATGAACACAGCGCCGAGGGTCATCATTGGCGAAACTGAAATGCGAACGGCACCTAGGCGACCCTGTCCCACAGCAAACACCGTGAGAGGGTCAAAGCCGCGTGCGCTTGCGGGCGTGCCGCGAGCCCACAGCGATCTAATTCTCTTGAACCTCAACGAAAGAGCCCCAAAGCGCAAGCATTGTTTGGTGAGGGTCCCTATAAACTATGTTTCTTCTTCTGGGAGGCGCGGGGGCTGGGGTGGTTTCTTTTTTTGGCCTCGAGAAGATCGAGGATCGAGCCAGCACCGGTCGCGGCCGTCGCCTCACTGGCCACGGGAGTCTTGCCTTGCAAGGGGTCAGGGTTCAGTCTCTTCAAAGATACTGAAACAGCTTAGGGGATAAAGGCTTCCATGTCTTCCATGCCAACTGGAGGTTAGAATTGACGCCATGCTGCGACCAGACAGGCCTTGCTCGTAGGCTCTGAAGCTCTGCGCTGGAGTTTCCTCATCGGCCAGCAAATTAAGCGGCCCCCGTATACTAACTCCACAAAAGGGTAACCCTCTTCTTGAAAACCCCCAGGTATCACCAGTATCGAGGCTACAGTAAGCTCCAGAAAGTTGCAACATCCTTATCCCCATACCCCAAAAGGTATACGAATGGGAATCCCAGCTCTAATCATCCTTAAACCATGTTCCAACTTTCCGGAGTTTACTGAGATCGACCGAGGCCCACACTGCCAAGATTTTCTCGAAGTGGTGCAGTGCAACTGGGTCGCGGGAGCCCTGCAGTCACCAAGTTCTCACAGCAGTCACCTCCCCACCCCCGATAACAAACCATCGAAAGAAAAGAGACGTGTGTACACATATTCTATGGTATACTATTCTACATTTGCAAATATCGGGGATGTCCTAAGATTAGGGCCGATTAAGGTATCAGCGGCAGGGGATTGAGGGGTCGCGTATCGTTTGGCAACACTGCTTGGCAAGCCGTCCTCCTCGTGGGTACTCCGTAGGAAAGTCCGGCGAACAACAAAGTCTATCTCGGCAAAGGTGTAGTTGGCGGTAAGATCTTGGCGTGTTCAGAGCACACGTCTTTCGCTACCCCGCTAAATCCTCTACCCATACTTTCGCAGACAACCTCTGCAGAGCGGGAAGGAGGTAAATGGTGGGTGGCTACCAAGCTGCATTGAGCGCAGTGCTTGCCACATCATGATGGCTCAATCAAGCGGAATGTGTCAAACAACACCACTAAGCATCCAACTCGCCAATGTCTCGACAGCCTGCCGAAGCGTCACCACATGATACGGAAGGCCCCTGATCAGGAGAACTCGATCCTCTGCTCTGCAAGCACGTCAGGTCTGCCGCTTCGCGTAGCGCCGAGCCCCACTGCGCATCTGATCTGGAAACCTGCCCAGGCTTCTTGCTGATGCCCTGATGCACTCCCACTGAGCAAAGCAAGATGACGCAACGAACCTGTGCAAGCAGCTTCAAGAGGAATTGCTTGCGCTCTGCCTTCAGGTGACGGTTCCTTCCTATCGAATCTAGCTGCGACTTGGCTAATGCTCCCGAGCGCAAGACCACGATGCCACACCTAACTGTGGCCCTAACCGCCCTAACCGTTAGCCGGTTAACCGTTAACCTGCTTGCTATAGCCAATGCCTGGCTTGGGGGCGCAATGTGCACCGTGAAGCCAAATGGAAAGAGCCTTGGGTTTGAAGACCGCATTGTCTCAAACATTGCACATCTTTCCCAAACATGGCATGAAAGAACGGCGACGGCTGATCTGAGTTCTACAGAGTTCTGCTCAGCTCTGTCGGATCTCAAAAGCTGATGGTCGCACTCCATGGGTCGCAGAAAGCGGCCAGGGTCGGAGCCTGGGCTTGTACCCAGCTGCATCGGGCAAGGCAAGTCCTAAAGCCCTGAAGCTTCCATCGTTAGCCTGCAAGGTACATCGCAGCAGTCAGACTAGCTTCGGAAAGTCGCATATCGCCGGCGACCTACCATACTCACGTTGCCGACGCCAAGGTTAACTTTTTCGTTGCTTTGATTTCTACATGAGAGAGGGATCAGCTGAGGGATGAGAAGAACGTTTCCAGTATCAAAAAACTTTCCCATTTTGAGCCCCAAAGGATCAAGCAAACACGACTATACGTGTCAACAACACACATCTTACATGTATCTGTGCCCACCCCCCAGAGCGCTCCCCCACCCACCCGCACAAAGAAACAGAGAGAGAGAGAGAGAGAGAGAGAGAGAGAGAAAGAGACAGAGACAGAGAAAGAGAAAGCGAAAGCGAAAGAGAAAGAGAAAGAGAAAGGGAAAGAGAAAGAGAAAGCGAAAGAGAAAGAGAAAGAGAAAGGGAAAGGGAAAGAGAAAGAGAAAGAGAAAGAGAAAGAGAAAGAGAAAGAGAAAGAGAAAGAGAAAGAGAAAGAGAAAGAGAAAGAGAAAGAGAAAGAGAAAGAGAAAGAGAAAGAGAAAGAGAAAGAGAAAGAGAAAGAGACACACACACACACACACTAGGATATTCAATTATTCGCAGCAACTCCACTCAACGGCATGACGTTTTTGAAAACCGAACTTGCCAGGTTTAAGCACCCCACCCCCCAATTTCATTATTCTTCGCAAGCCCGCGAATATTAAACCTTCATCATCCGTCAAGACAACAGTTCCAAGTCGACACCATTTCCGCCACAGCGTGATGCAGCAGCAGACGCTCTTTGGGACAGCAAAGGGTAGACGCTCACTCGTCTGCAGGTTGGGTGGGAGAAAAAAATTCAGATCAGCTCGTGCCGAAATTCTACAAATTCGGCCAAGGCAGCACTGAAATCTTCTCAAGCTCAACACCAATATTTACTAAGATTATCCCCATGTAAAACCTTCCTGTGAAGGAATAAAGAAAACATCAATCTTCGATGGAGTGCATTCATCTGCGAACACAGGTGTGCCGGGTTTGGAAGGCAAGCCCTTTCGACTGCATGATGTTCTTAGCTTGAGGGAGGTCGCAAAGCATTTGCAGCAATTCCTCGCGGGCTTGCGTCGTGATTATTTGTTCATGTTCCTTGCTTCAAGCCGTCCTTCCCTCAAGCCTTCCTTCCGTCCTTCCGTCCTTCCCTGTTTCCTTCCTGCCTTGCTGGCTTTCCTCCTTCCTCGAAATAGCTTTGTTATCCTGAGTGATGCTGGAGAAGTTCTTTAAACCCATGGTCGCGCTTCAGGTTGCCCCGGGCCACTAGCCCTTAAGCCCAAACAAGAACCCAACACCTAAATAGACTTCCACAAATCTCCCAAACCCCGAAACCCGCCCAAATTTCCTTGAGCCCATGATGCACGCCAGGGATGCTGCCGGCAGTTGCCACGCAGGCTATTCGCTGCGAAGTCTCCTGTCTTCTGGCCACCTGGCGGTGGATTTCAAAGCCTGGATCTCAGTCTCTGAGCAGGGCGGTGGAGGCCCGATATACCAGAAATTCAGAAATGCTCCCAAGACATCCTATGAGGACCTGCACATTCTAGAATCTGTGGCCCCAGTTGAGAAAGTGAGCTCGGGAATGAACTGGAAGTGCCTCTCCCAGGCAGCGCCGAATCGACAGCGCAGCTTCAGGGGCGAATTCCTCGAAAGCATGGGGCCACCACAAGTCTTCATTTGGCCCGACTTTTGCCTCAAGTTCTTCCTCTGAAGTCTTTTTCTTTCTGAAGGGCCCTCACCAGACCCTCGATGAGTATGAGGACAGGTTTGTCAGCTTTGGAAGTTGCCGTCCTGGAGAGCACTGCAGAACAGCTTCGGAGTAAAAGCCTCTGAGCATCCCTACTTGCAATCCATCTTGGTGGCCCTCAGGTCCCCCATCCTGCAGAAGGCTGTCGTGGTGGCCTCAGCAGCTGCCAGGTGCAGTACCTGCAGCAGTGGCTCACGCCTCGGAAACTTGGCTCCCCCCCCTTCAGCCCCCCTTCCGCTTCACGGCCTGGGCACCAGCCAGAGCTGCTGCTGCTTCCGCCGCTGCTCTTTTCCCGAGCCCCTCTGGGCCGGCAAGGAGCACCGCGCTGCGCCTGGGAGAGTTCGAGGCTCGGCTTGGAGCTGCTCGGATGCAGATGATGCAGTTGGGCCCCCCGGGTCGTTGACTCGGCAGAGCGCCAGAAGATGTTATCGACGTCTGCCTGACATGTCTCAGCACGTTGCAGCCACCTCTTACGGGAAAGCAAAAGATCAAGCTGGGCCACGCACCAATTGCAGGGGCAATGTGACTGCCTCCCGCAGCACTGCCTGACTTGCTTCAAGCTGCAGACCTATCCGGCCTATCCGGCCTATCCGGCCACAATCAGAAACCGCAGCAATGGTAACGCTCGAGCCTTTGCTTCGTCCAAGCCGATGAGGTCGGCCAGCTGCGCTTTTGGCCCAGGCTCTCTCACGAGCGGCCTCCTGTGTAGGTGTAGATGCAAGGTGCTGCAAAGGTGCTGCAAAGGTGCTGCAAGGATTGCCAAGGATTGCCAGTCTGGTTCTGGCTCTGCACTCTCCGCACTCTAAGCAGAAGCACAGCCCTGTCCATCCGGAGTCAGCCGCTGGGCACTCTGATTTTGACCAGAAGCCAATCTGCAGAGGCAACGGTGATGGCCTATGAATGATGATGACTGCCTATGATGACCTATAAACGCTGTTTGATGCTTTGGGCCAGACCGCGCCTCACCTCTCACTCGCAGCCAGAGCAGCAGATGAACCAATTGCAGCAACATTGGCTGCATCATGGACGGTCTTTGGTACTGTGGGTCAGAATGGGCATACTGGGCCTTCACGGTTGGGCGTGCTCAGGTACAGTCAAACCCCTTGACGAGCCCTTACGACTCTGTCTAGGACTGCTTCGGCTGTCGTTGTTCGGTTTGCTGGTGTGTCTGTAGCTCACGGTCATCGGGCTACAAGGTAGGGCTTACGTGGGCACGTTGACGGATCACTTCGTGCCTTTTCTGCGATTTCCCTTTGCAGGAAGCGTACATGGACACTGCCATGAGCTCACTTTGATCGTTCTGCATGTCTGAAGACTGTGAACCATGATTCAAGAAGGCCGGTTGGGCTTGAAGACGTCAAAAGCACGCAAAGAGCACTCCCCGAAGCCATCCAGAAATCGGAAACCCATCGTTGCACAGCACTTCTTCCTTTTTCCCCAGACTCAAGCTTCGGCCGGCACCTGGGAGTCGACAAAAGGGCTTCCCACTGCACTGCTTTTGACAAGACGGCGTTCCACCGTGAAGATCTTGGGACCCTGCTCCCTCCCAGAATCTTCGATACTTCTCGCTCTTCTTCAGGAGATCCTGCTGAATGTCAAAGACATCAGTGCTGATTGACAACATAGCAGGGTATAGGGCTTACGGCTTATGGGTCAGCATCTGGTTTCTTCTCGCTTCACGCTACTGCTCTTTTTCAAGCCTCAGGCTGAAGCAATGTCCCTTCACCCTCCAACTCTGCGGCCCAGCTCCTCATGGGGGCCTTGCTCACGGATGACTCCACCCTGGCAGCTTGAGCATACAAGTAGCGCGACGCAACCTGCCCGGCCCTTCTTGCAACCTCGGCACGACATATATACGATACACATACACGTGCTATATACATACATCAGTGTACATCGTTGCTCTCTCCTTGAGCTCGGCCCTCAAGACCTGGTAACCCTCTGATCGCACTGGCTACGTACTCCATGCTCAGTTTCGGTGTCCCGGGAGTACAGCACTCAACGCGCCTCGAGGAAGGCCACCACGTCGCATCGCTGGACAGTTGCGAGGCGGTGTGCTACCACCAGGCAGGTGCGTCCTGGTCTGGATGCGTGAGTAAGCTGCCAGACATAATTATCATACATGACCGTGCCTTTTGGGGATCGGCATGTCGCAACATCACAAGGCAATGGCAAAGTGTCCACCCGCTCCACTCCTTTCATGAGTTCATCCATCGCAGCTGCCAGGGCGCGCTCAGTGCGGACATCCAGAGCCGAAGTTGCTTCGTCAAGAAGCACGATGGACCTGAAAACAGAACTCGCCGAGGCATTGTTTCAAAGCCGAGGCCTCGGACCGTAGGAGTTCGGATAGTCTGCCGGGTTCCCACCACCTAGTCCTCTTTCTTCTGTGGCATGGACCGCCTATGAACCTTTGTGGCCAATCCGGAAACCCCCCATACAAACCCATCTGCAAGCCCGAACCCTGACCCCCCCCCCCCACAAACCGCCACGCTCTTTGCATATGGATCTCAATTACACCGGCTAAATCTGTGGACTCTTCCCGAGCAATGCCTTCCCAGGCTTGCAGGCGCATATCATCTCACAATCTCAGTCGCCCGCGGGTCGGCCAACAAACATCTGGCAATACCAATGCGCTGCCGCCTGCACTGCAAGGTTGGCATGGCATTCGCTGAAAAAGGCGGTTGCCTGACGAGGAAGGTTTAAGCCCGACACTCTCCGCCACTCAGCTTCATGCCGCGCTCCCCGACTGGAGTGTCGTAACCTCTCCATGTGTCATGATCACAGAAGCCACGTCTGCAAGGGTGCGGGCTCAGGGCCACAGTATGTGTGAGGGACGTAAATATACTGTCGCGTTTCAGCAACAACAAGCATTTTGCCGGGCTTACAGGGTGAAGCAAGTCTGTGCTTCGGCTTCCCCTTCAAGTTCCCTGGTTCCCTCCTTTAGAGCCTTGCTACAAGTCAACAGGCTCCCGGATCACTCAAGCACCCCTCTATCTTTCTCGGTACTTTTGCGGCCTTCGGGTAGGGATCGAATCTGCTGATGGATCTGCGCAAGTTCTGCAGCTCGCTCGACCTGCACAAGCTAGGCTAAAGTTAGCAAGGACATCCATCCGATCCATCTTTAGACAAGCAAGCCTGGCCTCAGCATCGGTTGCATCTGGCCTTCCGTAGCTGATGTTAAAACCTGGTCGAAGCACGGAATGTAAGACGGCATTTTTTGCCACTCCTCGAGGCCAAAGCTGATCGTATCGTTGAATAAAGAGCAGTCCTGCGCCATGCGCTTTAAAGTACTTCGCGGTACTGTGCCGGTGCAGCCGCGCGGACTTGAGTGACTACGAAGGATTCCAGACTTCTCAAGTCACGACACGTGCCTGCGGGACAATTCCCAAGTGGCGTCGGAAGGTCATTGCGTCGAGGAGCTTCAAATCTTGGCCGTCGATGAACACCTGCCAGGCCAAGGTTCCTGAAACCGCTGCAGGGGCAGCAGGAACAGCGCTTTGCGCATTTTCGTCAGATAGGCCTGCCCTTGCTGAGGATCTGCGAATCTGTAAAGCAAGCGCAGCAAGGTGCTCTTGCCCGATCCTCTGCAGCAGTTCAGTTTCAGGCTTCAGGCACCACATAGAATTCAACATATTCAACCTAAGACAGGGATCTTGTGACAAAGCAGAAGGGAAGTTGAGTGCAGAGCCAGAAGGCCCAACAATGGCCATTTTTGTGCCGGGTGACACCGCCTGGCCGAGACTGTGAATGGAAGAAGCAGCAAGGAAGTTATCCTTTCCCGGGAGCAACGATTCGCGTCAACCCGCTATAATGTGCGGCATCATGCATGCCAGCAAATTCACAGGGCTCGCAGGTGTCTGGACAGACCAGGCGCAGATTCATGATGATTTGCGGGGATACGCTATGCAACGCGGCTGCTGCGCGCACTATGCGCACGAAATACTCGCCGCGGGCACCAGGGACGCCCCCGCAAGGACAGTGTTATGCGCATAGGCGTAGTGGACGTCTCGAAACTCCAGGGATCCTGTTGATCACAAGAAGAAAAACACTGAGGAGTAGGAGACCTTCAGGCTGCCTCCTTTGAAGTCGAAGGGTACACCACCCCCCGGTGGCGCCGGGACAGCCGGCTCCTGAGATGAGCGTGTACCTTAAGGGGGCCCGGAGTTGGTCCGACCGATCTCGGCCTGCTTGAGGAAGGCTGCAAGCTTGCCCAGGTCGACGAAGCCTTGGGTCGTGACCTTGCAGCATCTTGCGGCATGCAAGGTGCCTCGTTGGATGCTAGTGACAATTGGGCCCTCATGATGTCTTGCAGACTCTTCTGATGCTCTGGCAGTTCAGCGCAAAGATCACAGAAAGGACAGCTGACATGCCACTGGAACAAATCCAGGAAGAAAATTCTCATCACGCAGTGTGACAATTCTCACTTTTCCAACATGAACCACTCCAGTCATGTAAAGGATCAACGTTGACAAAGATGCCGCCCTCTTTTTGCAAATTGCTCAGTTCTTGTGCCCTGCGAGCTGTGATCCAATCTCAAAGGAAGTAGTCCGGAGTGCGCTTCACTCCCTCGGCTGGGATCTCCTGCAGCCGCGAGATGCAGGGCTAGGACCTACTCCATTATGCGCTTGGCGAGCATAAGAGTTTAGGCCTTCTGCACTGGAGGAGGGTCGAACTGCAAGAAGGTGTACCTTCGAAAACGTCTGCGGTAGAAGCACAAGGAGATGAGACACACCCTCATGAAGATATTCTGCGGTATTCTTGACATATTCTGCTACACAGGACCCTCAACAACACCCGGTGAAGCCCGGCGAGAGCACTTAAGATGCTCATCAATCTCCATGACGGCCGCCTGGTTCCCGCACCTCAGGCTTCCTAATTTATGGCTGCGAGCAAGCTTTGCCCAGCGCCTTTCGAATTTGCGGAGGCGAGGTAAAGCCCAAACCCGAAACCCTAAACCCTAAACTACCCTAAACCCTGAACCCTAAACACTATACCCTTAACCCGAAACCCGAAAACCCTGTTCAGGACGCTTCAGGCGACATGCAGGATTCATCGCGTTCGATTCTGATCGATTCTCTGGCCTGTAGCAGTAGTTCGGCGCTGAGAAGATTGTCACCACATGCCTGGCGAAAGAGTGCCTTGGCCTTGTCCCACTTCTGATTCTCAGGATGCAATTTGTCCGTGCACGGCGCCTGTCGTGGCACCAGTTGTAGCCTTCCATCACCAGCTGGTGTGCTCGCGCGATCAGCTTGAGGCCATTTGCGTGGTTGAACCTTTGGTTTACATCACATGCGTAGCTGTTGAGGTTCAGCCCCCCGTCATGCCATTGCCAAGCAGCTGATCTGAGATGTCCTGTCCAAAAGTGTATCCAGCGCCTGTGGAGCAAGCATGGAAGGCACGACAGCTGAATACGAATGGGCTGAACATTGACGAGGAACCGCGTGGTGAGATGCCCCAACCACATCGATCATCAGGATCTGACCACAGCAGGTCACACCTCATCTTGGGGGCTATCAACCATCCGGCCGAGAACTAGCTTGGCCGGTTCAGGGAAAGAATCGTTGGCCGAGCTGCATGGGGCCCTCGTGGGGCACCTAGAGCAGGTTCAAAAAACTTCGGGCACACCTGACGAATCGGAGTTGGCTCTTGTGGCCTCCTGGATTCGGTCCAGCTGGCGGATGTTGTCCAAGGAGTCGAGGGAAGGCGAGATACCGCCATGCATGCCTGTTATCTGCAAAGCCGTGAGACCCTTTTGTGCAAGCTCCGCCACGACAGCACATATTGGATAAATGATGCTGAGCCACAGATGATCTGATTTTCGATCACAGCCGTCACCTGGATACTTGAAGAGGGAAGTAAACAAAAAAAGCAAGTCACTCCCCGCTGCCCCTGACCACGTTCTGGCAGGAGGCCGGCAAGTAGTCGAAAGAGTCGGTGAACAGCTTCCAGACCTGCGACACGTGAACACCTCTGCCTTCGTTCCTCAATACGAGTACCTGTTGTAGTTTCAAGCTCTGGCTTCAGCAACCTATGGGCAGGAGTGAGTTGGCTCCGACAGGGAGGCCTGTGGGCCACGATATGCTCGAACACACTCATCAAAGAAGCCGTACACCTGCGTAATTTGGCCTCATGCAGATCCGGGGTGCGGTTGCAGAACCATCTTGCACAACAGCGGCAACCAGAAACAGCTTCATGAGTCATGATCTGTTGGTGGAGGCTTTGTGCTTCCTAGTTGCGACTCTCATGGTTGCCACGGAGGATAGTTATTCGCTCCTCGTGCAAGGGGGGCTGACTGCAATTCACGAGGTCTGCTTCTTCCCAAGCGTCTGCACAACTTGTGGTCATGTCCTTGAAGCGCACTTTGTAGAGGAACATGAGCGACACTGTCTTCACAGAGTAGTAGCCGCGGTCCACGTAATCGCCCAGGAATAAGTAGTTGGTCCTGAGTAGGTGAGCAGGGCTCAGCCTCTCACAGTCCCTCCTCTTTTCAACTTGAAAAAAATCCGGCCCAGAAACTCTGGAAGTGGGCCCCCAATTCGAAAGAGCTCCTGGATGACATGCTAGGCAGGCGAGAGCCAAAAAACGCCTAGGGAGTCAGATGCGGAGCTCCTTCAAGTCCAAGAACTGGCCATGGATGTCTCCACAAACGGTCACCTTAAGAGAGCAATTCTGAGGTTGGCAAGATTGCTTCACCAGAAGATGGCTTGTGCATTTGTGTGCATAGACACAAGGAGACTCTGCCGAGCCACAGGGCAGCGCACTGGTTGGCAGTTGGACTCCTCTTGAAGAATTTCCCTCACCTTCTCCTGGGCTGGACACCATGTGCTTCTGTTGCATGAGCAAGACTGACACGAGCAGCGTCAAGTCCGCCAGGCTGTAATCAGATGTAATCAAGCGTCGCATAAGGATCTGCACTGTGCTTCCGACAGCTCACCCTTCTCCCTGCAGAAAAGGCTGTGTTTGCAAAGCATCCAAGCTCAAAACACCGGTGTCGAGGCCAGAAGAGGCCAAAGGTGCTGTGCAACGCATCTCAGGAAAGACATGGGCCTCACATGCTCGATTTGCCCTTCCAAATCAGTGTTCGTGGCATACTCGTCGGCTGCTGGCATACCCCTGCCCATGCAACGTCCAAGGCTGCTTTACTTGCGCATTTACTTTCGGTGCAGGCCGCGATGCCTGCACGATGGTCTGCCACTCAGCCACTAAGTGAGTAAGTAAGGGCATGCGAGGTCAACTCATTGAGTCTTGAGCCAAGAATAGCAACAATTTCATGGTATCACACTGATGTCATGACTGTCTGTCCCCCATCCTCGTGTACAGAACAGTCACTGAGGCTCGCCACCCGATAGACACCTCCCAATATGCCCAAGGGCTGCATCAGCTGTGCCTTTCAAGGCGAGCGGAAGAACACGCTTCCCAAGTGATCCCGTGCGGCGCTGACCAGGATTCCATGAATCGCCACGACATCTCCGACCTGTCTTCTGAATGCCGTGTGACGTGTAGCAGAGCCTTGATGCTTTCCCCATGCGTTCAATGCATGCCCACATCATCCCACATCTCTCTGCGCGCGCGTGAGCTGTCACCATCGGTTTCCCCATGCAGGAACATGCAGAAAGCACGACGGCAACACCGGCAGATCTCCGCTCAGCACTCGCGCCGACGTCAGGGCGAGAATGGAAGTGAAACTACCAACGACGATCACAGACTGGCCGAAGTTCAGCCTCATGCCATCATGCCACCAAGGTGATCTTAGGGTAAACTACAACGGGAGGTCAGCTGGGACGCCCGCTTTGCCAAGGAGTGCAGGACGGCCACCTGATGCCGAGCAGTACGGCTCAGGATTCATTGGTTGCGGGCTTAAGCACTTTACTGGTAGGCCTCCTCGGGTTTCACACACACACACACACAGAGACGTGGAGAGCAACCGCAAATGAACACTCAGTGGTGGGCTTGTTCGGCTTCAAAGCGAGCGAGGGCATTGTCGTACCTCCTGCTTTCCTGAGCCTGGCTGGCTCTCAATGCACTCTTATGTCTTCTTGTCCTTGCTTCAGAAGCTCATTTTCGATCCGGCAAGGGCTCGGGTCCTCCCCCTGAAAGTACTTGACGACCTCGCAGTTCGCCAAGGAGTCAAAGAAGACCTTCAGAGAGGACGATCATACTGAGCTACTGGGCTACAGCTACTGCCCCTCGGCGCGATCAATGAAGGCAACAACACTGAGCTATGTCTCTCACCGCGCTGGCATCCTCCTCTGCCCTGTTGGACCGGCGCATGATTTCACGCCTTCAACAGGCTGCATCCACTTCATGTAGGGGCATCTTCAGGCGCTCGAAGTTGTGCCTGTGGTTGGAGAACTTCGTGGTGAAAGCCTAGGCTGCTTAAGAGGGACCTGAAGAGAGGCCATTCGAGACCCTGACGCTGCTCTCCGAAACCAAGGAGCTTGCCACGTACATGGCGATGGTGGAAGATGCTGCAAATGCACATCCCGGGCCTGCGTTGCTTGCCGAGTCTCTTGGGGTCACTCGATGTTCATGAAAACTTGATTGTTCAGGACTCGTGACTTCAAGGGCAGCATCGGCCTGCCAGAGATGCCATGACGGTCAACGCCATAGCACACTCAACGGCTATGGGCATGACGTTGAAAAGGAGCATGTTCAGCACCTTGCGTTTGGGCACTTATGAATCGGGCGCCGCAGGCCGCAACAGTGCTCTGAAGAGCTCTGAAGAGTCTCTGTCAGTTGCCACTTGTAACCAGAAGTGGTGAGGAGAGTCATGGTGCATTCATGAGCTGTCCCTGTGAGGTGCCTGGGTGAGCGACTTCGTGGCGCGATTCACCACGACCTTGCTCGCGTGACAAAAGACACCTACATTTAATTTGAATCAACTTACTTCGAAGCAGCTGTCAGCAGCACGGACGGGTTGGGTCATCTAGTTCTTGTCAGATTACAACAAAATACAACAAAGAAGGACTCCGAGACCGTCATAGAGGCAGCCAATGTTCTGCTGCGGCGAAATCAGGTTGCCGCGATTATTGCGGATGACATCTAGAACACAGAGCCTAAAACCCACCCAAAACAGCAAACGCATGCAAACGCTGTTGAACATGTTGGCATCGAATCGCAAGGAGGCGCCCGACTTCATTCTGCATTGTTCGAAAGACCGGCCGGGCAGAATCTCCGAAGTACCGACCCCCGGATCCATGTGCCGAGCATGAATCCTTGGAGACCTCAAGCCCACCTTCCTACACGAGACGTACGACACTTGGCGACACGAATCACAAGGTCAATGCAAACGATGGCAGATTTTCAGTTTGGATGCAAGACCTCAGGGGTTTGTGGATCCAGGGAGAGACCAGCAAAGGGTGCCCTGCACAGCTAGTCGAAGGGAAGCATAGATAGTGACGAAGTTGCAGTGTGAGATCCAAGCCCTTCCGATGCGACAGATCCACATTGCACTCAAAGCCCGGAGCGTTGAGCGCACCAGGCTTGCTGGAAAGCAGGTAACTCCTTGGCGCAAGCAGATTCGTCCCGGTCTCTCCAGCGCACTAGAGCTAGAGCCGCCAAGCCGCGCGTCCAAATGGTGCAAGTGCCTTAGCTTCACGACAAGAGAAGTGTGCAAGGATGCACCGGGGCAGGGGACAGTGACCCACTGCGGCTTCAAAACGGACGCACGGAGAGACTGGAAGTTGACAATGCCACAGAATTTGCCAGAAAACCCCAGATAAAACCCCCCGACTTCCCTCTCGACCCTCAAACCCTACGCCCTACACGCCCAAGGCCAAGGCACTCGAAGCTCCGCCGCGCAAGAGCCCGGCAGCTGCTCTGCGAAACTGTCGCGAAGAGCGCTGCGCGCAGCTCGTTGAATGCCTGGACTGATGCAGCTGCCGTTCTCCGATATTCGGGGTACCTTCTTGGGGTCCTTAGTAGAAGGGAATCCTACTACTTGGGAGTCCATGATGGCGCGGTCCCTTATTTTCGCAAGCTCCCAGTTGATGCTTCCCCACTCTTGTACCCTGAGGTCGAAAGGGCCGCAATCCCCACAAATGTCAAGTACCCGTCCTGGACTACTGATGTGAGCTGGGGATTGCACGGTATACCAAAAAGAACCGAAAGTATAAGAGAGGTGACCCCGAAGTGAGAACAATCCCCAGCTATTGACCACGACACTGAAGGAACCAGCAAAGCAAATGAAAATGAAGAAGCACACGCACATTCGGTCGTGGCAAGATGCTGCACTGCATGGTGAGCACGTAAACTACTTGGCTTGATGGCTGCCTAGGGACACTCGTCGAGAGCCGGGCCAAGCCATATGCCTTGGCGTCGTTCTGACATCCACATCCCAAGATTGTGGCTCAGACAGCTTCCTTCACAAGCCAACCTTGAATTGGGCATTTCCCAAAATAGGGGCACCTCTTATATACCCCAAATGGCATAGAATCCTCTTAGCAGGGACCCCCATAAAGGGTACCCCTAACTTCGGAGACCCCCGATTGGTCCCAAGTCCGAGGAGCAGCCAGCAGCCCCAATGGCAAGGCTTCGATGCCGGAGCCCAGGGCATCAACCAAGTGCCCGAGCCTCAGAACGGCCAAAAAAAAACGATGGAAGAGAGGACACTGTATATCATACTGTATCATACTGGACCCTAAACCCTAAAAACCCTAAAAACCCTAAAATGTATCATCCGCAGGTGCTGTCCAGGAGCTGGAGTGGAGCCAAGATGGCCAGGGCTTTGCCCGCCACCAGTCCAACCACAGCAAAGGCAATGCGGCCCTGCACGAAAAGGGGAACGCGCGGTGGAGAGCGTGCTCTCTGTTCATGTTCGCAGCTGCGCTTGCGGCTTGCTGCAGCTTGCATCTCAGGCATTATCTGGTGCCTGGTGCGAGGTTTCCCGCGGCCAGAGCGATCGGATTAACAACCAAACGGAAGCATTGCCTCAACAATGCAGGGCAGCAGACTGGCGAATCCGAATCCTGCAGAACCTCTGATCAACCAGGGTCCCGGCTGTCCTCTTTCACGGCGGCGGTGGATTTGTGAGGCGCTGTGTCCTGTCAAGACTTTCAACATACTTGCCGCTCCCAAATTCCGAGACGCGGCTTGGTCCTGTGAGGAGAACGGCCGCAGAGGGAGATGTGCCCCTGGCAGCTCGGAATCAGATGCAAGAGGAACATCAATCAAGGCGCGGTCAAAGTCGGTTGCGAAGAGTCTCCGAAGACAATTCTGAAAGCACCCAGCCTGCGCAGCCTGGAAGCAGGCCCCGTGCTGTTGGGAGCCGGAATCTCGTGACTCTGAGGCCTGTCGAGTGGTGCCACGAAAGACATGAGATCATGAGGCATGAGGCATGAGGCATCCTTCGCTTTCTGAGATGGACAAGGGTTTGAAGATGCTTGAACACGAGGCTTGCCTCGGTTCGAGCAGAGCCGCAGAGTCCGGACACCATGGCAGCGCCACATCCCTTGCAGCCAACTAGGATCTACACATCACTGTCGGTTGATCATTCGTTCAAACGGTGCGCAGTTAATGCACACAGGCTACGATACTAGATGGGCTCGAGTTGGCTCAGTGCTAGAAGCTTGCGATACAGATGGTGTCCGGTATGTGTCTTCAAACTCATGGGACATTCCAAGGGCATGGCATGGGCGCACCTAAGGCTCGTCGACGGCAAGATCCTTGTCCCTCACGCTGCATTGCGAATCTTTGCCGCATCGCGTGGACTTCCACGGAACTGCGGAGTCTTTGGAAAAAGCCAGTAACAACCGTCTTTTGGCTCCTCATGGGCCCACAGTGAGAATCAGAGCACAGGCATCTGAAGCCCCGGGCGCGCTACATAGCACTAGCTGCGTCTCGTGCTGAAACTTAAACTTTAGCATCATGTTCTCGGCATGACGCTCATTGCTCAGACAGCAAACCGTTCGCTCCTTCAGCTCAGGACACTAGGTGACATGGCCTCCTCTCTTTTGCGCGAGCGGCCCTTGCGAAGTTGCTTTGCCAAGAAGAGCACCTAGGTGAACCAAACTTTCAACCGAGTCTAGCTCAGAGTCGACAGTAAGGCCCAATCACTGAAGGAGATGTACAGCGCATACACCACCTGCCCGACATTGCCCGCATCGCGTCTGTTGCCTCTCTTTCCCCTAATGTGCGCTGCACATCGCTGCACTCACCCATGCTGTCTCACACCAGGTACCGCAAGACACTTTGCAAACCGGTCCTTGGTTTGCAGGGAATTTGGGCCTCTGACGATGTCCTGTGACAAGCATGCGGGGAACTGATTGCCCGATCGTCTACTGGTCATCACTGGCATGTAGGGTTGACCCATCCACCGATCAGTGATGCTGCCTCAAGTGTCGCGCGCAACCCTTTAGTCCCTTTAGTTCACTTTAGTCAATACTTTCTGAAGGGTAACAAAGGGGAGTCTACTTTAAGTTTGCTTCCACCTGCAAGCCAAGAACACGCCAACAAGAAGAGTCGTCTCCTGCCCCAGAACCATCCACACCAGGGACAGCACGGTCCCTGCTGCGGTGCCCACGCCAACTTGGGCCTGGCCAGGGTCGGGGCTTCGGATTTTACAGCTGACCTTACCAGGTCTTGGGCGCCTACGGTTGGCAAGGGGTTTTTTGAAGTGCCCGGATTGTAAGAAGCATGCGTAGTTGCCGATTCTGAGTGGATAGCTGATTGACGATTCACTGCGACACAAACGTGTATAGCATCCCTCCCAAGACGATGGTTTGGAAGAACTTGGCATGAGCCAAAAGTTGGTTATCAAGTTGAGGTTGGTTTTTAATCACCTTGAACAAGTTAAGGTTGGTTTTTAATCACCTTGAACATGATCTGGAGCTTGTTTCGGTCGGCCCAGTAGCAGCCGTGAGAGTGTCTGAAAAGCGACTGGCAATGGAAAGCCAGCTGCAGGCTACACTTTCAAGTCGAGCGGCCATGACGTCCAGCGGCCAGCTAAACTCTAAAATCGACCGACACAATGCCTCTGCGAGAACGGACGCTGCTATAGGGTTGATCTGTAAGCCTTTTTCGTGAAAGTGGCAGAACCATTCGCTTTATTTTGCGGAGAAGTCTTCTTGAACCAGCTACATAGGTTCAATCATTTATACACACGATCTTTATCTATGTCTACATTTCATACAGGACGCTGACTTATGATTTATGATACACTTGCAACTTGTTCGCAACTTGTTGCTAAGCAACCGCGACGATACTACCGTAAACCCCAACCATTCCAGGTAGGGAAGCACAATACAGTGCAGCGAAAGGGCCTTACATGTATTATTTGCGCTACTTTGCGAAGCAAAGGCAACTGCATGGCAACTGCTGTCGATAAATGCGGAGCCAGCTTTGCCCAAGTGTGGTGACCGCACACGACGCGCAACACCTCCAACAAGAAGTACGAGGCTGGGTTCGGACGCCACAAGCAACGCTGTCACCCAGGACCCGAACGCTTATCAGGATGGCGGATGCCAGCAACAGTGCCGAGATTATGCCCGGCCTGGGTGCTTCGACTCTCAGCATATAAAGCTCAGCGAGCTGAAAAGAGCTGCTGAAGGGCTCCGGGAAAGTTCGTAAGGGACTGGCTGGATTTGAGTTACCCAGGCCACTGACATGAAGGTTGCGACCTGCAGGTTGTTCACATCGGACAATCTCCACAGCCTCTGCTCAACTTAATCCCTGTTCCCCTAGGAAGAAAAAAGGATCCTGTTTGTTCATATATAAGAAAGCCCAAAACCCAAAAAGTAAAAAGGATCCCTAACACTGCTCGAGTCAATTCTACCCCTCGGCAGTGCACCAGCGCATGGGAGGAGGGCATCCCAGGATCCGTCAGCGCAGATCCTGGAGGTCTCCGCTGGTTCACGATGCGCCTCCACAGGTCCACTAAAGCTGTGCCCTACTGATGAGGCATGGACCCGAGCGCCAAGCTTGATCCGCGAGGTGAGAAATGATGCAGCAATGCCACCGAGAACGATGTATGGACCTCACACTCTCCTTCGTGCGTCAGAAGTCAAACTGCATCCGTGCCCAACAGCTGACTTCAGGCCGAGAGCCAAACTCAGGATATCGTGGCGGATGACCACGGCCGCCGTCCTGAGATGCACAAACAAAACCAGATGAAGTGCTCATGGAAGGTCCTCTGAGCTGCAATTGCTCTGGGAGAGGGTCTGTCCAGCAGTTACCAACCACTTTGATGAGGCCTCAAGGGTCAACGTCAGCGACGGCTTGTGTGTCAGACATGAGCAAACATGCCGGTTCTGAGGGGCATGCATCCAACTTGCGAATGCCAGCAGGGACTCGTCCTGTGATGCCACAACTGTCATGCACATAGGTTTCTAGGCTTTCCACCATCGTCCTGCAGCCAGTTGCACCCTCGCCCGGGTAGTCGGCACCGCTGCACCTCCACGGAAACTTACGACGAGTTATTGGTTTTGCTGGGCCATCTACTTAACAAAAGCTTTAGGGTACTCCATGAGTCATAAGGTGCCAAACAAGTGGGCCCAGGATTTGGCTCAGCGTCAGCCGCACCTGTGAAGTCCATTGCCGCTAGCATGCCACTTCTCTCGGCGCTGAGTGTCCGGTAGTGGGCTTTACTGTTTTACTTGAGTGAATCCTTCAGTCTTACTACTGTGGACTGTACTCACCGCAGTCGCCGCAATCTCTAGCATCAGCTGAAGAGCGAAAGTACCCATCAATCTTACTGAAGCTCCACACGCAAGTACGAAAAATGCCTGAGATCGTGACAGAAGGCCGCAAGGCTAGAGCGGCGGAAGCTTGTAAGCCACGGAGAATCGGCGAGGTCTCAGCAGGGCACCCTTCAGCCCTGCAAAAAGTGATCGGCATGTCCTGCCGAAAGGCTGTCTGCTTTTTTCCTCACAGAAAACCCCTTCTTCGCCTGCGGCTCAGTGGCGTGGCTAGTCCTCCTGACAGGCAAGACTCCAGAACGGCCTGCGATGTTGGAGAAAGGGGCGCCACGGCCGACATCAGTTCGACCACTTGCCCTCCCGATCCACTCCAACTGCCTGGGGAGCCCAGCTGCAAACAGTCGCCTTCCTGATCTTCCGCTTGCGGGGCTTGCGGGGCTTGCAAAACATCACCGGGTTCATGGCTCTTCCGCAGGCACACTCCTTGACAGTCTTTGCAGGAGTCCGCTGGGATGACGAACCGATCCTTGCATCTGAGTCCACCCTTGTCTTCGCAGCATTCTTGCCATCGACCTTCAGAGTTCTTGATCGGCCGATGGACCCAGATCCTGCCAGAGCATCTCCCAAGTTCGGAGACCTCTCGCGCTCGGATGACCTGGGAGGCAATGTCCGTGCACTTCTCCCGCAACTCTGAAGCCTGTTTACCCATGGGGAAGCCTAGTAAACCTAGGAAGTTGGCGGCATCGTGGGTAAGAGAGCCCTGGGTCTGGAATGCCGGCGGGGGTGACCCATGCAAGCTCTGCTGTAGGAAGCGGAGCTCGTCCAAACTTTTCAGTGTTTCCTTCAGACCCTCTTCCTCCTGCTTCCGAGCCACTTTCGCTGCCCTGCGTCGACAGCTGGGTGAGACCTGCAGGCACGACCAGTCATTGTCGTACCATGCTGGCGCTTTCTGGAGCACCTCCTTCCACGCTTTTCGAGACCCGCCAAGCTCCTTCAAGGCCTCCTCGAAGTGCTGATAAAGCTGCGTCTTCCCTGTCTTACGGTGGTAGCACACCACTTCGCAGCGATAGTCCTCGACGCATTTGTTTCGGGCTTCCTCGAGGCTGCCAGACACATCCACTTCGTCCGAGGCACTGGGCCATGCTTGGAAAGCTGTTCGCATGGCAAGGTGTTCAACACCGAAGCATATGATGCACTTGTCGCCTGCTCGTCTGCAAGGCTACATGTAACATGGGCTGTGATGGAAGGTTGACTGCAGATGCCCACTTTCCTCGCCAAGCCCCATCCCCTGAATGGACCAGGCAGGCATCACGAGGCACGTCAGAGCACAACAGCACATTGCCAAACCTCACCGCTGCAAGCTCTGCAACACCAGAGAGTGGAGCCGCTCGGCTTTTCCTTTAAAATTGATGCGCATCAGTTCGGCGGAGTTCTACAAGGTAACTCAGGTTTGCCCTGCAATCACATATGGCCCCAGAGCCCTGCAACTGAAAAGACAATAAAGCAGAATCCCGCTCTCAGGGATGGCTAGAATAATAATAATAATAATATTCCTAATCATGACTCCCCCAAATGTCAAGTGTGGGGATGGCTATAACAACAAGAGTCATAATCATCACTCCCCTGACAACCTCTGCTGTCGCTCTGGCTTCCGGCCTCACCTTGCATTGGGCACAAAGATGAAGTTACGAAGATTCAGAAAGTTCCAGAAATCAGTTTGAAGTCAACAGCGGGAACACCCGGAAAAGCCAGCACTTCTTCGCTGCATCAAACTTTGTGAGGTGACACATGAAGGCCTCCTGACCTGCTTTAAGCGCTTCGGAAGTCTGGCAGTTCCCAGTGTCTGTGCAGACTTGAGGTGGCCAAACTGGTACACCCCGTCGGGGAGCCCTTTACGGGATCCGAATTACGGTTCCGGTTGCCTTTAGGCAGCGCCAGTGCGAGCCACAGATTTACAATTCGGGCTTCCTACAGCATCACTTAGAAGTACCGCAAGGCGGCTCAACACCATAACCTAAAGCAAGACCGGCAAAGCATTCCCAGCAGCACGCAAAGGTGATGCTTCGAATTTTCGAGGAGGGTCCTACCTGCACCTGATCACGCCCCAGCAGACTTCCTCCTTGAAGATCCCGGAGCGGTCCCCGAGACTTGCCCATAGGTCATTGACTTCTAGACTCTGCCCTGTATTCTTGGAGTGTTGCATCGGGTGCAGCTCAACACCTCCTTAGGAAAATCTCGTCTTGGCACTTTTGGTATTCAGAGAACTGAGAAGCTTACGAGAAACAACTGTTGATCAAGCAATTGAATAAATCTAGTCGGCTGTAGTAGACGATCTACGGACAGATAGTAACGCTGATCAGCCCTGTTTTTCCTTCAGCAGCTCGGAGCAGCAATTCGTTGCGGAAACCATAAGGGGAGCTCCCCATCAATTAAGACTTGCGCCTATTCAAGTGAAATGGACTCTAATCAAACCGATACTAAGGCCTAATGAGCTTGTTGGTCTTCGATTGCTGCTCCTGGTTTTATGGCACATGTCAGCCACTCTAGGGGGTCCAAATGTTTCGAAGGGCCCCAGGTGGGATCTCATGGATTTTTGTGAGCTGCTGCCATCGTTCGGAAATTCTACCTTGACTTTGACAATGCATCAAGAACCTTCCAAAATAATGCAGCTGCTACTTGTAAGGCGCCTCTCACCTGAACGACTTGCAGCAGCCGCTGAGCACGAATCTTGACATTGTCACACGCCAGCGCCCCCCCAGTTTCAACCTTCCTTGCTTAGCTGGCTTAGCTTAAAAGGCTTACACCTGCAGTAGGCGCTGGTCAGAAGCTTTCGGAAGATCGGGTCCGGAGACCCATTTTACAACTTCTAGCGTCGTCGTCCGACCTAGGCGGCCTTCGAGGAGCTCCTGGCAAGTGGAGGAGCTGACACTATTCTAGTATATAGTATGATAGTAGTATAGTAAGATCGTATGATAGTATTACAGTAGTATGATCGTATGGTAATATTATAGAAATATAGTATGATAAGCATTATAGTATTCTGAGGGGTTCCACACAGCTGCGGCTCTGCACTGCGCTAAGCGTGGCAGACGGGCATTGGGCGGAACTCTGTGCGCCGGGGCCCACGGAGCCTCACATGGCAGCTCACGAAGTTTAGTTCTTGTTTCCAGGGTTTAGGAGGGTGTGGGATGCTCAGGCATTCAGGAGTTGGACAGCAGAACGTCGCACGCCCCGGTCTGTGTGAGTCTGTGCAAGCTGCCGACGTTCAAGGACTCGCTCCCTTTGTTCTCTCTCTTCTTCTTCCAGGCATGACCAGCCCCGATGGACTCCCCGTGTGTCCAAAGTCCACGTCTTTCCGAAAAACTTTCATCCCAAGCGCTCTCTCTTCTTCAAGCACTCTGTCTCTCTCTTTCTCTCTGTCTCTCTGTTTCTCTCTGTCTCTCTCTTTCTCTCTGTCTCTCTCCCGTTGGTCTCGGTGTCCAGCTCCTTCGACTTGCTAGCATTGCCGCCGGCCTTGGGTCAGAGGGCTTAGGGATCACCAAAGCCACACAGGTTTAGGAATTTAGCTTCCAAAGGCTTCCAGCAACGACTGCAGGGAGTTCAGGCTGCCGCGAGGACCGAGTCTCCTGTGCGTGTCCTGCGGATGTGTCAAGCGTTCGTCGATAGCTCTGCTCGCACCACAGACCCCTCAACAGGGTCCTCGACTCGAAGTTGTTCGACTGCTTCTTGGAGACCTTGGTCTTAAATCGTCTTCCTCGTGCGCTATCCTCCACTCACAGACTTAGGCATCGTCAGCGTGGATGCGTCCACTTCCCTTTCTGGCCTCAGCCACACCATTTCGTGCAACATCTCCCGGTGCACCACAAGCCACAAGCCATAACCATGTCAAGTCGAATGCAAATGTCAGCTTCTGAGTCGCAGGCAAGCTCACCCTCGGCACAAGATTCACAGCTGAATTCTCACACCGAGCAAAGTGCGTCTTTGATCCACCGTTGGGAAAGCTTGGGAAGATGCTTGAAGTACTCCTCTAAGTAAGTATCATTCAAGTCTCCTCCTAAGTTGAAGCATCCTGACACTCCTGAGACTGAGGAGGCGGACACGCTTCTTCTTTGTGCGCTCTCCCTGGGAATGAGTGCGCTCTCGAGGCTCTCCCTGGCTCGAGGGCAAAGTGCTGCGTGCTGTCGGGGGCTTATGAGAGAGGGCTTCTCTTCTGAACTCCTTCTTCGAAAACTCTTGCGCGTCTCGCCTCAGGAGCCGGAGAGGGCTCCGCCGGGGGAGCCGTCGCTGTGGCGGCCTGCGCGGCCGCCTCTGCCGCAGCGACTTCGGCTTCAGCAGCCTCGGCGGCTGCAGCCGCCTCTGCTGCGTGCATATCCTCAATAATCTCGTCCACGTCAATGGAGTCGGGACCTGCCGCAACGACACCATCGACAGAGCGGAGCATGCCATCTTTCGACCAAGCATGACCAAGCATCTTGTCCAGCTTGAGAAACAAGCAAAAAAAGCATAAAGTCTGAGGGTTGCGCTTGGCTGTGACCTCGGTGGCTGAGGCTTGGGCTCATCTGGGCTCTCTAAATGTATCTCAATTTGGTACAGTGGCACAGCGCACCAAGAACGGCATAGAACGACCCATATGAAAGGGGTGCTGAGAGCACTACTCGTCAGCAACGACCTGCACATGCCGGAAACACCACTCCAAACTTTCTCTGCAGCCCTCCGAGTTGTCCACAAACAAAGGCAAAAAGGCAAGCGCTGTAGACCAGCTCTTGTGAGCTTGAGTGCCAGACCCAGGCAGCTACGACCGTGATATCATCCTGCTTCCTTAGGTCAAGCATTGATCCCATGAGTTTTACCTAACCTTTTTGCCACAGACCGCCGCCCCCCCTCAGGCCCCGGCCCGCCCAGGCATTCGAAGCCATGGCGCTTCGAGTACTCGACGAAAGGCACCTCTGCTAGTGGCGCTGCACATCTCTCGGAGCACCAAGGGATCAAGATAGGAGAGAGAGAGAGAGCGATATACTGAGAGAGAGAGATAGAGAGAGTTGCAACATGAGGACGAGGAGGAGGAGAGGGCAGGAGGGAAGCGAAGCACACCTTTCTTTGATGCAAGACATGAGAAGTCACGAGAAACGAAAAGAAAACGAAAGAGACCCCGGCCCCACGGGGTGGGGGCCTTGGCGGTGGGGTCCATGGACCGCTCCTGGGCAGCCAGAGCCAGCGCCTTTGCGATGGTCTCAGGAGGCCTCAGACGATCTTCGCCACGCGTTCGCTTTTGTTTTTTGGTGTGGCTTCTCCGGCTACTTGTGTTGGATGTACGTATGGTTGGATATACTCTGGTACCATAAGAACATGTACTATTATTATGTACTTGCTTTATTGCTACCGACTGAAACAGAGACCACACGGAGCTCTGCTCTGGCATGCCATCCGCTTAACTGGACTGAGGAGGACTGAGAAGCTTCAAACCTCAGTCGAAGGAAAAGAACAAATGAACCCGAATTGAACCAAAAACCCTAACTTGAAGCTTCATGGGTACGTATACGTGGAACAAGAGTACCCTGCAAAGATACCCTACTTACAGCTCTACTTAAAAGTACCCCTACACCCTAAACCCTAAACCCACAACCCTAAACCCTAAAACCTAAACCCTAAACCCTAATTCTAGCCCTACTTCTAAGTCATGCCCACGAACCTGGGATTCTTGGTCCCGGGCGTGCTCCTTTGGGGACTTGGGAAGGGGCTTTGGGTTGAGGGAGTCAGGCCTCTCGGCTTCGCCCAAGAAGGCCCCATGCACCCTGAAGGGTTTAGGGTTTAGGGTTTAGGGTTTAGGGTTTAGGGTTTAGGGTTTAGGGTTTAGGGTTAGCCTTAGAGCCCAAGTCACTTAACACCCGCAAACCCAACTGAGGTCTGCTGCGTGCAGCGATCGAGCAGCCCCAGCATGTCCTGGGTGGTGCACGATTGGGCGCATCATGGCTCAACGTCGTGTTTTTCTGCTCTGATGTTGCGCAGGACGACGCCGGCCTCAGTTTTAATCGTGCTTTCTATCGCCCTGACCTCCAAGGCCCTGGCAGCCTGTGCAGGTGGCAAGGCTCGATCAACAATGCTGACGACCTTCGCAGGAAGTGGCGGAGTTGCTTGTGTGCCGACCTGAAGTCTTGCTAATAAGAATGTTAAGAACATTCATACTATTCATAATATTCAGAATATTCAGAGCATTAATAATATTCATAAGATTCAGAATATTAATGAATAATATGAAAAATATTTATAATATTAATAATATTAATAATATTAATAATATTGATAAATATTAATAATATTAATAATATTAATAATAATCATAATATTAATAATATTAATACTATTAATAATATTAATAATATTGATAATATTGATAATATGAATAATATTCACAATATTCATAATATTAATAATATTAATACAATTAATAATATTAATAATATTAATAATATTGATAATATGAATAATATTCACAATATTCATAATATTAATAATATTAATACAATTAATAATATTAATAATATTAAAAATGTTAATATTAATAATATTAACAAATCTTGATTTCGAGGCAAATGTGGAGCCTCCCGATCGTGGAGGTTGTCGCGCAGTCCATCGGAGAACATCAGGACAAGGTCACCCTGTGACACAGCTTGTTCTGCAAAATCACATGCCGACACTAGTCAGCCTTGGGCCCTCGATAAGATACAAGGGTCACATTGCCACAGGCCAGCCTCCTTGACTTCTACTGTGTAACGCTCACCTGAGTCACACAGTGTCCGTCCTCCCTGCTTCACAGCAGCACAGGCAAGGCAAACCACCAGTTCACCGAGGACGCTGCAGTCGCTAGCTTTGTCCAGCTGCAACTTCGGGAATCGGTTCAGCAATGCCTCCGCACCCAAAGTTGAGGCAAAAGAATCCAGGCTCTTGCCCAACAGCAAAAGAAATCTAGGCAACCTGCCTTGGGAAGGCGGGTCAATTGATAGGGGCAGTTCCTGGCACTGAGTTGCTTCGCTGAGAAACCAGTACATAGCACCAAAGGCCCCATGAGACGAAGGGCTGCCATATGTGCCATTGTCTAGGCGTAGGCTGCTTGGAGGTGTTCCGGCCACACTCTGGGGGGTGCACCAGCTGTGCTGCTGTTCCTCCGACTTCATGACGACCTGTCTAGCATTGCAAAAAACACTGAGAGATACTGAGAGAAGTACAAGGAGCTGCGTCTTGCATGGGCCACTGCATTCATTCCATGCGGGCCCTTGCGCAGCAGCATGAAGCCTCAATGTGGGCAATCACGGCTAAGGCAGCTAGGACAGATCCTACCTTGGCGACTCTGGCGAACCCGTGAATCTGCAGATCTCCGAAAGAGGTGCGGGCCAGAGTCTCCAAGATTTGCGACCCCAATCTGGTTTCCTGCGAGATATATATCTGAATATATATATATATATATATGTACACATATGTAGATATATACATACATACATATAATTGCAGTGCATCGGGGAAACGTGGAAGCGTAACACCCCACGGCTTTCAATTCCGCCTTGCTGGCAAAGCACAGAAACGGTAGAGGCCCCGTAAGCCTCAGGACTGGAGCAACACAGCTGCAACAGGGGCAATTGTTGTCTCAGAGCCAGACAGCCGCGTGGGACTCGCCGTGTGCCAACGCCACAGCAGCGCGCTCTGCAACATCGTCACCTGGCCCGTTGAGGCACCCCATGGCCAATGCTGTACGAATCAACAACAGCCTTGAAAGAATCAACAGTCCTCCCTACATGTTCCGCAGGGAGGAGGTTTTCAGCCCCGGAAGGAAGTACATGGAAGGACGCGCACGCTGGTCCACATCTTGCTTTGAAGGAGCCCATCCGTGGCCCAACGCATTGGTGACCAAAAAGACCACATCTTGAAGGAGCCGGGAGCACGAATCTTGAGCTCGGATGCCGTGCCTTCGGGCCTCGGCTGCCGGGCAATGTGCTACGCGTAGGACACTCATGAGATGCTCCCTCTCTCTCTGTCAGATTCTCCCCTCAGATGCTGCGAGGCTTCGGCTTGAGAGCCGCAGACGAGAACTCCATCCTCAGGTCGTTCAGTGAGATGACTTAGGGCTAAAAAGCCTGCAAGGCTTCTCGGATGTAGAAGCTTCGCACAGAAAATCGGAGACAAGGACAGCACAACTCTGCTGCATATTGGGCAGCATTGATCCCATAGCTGGCAAATTGCACCTCGGCCAACCAAGAAATACATGAAGGATGCGAGCAGGTATGCTCTGCCCAGCTAGGGCACAGGGTACTGGTCGTGCAGTGGGAGAAATAGATATCGCTATCTGTAGATAAATATATAGACAAAATCCATCACTGTCGGAAACTCGGAAGTCGCTGATCAAAAACAACTAGCAAGCGCCACGTTCCTTGGTCAGTCAGGCATGGGCCCACACCCATCCCCACAATAACAACCCCCCTCCCCCACCACCCAAAGCCCCCACCAACCTGGCAGCCTAAATGTGCTGAACCTCAGCCTGAGTGGCGTCTGCACGTCGCTAGACAGCCCCCCGGCTCCCATGAATGTGCTGTCAGACTGCTGGGTTCTCACGACATGATGTCCATATACTGCAGTAACATACCCAGGTGGGGCAAGGCTGCGACAGCCCTTAATTGGGGCTGAGCTGTTCAGGAGTTTGGGGCTCCGGCCATGCAGCCGACTCCATCAGCCACACCCATGCCATGCGGATCAACAAAATATGCGTCCTCACCTTGTGGCGTGAGAGCATTGCAACGAGTCAACAAGCACATGGGGACTTGCCATGTACAGCGGCGAGGGGAAAGAAAGCTCGAGCTTGGTCGGGTACAGGCACCATGAGCCTTCTTGATCAGGTGAGCGCCAGCCTCAGCCACTCCCTCTGGCCTCCGCCCGCCCGCAGACTACCCCAACAGCAAGCAACCGCGAACCCAAGCGATGGGCCCACAAGCGAAGCGCGGCTCCTGCACTGGACGTCGACGTTCTGGACTCTCGTGTCTGGTCACTTTAATCTCCCTGTAGTATACACTGTTGTGTGTCAGAATCGCACATCGAGATTCACATGATCACATGTTCCCGCATCCTTCATCCAGCTGATCCTTTCCTTCTGGAGGCGGAGGAACCTCTGGAAGGACCTGCGATGCCACGCTCAAGGCAGGCAAATACTCTACTCCTGGACACTCTTGGTATACTGCTGCATACTCCTGTGCTCTCCTGCAGCTGAAGACTTCCATTGAAGGCATAAGCTCCGCTTAAGCTCAGGACGACCCCATCCAAGCGGAGCATGAGCTCCCGGTCAAACAGACCTGCCACTCTTGCGTCTAACAGCATTTGGGAAGCAAGTGGCAAGCAAAAGGTGGGGATTGCTTGAGCTTCCAGTGGACCTTGAACTGTTTCGATCTTGTTGTTAGAGCCAACTGTCAACTACCTCTGTCCAACTGAAGTGCCGATTCGGCAATTTGTGGCCACTCCTAGCTGCCGCCGATCTCTTTGTGTCAACAATCACCTTTCATAGGTGCTCCGCATCGCACTGATGTCGCCTTCGTACACTTCTTTTGCAAAAGGGTTGAAGGAGTTGCCGCTGTCCTGCACCCAGGATGCGGCAGAGGCCATTCGGCGCGTCGGTTAGCGGCGCTGGTGACGCTAGCGGCATTCGGTCCTGGCCAGCCGCCTCATCATCTGAATCAGCATTGCCAACCAGGTTTCCACCTGGTCTTCGAGTTCACTGAGGTTCACTCAGAGACATACTCAGAGTACCCAACGCGGCGAACTCAGCTCTTGGCACACACTGTACGGGCGAGCGATGTTGTTCTGACCACCGAGTTCCTGATTCCAGGTGTCGGAACATGAGTCTGAGTCATGAGAAAAACCTGGCACTCTAGCCGCCCTGGGAAGTCAGTGAAGTAAGCACCCATACGAGCCCTTGCCTGGAGACCCACAACATCGGCTGTGGAACCGGAGACCACACAGGAATCCATGGCCTGACAGAGTAGCTGTCTCAGCTCTCAGCTCTTCACCGCAACACACAGTGTGTATAAACCAAACTGCAGAGGGCAGGGGCCATGTCACCAATCTTCTTCGAGCGGGTTTTCTCCACGATCCTTGAAAAGGATTCTGAGAGCATTCAAACGAGCATCGCCAGATGGACAGGATGGGCACAAGAAAGGAGGACAACGAATTAAGAGAGCAGAGCAATCCGATCCGGCTGCTCCCAGCACTGACGACATGAATTCGGAGAGCTGTGCTCCAATGCGGGTACTGGGCTTGCGGCGGTGCGTCCTCCGAAAGCCTGTTTGGCGCGCACGGGCTTTGCTTGTGAGCGTGCCCCACATGATCGTGAGTGGGCTGGATGCTTGAGCTTCCCGCTGACCCTTGCTGTCCCGGGCCAGTAAGTAGCGACCTTGCACACGTAAGGTAAGGCGGGCGGCATCATGCGCAAAACAGTCATATCGCTTCCAAGTGCCCAGCGAACTGGATCGCTCACGTGCATCGCATTCCACCTACCAAGCCGCATGTGCTCAGTGGAGACCACATAGACCTTGCCCCGCAAGGGCAGCGCAGCTTTTGACTGTGTCCTATGGAGCCTTCAAAGCCTTGCACTGCCCTGCTGTCTGCTGAGAGGCTGGCCTGGTTCACCCGGAAGTGGAAGAAATGGATGCCAGGAGTCAGGTCCGCAGTACGGACCGCAATGGACCAAGCTGCCTTGGCGTCAGACTGCATGTGATGGAGGTGTCGGAAATCCACAGGCCACGGGCCCACACGCTAACATCTGCTAACATCCCCGATTCTACTCCGTGAAGACTAGTTCTCATGAAGACTTGAGGGCCGAACTTGCTGCTCCTCTGCATCGAAGTTTGCGAGCTCGAGGGTCGCGGGTGGCCGGTTGCTTTTCTCCTTGCTGGAAACCATTGGTGTGTTGGTGTGTTGGTGTGTTGGTGTGTTGGTGTGTTGGTGTGTTGGTGTGTTGGTGTGTTGGTGTGTTGGTTGGTGTGTTGGTGTATTGGTGTATCGGGGTGTGTGTGTGTGTGTGTGTGTGTGTGTGTGTGTGCGCGTGCGCGTGCGTGTGCGTGCGCGCGTGCGCGCGTGCGCGCGTGCGCGTGCCCGTGCGCGTGCGCGTGCGAGTGCGTGCGCGTGCGCGCGCGGCGCGCGCGGGCGGGCGCGGGCGCGGGGCGCGGGCGCGGGCGCGGGCGCGGGGCGCGGGCGCGGGCGCGGGCGCGGGCGCGGGCGCGGGCGCGGCGGGCGCGGCGCGGGCGCGGGCGCGGCCGTGTCGCGTGTGCGTGTGCGTGTGCGTGTGCGTGTGCGTGTGCGTGTGCGTGTGCGTGTGCGTGTGCGTGTGCGTGTGCGTGTGCGTGTGCGTGTGCGTGTGCGTGTGCGTGTGCGTGTGCGTGTGCGTGTGCGTGTGCGTGTGCGTGTGCGTGTGCGTGTGTGTGTGTGTGTGTGTGTGTGTGTGTGTGTGTGTCAGTCAGTCAGTCAGTCAGTCAAATCTCGAGGAACCCAGCGGAACCCAGGCCTGGAACACAACCTCCACCACCAGCTTCTTTGCATCGCTTTCGCTCAAGCCCTTCATCTTGAAATTCAGGCGCTGCCTCGGGGTTTATCTCAAGCATGCAAACCAGAATTCTGTTTCTCGGAGTCTCCTACTTCGTGGGAAGCACAAACTATCTCACGGAAGCTGCGGGTGCCGACTCCTTTGGAGGAGGCCCGGAGTCCTTCCGGCGCCTTGAGGACGCAGTCAGCACAGCACATGCGGCACAGCACGTGCTCGTTGCGGCCACTAGTTGCCCGAAACGCCCCCCGAAATGGCAGCGCCCTGAGGTGGAAACGCCCACTGTTCGGCCAGGAGCGGCTGGTCCATCAACAAACTCAAAGACGTACTGCGCCTGCGAACACTATGCGGGGCAATATAGGGCGGAAGGCAATGCAGCATCATGCAGGTACAGGAAGGACTGCACGAGATGCACATTTGACAGTTGGGCTCCGGCCGCGGGGCATCACCAAAAGCAGCCGTGGTAGTGTGGGGCTGCTTTTTCAGCAGGTGCTCGGTTGCCTCGATTCCAGCCAGCTTCAGCATCCACATACAGTGATACATGTCATACATGTCATCGCATAAATGTCTGCTGGGACCACGTCCTGCCCGAGAATGGGCGCAGCTGCCACTGGAGCTTCGGTTGCCGTGGTTGCGCTGTTCGCGCTGTTTGCGCTGGTTGCGCTGCTTGCGCTGGTTGCAGATGTCTCCGCACCGCTGGTAGAAGCTTTTGGAGGCCTTAGCATCGTGATGTGTGCCTCTCGATAACCCACACCTGTGCCATCTTCCTGCACTAGCTGATACGATATGCCAAAGAAGAAGCACGGGAACATTGAGGCCGGCTCATCATGGCGGCCTTGATGATGTCTGCATCCTCCTTGCCATACTTGCCTTCCGGAAGTCTCTTCGTGGTCGACCCGGCTTGGCCTGTGCAAACAGCTTTGTTTTCATCCGACCCTTCGCCACGCCTTCAGAGCTCTTTAGAACAAGCACGTGAGGAGTCCCGCCTTCGGCCGCAGCTGCCGCTGCTGCAGCCGCCGCCAATGCCTCCCGATCGCTGGTCCTGGATCTCAACAGACGTGTCGGCTGATGACAAGCAAGGTGCAGGGAAGTGACGGAGCGAGGGGAGCAAGAGAGGAAGCTGGAGAGGCGAGGGATGCAGTCATCAAGACTTCATTTCAATGCACATCAACTTTGGCGAAAGCGGATGTCGACATGAAACTGTCTAGGAACAAACAGCCCTTCGGGCTCTGACTTGCAAGAAGATCTTGTCAGGTTGGCAGGAGGGGTACTCCCCTCCCGTCTTTGAAATTGACCCCTCACCAAAGCGAGGGGCATCAGCGAGCTTGACTGCAGATATCGACCTGATTGATCTGCGACGACTTGCATGTTTCCCGCTCCCGCTTCGACGCCGAGGGTCACAAAAGGCAGATCCAGTGCCCAAACTGAAAGGCGCTGGGCCACACTCTACCTGACACACGTTGCAGACACCTGCGCAAGGTCGCTGAGGATTCTTGCAGCAGGCTCCGTGCCACAGCTCTCAAGTTTTTTTGAAATCCCAACCCCTCCATTCTGGAGGAGGATATAAGACATGAACAAAAGCGTACGCCGATGTTTCTCTGTGCAGCAGAACTGGGAAAATTCCGCGGCGGGGCACCGACATTGATTAGCTTAGACTGGGAACCTTTAAACTCAGCTCTTGGCCCAGAAAGTCACATGAAAAGTTGATAATGGCAGGGTTGGTCCTTGGTTCAGGGCATGGCTGAACTGCAAGTCCAACAATGGCTGCAGCAAGCGAACCACAGGGCAGCTTACGACTTACGGCTTACGTACTGGTCTACCTCGTGGGTGATCATGGGTGTCACCAACACCTTGCCAACCAAGCTACAGATTCCTGAAGCAGCGCGCGGACACGGGGCAAGCTATGCGCCGGCGCAACTCCCGAGTCCTTCTTGAAACCACTTCTCTCCCAACAGAGCCTCGGTTGCAAAGGCTAGCTTAGGACGACAAGATGATACAACGGATACAAGATGCCACCTTACATCATGTTGCAACTCATGCTGGGAGTCCCATGTTGCGACATCTGATCTGAGTGCCGCACCTGGGCGGTGGGGCGCATCTGTGGTTCAATCTGCATGCATCGTTGGAGCACATCCTTTCCAGTCGCGGAAATCTCTTTCCAACTGGCTCCCTGGCAGGTGACTGGCTTGGTGACCACAGCTTCCCTGAAGGCGTCCACATTCTTGAAGTCTGCAGCACGCTTTGGAAGCTGACCGGTCATGAGCAGGCACAGGCAGAGTCCTGCTGACCAAATGTCGCCGGCTTTGGCTGTACCCGAACATTCGCGGATGCTCCACGTGGTGAAGTCTCTGAAAAGCTCTGGTGGCCAGTACTCCTGCGTGCCGGTTACTGTGAGAGAGTCTCCCTCAAGCAGCCTTCCTGCCACGTTGAAATCAATTAGCCGAAGGTCATCGAAGTTTGCGCTGACCAGCCTGAAAGCCAAACTGGGAGACACACAGAACCCAAACAGCCCGGTTCTTCCTAAAGAGAAACAGGCACAGCGATTCTATATCCTCTTGCAAGGAGCACGTTGTCACCTTTGATGTCCCTGTGGATGATATGCCGGGCATGGAGGTACTCTACAGCGCTTAACAGCATCTGGAAGACCCTACGTGCCCGCTCCTCCGTGAGACCTCCGGTCTTCACACAGGATGTTCGGACCGCCTTGGTCAAAGTCTCCCCGGCAAAGTATTCTAGAACAATGATGGCCTGATTGAAGTCGGAGAAATAGTCGATGGCCTTAATGATGTACGGATGATTGAGAGAACTCAGCGTCTCATACTCTCGCTTGACGATCTGCCCCATCTCCTCAGCACCAGCTTGAGGCTGCGCAGTTTGGGGGCTTAAGGGCTTGTTCCGGGGGGCATGTTCACGAAGTCAAGGCAACTAAGTGGCCTCATCATCCACTCGCAGCATCTTCAACGCCACCTGCTTCCCGTCGGACTTACGCCGTCCTCTGTGGACGACACCCATGCAGCCTTGGCCGATGGACTCCTGCACATCGTAGAGCTGCCTGGTTTGAAGCTGCCTATTTTTTGGGGGAGGGTGGGGGTTCCGAGATTGGGGGGTGTCTAGAACTCCAACAAGTCCCGATGGTAGAAGGGGGCCTTTGAGGGTTCAGGCAATGCTGTGGCTCACCTGGGGCGGAGGCCGTTCGCGAAGTGATGAAGCTAGATCTCTTCTTGTTGTTTTTCTTGGTGCTTGTTTTGGTAGCTGCTGCTGGTTGCGTTTGCGTTTGCTTGTTGCTGTTGTTGTGTCAGGGCCTATTGCATATCGTCGATCTTTGCGTGTCTAAACAATATGTCAAATTAAAGAGTATATCTCCAAAGTGTATCTGATGAATGTGCCACGCTGCTTGAGAGACGCATTCATTGTCATCTCGTGTCGTTCCAGTTCCAGCTTTGACCTCGTGTTCTGAAGCACGAGCTTGTTGGCCAGCTGGCGCCGCCACTGCAAGCCCTGCCACATCAAAGGGACTAAGGAACTCGGTTCCGGCACTCTTACCTCTTAATCCTCTTGCACGGCTGAAGAAACACACTTGGACTCTACAGAATCAGAAGAAACTGCGAAAGGCAGGCTGTCACAAACTGATGGTCTGCACGAGTTGTCTACGAAGGTGGCTCGCGCTTCCTGTCCTGCCTTCAGCGCACGAACTCTAGTTGGGCCCCTGTCTGTCTTTTGGTTGATGCCGCTTGTTTGCGCCACAAGACATTGAGGAGCAAGGCCCTTTCTTCCGGAACGTGTCAATTCTGGCTCTGCTGTTCCTGGAGTAAAGACCCCAAACCTTTGTAACCGTAACCCCAAATTGATGAACAACTACTTGCCTCGAACACTTAAGTCTCTCTTCAGAATTCTCTGCCGGGATGGGGCGTGGGAGATTGGTGCCCGGAGATCTAGAGAATCAGCAAAGTTAACGACGGGCCCGTTGGGCCAAAATCGAACATCGAACTAACAACCCCGGTATGTAGGCCTTCGGCTTGGGTTTGAAGTCTGCCAGAGGCTCCATAGGGCCAGGAGGGGGCTCCGTGACGGCACGATCCCATCCTGTTGGCACATCGAATATGGCCGCCTTGGCTTTCCGGGCGCAGGCAACGTCTAGGGTTTTGGGTGTTTTTGAGTCTCGAATTCTTCGAGACAGTCAGCGTCTCTACCTTGTCACTAATAACCTGCTGGTGGAGGGAGGCTTGGTACATGACAACTCACGCCGACGTGACTCCGCACAGGTACCTTGCAAAAGGAAAGCTTGATGGAGCTATCCAGCGCGCGAAATTAACTACACCTACATCTACCTACCATTGAGGTCTGGATGCATCCCAACATTCATCTGACATCACTGCTTCCATGGCCATCTCGGCCATCGCGCAGAAGGGAGTCGCCAATTCGGCCGTCAACACTACTTGTAGTACTTATCGGCTGTTGCGGCAAATGCTGAGAAAGATGGTTTTGCAAAAGGGTATATAATTGTTCATTGTTACCGTGCTCCAGCAACCTTGGACACCATACAGCAACGGTCCGGCCCCACAGTGCACATGACCCCAGAACCTGCAAAACAGCACGGTAGAGTTGTGAATCAGAAACCCTAAAACACCGAAAAAGAAATATAAAAACAAAAAACTAAACACCCTAAACCCGAACTCGTTAACACCGTGAAGCTGGCAGCTGGCCTGAGCGGTTGTGTTTGGCAGTGGCTGTTGCCCCACTCACAGAGTGCCTGCCATGCAGCAGCAGCAGCAGCAGCAGCAGCAGCAAGCAGCAAGCAGCAGGAAGCAGCAGCAAGCAGCAGCAAGCAGGTGCACCAGCACCAGCAACGACAGCAGCGACAGCGGCCACAAACAACGGCAAGAACAACAGCAACGCTAAGGTGGCCAATGGCAACCCCCGCGCAGACCTGCCATGGACCCACATCCGCCCCCTGGGGTAAGCCTGCAGCTGGCAGCGAGCAGCTGCAGTGTAATGAAGGAGCAAGACACATGTTGCCATTGAGTGATACTAGTAGGGGTGCATCCTATGCTGCGTGTCACGCGTGTGAAGACCTTAAACTCACCAAGGCCTCTAGTAACTAGTAGCTAGTAGTGACAATCTCGCAATCCCATCAGACCGCAGAAGCCGCAGGGCGCCCCTCGCCCTGGAGCCTCCCTGCAAGGCAGTGACTGGGTTGACTTTGACTGGGTGTCCTGCGAACTTGCCGGTTGCCTGATGTCTCCCAGTCCTGCCAGGGAGAAACAGCATGTCTGGAAGCATCAGGAAGGACACATTCAGCAGGAGCTCTAAAAAGCTTAGGTATAAGCTGAAGAATCACTGGAGAAGGGTTTGGCCTTTGCGCCGCCTGCCCTGTGGATCGCCAACTTGAACTCGATGGTGCCTCGGCGAAGCCACACGAGGCCACACGAGGCCACAAGCTCCTTCAATGTTTATCGAAGTGCCTCTGACCTCTGACTTCACTTCGCTTCACTTGATCTCACTTTGAAGAGCCTCAACTCAGGCCTGCACCAACATCACAGCTCTTCACATGCACCATCCCCATCCAACGCGGGAACCTGGACCATGCAGAAAGGGTGGGAGGAGAATGCAAGAGAATGCAAGTGCATGTCTCGCGTATCAAACCCCCAAGTCTCAGCTCCTGACACCTCTCCCGACGTGCACAGTTTGAGTCCTTTCACACAAGCTCTTGGCCGGAACAAGACTGCTGGAAAGCGAGACAAGAGGGCCTCTGTCGACTTCCCAGTTTCCCAACCTGGTGGAACATCACGGGCAAGAGCCCGGAAGCAAGGCCCCAAGCGCACTCGCCGAACTTCATTGCAGCTGAGAGACTCGATGCATGAACCCACTGCAACAACAATGTCTCCGACCCCAGTGATGCCACAAACCTTGCTACAAAAGGAAAGATCTAGAGAAGGGCTCGGGGCAGGGGCGGGGGGCAGGGGCGGGGGGGGCAGGGGTGGGCAGGGGCCCCGTGGCTGCTCGCTGCTGAACTCCACGTAGCGCGTACGGGAAGGTTTGGCCACCGCGGGGCTAAGACTTCTGTGGATTTGGGAGGTTAAATGATCATGACAACACTACAACAGCTGCAAGGCTCCAAGGAGCCAGTCGTGACATCCGTGTACCCGAGAACTCAAAGACATCTTCTTGCTGAACATAGCTCTCTGCCTAGCTCGGGCTCGCGCTGCATCGAAATGAAGCTCATCCAGGAAGCCTTCGAACGCCGGGCAGTCGGATAGAATGAAGACAAGAAGATGACGATTCCTTTTTCATTGCTGAGTTCCAGGCTGCCGGAGGCGTTGCTCGTCTTTGCTTTGGGTGTAATGGGAATTGGCACAGCCTGCGTCAGCCCCAATCTGCTTGCTGCGCACTGCTTTTCAAGGGCCGGGGAAACTCGACAGTCCGGATTCTTGGGCCATTGCATACGCGTCAGCATCATCAGCAGAGAAGCTTGTCTTCCGGCTCCTTCCGCTTGCATACCTCCGAAACAGAAACAACTCTCTCACTCTCCCCTTGTCCGAGCAAGGAGCCCAGGGGAGCTCCCCAACAAACCCCTTCGGGGAGCCCCAGGGCAGCCCTGAAGGCGCACCGAGGACCGTAGCCGTCGATCACCCCAAACAAGGGGGTGTGGCCCCTCCAATCGCAGAGGTGTCGGAGCATTCCAACATCGACTTGCCAGGGCTCAAGACCCAAGAGCCTCTATAAGACCCTTAAGGCCGCGGCTCTGCTGGTCCCGACTTTGTGATGATCTCTCCGCTCGCGTCGAAGCCGTAAAAGCGATTGCCACCTGCCACGGAGGCAGCGTGCAGCTGGCGGATTCTTGTGTCGTCCTGAAGCCTAGGGCCGCGACCACCTTCCCAGGTCGCACTGTTATCCTTGGGGTCGTAGATCACAAACTTGTATTCCTAAGTCCAAGCAGCGCAGGCAAGGGTAGATCACGCCCACTCGTACTTTAGCACCATCAGACATGGCAGCCCCTTGCGTGCCAGAAGATGCCAGCAAGTGTCTGTGTTGCATTCCTGCAAAAGACACACACACACACACACAGCCAAGACACAGCAACGAATTCTAACGGTCGATGAATGGTCAACTGTGCCTGACAGTCAACGCTTCCCGACCATTTCGGGTACTCATGGGCCTGCGCGCATACGCTCAGGGATATGCTGTCTATGGTTGGGCTTAGCCCGCTTACTACACGCGGACATCCAGCAGGGATTGCGCAGCTAAAGATGTGAGCCAAAGGCATCGAAGTAGACACAGACAGTGCTGTTTCAATGGGACAGAGAAAACGAGACAGAGAGTGTCTGCGAGAGAGGTGTCTACCCCATGCATGGAATGGCATAGAAGAGAGAGAGAGAGAGAGGTCCGAGAGAGAGGTGTCTTCCCCCATCGGAGCGCAAAAAACCATAGAAAATCGATCGAAGTTGCAATGTGCCATGCACACTAGCAAGCATGTGTCACACGAGCGTCCTCAACTTCGACGGTTGGGACGGAAAAGGTTCTGTTCGAGGGGGTGACGAAAAAGAAGCCCTTTGGGGGCGACTGCTATGTGCTGTGAGGTTGGAACATGCTCGCCTGTCTTTGGGCTGCATACACCTGAAACTTTGTACATGAACGCTCTCAATGCGCAGCTGCGGGCAAAAACCGCTGCTCATCGTTGCGCAAGGGAGACCGGCTGGCTAGCCTCCCACACCACTCAACTTGTTCTTGGCCCACTGACTGAAAACATCAACTACGCGGCAATCTGCGACCAAGTTGCAAAACCTAGCGAGTCCTGCAAGTCAGGGAGGTAAGGAGAATCTACGACAAAGCTGATCAAACAGCAACTCTGTCCCTTTCGCTCTCTGCACACATGGCCCCCCGCCAATAAGTGCGCGCAAGTCCCAGGCGCCTCTGTCTCTCTCTTCTTATTCTTCTTTTCTGCTTATTCTTCTTCTTCTTACCAGCGAAGAAGGCCCCCCTATCGAAGCATGTTGAGCACATTTGGACCAACCACACTAGACAACTATCGCGGTACCAGGTCGTACCAGGTGTTGGTAGAATTGTCAGGATGCTCGAGAGGCGAAGCACATCTAGCAGGTACTCATCTCTTTACATTCTGGCCTTTGGGCCTGCTGGTTTGCACTCCGTATGCACTGTCCGTTACTCCGTTGTTCCACATGGCTCCTACACGGGGAGATTTCAACGGACATCAATCGGTCCTCGTACTCCTTGGGGCTCATGATCCGCCACTGACCTTCTCCGCGTAACTCCTACGCTCCCAACGATGCGATGCTGACAAGGCTGACAAGATGTGTCGACAAGGGCCGCAAGACCGCTTGATACAACTGCTTCAAGTCTACTATTCGTCTGCTCAAAAGAGCTCCAGAATAAGGTCGTGGTATTCGACCAGGCTGGGCCGGTGACCCACTGAGACGTATCCTGACTCGGCAATCTTCATTCTCTGCACGGAGCTGTCAAAAGAGTGCAGAAACCCTAAGCCCTCATGAAGATCATGGCCTATGCCACGGTCTTCCAGAGATTTGTAGAGGTTGCGCTCGTCGGGAACTGGCAGTGCAGAGGTTGCTTCATCCAAGACCACCATCCTGTCAGAAGAGTACTATTGCAGCCAGCTTTGCCGCATTCCTGCTCTGCCGACCATCACAGCTTATATTCTATACATCATATACATGTGTACACCATTACGCATCATGAGTCCCAGCAATTGTCCCAGTAGCTGTCCTTCGCTGATATTTCGCCTCCAACAACAAAGTACTGGTTGTTGTCTCGTTGCTGAAAAGTCTCTGGCGCTAATCACAGGACCCCAGACTCGTCCTGACCCCGTCTACTCAACACGACCCATTTCGGCGTTTAAGGCCGGCATCAAAGATTATCATGAAAAGCCTTGCTGGAAATCTTGGAATCTTGGAGATCCTAGGCGGTTTAGGGTTTAGGGTTGAGAGTTTAGGGTTGAGGGTTTAGGGTCAAACAAGATCCAGTTTCGCTTTGAGAGGGTCTGGGATCCTGGATCCCGTGTTAGGTTGACAACGCGCCTGGGATCTAAGACGCGGGATCCAAGATCCCCCAAAGCGCCGATACATACATACATACATACATACATACATACATACATACATACATACATACATACATACATACATACATACATACATACATACATACATAATACATACGTATATATATATATATATATCATATGTACGCATGCATGTGTGCGCGTGATGTGCCATGACATGATGTGGCACGAGATGTGCAGCGCAGGCAGCTCGCAAAGCTGGGCCCACACTCGGCCTCGGCTTCGCGATGAGGCAGCGCGCTGCTGCCAGGCGCTGCTGCTCTCCGAGTGAAAGCACTCGAGTCCAGTCGACCACCTTACAGGGTCTTTTGGGTTTAGGACTGTTTAGGAAGTTTAGGGGTTAGGGTCTACTGTTCAGGGGTGTGCCAGGATACATGGCATGAAGCCCCCCCCCATCCTGCAGCAACACTCCACAAAATCACAGACAGCTGTTGCGCCAAGCAGCCGTCTCGAAGCCCTGCTCAAACCGGCTTGGCAGGTCTCCAAGACCGAATCTGCCTCGGCCAAGCTTTGCAAGCAGCTCGCTTTTTCCGCCAAGGACAAGTCTTGGCTGGTCAGCTAAACCACAGTAAGGATTCCCTCGCCCAAGTGGCCAAGCACCTGCCTCAGAACATCATCGTCAACTGCCTCAGAATTTGTATGTTAATCAGCAAAGTCCATGCATCTAAAGATGACCGGGCATGTGGCCCAAGCATTCTGCACAAGAATGAGCGAGGAGCCGTCGCGCCAGGCTCGGACGGATACAGTAGCTGAGACCGCAAATCTCCAAGGGGCCTTGATGGGAGAACCCAGCACGGACAGATGCAATTAAAGCCACACTCGCTTAAGTCATCCAAGATTCATGTACGGCTTCTGAGGGAGGAAGAACATCTCGGACATCTGGGGCCGGCGAATGCTGCCTCGACCTCTGAGAAGCTCACAATATTGTTGGCAGAACCGTTTGTTCCGCTTGCTGTTCCTTCTGACCATGGGCCTTGGGTCCAAAGCCCAGCAATGGCGCGGAGAATGCTGCTCTTGCCAACGCCGCTGCTGCCTGGATTCGGAGGAGAGGAAACCGACCAAAAACAAGCTTTGATTTGACTTAGGGCATCAAAAACGACAGCGTCACAAGTGGAATGCTAGAGAACGCGCTAGACTCTGCTAGACCAAAGACAAGAAACCGACGACCAAGAGCCGGCTCGGCAGCTCCATCGATCCGCCAGTTGGCACGCTGAGATTGATGCTCACGTCCTTCACAAGCGTTCCTGAAGCACATGCGCTCAACATCATTCAGCATCGCTCAACACCGACAGCGTAAATTCGACGTAGATCCCATCCCTCATCACCTGGATCTGTGCCAAGTCAACTACACATCAAGAGCCGGATGGCACCAAGCTTCTACCAGTTGGCGTCCAAATCGTAACCTTCTCCAGTGCAATCTGCTCGCTGTCGCTGTCGTGAGTGTGGGTCGCAATCCTGCATCGACTCCCGATTGAAGTGCCACTTAGACGATCGTTGACGTCGGGATATGCTTGCAACGAGTCACATGATGCTGATATCGGTGATGCTGCAATGCTCTGAGCTACACGGAGACAAGCAAACAGAAAAGAATCACCGAGCATGGAGTCAGCGCAGTCCTGGCATCTCCCGAAGATTCTTCAAAGAACTCCTTGCGGGACAAGGCAATCGCTTCGTAGAACATGCCCAAGCGATTGACGCCCGCGGAGAATCGGCTGATGTCCTGCGAGGGGCTCAGAATGGTTTCGTGTTGTCCTTCAAGATTCCAGCTCTTGCAAAGCATGCGATACGGCAGGATGCAACTTACAACTTACAACGCCTGAATTCGGTTCACGATGATGGTGACCGAGCCTAAGCTGACACATGACGCAAGACATGACGCAAGATCCCCAAAACAGCAAAGGCGCAACCTTAAATCCTAAACCCCAAACCGTTTTTGCAGGCCGGGCTCTGAGCACCATGGAGAAGGCGAAGGACACCTGCCCGAAAGTGCCGAAGTCCACTTTGCCTGCAAAGTAGAGGCCGCCCACGACGAAGTAGGGCACCAGACGGGCGACCTACGGCATTGCGAAACAGCATGTGGGCATTTCCCAAGATAGGGGGGGTACCCCTTTCATACCCCTAAATAGAATAGAACCCCCTTATAGGGACCCCCAAAAAGGGTACACCTATTTTCGGAAACCTCCATGTAGTCTGCAGTGACACTGACAGCTGTGGTGGGGACTCTGCGCTGCACAAAGTAGCACAACAACTGTCAGCACGGAATACAGGCGGCCCAGGCGCGTAGAAGAAGACCTTTTGATAAAAGGTCAAGCCTGTAGTCCACTGGATCACCTTGTCGTAGTTCTGCACAGCCGCTCTCAGCTTGTCCTGACAAGTCGTCTCAGTCCCAAGCAGGTCCAGCATTCTATCCCATCCCACTCCTTCTGCGCTGCAGAGCTTGTCTGCTTTACTTGAAAACGGTCCTTGACAACATCACTCTCTTTCTGCTCACCCTGGTAGAAGGCGATGGCTTCGGCATTGTCGCGCACATGAACTAGAGAATAACGGAAATCTGCTTGCAACTGCAACTGCTTGTAGTTGATTCCGATGAGGGTGCTGCCAACAGACAGCGCGATCCTCGCAGTTTGTGCTCACAAGCATCAGGATGCATCAGGGAGGTGCTTCTTGCTCATGTGCTTTTGACAACACCCCGTGTCAGTCTTCAAACTTGCTCAAACCTTGCCGGGGGACACCGTCCCAAGGGCGGCATACACGACGAGAGCATAAGTGAGCTGCTCCGACGTCGTCCAGAGAATGGCCGCAAACGATAGGAGGTTGGAGAACGATCCGAGGATGTCAAGAAGGAAGCCAAGGGTCTCGCTGGTGAAGGCATCCTGAGCATGAAAAAAGATTTTTTGCTAAAAAAACACGAGACATTGGCAAACTATACTGGGCATGTGCGCGCTAAAAGTGTTAAAGGTGTTGTCAAAACTCCAAGAAGCCCCTGAATTATATAAGCCCCGGAACTGGTGGCACGCAAGTCTGGAGGGGCTTCTTGATCATCATGAGGATTTTGGCTTGAAGGGTTTTAGGATTTTGGGTGCAGGATTTGGCGGAACAGATTCGGGCAAGGCGCTATGTCTTCTGAGATTCGCTGATCTGGATTGTCTATCTTCGTACTCGTTGAGTTGGAGTCCAAAAGATAGTATGCTCGGTGCGCAAAGTACTCATCCAGGATCATGACGCTCAAGTTCTGACGCCACGCGTTTGCCAGGCTCATCCGCACGAACCGGTAAAAAGCAATCGTGGGGACAGCAACCACTAGGACGACGATGAAGAGCTGCAACTGCGTGTAGAAGGCGGACTCGTTCTTCGCAACGAGCACGTTGTCCAAAGAGCGGAACACAAAGCTGACAACAACATTGATGCCCGTAACGCACAGCAGCAAAAAGATCAAGAGCGCCAGAAGGCCCCATTGCTTCCAGCGGTCAGCAAGCTCCTCCCTGCGACTGAGAAATAAAGCGCCGGAAGCCGCGATCCCCGCGGTCGCCACCCCCATGTATGGCGGAATTGCTAATTCCGCCAACTTGGCGGCCACGCCTGGGGGGACCAGCAGGTATGCTTCAAAAATCAGCCTAATAAGTGCAAAAGCACGAAGCACACAGAAAACAAGTGCCCAAAAGAAGCTTTTTTCAGGCTCCATGCCTGGAGCTGGAGCGAGAGCGGCCAAGAAGGGGATGTTGCTCACAACGCCAAGAAGGCCCAGGAAGAGCAGAAAGGAGGCGGAGACCACTCCCACCACCATGGCGGCCAACAGGAGGCCGAAGCCACCGTTGGGAGCAAAATATGGCTCCTGAGCTTGTGAAACTGCTCAAAGACTCAAAGCGACTCAGTAATACAGGACATCCATGGCCGCTCCCTGCATGGGGCCTGGCGCTGCAGCGCGTCACATCCTCCCATGCAGGCGAGGGTCAGCGATCTCCGCAAAGCGTTTTCCCAAGGTAGCGTCAAAGCCGAAGCTGACGCCCTCCTTTGTGTCCTTTGTGTCCTGGCCATCGCTCTTCATGAAATGTCTTGCCACCCGACGATGCCGGCTGCTGCGAGACACAACCCAGATAGCCAGCAGACTAGCAGGCGCAGAGAAACTGCCATGATGTCGAGAAAAGTCCCTGACATGGGTGCAACAGTGGTTGCGTGGGCTTCAGATGGCTTCAGTATGCTACACAAGTTGCCACTCGGCACGCAGTGCATGGCACATCAACACGCCAAGGTGCCACCTAAACCGCGGGGATGCGAGGGTCGTACCCTCTGACGGGATGACCGGGCTCAGAGGCTTGCCGTGTGCAGTCACCGTGGCCGTGGCTGCCATAGCTGCCATGGCCTATGATCCGGAAATGGGGCAGGGCTTGGTGGGAAAGAAGGAATATCATTCATGAATGGTACGGATTGACTCTAGACTCTCGCACTTTGCCACACTCGTCGATGTGCCGTGGAGCTTGCTGTGGGAAACCCTTGAGCCAGAGCAGCACGATTCAAAAGCATCAAGGGATGTCATGTGGGATGTTCCCCCTTATACGAACAGTCCTCAAGAGGGATTATAATAGGGGGTACTATAACCCCGATTAAGGACTGTTAGTAACGTGTAAGGGGGGAACTTCCCAAGCTGTCAGTGTCATGTCATGTCGTGGACGCTCAGGCTGGGAAGGCGCTGCCTCCGTCTTTAACGAGGGAGCCAAGGCAGGGTTCCAGTTGCCAAGCCTCGCATCGGCAAAGTACGGCATCCCAAAAGGGGGAGCCGGGGAGCCTCTATTGTTTTTTTATTATTTCTATTTTCAGAACTATCAGAACCTCTTGCCTGACACACAAGAACAGGCCGGTGGTGCTCGCTGGTCGCCCCGACAACACGAACCTCTTTGCCAAAGGTAGTCTCTGCTCGGACGTTGAACGCCTCAGTGTGTTACTGGTCGCACCTTGCCAATGCCGAACCCTAGAGCTCGGAGGATCCCGAAGGTTTCAGAGGCCAGCCACGCAGGAGCAGCAGCAGCAATAGCTTAACAGTTTTACCGTCGGGTGTGTACGTGCTAAAGGGAAGGGGAGCTACAAAGCATTCCAAGTGCGAACCGTGTCACCAACAAGTGCAGTTTGTTGTCGCCCATCGCAAGCCTCAGTGGCATCCAAGGTGGAATGACATCCAAGCTGACAATGATTGCGACTCGGGCTCGAGCAACGAAAAAATCAACAGGTATTTCACGAGAATGTCAATCAAGAAAACGATGCCGAAGATGCTAGAATCACATCAAGCTGTGGGCCAGAGAATGGCAAGGGCGAGGAATAGAATCAACGTCTTTTCAAGACGTTGACGACTGGCCATCACGACATGCACACACCACGCGAAGCCCTCTTGCTTCTTCTATAGAGCATTTTCGCACGTTTCTGGGGCCCTCGTAGTCGTCCCCTGGGGTGAAACCGAGCTTTAAAAGCAGCCGTGCTTTAGCACAGGTCTTCGGTGACCCCTTTCTCTTTGACACTTACGATCTTGACTCCCAAGCTCCTGCAGCAAAGGGAGGGAGAGAGAGAGAGAGAGAAAGACACAGAGAAAGAGAAAGAGAAAGAGAAAGACACAGAGAAAGACACAGAGAAAGACACAGAGACAGAGGGTGGACTGCTGGACTGTGGGCAGATCTTGACAGGCACTAGCTCACTGCGCTGGATGGATGAAACTGAGGGTCGGGTTCTGAGATTAACCCTCCGCAGGGCACTTCTGATCTCAAAGCATACCAGGGGCTCACTTATGTGTGTGCAAAGCGCTCAACTTGCAAGTATGGCTATGCGGCGGCAGATGAGCTGGGCATGCCAGAACACCCTAACTCGCGGAACAATACCAGAGCGAGACTCTCTTCGGACTCCTGTATCTCTCCTCCAAACCTCTGGCTTGTATCAGCTCCTGAACATGTCTTTGCTTCGGCAATGCTCAAACCCCATGACGGGATGGCCAGCCTTCTTGCGCGTCTCAGCTAACTTTTGCTGCTGCAGCCTGTCCACAGCACATGATACTCTGCTGATCATCGAATAAACCCACGGCTCTCTTATCAGAGTCGAATGAGAGTCCTGATTCTTTGCATATGTGCGAAGCTCTCGGGCCTGCTTGCCCGCTGTTCTTCCACCTGCTTGACGGAAGAGCGCGGCATCAAAATCTTCACAAAGGGCAGTTGCAAGCATCGGCGGCACGAGGGGACTAGGGGGTTCTGCTGCTGGTTCGGCCTTTTGCTTGTGCGCATAAAACTCTGCCTGGCGCCGTGGTTGAGCCAGCAGAAGGAACAATAGCAATTGCAACTTGGCTCAAGTCTGATCTCGAGTCTAGAGTCTAGAGTCTAGCCTGCCGCTCTACATCGGAATCGCAGCTGCGGTGGGAGAGATTTCCTCGCTGCTGCTCCTCTCACCACTTAGGAACCGTCGACAATGCCAGCATCTTGGATATCGCTATGTCACTTGCCACATCAACATCACCCAGAATTCTCCTCTACTGCATGCCTATATTAAGGCCCTGTATGCCTCCTTCAAGGTCATGGCTTTCCATTGTGGATGGCATTGCATCACCCGTGCGTCGGAGCACGAAGTGGTCGCGACACGTACTCAGCTCCTCTGCAGAAATGACGTCGTTCCCCGAGTCTACCTGGCTGCCATTTTTTAGCCTAGAATCCGAGAACAGACATTGAGCCCTCAACGACGTGATGCAAGACGATGTAAGACAGGCCACCATGTAGGTGAACTCCTTCAATGGGGCATCCTTTGGAGTGCAGAGGCGGAGGGTGTGTGAAGCTTTCGATATCCACTCGTGCGACCTTTGTACCATGCTGGGCCACGCGCAGGATCCACTTCCTGCCCCATCGGCACGGCAGATTCCAGATGGCACAGCGAGAGCAGAGACGAGGAACGAGCACACCCACAACAAGAGGCTGAGGTGGGGTGGGGGAGGTGAAAGATTGCAATCATGGAAAAAAGCAACAAAAGCAGCTACAGTAGCTTTGGTGACGGCCCGTCCTGATCCCAGCATTCGAATATGTGGCTGTTGTCAGAGGGATGCTGCATCCTCTGCTCGCAGCCTCAGAACGTGACCACCTGCTCAACACTTGCCAAGTTTCCAGGCGAAGACAGGACGTCGCAAGCCCCGGGCAATTGGCGAGTCCCGGCGCTTCGCTTAGCGACTGCAGCGCAGAGACCGGCCTTAAGCTCCACAGGCGCACAACGCACGCAACATTGTGCCGGCTCCGAGGCTTGCTGTAGGTTCCCGGACTTGAAGATATCAACTTTTGGACAGTCTGCTATCCTGCACAAAAGGAGCACAGAGCGGATCGTGCCTTCTCCCTTGCCGAGAAGTCTGAGTTTGCGTAAGTGGTCTCTGGAACCTAAACATCGGATTTCTGCCTGCAGGGAGGAGCTTGTGCGCATGGCGTGGCACCCATTGATGTTTACAACATCCAATACACGACGCGCAATTCAAGTCTGCAAAAAACTTATGCTTGGTGCGGCATTTTGTGAAGACAGTGAATATTGGTAGCAAGCACCGAGATCGGCTAGGCAAAAAGCAACAGCCATCTTTCAAAGTTACTGAGTTTCATGCAGGCTCAGAAAGTTGCTCCTGCGCGAGTATAAGCCTTTCTCGAATCCACAACGCTAGCAAGATCCAGCAAGCGAAGGCTTGAGCATTCTGTTGGCAGCACAGCACAGCATGCAAACAATGCCGCTCAAACTGACACGTGTGAACCATCCTGAACCATCTATGAACCATCTATGAACCATCTATGAACCATCTATGTGCTGTCAGCACAGAAACGACGGGAACTTTCCACGTTAAGCGCGGTGAGACCTTCGTTCGAGCACGACGGTTGCTTTGCACCCGCAGTCCCGGATCCCCGTCAATGCAACTTTGGTCTGCGTAAGAGTGAAGATGTGTGAAGTATAGCGGGTAGCCATGGTAGCCATTGCGACAGGGCTCACCTACGTGAGATCCAAACACAGGGCCGCTTCAGGGCCCAGCTGTCGCTGAAGCCTTACATGTGGTCATGCTTCTGTGGTGCGAGTTGTTAGTATCTCGTCTTCTCCAATGCGTCAGGATGCTGAGCAGCATGCAGAGGGACAGGTGAAACTTTGTGTGCTGTCTCGCGATTGTTCATGCTTGCAAGGAACAACTCCCAACATCACCTGTGTCAGCTAACTAAGCTGTTCAAGACAACACTGAAGGCACCGTGCCCGGTCTTATGGCAGCAGTTTTCCACCAAGACCTCGGCACTACCAATTGCGTCCTCACTCCTGCACTCGTTTTCGAAAATCTCGAAGCTCCTCTTCCGGCCAGGCGGTTAGCGGCACAAGGATTACAAAGCTGCGCTGGCAGTCAGACAGTGACAAGTCACATCCTTGATGAGAGGGATGACGTTCTTGCCCTCTGCGGAATACTCCCGAATGATTTTCTGGCGCCAGCGCTTTGGTTTGCAGCAGAATGCTGACCGGGTCGCAACATTTATGTCATGTGGAAGAGAGAGAAGCACCGGGCCTCTGCATACGCGTGAAACTCGAGCGTGTCTGCCTCACGATTCAGAAGCCTGTTGTCAAAGCTTTGCTGAGCTTCGGCAGTGGCAAGGCACCTCCATGACTTTGCTGGCATGCTCTGCCACGCCTTTGTCAGAGTGCTTCTCCTGACGGCTCTTGGCATGCGTCGCATGGCTGAGATACTCTTAGGTTTCTTGACTTTTCACCTTAAAAAACACAAACGTGTGTGCACGCGCGTGCACATATTCCCACGCACTCTGCTGGCATTTGCAACGATGGTCTGCTTGCGTGGAGGACATGCTGCGGATGGAAAACTCGTACTATCATGAACGCGATGGATGTGCTGGTACTGGTCGCACGATGGTTCACATCTGGGTGCCAAGTCAAGCAGGCAGCAAGTCAGGGGTTGCTTGATGTCACTTGCGCAGACCTCGAACTTCTTCCGCCGAGACAGCTCAACCTGAGAAAGCAGGCACCACCTGCGCATTCCTGCGTGGCATCCCTTTGAAAGAAGATCTGGGGCAAGTTTGAAGCTTGCAGCAAGCCGCAACAGACTGTAACATGCTGATCAGCGCAGGAGGCTGGAACGCCAACAACTCGGGACAGGACCTGCTTCAGGTGCTCCTGTACTCGATGTCGTCTAAGCAGTCGCAAGACACTGCAAGCTAGTGGCTAGAGCGGCTGGAAGAGCTCACCAAACAGGAGCTCACTAAGCAGGACTGGGAGTTTTTCGGGCAGTCCTGTGCCAGCTTACGAGCTGCCGCATCCTTGAGGATGTTCTCCTCCTGCTCCTCGGGACGGCGTTCCACGTCGGAGTAGCGACACATGCTTTCAACCATGAGAAGGAGGCGAGAAGCGCGAGAGGCAGGGAAGGAGAGGGAGCAGGCAAGCGGGGAGTGAGCCAGCGTCCAGGACCAGGAGGGCTGTGAAATCAAAGATCCCTCCAAGCCCCTATCATATTCGCATGAATGTCCTGCTTGTCGAGCACCTTGCACCACTCCGCCAGAAATTTGGCAGTCTCATGGTCTTCTGCCTTTTCCTGGATTGTGGAAGAAGGAAGCTGTAACAAAGAGGAGCTGAGCACGTTGGTACCCACAAACACGAGTCGCAGCCACTATGACAAGCATGCAGAAAAGGACACCTTGATTCAGAACAACTTAGAGCACCCCCCCCCCCCAACCCACACGTCTGCTGCCCCTCTGGCCAGGTGGCTCGGGCGCGGGTATTCTGCTTGCGCTCGATCTGCGCCTCAGCGGAAGAGAAGAAGAAAATCTGAGCTCTGCACCGAGAGGCCGAAGGAAGCCGAAGGAAGCCGAAGGAAGCCGAAGGCCCCGGCTTGCCGGCTGTTCTGAATGTCCTCCTCCCACCTCTTCGAGAGGGGAGAGAGATGTACTTGTAAAAAGGCCACTCAGCCCTCCTGTCACGGGCTTTGGGGGCCTTCTCATCATCTCTAACTTGTCAAGCCGCTTCTTCTCATCCGCAGCCTGCAGGTTCACAGGACTGAGTCGAGTGAAGCCATGAATAGTATTAGTACTATTAGTCTTCTTATTTTGTACTTGTTAATTAACCTGTCCTCCTTCTGCTTGACCTGCCCTTCCACTCGGGCATCTTCATTGCTCTGCATCTCGGCCAAGCGCTTGGCCTGTCATTCTCCAGGGTGAGATACACGCGAGTACCCTTTCACTGGTATCTATGTGTGTCCACTCTGCCTGCGCATCGATCATGGCATTTCGGGCTGCCTGATATGAAGGCCCCGCAGCAGCTGAGTTTATGCCAGCATCGCACCTTGCGCTAGGTCCCAGCCTGCTTCTGCTGAAAGACTTCCTCCTCCTTCTGCTTCCGAAGTTGCAGCATCTTCTCTTTGCGTTGGGCATACTCCTCCAACTCTGCACATTCCAAGGCTGTCAGTGGCTGCTCGGGAGTGCAGTATGTCAACCCCTTCAGTCGGGCCCTAGTCCTGAATCTTTTCCTCCTCTTTCTGCTGACGGAGCATGTCTTCGGCCTTACTGTTAAATCAGCTGCCTGCAAAAAAGCACAACACAAGACATCGTCCCAGCCTTTATCTGTTTGAGGTACGAGTTCGCTTTCTGCGTCTCTTTCTGTGCCTGTTGTCAGGGGGCTTGGACTAGTCAGACTAGTCTCTCTTGTGAATTTGCAGCCTCTTGATGTCACTGCCCTCTTGACTCGAAGGAAGCCCGCAAGAGCCGCAAGAGCCCTTCTTCATGTGTTTGGCCTTTCCTTGAAGGCCCTACTTGTCTAGTCGTGAGCCCTACAGACAAGAGCTTATTGAAATCCCGCCCTGTAAAGAAGCCAAAGCCTATCAAAGCCTGTCAATGTAAGTAGTTCCAGTAGGTTCCGCTGAGAACCGAAGCATCTAGGACGCCCCAGCGCTCACCTTGATTGCCATCTCTCGACGTCTCTTCTCAGCCGAACGCTCCGCCTCCAAATCCTCGGGGCGGTGCCAGGCTGCACACGAGGCTCCGGCGAAAGCCTGACTACCTGAATCGCACCTCGATAGCCTTCCGACGCAGGAGCTCGCCTTCGAGCATGGCATCCTCTACCTGCGCAAACTCAGGAACATGAAGCTGCTCAACGCAATCGAAGACCGCACTCTCCCACTTGGCCTCCTGGAACCGCTTCTCTTTGTATTCAGCAAGCTGCTCCTAACCATCAAAGGCAGCTTGTGCTGTGGAGCTCGATGCTTAGCACCTCCCTGGTTAGAGCGGTCCTTTTGGGCCTTTGCTGCAATTTTGGAGAGTTCCTCCTTCGTTTCCCGCTCCTGGCATGACACACGCGATAAGGATGATTGAGGAAACCGGTGTCGGGACAAAGCATCCGATTGCCTTCATCTCACGCTCCAGCATCTTGCGATAGTTCCTCGGATTCACGGACAACTTTGGAATTCAGACTTGGTGCTTATGGGCTTCACATTGCAGCTTCGCTGCTGCTTCTCCATTTCGAGAAAGCGATCATCTCGGATCTGCTCGAGCCTGGGCCGCGAAGCTTTGTCCATGAGGGCTGACTTGCTTTGGGGTTTGAGGTGCGCACTTCTTCAGCTCGCCTTTTAGCGAGATCTGTGCCTTTCAGCCGTCTGGATGCCAGTGGCTGCACAAAATGACTTTCTCAACCTCCTGTAGTGAACTGAACCCTAAGCTTTCAAACTTGCAGCCTCTCGCTCTGCAATGACGTCACAATGCATCATCTTGCTGTGGAAAGACTTCATGCGATCAGACCTTGGCGGGCCGAGGTCGACAACACTGGCAGCGAAGCATGGCGCAAGGATGTGCAAAGTTGTAGCCCGTAAGAGCTTAGCTCCTCGTACAGGAGCTTGTTTGCACCTAATGTCAGGCGGGATGGTGTGGGCACATGACACATCAAGAGGCGAGCGAGGCCAGAACGGTCAATAGTCGCGCGCCGTTGATCCAACTGGATCTTGGCCTCTTCCGCGTCTACCTGCCATCACTGACACACTGGCACGCTGCCCGGCCATCCTTCATTGCACCAACCGTGCAATCTTCATCTGCACCTTCTGTCTCTCCAGCTCTTCCATCTCCAGCTTTTTCCTGGCCAACGTCCACAACGCGTACATTGACAAACCAGCCCCTGTAGTCCATCATCTGGAAAGTTTTGTGTGGAGCCTAGCTCTTTACTGTATAACTGTATAACGCGCACTACATTCCACTACATGAACGTGCATGTGCGAAGGTGAGGGTTTCTTCAGCGCACGGACGACGAGTTTAGAGAGTGCTCGTTGCCTCTTCTCCTCGGCCTTCTTCCGCCGACTGCCTTCCAAGGTATTGCTCCAAGTCTTTGCCCGAGCCTGCAGGGGGAGACACTCGCTTATGAATCATGAGCGTGAGAATTCTAAGAAGGCTCTCACATCGCGAGGGTTTTGTCTGGCCTGCGACTTCTCGTGGAGCAACTGCGCCCGGGTCTTGGCAGGCATCCTGGCTTACAGGTTTGTGGCAGCGGTCACCCACCTCATCTCACGCCCGCCAACTTAAACTCTTCGCCGTGGGGGCTGCGTGGCATCAGCGCTCGAATCTGCAGCAACCTTGGTTGGATTTGAAGTCAAGCAGAACAGGTGTTCTGTTGACGCCCCTGGAGCCATCTGTGCCCGAGTCGCATCGCTTGTCAAACCAATGGCATTCTTGATGCGCTGCAGCTCAGATGAGGTTATGACCTGAAGCCACTTTCACTTGTTCATGTGAGGTGGGAGGCAGGTAGAAATAAAGTCTTTGTGCATCGTCTGCACAAGTCTGTGCAGTGCTTGGGATGGCATGAAATGACGAACATGCAAACGCATTGCAAAACACTGCAAAAGCTCAAGTTCAGGTCTGAGAGATGGGCATAAGCCTCCGCCATGCACTTAAAGGCAGGGTCGGCCTGAGGACTCCAGAGGCCTTCGCTGCAACCCCTTCGTAACCCCTCTGAGCTCCTGAGTCTGGGACCTCGCGACCCCGGAGTGTCTGCCCAGCCCAGGCACAAGCGCCGGCACGGCTGGGTCTTGAGCAACGACCCGAACGTGAGGATGCGCTGTGTGCAAGACAATCGTGCAGTTGGCCAACACATGTCACGGTGCACCCTGAAAATCATGAAGCACACAGCCTGCGGCATTTTGCTGACAGCTGTTTGCCTCGGTCTTTGGCTCTAGCCTAATTTTTCTTTTTGCTCTTACCACCTTTCTTGGCGTCTTTGCTTGTCTCCTGTCCAGGTACTGGCATGGTATGCGGGCAAAGTCTGTACCGTCCAAGAAAAGCAATTTGGTCGGCCCGGCTCCTGAGGTTTTTTGGGCTTGGGCTCGTCGTCATCGTCTCGCTCTTTGGGTTCGAGCCATACCACCGGATGCCTGTCACGTGGTGTCTCGTCAATCATCATGCACAACAATCGGGGAGCACAAAGCAAGGTACCCCCCACCCCCGCCCCTCCCGTTACCCGACCCCCCGGCCCCCTACCCTCCCCTATCCTCCACCTCCCCTGCCCTCCAAAAAGCTAGCTTTCCTGGAAGTGGCGAGGTTGCCCTGCCAAGGGGTCCCGGCCCAGCGGAAAACTCAAACCACCCCTCCCTATATGGGGACCCTTTAGTTATTTAGTTACGCTTTGGGACACTTGCTAAGGGCTGCCAACCTGTTCCACATCGGCCACGGAGGCAGGCACATCAGCGTGACAAACAATGTGGTACCTGAGAAGCAGGCTGCTGGCATATGGAATCGTGGAGATCTGCAGCGCAAGCCTAGCTTAGGGAGCGGCCAAATATCCAAAGAAACGTGTACAAAAACCTTCGGGTGCAAGAGGAAGGCAGGTGAGCAGTGAGCACGGGAAGCAGAGACTTTTGCCTCTGCGCCACGAAGCCGTGAACGTAACCAATCACGCCTGGCCAGAAGCAGCCATGAATATCCAAGATGCAAAACCAGCAGCTTCGGTGGCCTGAAGTCCAAATGAAGTAGAACTGCATGTTGAAAGCCTGGTCATGCGACGGTCATCTCAGATCAGGGTACCAACACGTGTTGCCACGGCTCAACTCCAGCCTGCTTCTGGCCCACGAAATCCATGCTGCCCGCTTTCAGCATGGCGTAGAGCTCAAAGACTGCAAGGCAAACATGCCCCGTGAGGAAAAGCGACAGACACATGAAGTGCCTGCCTCCCACCATGATGTGGCAGCCGTGGGACGCCCGAATGAGGCGCTGTCAGCAAAATCCCTACATCTCTGTCATGGCGGCTGCCGAGCCAAAAGATGAGGAGACATGAGAAGACACGAGAATGCGTGCAGCTCCCATGTTCCCTGTGCAGTGTCGTCCTTTCCCCACAGCCCAACACCTTTGGACATCCTCGTCTGCTTCGGACTTGGAGTCGGACACCCACAGGCTCGACATGGGTGGTCACACGTGGTCACTTGCACTCGCCGACAGCACCGCTGGCTGTTGCTTTTGAGTTGCAAGGCTTGTTCCTCGTTGCATAAAGGATAACGAGCTACAGCCCAGCTTGTTCATGTCAGACAAGCTCTTGCAGTGATCAAGAAACATGCAATACGTTCACTTCAACAAGCTGGGCAAACACGAACCCTAGACCCGTCACCTCCCATGCAGACCACGGGCATCATGTGCATACTGGCGAGAACATACAGAATAACAAGATAAATCTGATAGCAGAGGCTACTGGAACAACATCACGAGACTTGGAACATGCACTTTGCACCTTGATGACAACGCAATGTCATCGAAGACCGTCTGGCACGTTGCAAGCAAGACCCTCTTGGCCAAGAGATCTGCAAAGGATTCTCGCACGAAGCACTTCTGAGGGACCGCCTCTGCCGGTTCTGAGTTGATGGCAACAGCCAATGTCCCAAAGGGTAAGTGCAACCCACGCAGATCGACCTTACGGACCGCAGACACCAGCATGGCAAATGATGCCAGAATTGCATAGGGCCCTTCATAACCCGACCTCTATGTGCACAAAGTCGCCCTCCTTCAGCATCCTGTCGCCGCCTGGACTGTTGTGCCGGGCAATGCCAGGCAATGCCGGGCAGGCTGCACGTTCACAGGAGCTTCCCTTTTTCAAACTTTTACGCCCTCTCAGGAACCGCAGCGGTCAGACATGAGACGTGTCAGTTGCCACACAGTTGCCACAGACATTACAGCCAAGCACCGCGTTCGCGGGATGCTGAAGGCGTGGAGTATACTACACTGCACAGTTGAAAGCGTGCCATACGGCATCCAATCCACGGGGCTGGAATTCGCATCAATGGCAGAGTTCCAAAGACGGACCGTCACTTTGCATGCCCTCGTGGCAGCTCTAAGGACAGCCGCTTTCGCCCTCGCCACAAACTATCAAGTTGGCAAATTCAAGAGCGACTCCAAGCTGTCACTTGACCGCGACAGCCATATCCTGGTGAGCGGCTTTGTGTCATTCGGGTGCAAAAGAACTAGGGGCAGTTTAGGGCCTGGGAATCTAACCTGAGCTGTCGTCCAAGTTATGGACACATGCGCAACCGTCCAAATCAGCTCGGGCTCAGTGTCTGGGTTGAAGCTGCTGACAACACAGTTTCCTGGAAATTCCATCACAATCTGCAAGGACACCTGAGCGCGTGGGATGACTCAGTGTGCGGATGAAGGGGCAGGGGGGGGGGGGGGGGTCCCTTGCCCCAAGACACGGCCACTAGACACTCCGGCGAACAAGTCTGCCCGGGTCGACAACAACTCACTGACTTCCTATCCGAGCAGTCAGCAAACCATGATGACCGGGCATGACCAGGCACATTCCAGATTTAGCAGTGCATAACAGTGCGACCTCACACAAACAGACAGCGCTGCCCGGCCGTGACCCAATTTCATCTTTGCTAAGAACCGCCTTTGTCAGGTATTCTGCCACATCGTGTGCAGCCCACGGCCGACATTTGTCCCACTTTCACGAGGCCTTTCATCTCTTTCACGGTCCAAAGTCCAGTCTGCTCTATGATGCTCCAGGCATGGAACTGTTCGCGCATGGCCAAAGTGCCGCATGCTACATCCACACAACCCCGAACACGGGTTCGTACTTCGACTCTCACCGTCAGTCTGCAAAAGAACTCCAGTCTTCTTGGGTCTTCTTCTCTGGCACGCCCAAAACTGTTACGACACAAGTCGAGCCGGGACAGGAAGATTGGATGCATTGGATGCTAGGTAAGCACCTTGCAGATCCAAGGCACCGAGCCCAGCGGTGGTTTCCCCTTGTCAACTCGCAGAACGTTGGTCCCAACCATAACGAAGTCAGCCTCGAAGTTGTTTGCCTCACCACCATCCCCCACCCCCCCAACAAGGATGCTAACAAGATAACTAAGATAACAGATGCTTCACACAAACAGATGCTTGCAAGCCGAGGTGGAGCTTGAAAAACAACCCACCCTGGGTGCGCGGCGTAGCGCACCAGGGCCTGGGCGATGCCTTCGTTGATGCCTTGTGGGGCAAAGACCTTCGCACGAGAAACCAATATGGGGGTTTCCGAAATTAGGGGTTTCCTTGTTGGGGTCCTTATCATAAGGCGATCCTACTATTTTATATAGGTCCCCAATTTTCGTAACCCGCCCAATATGAAAACCGTGAGCACTGGAAGGAGGTGCAAGAGATGGCTGCGAGGAACTGGGCTGTAAGGAGCTGGCCAGCTTCACAACTCTGTCCTTGAACTTCACCATCTTGCCACTTGGCCATGCCGCAGCATCCTTCATACCTGAGGACAGCACTCTAAGATACTCGAAGTCAGCCCCAGGATGGAGGATGCCCGCGGCCACCTTCGAAGATGGAGTCGTACTTTTGGCGGATCGCCTCCGTGACCTTGCTTTCCTGACGTAGAGTGGAGGGAGAAAATAGGAGAACCCGTTCATCCAACAGCTGTAAACTCTGATTAGTCTAAACCCTATAGAGGCAAGTAGGAAACCCCAAAAATTGCCCCAACCATCTACTGCCAGGCCTTGGAGTGGGGCTCCAAGTACGGCCGGATGTAGACCACGTGGATCTCGTCTCCTCGCGTGCTAATGTGAGTGGGCTGAGAGTTCAGGCTTCCCAGTCTGAATGCAGCTTAACCGGTGCTCGAAGAGCATGTCCTGGGCGTGAGAGGCGGAGCGCATCGATGAACGCCTTCGTGGCTGCTGGGTTCAGGCCAGTGGACACGACAAACTTCGCCTTAGGATCGAGGCCAATGTCTCAACCCCTCCCGCTGAGCCACGTACCCTTCAGCGAAGCGACGGGCCGCTTCAGTGGCAACTTGCTAGGGTCGGCTTCTTTGAACACCTTGCATCAACTTGCATCCCTCACACCATGTGCTACCATGTTCATCGCCGTTTGCACGCACAAGCCAATACCAGTAACGCAGCAAGCGTTACAGCATCATGCTGGTTATAGACTAGGTCCTGGCTAAGTCTCCTACACCCAGAGACCACTGGTATGCCTCTCGAGCGACTGAGTGACTGGACTACTGAAAATTAATGTAACGGGGCGTACCAGCCTGGGCTTTGGTAAACTTTAGTTGCTTTAGCCAATCATTTGCCAAGTGTCAACACAACTGCACTTGCCCCGCTGCATCACCTGTCAGTTTGAGTCATTCCGCTTGCCTGCCTGTTCCTACACCCTTTATAACCCCTAAACGCACCTTGAACCCTGCATTGAAGGAACTGCAAAAACACAAACACGGACCAGGATAAGTCCTGTAAGAAGCCTCCAGGACGTTCGAGCCAATAATGTGCTTGTCTTTGCCTGCACAGTGTTGCACCATGTGCACCGCTTGTCAGCCCGGCGCTCACTGCACATTGCACTGACTGGCCTTTGCGTCCCGCGAAGCCCATGACGCAGAAACTGGTGCCCTGCTCCTTTATGTCCTTTGGATAGCTCACACGTGCTGTTAAGGCCAGGAGGTGTTCACAAGATGTGTTGTGCAGTCCTGGCAAAGGAGGACGCCGATCTTTACTCCCGGCGATCGCTCACGAACGCCTGCAAACAGCTGATTGGAATGGCGACCTCTACTCAACCTGTGCTCTCACCATGCACACGACGGTGCTGATGAGCAGCTGATCAAGTATCGCTTTGAAACCAAGTACGAGGTGCACTTGGCTTCCGCATCCTTGGTGACATGGCAGCAATGTCAAACAGAAGGCACTGCCCAAACGCACAATTTCAGAATCAGAGTCCGAGCTTCGGCTTGGATTGCATTTCTCCGCCACTTTGGTGGGAGGTACTCCTGTTCAGAAGATCTTGCACAAGCAAACAACTGCCTCGGAGTAGCCCACCACCAGCCTTTGTGTTGTCGTAATAGTGGACCTCGCGTCGCTTCTAAGGGCGGGTGAGGAACTCGGGGATTTAAGGAGTCACAAGGAACCCTGAGGCAGTGGCAATAAGAAGATCTGTCTCACGGTCGTTTTGGGTGAAGCCATGGAGGACCCATTCAAAGGCGCTGGAAGACTGGCAGGTGCCACAGAAGAAAACTGACAAAAAAAATACGCAGGGACTCATCTTTCGCATGACAGGCCAGGGTCTCTGACAATCCCCCCCAATTCAGTACTAGGGGTGTCCGAACACCAAAACGAAGGGCACCCCCCCCTGTTTTCGGAAACCCCCTCGCGAGCGCCGTCACTACTCTTTCCTTGCTGCGGAGTCGGGTTTTAGCTCTTCGCCTGGTCCGAGCCATCCAGGCTCACCAAGACTCGAATACGCTGATGCAGCAGCTCATCGATCCTTAGCGATCACCAGCTAAGCAGCTATCACAGCCAATTTCTGCGCTCTTGTGTGTTGGATGTGTTGGTTACGTATATAAAGCTGAGGGAAGCTGCTTCTCGCAATCGATCCACCCTGCATGCTCCATTGCTGCGGGTCCCGGTGGCGTGTTCTGCGTCTTGTTCGTGTCAATCAGTCAAGTGCTGACAGTCTTCTCGCACTCGCAGTTTGCTCACTTGCACGGATGAGTTGACTTTCAGCTGTCTCGAGCATCAAATTCTGCTTGCATGTCAAATTTCCAAACGACTTCGGGTATGGGAAGGGATTCGAATGGAGACCCTGACATCCCTCATTCAACCCTTCATAAGGAACACTTGCAAGACTGAAGCCAGCGAAGCCGCCTGGACGTTCCTGCCAAGGATCCTGAAGGCATCTGAAATCATCTGCAAGCTGAAAGCCAAAGCTGACCCAAGAGTTCTGCAATGCGCGAAATCGACCTCGTCGCGGGCTCTGGAGCAGCGAGTGGTTGTCATCAGTCGCCTGGGCTCAAAAGCCAACGCTCGACATCAAACCTTGACAAAGAAAAACCTCGGCTGCAAACCACGGTCGGCGATGGTCTTTCGCATGAACCTCTGCGGTCGGTGGGATCTATTCAGACAACGCGCGCTTTCCAGAACACACACACTCGCGCAGCGAGCGCCCGACTCCAATCTGCATTTGCGGTCGCGAGGAGCCTGGAACCAAAACCAAGTACTTTGAGAGCGCAGAGAATCGGAATCGCATCCAAAGATCCCTTTGGCATTCCAGCTTCACAGCGTAAGCAGATAGAGACCCCGACAGATGCGCTCCAGCCGAAGGCTCCAGCGGTAGATGCACCCCTTGCGATTCAGTGCAACTATATATGTTGTTTGCGTTGATATTTAAGACTCGGCCGGCCACCTACGAGGAGAAACCATGTGGGGGGAAACGTCATTTTTCCCACTTAGACACGGTTGCGGGAAATCAAACAGGTGTTTGGGAGGCCTGTCGACCTGCAAAGAGCCCACAATTTGATGAACAGCAGCCTTCGATACTCGGTACTCGTCTCGTACTTGCCTATGTTTGCCAATGATCCTCATCCGGGCCTTGAAGAGCTTCAGCGTCCCAGCGATTGGAACTGCCCAGTGGAGTTCCTTCTGAGAGCTTCTTGAGAGTGCGGCTCAATGCTTTGCTCAACTGCCGCTTGTTGTCAGAACTACTGGAAGTTAGGAGACATTCAGAATAGGTTGCCAACGCCTTGAAGTCACCGACTTTTGTCGCGATTTCATGCTCCTCCCCGCCTTGGCCACATCTACATCGAAGCACCCGGGAAAAATCCGAAAGCAAGCCTGTGGACTTGTGCGGGCCACCCGGGGCCACGGCTGACTTCAAACTCTCTTTGGAAGTCTCTTGCAGCCTGCCCTGAGCACACCCGGACTGCTCGGCAGAAAATCAGACCAAGCGATGACAGGCGCGCACATGCAAACGGGGGCCGCTGTCGAGGCAGAGAAGGGATCTCCTCAGGAACCCCCGCAGATTGGCAAACCCCCCCCTCGTTTGACTCCCTTGGACCCTTTGCTGGCCTGACGGAATGCCTCGAGCATGTCCTGTCAGGCGTATGCTCTCTGATGCTGCTCTGATGGTCTGTGGCCCTGGACCTGGGCAGAAAAAGAAGGCTATGCGTGTGCGGCCTCCTCTGTGCGCTCAGGCGCCCGGCGTAGCTGACCATAGACTTTGGGTCGCCCCTGGCAGATTGGATCGGCTGTTTGCTGTCGCAAGTTGTGCGACCCCGCAGTAGCGCACACTGGTACTGGCGGCATGTCCGGTGCAATCTAAAGGTACAGTACCCACCTCAGAATGCATGTAGCGCAGATCCCAGCCGCCATCTGCCATGGCGTGGAAAGCTGACCGACAAAAACTCTTGGGATCGACATTGGATACTGCTGATCTGTGCGGAGTTCAATTCTCGAAAAACCTGTGGACAAAAGCTTGATTGACAATGCTAGCTGCTGATGTCCATCGAGCCAATGGGCTTGGGGCTTCTCGACGTGCATCCCACCATGGGCACTACAGTCACTACATCGCGCGTCCATGCTCAAACGCTTTTCAATGTTCACACCCCCGCGCGGCTATTCGCTCGCCATGGGCTCTCATCGACCATGGAAACGCCTCGAGTTCACAGCTGACTCACAAGTCTAGCTGGACATCTCACCAACAGACAAGAGAAACAAGAGTGCCTCTGAGAAAGTGGAAGATGGTGAGACATGGTAGACATCGTGGACTGCCGTGACTGCCGTGACTGCTGTGACAGCCGTACACCGTAAGCACCAAATGATGAGAAGGCACACACCGCTCAAAGTCTTGAGAGAGAAAGCCTCTGCTTTTGGCGCCTCTGCTTGGTCATCTGGGGCCCCTGCAGCTCCCGTCCGGCCCGATTCCTCGTGCGGCAAAGCGAAGCGAACCCGAAGCGAACCAGAGGTGAGCGCGATGTGAACGCGATGTCTGAACGCGATGAGAAAAGGGCGGGGGGGGGGGGGGGGGGTAATTTCGCATGCCATGGCCGTCATGCTACCGTCATGGCCCTGCCTGAGGGCGGCGATCCGAAGGGACTGTCCCAGCTCCCAAAGCCACCAAACCCTGCAGCATGGCGCAGCAATGTGCACCACGAAAGGCATCGCATGCCACTGGCAGATATTGACACCTTGAAGCACTCGCAGGCCTGGTGTTGGCGCGGAGGGGCTGGGAGTGCTGCGCAACGACAGAAGCGCCTGAAAGCGTCTGCATCCGGATGAAATCTTCTTGCGCACTTGTTGCGGAAGCTCCGGGCCTTCTGAAGAGCTTGCAGCTCGCGCCTCTCCAAGTCCAAGTGGGCCTGCTCTGCTTTGGCCTGGCTCCAGGCTGTGACCCGGCATGAGATAGCCGGCCGTTATGCAACCCGACCTGCCCCTGGACCTCGAGCGTCGCTTGCTGTAGAGCCCGGCTCTGTCCCTGTGCGCGCCACACGTGCTGACAAGGCCCAGGGTTTGCAGTGGTTGTGTTCTGCTGGAGACATGAATCGAATTCAACTTGGGGGGGTGCAGTTTCTTGTGAGGCTACCTGAGACTACTGCAAAGTTTCAGTTTTGCTTGTCTCCGCCATGTGCTCTCTTCGCCGGCAGGGCTAGAAACATGGCCAGCACGAGAGTGGAACGACCTTCCGCCACTTTCCGCGACCTCAAACAATCATGGACACCCCTTCATGTCGTGGGTTCTGCGGTAAGCAAAGGGAGTAGAAGTCCCAGTGCTCGCGAAAGAAGGAGCAACCAGGCCACGAATTGTTGGCGAAAGACACAACGGCCGGAGTGCTGCTAATGTTCAGCAAAGTTGTCATCGGCCCGTGGGCGTCCCAAGCTGGCCAGGGAGGCAAACCCTCAACCCCCAGCTCGGCACTCTTTCCATTGGGGTTGCCAAACTTGGCAAAGTTTGTCCAATATTTCATCATCCACTGTGACACTTGCGCCTTTGGCCCATTTGGCCCAGCATATGAGTCCAGAGTTCCGAAGATGTAGGGTATCTCATCACCGTGGAGGACCAGTCCCATACTGCTGGTTTCTGAGAACTTGTAAACATACGCAGGAGATCCGTGCAAAGCCGAGGATGTTGCCAGCCACTGTGCTGTGCACGAGTAGCTGAAGTCTGTCTCGCAAGATTGCGCTGCGTTGAAGTATTCAGACATCCACCACGCTTTGCCGGACTTTTGCGGCTGGAATATGCCATCCAAAGTTTGCACACGTTCTTCTCCATAGAGGTTGGAGTAGTACGACTGCATGGATTCTTGCGACATGGTCGCCATAGCAAAAGGGTACCCCGCCACAAACATGGCCCCATCATTCAGATTGAAACCAGCAATGATCGGCGTGTCCTCGGAACAAGCAGAGGCCTGCCTACGCCTGCACGACACATGTACATGTCCACCTTGTGCATGAGAGCTGGTTGGTAACCTTTGGCCGATATAACTGATATAACTACTACCTGAACTCCTAGGGCTTTCTCCAATTGACACGGTCTAGTAACTAGACAAAAGCGCGTTCCAAGCAGCCGGGCGAAGGCTGCCAGACTGAGCCAGTTCCAAAGGTGTCCCCCTTACCAGCACACCATCCACCACGGGAGCCCAGGTGCAAGCGTCCTTGCAGGGTACAGCCTCCACTGCTTCTGCCACCACAGTTTGGCTCGCCGACACGATGCAAGACAGGATCGTGGAAGCGTTGGAGCACTTCGAAGTCGAGACAACCTTCTGGAAGTTCGCATGTGCGCCGCTCAGCGTCACGTAGGTCCAGAAAGAGCCGCTGCCGCTCTCCATGATCCCTCGCTGGTAGAAGGGCCATGCCTCCTCCACACCCAGCAACAAGCTGACAGAACCAGCTCCCGAGGACTCTCCGAAGATGGTCACCTTGTTGGGGTCCCCACCAAAGGAGGCGATGTTCTCCTGCACCCACTCCAGCGCAGCGACGGTGTCCAGGAGGCCGTAGTTGCCTGTCGAGCCCCGTGGATCTCGCGACCGCAGAATGGCATCGCCCAGGAAGCCAAAGACCCCAAGCCGATATTGGATGGACACAACCACGACATCCTCTTGCGCGGCCAGGGCAGATCCGTTGTACTCCGGGTCCGAGGCAGATCCGCTAACGTAGCACCCGCCATGGATCCAGACCATGACTGCTCTGGACCCCGTGGTGGCCGGGGTCCACACGTTCAGCGTCAAGCAGTCCTCAGTGTAGCCGTAACACTCTCCCCGCGTGTAGCCCTTGCAGTTTCTGGGGTCGGCAGCATAGTAGTCGAAGGCCTGTGTGCACGCAGGGCCAAAAGCTGTGGCCTGAAACACATGGCTCCACTGCGGCATCTTTTGAGGCGATGCCCAACGGAGGATGCCAACTGGAGGCTGCGCAAAGGGGATGCCCAAAAACGTCTGCACTCCAACACCAGCTAAGCCCTGCACTGGACCGGACGTTGTATACACGATGCCCGTGCTGCCCATCAATCTCTGCGCTGGCGCGCTCGGGGCCCTCGGGGCCTTTGGGGTGCGTTTCACAACAGGGGGCCCAGACTCGACTTGTTCGGGGAACTCTTCAAAGAATCCAGGGTCAAGCCTGGGAACTGAGCACGACTCAAAGCAAAACCCAGGCCCGGGTTTTATGGACATATCCGCCGGTGTGCAGTGCTGGCCCCAGATGCACCCGGCAGCCTTGCAGCTATCAGCATCCTGCATGAAGCATTCGTCAGCCCACCTACACTGTCGGCCATCCCAAAAGCACTTGTTGCGAGTGTCATCCCAACCAGCCGAAAAGCCTCCGGTGGTTAGTTCGGTGTGGCAGCTCTCGCGTGGTCGCTGGTCACAGGGCATCTCAGGCACACAGTGTTCGGCTGGCACATCCCAGACACATCCATGCTGATGCCGAAATGCAAGGCACTCGCTGATACTGCGGTGCTGCCCGCACTGGCTCTCTGCAGTGTCCAAGGCATCCAGCACTTGCACCACCGTGTGCACGAGCAACAAGGCATATTTCATGGCTGACCCTAGAACCTGTATGCTCGATTGGAAACTCTTGCACTACCAACGGTGCATTCGGTGTTGTTGAGATCTGTTGCAACTGTTACATGCATGAGGGTATGAGCCTTGCTATCTCCAGCCAAAGCCTCTACGGCAATGCTGCAGCCCAGCCACGCCCACTGGCCATCCCCAACTTGCACTTTCAGCAGTGGGGGTCGCCTCCATGTTGAAGCTTGCAAGCTCCAGCCTCGCAATGGATCCTTCCAGCACCTGCTCCAGCTTGCTGCCCTCACTCTAAGACTCTAATCCAGCTTCGATCGCCTCTGAGTCACGCGTATACTCTTCCCGCAGTCGTTGAAGGAAGACGGCCTTCCAGCCACATGCTCCAGTCCCAACTTACTCCGACTTCAGCATAGCACGAAGACAGCACGAAGACAGCACAAAGACCGCCCTAAACCCTAGGCCCCAAACCCTAAGCCCTAAGTCCTAAGCCCGAGTGCCCCTGCCTCGTCCTGTCGCTTCTTCGCCCCGGAGCTGAGGACTGCATTCTCCTGGTACAGCCTGCCATGCCTCGGCTGCGACGGGCTTGTCCCAAGGCCCAAGCTTCCGAATGGCTGCGCGATTCATGATGACAGTACTAACAATAATAATAACAATCATAACAATAGGAAGAATAATAAGAACAATAAGAAAAACAAGAATAATAACAACAACAATAATAATCAGAAAGTAATCAAAATATCAGAATAAGAAAAATGAAACCAATAAGAAGAAGAAGAAGAATAACAATAATAATACTAATAGAATAGTTGTAATGGCAATAATCATAAGAATAATAGTAAGAAAAATATTCATAATCGTAATAATACTAAGAATAACAATAATATGAATTATAGTTAGAATAATAATAACAACAATAATAATGATAATGATGAAAATACTACTGGTAGTAAGAATACTAATTAAAAGTACGAAGAAGAAGAAGAATGCTCTACAATCTACGAGCTCTATAGTGAGGGTCAAGTGGCTCCGCGCGCAGCTCGGAGAGCTGTCGGCGGGAGATATCAAGCTGCTGCACCAAATGGACCCGCTCAGTCTCCTCGCGAGGCGACCCACTCCAGTTTTACACCGTCAACTCCTTCCGTTGCTTTGCAGTCGGCTCTCCAGCTTCTGAACTTCGCCTTGCTCGCGGGCAGCGGCCTTGTTTCTGAGACACAACCTACAGGTATAGACAAAATCCCAGCAGCTTCTCTGAAGCAAAAATCCGCCGACCCCGGTGTTCACCGTGGTCGAGCGCATGGGAAGCCGAGCACGGGCCACGGTTCCCCCCTACCCCCGGTTGCCCCCTACCCCGGCTCCCCTACCCCCTGTTGTTAAATGCCGTGATTCGTGATAAACCGTGGCCCTCGGTGCTTCACGGGGCGTCTGGTCACCCTTTCCCCGCACTTCATGAGCATCACCCCGCTCGGGTCCCACCCCCCCGCGGCTCGCATCATGAGCATCAGCGGCGCCCGAGCATCAGCGGGGCCGACCTTGGGGCCTGGTCGGCTTCAGCAGGGGATGTATGTGCGCGTGGCGCTTTTGCAGCACCGTGGCTACTTCCTGCGCTGCCCGCCTATGGGCGCAGCAGCCCCTGCACGTAAGCAAAACACATTCGTCCGAGCCGCCTTTTCCTCACGCCGGCAAGCGTCTTCTAACCGATGCAACTCCTGCAAACAGGAGGTGGATTTGTCCGGTTGTCGATTTCTGCGAACCCGCACTGCGAGATCTCACTCCACTACATCAGTTGCCTGGCTCCACTCCACAGCATCTTGCCGCAGCCGCTTTACCAGCACTTGCCTCGAGTGATCGTGACACTCCTTGCACATCTTGACACATCTTGCACGCCTCGCCCAACGGAACACTATTATTCGGGGCGAGTCGCTCGGCTTGCAGCAGCACCAGCAGGTGTTCTGCCGGCTGCGAGCGAGGCCCGCTGGGTCCACTGGGACCACTGGGTCCACTGGGTCCACTTCTCCCATTCTTCGAGGGCTCACCGAAGGGCTCACCGAAGGGCTCACCGAAGGGCTCACCGAAGGGCTCACCGAAGGGCTCACCGAAGGGCCCCTCGAAGCCCTTAAGCTGCCTGGGCCCATCCTCCCGGTTGAGAGAACACAAGCCGACTGTGTGTTTCTCTCAAATTGGAGTCCAAAATCTTCTCCTCGGTGCAAAACGACCCCTCAGATCCCCTCTCGGCCTCGACGACTTCGGGCCTCCCGAGAGCACTGGATCTTGGGGAACGTCTGGGTCTGGCAAACGCACAGGCTCTGAGCTAGGAACAAATACGCGCGAGTGCGGAAGGGATCGTCAGGGTCAAGCGGGGCCAGCGCCATGTCCAAACCACCAAAGACTTGAGCAGTGCTCATCGCTCTATGCAAGAAGAGCCAACACTCCTGTGAAGGCGAAGTCCCCGTTCTGAATACTGCAAGTGTGTTCGCGAGCTTTGAATGAAGGGCTTCGGCAGTTTCACGTTTAAGTGGCTGGGTGCCTGAATGTTCACTTGAGCCGGCAGTGCCTACTCATGCCGTTCTGTCCATCCTACGTGAAGCGGGCTGGCGCCTTCTGGCACTAGCAGTCACTAGCACAAAAGCCGTCCACGTGGCAGCACAAAAGCAAGTTTGTTCGACTGGACCACAGGCAGGCGAGGTATTCGCCAAGTCACTGCGTCAGACGCTAAAGTGAAACTTCTCACCGCACGCGAGCACATGGAAAATCAAGCTTAGCTACTGACAATTGGGGCATGGGCCATGCAGTGCCTTGCAAGTTCACACACCAGAGTTCTTTAAACAGTCCGAGTGGCGCAGTCTCATCAATCTGCCGGCACCATGTTCTCAACCTCCTTCACAGGATGAAATTTCATGTTAGAAAAATGGCATGTGCGGATGCTACCATCACAGAACATCAGAGAACTACACGACCACCAGCAAGGCTTTTCCTCATGGATGTCGGCGATGGACGATGCCTTGCCAAGATCCTTCGCAGTGTCTCTGACGAAGCATTTCTGACGTGCAGTGACTCAACGCTCTCAGCTTCAAGGACGAGGAGATGACCTCGATGGAGGGGCCCGCCACATCGTCGTCGATTCCTGCGCTGAAGGCACTGCCGAAGGCGCTGCCCAACACACTGCCGAAGGCTCTCAGATTCGGGCCGGAGTCCGGGGGCTCAAGGCCTCAGTGGGGGGGGACCAGATTGGAAGAATGGGGTTCCTCCCCCCCTCCCAGCCCTTCAACCATTGATATTCAGAATTAAGGCCCGGGGTCAAGGAAGAACACTGGAAAGCAAGGTTGCAAACGACAACTCTCGCAAGATCCACGGAGCTAGCTTTCGTGACAGAACCTCTCACACTCACTCTCTTTCACCCACCCATGCACGCGCTGCAGGGAAACAAACGCGAACTTCCACTCCACGCCGTCTCCCCGCCTCCAAGACCGACGATCGACGTACCTCGTGCGGTCGAGGCACTCTAGCCGACGGCAGGGTCCGGGGACGTTTGGGCTGGGCCCGCCACCCTCGCAGGCCTGCGCAAACTCCTGCACTCCAGACGCAACAGAGACAGAGAGACGAGAGAGAGAGAGAGAGACAGATAGATTGAGAGAGAAAAAGCAAAAACAAAGAGCGAGAGAGAGCGAGAGAGAGCGAGAGAGAGCGAGAGAGAGCGAGAGAGAGCGAGAGAGAGCGCGAGAGAGAGCGAGAGAGAGCGAGAGAGAGCGAGAGAGTGAGCGCCCGCGACTGCAGCCACCTCCAGCTGCGACCCGACTATGGATGCCACAACCTTGCCACTGGTCTCCTGTCAGCGAGCATGTCATTAGCTCAGGCAGTCTCGCAACTCGACGTCGGCATTTGGTTTGCATTCACCGCGGCCGTCATGCGACTTGAACTGTTTACCGGCCTCTGAGACATCTGAGCGCCCATCGACGTCCATGTCCACAGGACTCGCGCATGTGAGTCATGGTGAGTCAAAGCGAAATGCAATGACCTTCCCACATACTCGCGTCCACCGCACCTTGTGGAACCTGCCCGCAGGACACCAGGCGAGACCTTGCTATGAGGCTCTAGGCAAGGCCATTTAACACCATCTACATACTTCAATTTCGCAGGAAGATGGTCCGAGCACAGAGCATCGCTCACGGCATCCGCCTGTCAACGCAATGACACACGCCCCATCAAGAAGCTAAGTCATGCATGATTCCGCAGCATGGTGGGATGGTCAACAGAAAGATCATCGCCCCCTAGCTGCGCATCTGCTCACTCTAGCGGTGGAAGAAACTGCTCCGCCCGCAGCTGCATAGGATTCGTGTGAAAGCTCTGACCTGGCCGGTGTGGCCATGGGGCAGCGAGACTTTCTCTTCCCCCTGGATGGTCATCGACGCTGCAGTGTTTGCTCGGCATCATCGACAGGTCAAAGCAACAGCCCACGGACCGGTGATTGAGAACCTAGGCAGGCTCTGGGCCTTCTCACGACTGCCTGGCCCTTGTCCTCCATGTTGTTTCGGGCAGCTTGGGCACAAGATGCCCGGTCGGCACGACAGTCTTCACACGTTCCGATGTGATCTCTGCTCGATGATGCACCCAATGCGCAGAAGCTTGTGGGAACTGTGTGCATACTTCTGGGCACACTGATGATGCCAGATTGGTTGAGAACGGACTTCCGGACCGGTTGCAGAGTTTAATCCTGCACAGAATTTCGGCTGGCCATCTCATGCAGTGTTGTGAGGTCATGCGTTGGAGTTGGCAACAGGGACACCGGCGCATCACACCACGTACATTGGCCCACTTGGGACCACCATCGAAGCAACGTCAGCAGTCAAGTCAACTCTTGCCTAGGTACATAGCCATTGACTGCTTGCATGAACTTCTTCCGCGGCAAGCACCCCACAGCCACATTCATGGTGCAGGACCGAACCGTTGCGATGCTAACTGGGAAAGGAATGGTGGGCAGAAAGTGCCGCAAAGACTTTTGGAAGGTAGCTAACTCCATGATTCCCAAGACACAGTAAGTTGTTTCAAGCACCTGAACATAGTGAACCATCCGTTCGCTAAGACCCGAGCTGCTTCACATAGAGAGCTGTGGATCGAACAGGGTTGTGTTAGAGCCAGAGAGGAGCTGCTTAATGCTGTTTACTTGGTAGCCGATGTGAAGCAAAGGGCATCCCATCCCATGATGAATCCCGTGTAATCCCTGTCCGACCTGCAGCGGAGCGCTTGCAAGGCAACTGCCTGGATGGACGCGCTGCCTCGGGGCCGATTCCAGTAGCGGTGTCAAGATGGCACTGTCGAGCGACACCGTCAGTGACACAGTCAGACTCTCTCCGAGGTCCGAGCTTCAGGGGCGTGACTTCCACTGCCTTTGGGTATGGGTCCAGCAAAGGTATGTCCGTCATGATGCTGCCGGAGTCTTCGATGGTCAAGGTAGAGTTGGTCGTGTCAGGGATGATCCTGAGCTAGTGTATCCAGGCAGACAGCTGAACTCATCGACGGCAAGAAAAAGAGTCTATCTGCAATTCCAGACGCTGAACGAAGAAGTCCGCCTCTACCCCGCGCTCAGCTGCCGAGCGAGCCTCAACACAACGAGGTGAACTCGATGGGCACAAACTAAGGTTTGCCCACAACCCTACTCCTTTTCACTTCGGCAACAAAAATGCTCACGGCAGCTTACGTTTTCCAAGCTTTTGCTTATGCCATGACTTTTGTCGTCGTCGTCTGCTTCCGTCGCTTCCGCCGGCTAACCCCTCCATCATGTCTTTCGTACAACGTGCATGTTAAACATAGAACAAGCGAAGGACCATGCAACACTCAGGCATACTGCAGGTGAGTACTAGTAGTAGTTGTAGTAGTAGTAGTGGTAGTAGTAGTAGTAGTAGTAGTAGTAGTAGTAGCAATAGCAGTAGCAGTAGCAGTAGTAGTAGTAGTAGTAGTAGTAGTAGTAGTAGTAGTAGTCGTCGTCGTCGTCGTCGTCGTCGTAGTAGTAGTAGTAGTAGTAGTAGTAGTAGTAGTAGTAGTAGTAGTAGTAGTAGTAGTAGTAGTAGAAGTAGAAGTAGAAGTAGAAGTGGAAGAAGTAGTGGTAGTCGTCAGTGGCAGTGGTAGTGGCAGTGGCAGTGGCAGTGGTAGCGGCAGTGGTAGTGGCAGTGGCAGTGGTAGTGGCAGTGGCAGTGGCACTATTAGTAATAGTGGTAATAGTAGCTTACGGCAACAACCCTAGACTTGCAAACTCTACCTTACGGAACACAACACTTTGCTTACGCCAAACCCTATTTCTGAAAGCCCCTCTCTTGTCTAAACAAAGAGGGTGTTTGATCAAGTTTGATCACCGCTCAACTGTCTCCCGGACATGCCCCAAGCTACACACCCACAATGGCCGCACTCAGCTGCACCAACAGCCATCTCCCAGCCTCTGAGATATCTGAGCCTCCCTCGTAGTCCATGGGCATCGGGCTGTTCCTTCAGTCAGTGCGAAGGGGCGCCCTTCTCGCATGAACCAGTCATGAATCTGACCCGGCCTTGAGCTGAGACCCGCATCTAAAATGCCCGCCAGGACCTCGCAGCCGGGCTTCAGCCAAGAGACGCTATAACTGAGCTCATCCACTTGCACAGACGACATGCAGCCAAGGAGAGGGCGGCATCGCCCTCGGCCTGCCATCAGTCCGTAAGCATGATTCAGCACGTAATCAAGTTGGTCAGCACTGCCTCTACTCAACGCAGTCGCTTGGAACTCCCTGTGAGCAAGAATACTCCCTGCCTGGCGCTCAGCTTCCGAGCAAGCCTCAACACTCTGTGCATGACCCGACGTGTCTTGCACGGATCCTACATGATGCGCAAAAGAGACTGCCAGCCACTTACAAGTTTTTTGTTGAAGGAACTGCCCCGATCACCTGTATCACACTTGGCGTGACCGGGATGTGACCTCCACATCCCGCTGTGCCATCAAGGAACGGTGACTCCAGTATGTCAATAATTTTGAAATGTGGGGAATTTGTTGGCACTTCTGCTTGATTTTTACTTGCGGCGGGCTTATCTCACGTCAGGTCGCGAGAAATACACATCACCCCTTTGTGGACGCTACAGAGCAGGAATACACAATTACGCATCAGGACACAGCAATCCCCAAGTAGACGGTGGAATATAGGCAAACAGCCAACATGGGTAAAACTGCCGGATTTGCTGCGGACGCCAGTGTTTTCAGCACGTTTCTTAGCAGTTTAACTATGTTTCTTCAGCTAGTCACCAGGGAGGCGCTAGAAACCAACTAAACTCCCCAATCGATTTATCCTAAATTGCTGGCGGGTTGGTCGAGTTGTCGCGGCGGTGATCTAGGTCACCCCCTCAATCATCTGCTACTTAACTTGCAACTCCCGAAGACGTGCAGAAGCCAGCACGAACCGACTTCGACACACAAAGAGATATAATCTGGGGAGTGTCGTTCCCCAATGTGGAATGTGTCGGTTTTTGGGCAGAGGGGCTAGGGTTGAATAAGGCACTGCCAGCATGCAAAAGAGCATGTAGATGTTGTGTACATGACGACACGGCCGACTTCGACACATCAGGAGACATACTCCAAGCTGAAAGCCCACGAGGATTTGCAAGCACAGGGATGGACAAAGCGAGGAGTCCCCCTGTTTGCCAACACGACGCCGTTGGAAGGTGCAGCGCTTGTTTCCGAGAGATTTGTGCTCGAAAGTGTCTGCAAGTTCGCGAGGCCAGTCTGACGAAACTGACGAACATGACTGCAACAATCTGCAACTGCCAGTGGGAATGAGCCAATTCTCCTCGTGCCATAGCTTGACCAGCATTGTCACGTTCTTTCTACTTCACATCAAGATACATCAAGACAATCGACATGCGAAAGCGCTCAACCAGCAATAACAAATACCCACGTGCGATGTACACCGCTCAGCTGCACCAACAGCCATCTCCCGGCGGTCTCCCAGCCTCTGAGATATCTGAGCCTCCCTCGTAGTCCATGGGCATCGGGCTGTTCCTTCAGTCAGTGCGAAGGGGCGCCCTTCTCGCATGAACCAGTCATGAATCTGACCCGGCCTTGAGCTGAGACCCGCATCTAAAATGCCCGCCAGGACCTCGCAGCCGGGCTTCAGCCAAGAGACGCTATAACTGGGCTCATCCACTTGCACAGACGACATGCAGCCAAGGAGAGGGCGGCATCGCCCTCGGCCTGCACTCGCGACGCTCCATCAGTCCGTAAACACCTATCTTTATTTCCTGTGAGCAAGAAGACTCCTTGCCTGCCGCTCAGCTTCCGAACAAGCCTCAACACGCCGTGCATGAACCCGACGAGTCTTGAACGGATCCTACACGATATGCGCGTCCTATTGGGGGCAAGGGAGAGGAACTGCAGCCGATCTCTTATGGTGTACATTCGTCTTGGCTGGGCTCTCAACCCACTTGAAGCTTGTTGCGTTCCGATGAAAGATCAGAGGACAAAAGGATAGCATTTGGACGCAACGAACCTGTGCTAGTGGGTTGGTTAAGAGAACGTCATTCACAGGCGTTCGTCGCGTGTAGTTGCGTAGTTCTGCCCAACCAATCATGAGACTTCGCGTGTGCAGCAAGTTGATACAAATCTTCACATAGAATACCGGGGGAGGGCGACCATGGTGGTGCAAAGCAGCATAGCTAGCCTTCCCGTCTCATAGCAGTGTCCCCGCCTCTGAGACGTCGGAGCGGCTGACCCATCTGCCACGAGCACATGCGAGCCAATGATGCGAGAAGCCCTTCCGCATGCTCCTACATGATCTCACATGCTCCACCCACCTTGGGCTGAAGCTGGCCTCCAGCAAGCCGGCGCAGACCTAGCTTCAGCAGTCAAGCGTCGTTTTTCGGTCATCCCCTCCATGAAAAAGTCTGCGGACGGTCCTTTGACTGGCTTGTTGCGCACACTTCTTTCCGCGGTTTTTTAATGACTTCCTCTTCCAAAAATCCACATATGAAGTTATCCGCCGACCCCCGCTGGAGCGGGCGAGGCATCAGTGAAGACTAATTCTCGGTCATCGCCCCACTCCATACTACCTACCGTTTATGGCAGCGTCACCACCCACCGCCCCCACCACCCTCATGCAGGTTTTAAGAAGGGCCGCCCACCCCTACCCCTAGTTTTGAGGATCCCTGCCCTTCCCAGTGCTTCGTCCCCCCTCTGCCTCTACCTACTTCTGCCGACCTACCCTCCCAACCTGCTGTTTAGAGGGATCCACGCATTCTCATGCTGCTTTACTTTGAGGGTTCCTGTCCCACCCCCACCCAAGAACAGAATAGTATCTTAATAATAGAAGCCAAGATGCTAACGCTATAACAAAATGACAAAATGCTATTCTTGTTTTGAAGCCGGCTTCAAAACAAGAAATCTCAACAATGTCCGCGTCGTTCTCACTGCCCCCCATCTCTAGAAGTAGAGCTGGCAAAAAGGCCATTGAGGTCAAATCGAAACTTCCAGGAAACTTAGAACACATCTGAGTAGAGGGCGGCATCGTTCTCGGCCTCCACATCACACTGCGGCGGCGACACTTGTTCCATCAAGAGGATCAGTCAAGCACCCCCTGCCTGGCGCTCAGTTTGCACCTGCACATGTGCATGGTATGAGGTGCCAGGTGTTCTTGGGAACCGTTTAACCGATGAGGGGGAGAGTTCGGACCAAAACAGGCAGACGGCCCGGAGAAATCATGCTGGAGGGCCCCTCTACATGAACCCCGATCTGCGGCTGCCTCCGATGGGCCAAGTCTGATCCCAGAATTGCCGAGCAGAGACCCGAGTGGACATTCGGCTCTTGTACAGCTTAACACAACATTTTGAAACGCCTGGGTCTACGCACGGCGGCAGCGTCGGCACAAGACGGCAGAGCGAATCGATTTGCATTGCTTTGCCTATCTCCCAGCGGCCCGGCCTCTGAGAATAGCGAGACATCAGAGCCGCCCTCGCGGTCGTAGTCCATGGGCATGGGGCTGCTCCATCTGCCGCGAGCACATGAGAGCCCCATGTGGTTCTTAACCTTCTCGCATGAACCTGACCCTGCCTGGAGCTGAGACCCGCATTCAAAATGCCAGCCAAGACCTCGGAGGTGGAGTCGGCTCGCTCGTCTACTTATGAGACGACATGCCGCCAAGCAGAGAGCGGCATCGCTCTCCTCCTGCACCTAGCACATGAGTTGCATGGCGAGGGACATCATCTAGCAACTGCCCTGCTCACCAAGAAAAGCTTCCCGCCTGGCGTTCAGCTTCCTGTGAGCATGCAACGATGCCACTTGCAGAGGTCTCATCTTTCTGCGTGAGCAACACGATGACTTTTTGATCTTTGCCAGCAGACGTGACATATTTATGTTGGAGACCACTGCGCCTAACGACTGCCAACTGCTGCGGAGATCTAAGTACGGCGATAGCGTCGGCACAAGATGGCATAGCGAGTCGATTTACGCTCGATTTACATGGCTCGCCATGCTTCACCAGTCTCCCAGTGGCCCGGCCTCTGAGACGTGAGAGACATCAGAGCCACCCCCACGGTCGCCATCCATGGGAATGGGGCTGCCCATTCTGCCGCGAGCACGTGAGAGCCCTGTGGTTTTTACCTTCTCGCATGAACCTGGCCCCGCCTGGAGCTGAGACCCGCATCCAAAATGCCAGCCAAGACCTCGGAGGTGGAGTCGGCTCGCTCGTCTACTTATGAGACGACATGCCGCCAAGCAGAGGGCGGCATCGCTCTCCTCCTGCACCTAGCACATGGGTTGCACGGCGAGGGACATCATCTAGGAACTGCCCTGCTCACCAAGAAAAGCTTCCCGCCTGGCGTTCAGCTTCCTGTGAGCATGCAACGATGCCACTTGCAGAGGTCTCATCTTTCTACGTGAGCAACACGATGACTTTATGATCTTTGCCAGCACACGCGCCTAACGACTGCCAACTGCTGCGGAGATTATTCTTCATGCTACGAATCCACACTGCATGGACAGCAGATTCAACCGGTGACATCTAAGTACAGCGCTAGCGTCGGCACAAGATGGCATAGCGAGTCGATTTACGCTCGATTTACATGGCTCGCCATGCTTCACCAGTCTCCCAGTGGCCCGGCCTCTGAGACGTGAGAGACATCAGAGCCACCCCCACGGTCGCCATCCATGGGAATGGGGCTGCCCATTCTGCCGCGAGCACGTGAGAGCCCTGTGGTTTCTACCTTCTCGCATGAACCTGACCCCGCCTGGAGCTGAGACCCGCATCCAAAATGCCAGCCAAGACCTCGGAGGTGGAGTCGGCTCGCTCGTCTACTTATGAGACGACATGCCGCCAAGCAGAGGGCGGCATCGCTCTCCTCCTGCACCTAGCTCATGGGGTTGCATGGCGAGGGACGTCATCTAGGAACTGCCCTGCTCACCAAGAAAAGCTTCCTGCCTGGCGTTCAGCTTCCTGTGAGCATGCAACGATGCCACTTGCAGAGGTCTGATCTTTCCCATGAGCAACACGATGATTTTTCGGTCTTTGTTAGAAGACGTAACATATTCAAGTTGGAGATCACTGCGCCTAACGACTGTAAACTGCTACGGAGACAACTCTTCATTCTTCGAATCTACATGCATGGACAGCAGATTGACACGGTGGCATCTAATCGGCACAAGATGGCATAGCGAGTCGAATTACGCTCGATTTTCATGGCTCACCATGCATGCTTCACCAGTCTCCCAGTGGCCCGGCCTCTGAGACGTGAGAGACATCAGAGCCACCCCCGCGGTCGTAGTCCATGGGCATGGGGCTGCCCATTCTGCCGCGAGCACGTGAGAGCCCTGTGGTTTTTACCTTCTCGCATGAACCTGACCCCGCCTGGAGCTGAGACCCGCATCCAAAATGCCAGCCAAGACCTCGGAGGTGGAGTCGGCTCGCTCGTCTACTTATGAGACGACATGCCGCCAAGCAGAGAGCGGCATCGCTCTCCTCCTGCACCTAGCACATGAGTTGCATGGCGAGGGACATCATCTAGCAACTGCCCTGCTCACCAAGAAAAGCTTCCCGCCTGGCGTTCAGCTTCCTGTGAGCATGCAACGATGCCACTTGCAGAGGTCTCATCTTTCTGCGTGAGCAACACGATGACTTTTTGATCTTTGCCAGCAGACGTGACATATTTATGTTGGAGACCACTGCGCCTAACGACTGCCAACTGCTGCGGAGAGTACTCTTCACGCACTGCATGGACAGCAGATTCGCCTCGGCTTCCTGCCGAGAAGCCTTTGAAATTTTGTCGCCACCCCCCCCCACTGTGGGCCCCCCCTTGGGACCCCTCGGACCTTTTGTTTGAATGCCGGACCATCCCTAAACCCATCTGGGACCCTTCTTGGGATCCCCTCCCCATTTTTGAAGCCTTTCCCAAAAACCATCTTTCCTCCTTTCCTGTGCGTGGGCCGGCCCGGATGCCGAGGCGGCGCGCGCAAGCGTTTACAACTAAACCGGTGACATCTAAGTACGGCGATAGCGTCGGCACAAGATGGCATAGCGAGATTTACGCTAGATTTACATGGCTCACCATGCTTCACCAGTCTCCCAGCGGCCCGGCCTCTGAGACGTGAGAGGCATCAGAGCCGCGGTCGTAGTCCATGGGAATTGGGCTGCTCCATCTGCCACGAGCACGTGTGAGCCCCATTTAAAGCAGAAAGCCCTTCTCGCATGAACCTGACCCCGCCTGGAGCTGAGACCCGCATCCAAAATGCCAGCCAAGACCTCGGAGGTGGAGTCGGCTCTCTCATCTACTTATGAGACGACATGCCGCCAAGCAGAGGGCGGCATCGCTCTCCTCCTGCACCTAGCACATGAGTTGCATGGCGAGGGACGTCATCTGGCCGTGTGTACGTCCTGCCCACTCAACTACAAATATTTCCTGCCTGGCGCTCAGCTTCCGCGGAGCGAGCCTCAACAGCGCGCACGACTGAAGCATATTCGCAGTCAACTCGAGCGTGCTGCAGCAAACCCGACACTCGGCAGCTCTATTCCGTGCCATACTGATGAACACTGGCAAGCTTGGGCAGTGCAGAAGCAATGCAACAGCCACATGGGCCACATGGGTCAAATCCCGGGCGCAGCTCCTCGAGGGCCTCTAAGGCCTCGATGGCCAGAACGCCCTTCTACGCCCGTTGACTCTCAGAGGTCCGTCGATTCTCTTGGGTACGGAATCAGGTGGAGACGCCTTGGATGGATGCAGATAGGCCCAAGTGCTCTCCAAAGGCGCCCATTTGCACTGACAAGAGCAATCTGCTTAACATCGGGCGTGGCGCACTCCACAGGGTCTGCAGTTGCAGGAAGCGACACGACCTCGTCCAGGGCGACTCTCGCCCAACACCTGGCAAACAACGCACACATACGCACGCACGCATGCACGCCCATTCCTTTCCTGTTGAAGCTTCGCCGCGTCAGACATGACTGGTGCAAGTGCAATTTCATTCGCAACTTGATTCGCGTGGGCAAATGCCACATTGGCGTGATTGCCTCACACTCCTCTCTCAACACTCCTCTCCGCACGTCCTCCCTGTGACGTATAGGACTACAGCGCAGCATTTCCATCTGTGAAGAAGCCTAACACCTTGCCAGCCACAGCGCAGCCCTCGTAACGGAAGCAAGCAACATGAAATGCATGCTGCCGCGCCGAACATTGTTAACTCTGTGTTTTCTGCAGCATGAGCTCCTCTGGGTGCACAGGTGCGAGCAAAAGGGCACCTTCTTGGCTCAGCGCTCAAGGAGCTTGCGGGTCTGCTCTGAGAAGACCTTTGCAGTGCGTTACATTTCTTGCACCTTGAGCATTTTTCCCACTGCGGCCTGCACGATCTCCGAGGCACAGGCCTGTATGGCCACGTTGCGCGGAAGAATCCGAGTGAATACAAAGTGGGCAAGCTTATTGAGAGGACCCGTCACGACCCACGAGGTCCTGTCGAGAGGCACGACAAACTGATTGGCGAATTCTTGCACTGCGTCTGCCTGCGCTCAAGTTGCGCAGGCTAGCTTCAACACGCTGGTGCCGAAAAGGATGGACACTGTTCAGATTATCTCCTGCAAGAAATCGAGGTACTCAGCATCTGATGATCTCGTGAACGCATCAGAATGTTTGAATACTTTCCTTGCTCTGAATCTGGACCTGCCCTGCTGTCTCCCCAAGTGCTTGAAGACGCTGCTGAACGACACGCAAAAGCCAACGTGTATCAGAGGATTGGTAGCAAGAAGCACTACACTGCAAATCAAGACAAGGACAAGGAGAGACAAAGAAGTTTGCAGCTTCGAAACGTTTCACAACCCAGTTTTCTCCCAAGACTAACCCAGGCACCTTTGACATCCTGTGGGCACAGGCTCGGCCCCACGACGACGATAGCACGGAAAACCGAGCTGTGTTGTTGAGCTCAGGCTCTGACGTGATGACTCGCTGCAGATGACTTGCAGACCGATGATGGAAGATTTCTTGAAACACCCTCCTACAAACAGCCCCATGGCCGATTGTAAGTAGTGATTATGATGGTGGACAGTGCAACGAATTCGTCCAGAGCAATGATGTCCCACAGCAAGCACACATCAAAACGGGAATTGGATCGGCATGCCTGCCAAGATTTGCCAAGCACTCGGAAACGACTTCATGGGGCTCCTGCGACAGAAGACGCGTTTCGCTCACGAAGGCCGATGTTGTTGCTGCCCTTTACTGTCCTGCTCGATCTTCGTGCTCCTGGCTTCCTTGGCAGCGCGTGTGGCGGATCCGTAAGAAGCACGGCACATCTCACACTTGGCAGCTGAGCTTCTGCGTTCACTCCGGCGAGGTAGCTCGGAGTGACCGTGGCACCAGCAACGCAGGCCAGCACGTCCACTCCTGCGAGTCTGCTTCTGGGAGGCTCGCAGGTTTCTCATGCTTCCAGCTTCCTGCACCAGACAACTCAACGCTCAAGCCCTGCACAAACGTAGTGATGTAGGCCTGCAGAGGTGCAATCTGCAAAGCAAAGCGGCGTCACTCAATCCACTAAGCTGCTCTCTGTTTTCTCTGAAATTCTCCGGCCGCTTCTGTATTGCATCCCATGCCCAACAGCGCTGGTAGTGTGCAAGGCAGACAGCAAGCGAAGAGGCCAGTGTGATTAGTCCCTAGCCTTGGACGCTGCATAGTTCGCAACATAGGCACTGCCTTTTGCAAAAGGCAGAACCCGGACGCCGGATGGTCAATAAAACATGCAGCCAAAGTCGGTCGTGCCTACTTCACCCGCAAGAGATGACATCAACACCATTCCGCCAGTGGCGCCTGACGGTAAACAGATCTGGTCGTGTGATCCCACATACTCTCAATCAGACGAACGCTTGAACCCAAGCCGTTGATAGGCTTCCAAGCTACATCTTTCCAGCCTTGTTGTGCTAAGTAGTTTCCAAAGATGTGCGCACTTGTCAGCATGGCCCGGACATTGACGTCGATCACATCCATAGACTCACCTGCTATCCGCACAATGCGACAAGCAGTGGGCAGCTTCAACTCGAGCAAACGGCAAACAGCGCTGTTTGAAGTGCAAATCCCAGCACAAAATTGATTTATTCGAGGAATCCAACCACACCCCCCCCCTTGTTTGGAACCAAAAAGCCTGACCCCTCACTTTCCTCGATGTTATCAAACTTGTTGCGATGGACCGGTTCCTGGCCAAAAGTAAGTACAACTGAATCTAGCCAAAAGTTTTCAAGCTAGCTTTCGTTCCATCAAGTAAGCCCAACTGTTCAACTCCCGGGCCTTCCAGCAAGTACTAGAAAAACCAGAGCTCGTATAGTTTGCGAAATACCAGATTCAGAGCGCGAAAGCCTCCGAAAGACCACGTCTCACTGGCCTAGTCCTCCATCCAAGAAGGTGGTACGAGGCCCAGTTGCAGCTGCATTGAACACCAGCACTCGGACCTTCCGATTGACACAAGTCTCCCGCTCACACCATCTGTATCCGTCTCGACTCCTGCCACAGGGCCTGATGCTTCTCCAAGATCTCTGACAGCCAGGTGTCCGTCATGTTCACCAGGTCAAGGGTCCACGTCTCTATCTCAGTGTAAGCAAAAGTAGTCAGTAAACCAAATTTTGACCCAGTATGACTCCTTGCCTCCACATGACAAGTCACAGAAGAACGCGAAATGAGTTGAGTATGGTAACGTGCTGCTTGCAAGCTGCTTCAATCTCAACCTTGCTGAGCAGCGTGTCCTTCAACTTCTGCATCGCTGTGGGCTGCCTGGCCGGCCAGCCAAAAAGAGGAGAGATTGGGGAGAGGAGGGGGGGGGATTTGGGACGGCCTCGACTTTCTGGCTCGGAAGCTTTCAGGAAATTTCACACTCTTGCTGCATTTTTGCTAGAATCAGCATGAAAGGTGCCTGGCCACCAAGATCAAGTTCAGCTTTAGAGCAGCCAGCTGTTGAGCCCACGCCTCACATGCAAAGCAGCCCGCATCAGCTTCTCATCAGGCTCCTGATTACCTTTGATAGCAAAGCGGTCTGCATTGGGCCGTTTTCAATCCACGCATGAGACGTTAGCGTCGGGACAGGCCGTGATCTTCACTGAAGAGCGAAGCAAAGGCACCATTCAATCTCTATAAATCTACATTCATGAAGTGACTTTGAATCTCTTCGAAGGTGAGCGTGCCACTTCTATCTTTGTCCATGGCTACAAACAGCTGGTCGATCTGTGCAAACGCTGCCTCAGACACAAGTCCCTCGCGCAGAAGGATGTACTTTTGGAACTCCTGGCATAAGAACCACTGACTGGCACCATCCCAAAGAGAACCCGTCTAAAGGCATGTCTCTAAAAACCATTCTGGGGCGTTGGGTTGTTGTTTAGAGCTTCACAGCGGGAGGCGCCTGTTATGACAGTAGAGGCTGCCAAGGGGAGACGGTCAACCGAGATGGCGCCGTGGAGGTCATCGAGGCTTGGCCAGGGGGACCCACAAGTTGAGGGCGCGGGGCAGATGTGGACAAAGGGGAAAGAAAATAAGGACAGCAATATCGAGTTGACAGGGAGGGTGCGGCAGACGGGGGAGGTATAGGCTGACGGGGGCTGGGCGAGGCGTGGACAACGAGGGCGGAGAGCGCGGTATCCCGGTTGATGGGGAGGGGTAGCGGCGGTCAACCAGGAAGGTGTGGTCAGATGGAGGAGAGGCGTGGACAAGGGAGCCAGCAAGAAGAATGGGGCCCATACGAAGACTGAATAGGTCAACGGAGGACTTGATGGGCCAGCGTGGTCAGACGGAACTTGATGGGGCGGGTCCTGCCGGAAGAGGCTATACGAAGACTAGACTGTCAATGGAAGACTTGACGGGGCCGGCGTCAGACGGAGGAGAACTTCACGAGGCTAAAAGAACTTGCAGGGTGGATCCTGACGGAAGAGGCTACAACACAAAGGCAAAACAGTCAACGGAGGACATGACGGGGCCGGCGTGGTCACACGCAGGAGGCTACGTGACAGAAGATGAAACGGGGCCGACGTGGGAAGTGGTGAAGAGAATTGTCGTGCGAGCCCCACTGTTGCATGCATGTTTTTGCCGACGGGTCAATTACCGTCGTGCGTTTTGCACACTTTTGACTGCGGTTGGTTGGGCGGATGTTTTTGGTTTGGGTTTGGGATGTTTTCCGGGTTGCGGCTTGATCTTGTTTTCTTCGGATCCCCCTCCCCCTTCCCAGCCCCCCAGCAACTTCTGTTTTCGCCGTGGCCTATCTTGCTTGTACCCACCCTAAAACCCCGATGGCCACAAAACAACGGAGCCCCCCGTGGAGCCAGTAGTGCTAGGCATCACTGGCAAGATGTTTCTCTGGCAAAATCTTCGCGATGACTCAACATGCGGCTCACACGAAAAGAGATCGCACCTGCACTTTGCAAAACAAACTGGCAGCCCTCGGTAAACGTTGCGTTGGTAGGTTGGCACGGGTGCATTGCTCAACACTTAAACCGCCCGCAAGTTTGTTTTACAATGTTTTACATACAAGCACTTACAAGCATGCGACCAGCACTCCTGCATGTCAATTTCACCGGTGTTGTCGGTGTCGATGTGGTCAAAAAGGGCCCGTGTAACACGGGTTTGCCGCTTCTTCCCAGAAGTGTAGCCGGCAATCACTTTGCTGACAGCAGCAACCACATTTCCAAAGGACAACACACCAAGAAGCATCCATACGGAACCTACAAGACGTCCCAGTTGAGTCTTGGGACTGTAGTCACCAAACCCAACAGTCGAGAAGGTGATTACGGCCATGTACACTGCCTCGACAGGGGTCAATGTGTACCCACCTGTCTCTGGACACGTCTCGCTCAGACAGCCATCCGCATGAGTGGAACCATAAGAGCAGGTGCAAGCCTCATAGGTTGCAAAGAAGGTGGCCCAGGTGACAACAAAGAAAAGGTAAATTGAAACGGCATGTGCAAGGTCCTGCCAGACAGAAGGTTTTGCAGGTTTCTTGTCTTCGGAAGGTATCAGCTTTGATCGCACCTTGCTCAGCGACTCATCAAAACTTTGCTCTGCCTGTTGCATCAAAATGTCACAGAGGCTATTGACGATGTTCGCAACCAGCAAGGTGCCCAGGAGGACATAGACAGTCATGAATATTTTGCCGTGATGAGTGACAGTGATGTCTCCGTACCCGATTGTGGTAATGATCTGTACCACGACATAGAAGGCGGTCAGCGGTGTCCACTCCTGTTGCACGGACAGAAATGCGATGCCCGCAGCCAAGTATATCGCCAGAGCCAGTGCGTTGATCGTTCGGGGGTAGCGAATCATGAAAGGGAGAGTCTCTTCTATGGCAGTATCAGAAGACTCATCCGAATCCTCCTCTGATGCCAACGCTTCATGGGAGCAGGAAGCATCCCTCATCACAAACTGTCAAACAGGGCACTTACAGACTCGTCCTGAGCCAGTGCTATTGCAGCGACAGGCATTTAGTATAGTCATGCATCATGCAAGTTTCAATCACACGACATTGCTCTGAGAGACTAGAAATGCCAGGGACATTCCGCAGAGCCTCACCCAAACCATGACTGCCACCAAGCACGAGGGCCCAATGGCCCGGCTTGACATAGCCTGCCGCTGCTGAGCTCAGATGTCCTTGCAACGAGTGCAAATTCTTGCTAGCCTCCTTCCGAAATGTTCACGGTGACAACAACTGCTGACAATAGTCGGTGCGACTGCAGCAGGTAGGCAAGGATGGCTGCAAGGATCGCAAAGATTCGGAACGCCATCCTGGCTCCAGCAAGAGAGCATGCGCAAACGCTCAGGGGCAACAATTCAAAAGTATTGAACATGCGCAAGAATGACAGGCATGATTGGAAGGCTCCTGGTTGAAGCTGGACAAGGTGGGCTCTACAACTCATGCTCATTCCCATGCACCATGTGTTATCATGCTCTCAGCTCCGTATCCCCGGCTCCTGCGAGTCATGAATGCTTGCCACATGGCTGGCTGGCTCTACTGGGCTCTACAGGCAGACTCTGTTTACATCTTGCACCACATTGCCAGGACGTCTCAAAGAAGCTGGCGCAGCAGATGTCGACCATACTTCTCTTGCTGGGTGAGCAGCAGCAGCCACCAGTGATCGCATGAAGCATGTCTGGAAACAAAAAGCTAACAGTAAAGGGCAACGCAGTGCTCGGAACCCTGCCATCTGCCGGACGGTGTCCGTCTTGCGTTTGGCCAACATGACTCTGGCGCGAGCCTGCGAGGCAAGGCACAACTCGCCCCTGCAGGAGCAGATTAGGAGCGGAGTGGGAGCGGAGTGGCTCGGAGTCAGAAACCGGCTCGGGTCCTGAATCTGCGTTGCAGCCTCGGTCTGCCTCCTGCAAGCACTCGCCAATGCATGCAGTTCCGCAGTTCTGCGACCGCGACATGAAGCCCACGTACCACGTAAGCCAACAAAGTCCACCCAGGCCTGAGGCTGCTTCTCACAGCTCTCCCACGAGCCAGCGCCTTGGGCAAGCTTGATGCAGCTCGCCTCACGACATTGTGAAGCACTGCGCCATGCGCCGTGCCTGCACTTTGGCAGCGGAAGAATGGGCGATCTCGCTGATTTGCCTCCAGCGTTTCAACCAGTCTGCTCAGACAAACGTTCCCGTGCCTCGCTGCATCTCATTGCATCTCTAGACTATCTTACAGGCAGACTTCGCCGACGCATGCATATCCGAAACATTCCGAAGCAAGCCGGCGCCTCTTCAACTTGGCTCTTGTCATGCTGCCCCTGGCAACCTTCTGGATCTTCACGGCGGCATTGTTCCTAAGCGAGGCAGCTCTCGGCATTCTGGCGGAATTACAGCAAAATGCAACAAGGGCCCGGCTCCACGAAGGCGCGGCGTTCCGCATGGCTGGGATCTTCGATTCCTGAGCTGAGAGTGGCATCGAAGCAAAGAAGCAAAGGCAGTGCTGAAGGCTTTTTAGACTCGGGCCGGAGTCCCCCTCCACTCCTCAGAGAACTCTCACAAAGGATTCGCAACGCACGGAGCACACGTCTTCAATCGTCCGTGACTCAACAACTCCGCAACAAAAGGGTGCCGGAAACTTGGGATGCTCAGCGCGGCACCTTCACAGGCCTGCACAAACTCCTGCACAGTCTATGCACAGCAACACGGCAGAATAGGGCACGCGCACAAAATCTCACGCCCCGCGACAGCCCTGACATGTCGCGACAGCATGGTCTGGCGCTGCCACCTCCAGCTGTGACCCGACTATGGACACCACGACCTTGCCACTGGTCTCCTCTCAGCAAGCAGGTAGTTCAGGCAGTCTCGCGACTCGCAGCGGCAGGTAGTTTTCAAGAGCCCGTGCTTCTTCCACTGTCGCCCGGCAGTCTCCGGGCCTCTGAGACATGGGAGACATCAGAGCCGCCCTCACGGTCGTAGTCCATGGGCATAGGGCTGCTCCATCTGCCGCGAGCACATGAGAGCCCCATGCAGTTCTACGCAGAATGCCCTTCTCGCATGAACCTGGCCCCGCCTGGAGCTGAGACCCGCATCCAAAATGCCAGCCAAGACCTTGGAGATGGAGTCAGCTCTCTCATCTACTTCTGCAGGCGACATGCAGCCAAGCTGAGGGCGGCATTGCTCTCCTCCTGCACTGTCAAGAAACTGAACCCAGCAGAACGCGGATGAACATGGCAGAACAAGTCGCCTGCAGCCAGTTACAATGTGACAAGAACTATCGGCCTCACATTCCGCTTCCTTTGAGCAAGCCTCGACACATTCTGCACCAGGTCTTTCAAGGTGTGCCCAAAATTACAAAGGCTTTCTCTCTGCGCCCCAGAAATCTCCCAGCCTCTGAAACAGTCGACCCTCCATCCAAGACCACAACAACTGGCCTGATCCATCCGACAAAAGCTCACATGGGCCGATATGATTCAATGTGAGTCCTAGGCCGCACCTTGAGCTCAGGCTACCCTCCAACACGCCAGGCGAGACCTTGCAGCTGGCTTCAGCTCCGATCAGCAAAGCCGTTTACCTTGACAGGAAACCCATCGGAGGGCAGGACGGCCTCGCTCTCCACCTCCACCTAACCCAGTGAAGCAGAAGCGAGCAGCACGTCAATGCAGAGAGGTTGAGTGGTTTTTTGGTCTTTTGTACGACGATGGCCCTCCAACAGCCTCAATTCTGTTGATGTTGCAAGACAGCAACGCCCAAAGAAAAGGATGCAGCATTGTGAGCATGCAAAACACACACTGACAAATCGAGAACAGAACGCCATCCAAATACGATTTTCATGCAATGAACCAGCCGCGGCATGTAACCTGACTCATCCCTCTTTGCATGACACAAACCTCCCTTGCTAAACTACGGGCGACAACCCCGATAACGGAAGGGCAAAACAGCTGCCGTCTCCAACCTCGGAAGCATCCAAGCTTACCTCCACGACCACCGGCCTGATCCATGTGCCACAAGCTCACATGGGGCCAATATGACTCAATGTGGGTCGTTGTGAAATGCCCTTCCCACATGCCCTAGGCCCACCTTGGGCTGAGACTGCCTTCTGGGCTGAGACTGCCCTCCAAGATACCAGGCGAGACCTTGCAGCTGGTTTCGACATACCGAAAAGGCCGCCTACCTGATAGCCGAGCAAAGAGCGGCATCTTGTTCGGCCTCCACCGAGCAGTACGAAGCCAAATTTTATCTGCACTGTGCCCAAAAAAGTTCCCTGCCTCTGCCTCTTGCTCAGCTTCCTTCGGGCCCGCCTCTCAACCGCACAGTCCATGTTTGAAGGATACCAAAACAATTCAAAAGTCACCTCGAACTTCTCTGTGTAAAAAATGCTCTAAGCCCCTGCACACGCCGTACTGAACGCCTGATCTGCACCCGCCCGCCGGTCGGACCGGCGGCTGGCACCCGGGGTCGGTGTGGGAGGGAACTACAACACGGCGGCTAGAGCGGTTGCGACGTGTGCCTACACCGCTACGCTTGTCCCTGATTACACAAGACACGACATGCGCCGCTAACACGAAATCTCCAAAACCGGCAGACGTGCAGACGAAATCTTTTGCGTCGAAGCGCACCGCGCGCTCGGGCTGCACGGTCCGCCGCAATTCCGCGCCGGCGCGGGGCCGGCACACAGCACCCGCACGCGCGCAGACGAAAGCTTTTGCGTCGAAGCGCACCGCATGTTCGGGCTGCACGGTCCGCCGAAATTCGGCGCCGGCGCAGGGGGCACGTATAGCACACGCCAGGCGCACCCCCTGCCCGCTACGCGCCGGCGCTCAGACACCACTCAGAAGACACACACAACTTGACGAGGTCGTCGCCCCGCGTCGGCGGCGTACTCGATGCCCGACGCTGCCTTCCCGAGCACCTGCATGGTAGATCCGACGGGCACGGCGACGGCCTTTGAGAGGCTGTGCACCGAAACCGCTGGGCGTAGACCGCACACGTCGGAATTCCTTGAACCAACAGTGTCTGGCGGCTTCCCAAAAGGATGACCGAACGCTGCTGACTGCCGGACCCTTCCAGTGACCCTTGCGAAGGCGCCGACGTCGACGTTCGGGAACGTCAAAGTCGACGTGAATGTGGAAGGTGGACGAGGAAGATAGCGAGGGCGCGACTGGCGCCGACTTGAGGATTGGCGGCGCGGCATGGTCACGACAACGAGGTCGAGGACCGAGGCTCTGGACGACGGTCTCTTCGGCCTCGTCGTTGAAACGGTCGCCAGAGATCTCCTCCATTACTTGGCCACAGCGCACGGGTGGCATTCGCGAACCGCCGCGGCAGCGGCAAGATCCACTCCGAGGTCGTTGTTGGCACCACCAGCATCGGCTGGCGGAGGCTGTCGCCGCCGCACCAGCCGCCTGCTCCAAACCATGCGTGATCACCATGCGTGATCACCATGCGTGATCACCACTCCCCAAGCCGCCGCGGCGTCGTCGAAGAGTAAGGAGGCGCCAAATGGCGCGCCACGACGACGCGTTCGCACGCCTCCGTTGGGACCTCCCCGAGGCCAAAAGACATGGCGGCGTCGAAGGTCCTACAAAACTGTTGCAACTGCCGTCCCAGAGCCCCCTTTCTAGATGCCCCCTTCCCAGATGCCCTCTTTCCAGATGCCCCCCCCCCCCCCCCTCCCAGATACCCCTCTTCCCACATGCCCCTCAGCCCACTCACAGCCCTTCTCCCCTGGCGGCGCTAGTGCCGGCTGCTTCGCACTGCTGGAGGGCACGTTCCTCATGTCTCCTGCTCACCTGTGGCCAGTTCTGCCACGGATCCTTCTTCTTGAATCCTGAACTTCCCCCCCCCCGAGCTGGGAGCTGAAAAGTAGCTGAAAAGTGGTGGCTAGAGCAGCGAGAGGCTGCGACGTGCGTGAAAGTTGTGACATGTGCCTACGCCGCTAGGTTTGTTCCGACACACAAGACTGTGTTACCCGACCAATTACGCAGAACAGACACGCACAGAGCAACACCTAGGCACAAGCTCACAAAAGTTGACGCGTGTGTTGGTCATTTGTTCGACGGCAGACACCGGTGACTGCATCCAGCACTCAACAAAATCTTTGAACAAATAGCTCTACTCAAGATGGTTCTTCGAGCGCTCCTGCCTCCGCTTCCGGATGGACCGATGTCCTTAGTGTAAGTTAATGGTGGACATGATGTGGCCATCTTGCGTCGCCGAAGGAACAGGTCTCTTTCTTCTGGCAAACAAGCCGCTCTTCAAGGTGTCCTTGCGGAGGTTCTCCGTGGTTCCTTGCCTTCCAGACGAAATTGCAAGAACGACGCTTGAGTTATTCCCGTCGCCAGCCAGATGGATTGGTCTTCCTCAATACTCACATGCGTTAGGCCGTTAGGGGCTTAGTGTCATTCTGTGAACAGGACGTCCTTCTGGCCTTCTGCTTTCGCAGTCGCAGCCTTGCCAGAAATCCACGGCCCAGCTTGTTGATCAACCTGCCAGCTGACTTCGGTCTGAAGCCAAGACTGCTGATAGAACGAGCGTGCGCACAAGCCTGGCCATCTGGCGGACGGTGTCCGTCTTGCGTTTGGCCAACATCACTCTGGCGCGAGCCTGCGAGGCAAGGCACAACTCGTCATTGCAGGAGCAGATTGGGAGCGGAGTGGCTCGGAGTCAGAAACCGGCTCGGGTCCTGAATCTGCGTTGCAGCCTCGGTCTGCCTCCTGCAAGCACTCGCCAATGCATGCAGTTCCGCAGTTCTGCGACCGCGACATGAAGCCCACGTACCACGTAAGCCAACAAATTAACAAAGTCCAGCCAGGCCTGAGGCTGCTTCTCACAGCTCTCCCACGAGCCAGCGCCTTAGGCAAGCTTGATGTAGCTCGCCTCACTGAAACATGGTGAAGCACTGCGCCATGCGCCGTGCCTGCACTTTGGCAGCGGAAGAATGGGCGATCTCGCTGATTTGCCTCCAGCGTTTCAAACAGTCTGCTCAGACAAACCTTCCCGTGCCTCGCTGCATCTCATTGCATCTCTAGACTACCTTACAGGCAGACTTCGCCGACGCATGCTTCACAACTGCACGTTCACGTATCCGAGGCATTCCGAAGCAAGCCGGCGCCTCTTCAACTTGGCTCTTGTCATGCTGCCCCTGGCAACCTTCTGGATCTTCACGGCGGCATTGTTCCTAAGCGAGGCAGCTCTCGGCATTCTGGCGGAACCCATGCCGGCCCCAGGCAAACATTCTCAAAATGGCCCACGTGACCGCGCTTACAGCAACTGCAGCAAGGGCCCAGCTCCACGAAGGCGCGGCGTGCCGCATAGATGACCTTGCTCCAAGCACTTGCAGGTCGGTGCCAGATGTCATGCAGAAGAGAGGGGAAGAAAGCTTTGGCCATGAGAGCCGGGCTCGAAACGCCATCCTCTTCTTGGCATCACTGGTGGGAGAGCCTCGGCTTTAAGTGACAGCTGCACAACTGCACTACTTGCAAGACTCTGCGACGTAGCTTCAGGGCAAAATCACATCCAGGTAAAGGATTTACCGTTTACCGCTGCCTCTGAGGTCGCGTCATACCCCAGATGAAGCCTGGTCACAACCGCTCTCTCGACATGACAGGCAGCTGGGCTTGTATCAGAGCACATTCACTGCCCCTGAAAGTCATGATGCATCCCGGCTCAAGCTTCAGCTTCACCAAAATGCCACGCCTCAAGCAAACGCTGCCGACGCATCTCCCGAGCCAACTCCTCAACGCTCCAAGCAGAGGGTCGTGGCAAAAATGGACTTCGCTGCTGCTCAGCGTTTCGTCAGGTACACTCCCTGTGATCTCTGTGTGCGCAAATACGACTCACGTGCTTTCAAAGTTCGGTGCTCGTGGCTTCAGAAGTCTCCCCCAAGTTAGCCTAGTTCGCTGAACACCTCTGGCTACGCAGATTCTTTGGCCCAAGCTTCATCTACCTTTCTTGGTTGTGCGCTTTGTGAGAATGCCTACGAGAACAGAGCTAACACCGACCTGCCAGTGCCGTTTGGGGTGGGCCCAGAAAGGAGCAAGAGATAAAGAGAGAGAGAGAGGGAGAGAAAGAGAGAGAAGGAGAGAGAAGGAGAGAGAAAGCAAGAGAGAAAGAGAGAGAAAGAGCGAGAAGGAGACAGAGAGAGAGAAAGAGAGAGAAAGAGAGAAGGAGAGAAGCGGGGAGAAGCGGGGAGAAGCGGGGAGAAGCGGGGAGAAGCGGGGAGAAGCGGGGAGAAGCGGGGAGAAGCGGGGAGAAGCGGGGAGAAGCGGGGAGAAGCGGGGAGAAGCGGGGAGAAGCGGGGAGGAATCAGAAAATGTCGCCTCTCTCTGAGCGCTAAACACAGCGCAAGGACAGGGGCACTCCTCGGAGGTCCACTGTCGCACCAAGTAGCCGCGAATGCCTGCCTGCAGGTCAAGTTCTCCACATGTCGGCCCAAGTCGAGATGGACCCTTCGGGTGGAAAGACCTCTGTTTCACTCTTAAGGCGGACCTGAATGCAAGTGGCTGCTTGATGTCTCCTGCAGTCCGTTGGCGTTGGAAGGCCCTTCTGTCTGCGTTTATCCAGCCTGCCAGACAAAGAGCACGGAGCAGTTTGTCATGAGTTTTTGCTTACTGAGACCGTATCGAAAGCCTGTCGCGCAGGATGGTTATGGCTTGCATTCGCTGTGGCCTAGGTCACAAAAGCTTTCATCCTATCGTCTTGTTGCTTTGCCCCTCCGTCTTACTAACAGTCTCAGATGGGTCAAATGCCGCGTCACACGATCAGCACTCAAGGAGAAAACATGACGCTTCACGCACTTTCTTGGACACATTCGATGATGTTGCCAGTTAGAACTAGCTTCGGCAAATACCGAGCCCAGCACTCCAAGGCGGTCTGGCCATGACCATCAAGCAGTTGTAACCTCTCAGAGATGTTTGGTAGCGTTGCACACAACAAGGTGCACTTTGGTCTTACACCAGCACCAGCCTGCGGTGATGATACTCCCACGATGCAACCACCTCAGGCCTCAGATGAGCTGAGACCGAAACCCCTGGAACCTTGAGCGAGCTAGGATGTGAGGGATTCCCCGAACCGACCTTTGCAGCTGACGTCGGCTATGGCGCACTGAACCCGCTCACAGTATCGCGCGCCGGCGCGCCCCAGACCGTAGCTGACATGCCTATGGAGATCGAAGTCCTTAACGCTTACTACGTTGACAGCGGGGGTTATGCCGCTCAGATGGCAAATCCCTCATCTGACACAACCATCAAAAACAAATGCTCACGGCACAGATATTCAGAAGAATCTGAGGCCCCAACGGTGCTCCAGGCCTTTGGTCAGAAAGGCAATGCCGATCTAGAGTCTTTGTCCGAACCTTTTTCTGGGAAGACTGGGCAAAGCCTGAGGACACAACGGAGGCGGAACGATCTGGGCGGGTGCCAAAGGGAGCGGCCTGATGAACAAGCTCGAGAAAAAGATCGATCTTGCATCTCCGCCTTTCACCAGCGAGGCTTTGGCTGGGCGATGGTTGCCTCGGGCATGAATGCGGCATGAACACTTACAGCAGCACCTCTTGGCCGCAAACAAGCCCAACTCGGCTGGCTCGCACCAGGGCTTTTGCGCCAGGGCCCGCACATCAGTCCGTGCATCAGTGAGAGCTGCCTGCGTCCTCGGCACGGACAAAAAACCTTGCAATCAGCAACAATAGGAGGTAGCAAGCTAAAGAGACTCCATGAGATTCCAGCCCTTCAGCCTCCAAGATGAGTCCTGTCACCGAGCAAAAAGCTCACGACAACTCCCGACGATGCCACAAAGCGCCTGTGTCTCCGCGAGGACTGGCAGCCTGCCGAAGAGCACGTGCTTCCACCATCGGTTGTGCCCCGTGCGCCTGGAACAAAGCGGCAACTTTTATTTCAGGAGGTATCAACTCTTGAGCATGCAACACACTCGCGAGCCTGCTGCGCCAGAATGGGCGAGCCGGCATATCCCTCTGTCTCTAGCAGCTTCGGATGGGTTTCCCACCAACCTTGGCTCTTCCAAAACACGCTTCCACCACGTGAAAGCGCCCCCCTTGCTTCCGGGTAACGGCCGGTGACCTTGGCTCCGATGGCTGGCAACCTGGCATACATCTGCCTTGGTTCAGGTGACTATGTGGCCGTGTCCAGCTCAGCTCTCCGAACTGTCCGAGCTCCCGGACTGCTTTGGCCTGGCAAGATGGATCTACGGGCAGAAGGAGCGCAATCATGCGCAAAAGCCCACCTCCCGAGGAAGCCGCTTCACAGCCACAAGAGAGGCCACCCTCCCCTTTTCAGAGCCTTGTTGATAAGATCCCTCCCCCTGCTCCAGAAGCCCGCATCGGGGGACCCGAAATGTTTGGCTCGGCCCCAAAGACTTCGATTTTGCCGTGGCCACAGCTGTGGTGCACTCCTTCTCGACAAACCCCACCGCTGAACGATTTCATTGACCAAGAAGTATGCGCAACACATGGGGCAAACGCAGCGGACCCTGTGGCGGCGTTTCTCCGTAGTGTCAAACTGCAAACAAGATATGGGGGCACACAGGGAGCATCTGCAAGACGCTGAGGCCTGCGGCTGCGGACCCGCGGCTTTTCGGGAGGCCGTGGATCCACTGGCCTCTCCACTCTCCAGACCGGCTTGTAGTTTCGACATATCATGTTTCAGAAAAGCACTGAGAAACACGCATAAACACGCACTCTCATTCTTGAGACCTGAGGCGCCGCAGCGTGATCTGCTTCTGGTCAGCCAGGATCTCCTGCGCCTCGGACTAAAGAAAAGAGCCAAGAGCATCGAGAGGACTGCTGATGACTGCTGACAGTATCGAGGGATAAACCCGCGTAGCATCCGCTTTGGCAAGCTGGACCTTCTGCCAGGGATGGCAATGGCCGTCCTGGCTTCGCTCACTATGATTTTCAAGTCTCAGCTACACAAAGCTTGGTTTCAGTGGACTTTGGGTCCTGAAAGTGGAAGAAGACAGGAGACGACTCCACAACCGCGGCCGTCGTGCGAAAACGTTCAGCTGACGCCTTGAGATTTCCCCGCAACTTGGACAGATGTTCCACCGCAACTTCACGCCACAGCTACGGCATCCTACCGAGTGCTACCGTGTTCAATTGTTACTCTACCGTTTCTTGTCCCACACCTGGCCTTGCGATCGAGCCTTACCTGGGCCTCGGCCTGCACTTCCTTCATCCTCGTCGTCAGCGCGTGGGACCTTCCGGAGGTGGGACTCAAGTGGGCCCAAGCTCGGCGGCTTAAAATGAGACAGAGCAATCGTTGCCACAGACAGCAGCAACGCATGTTCATTGCGGCGCTCTGCTAAACTCACTGCCAGCGTCATCCGACTGTGGACAGCACGAACCAAGTTTGTTCGTCGCCACGGCAACGGAACGCTGCAAACACTGGAGGCCTAAAGTGTCAGCAATCTGCCAGAGCCATGAGCTTTCTCGCATCACGTGCTGGTCACTCCAGTGGACTCCAGCTTTTTTGCAGATCAACAGGGCCCGGGACTGCTGGCGAAATGCTTGAGGTGCAAGTTCTCGACAAACATGTTGTAGTGAGCAACCTGTTCACTGATGCATTCCACCACAATGGCCCCTTCTGAAACTGCATATGAGATTGATCCTCCAAATTCGGCAAAAAAATGTGTAACCGACATCGAGCCAAATCGCAACACAAAGATGAGGAACCTAAAGACCAAAAGCAGACAAACGCCAAATGTGGCCACAAAAGCAGCGGCAGAAGGGAAGGCAAGGAGGGATAAAAGGAGGGAGCCCTTTCCCAATACTAAACCAGAGACGTGACAGAGAAAAAATAAGCGAAGGGAAGGAAACGGGCTCGCTGCAACGCGATGCCGGGCGATCGTAACTTTCTATAGAAATATATACATTAGTGGGGGCAGGTGAATGATGCCCGCGCTGTTCGCTATTTGAACTGGCATCGTGGTCCTCCAACTGTCGTCGTTCTTGCCTCCGTGTTTCCGATGTGCTCTTTGTTCGGGAAATGTGAAACTGACAGCACTGTTGGACGTCTGTGTTTCCGAAATGCAAACTGGGCGCCTTTGTTCGCGAACTTGTCGTCTGTGTATGTGTGTATATATACAGACATATATATATATATATATATACATATATATATATATATGTCCCTATATATACACATATATATATATACATATATATATATATATGTCCCTATATACACACATATATATATATACTACATATATGTATATATGTATATATAGTATATATACATATGTGTGTATATATCTACATATTTATTTTATATTCATATTTATCTATATATTTAGTTATGCATTTATTTATGTACTTATATATAAAAACACATATAAACACGTCATGTGGCCAGGAAAGCCGCTCTGAGCGCCAGACCACGAGCAGCTGAGAAGTTTCCCTCGGCTCCGGCTTCTCAGTCGCCCCCTCCGAGTTTGTGTGAATCGCGCTTGGGGGTTTTGGGTTTGGGGTTTAGGGTTTAGGGTTTAGGGTTTAGGGTTTAGGGTTTAGGGTTTACGGTTCAGGGCTTTCAGGTTTTTGGGCTTGTCTAGCGTTGGGTTAACAGCGGATCTCCTGCCTCAGCTTCCTCATGTCGTTGATGGTCGTGCAGGACAGCGACGGCCTGGATGCCCCTAGACCAGCCCTCACCTTTGAGGTTGCTGACAAGGATCACCCCATTGCCACTTCAACTGCTTTCACACGCCACATGCTCTGATATGGCATTCCTCGACTGACTCCCATGGAAACTCCAAAAGAAGCAACGCCGCAGAATGCCATCCCAAGGTGCTCGTTCCACGTGCTCTAATGCTTCGTGGTGTCGGCCTCCACTGCTCGATTGTTAGCCATGAAGGGCCACTTTTGAGACTGCACGATGTGGTAAAACACTACGAGCATCAGACCATGAAAGGGTGGGGTGTGCTCTGCACATGCATGTCATGTGGCTCTGAAGGTTGAAATGAGCTCGGCTCCGCTGTTGCTGAGAAGAACTGCATAGTTCAGGTAGCTGCTGGCCTGAGGAGAGATTCACACATGTGAGTTATGATGACTCATGACCGTGCAGTACGAGTACAACATAGTACAACAGGCTGCCACCCCCACACATGTAGGCTAGCGGCCGGACTGTCGGCTTCCTTGTACCGCTGTTCGATTCTCAAGGCCTTCTCTGCAAACCTGCGTATGTGACTACAGAAGCAAGCCCGGCAACAGAGCCGCTGTGCACTCGTGTGCAGGCCAAGAAAAGACGAGACGATGTCTGGCTCAACTTTTGGATCCAGCGGCTGGAGGGCAGCATTCAGCTTTCCTCTTGTACGGTAGTAGCCTTGGCACTGGAAGATGATGTTCGGCAGTTGATTCGGCAGTTGAAACGTGCCAAACCACGCCAGCTTGCAGGCAAGGTGCAGCAAAGGTTGTTGAACGTCGCAGCACGAAGAGCTACTCGACGTTTGAAGTTGGGCACGTTGTCAGCTTCTGTCATGGCCTGCAACTTGCAGCTAGGAGCCGATGTCCCTGGTCAGACAAAAATCGCCCCTGCCTCAGCCTTCTTGAAGAGCTCCAGGGCAGCAGTGAAGTTGCCTTCAACCGGATCTACTTAGTCGCACGAAATGCGGTGAAACGTCGTACGCTCGCCTGTGCTCAAGCAGTGCACACCCCAAGTGTTGCATGAAACCACCTCAGCAGGACAGCACAAAGTACACACAAAGTACACCATGCAGATCTGACTTCAAGCCTAGCACAAGTCGACAGCGATGGACATCTAAGGCAATTGAAGCTTTTCTGACTCACTGTGAAGCCGGTGTCTCCCGTAGCAATCACGAAGATCGTTTCTGAAGTATCGTGTCTGCCAGGATGAATGATGCGCAGGTCCCAAAATTTCAGAGACTGCTGTGTTCTTCGCTGGTCCCACTGAATACTGAATTCAGGCGTGCTGCTTGTCCCTTTCTCCGGCTATTACCGACAAAGACTGGCAGCGTGGAAGACTGGCAGCGTGGGAAAACAGGGGCAGGTTTCAACGAAAGCTGGATGCAGCAGCTTGCCGTAGGTGCTACGGGCCCAGGCCGACCCAAGCTGGCAAGCTGTGAGAAAAATCCAGATATTAAATCAGATGTGGTCAAGCACATCCCTTCGATTTCTACTCCTTCACTGTCGGTCTGAATCGCCAGAATGCCGCTTCAGGCCCCTTTGAGCAGGAGTCGGCATTGAATGTGCACGAATCGCCACACGAGGAAGAAAAAAGTCGGACTGAGGTCAGGGCTCAGGAACGTCTGCGAACTCGAGGGGTCCTGATTCATCGATGCCATGGAGTAAAGGACCCCTGCATGGCGCAGCAAAGTCAATGTCAGAGAACCCGCCCAGCCTGCTCCTTCTCAGGTCTCTGGATGGTCTGCTGTTGCGCCAACTTTTTGAAAAGATGTGCACGTGGAGGCTCCAGACCGAGGGCTCGAAGTCGCAGAGCTGCTTGTCGAGCCTCTTCTGGCTGAAGAGGCTCCAGGTGCAGCGACTTTCTCATCGAGGCTCCATCCTTGGGACGTGCTGCAGGATACAGCATGCAAGCTTAGGAGAGGCGATTCGCAGTGCCCGACACCCAAATTGCTGAGGGTTGCGCACTCCGGTATGTGCTGCCCATTGCGTCGTCTCGTGTCAAGGCCAGCACTTTTGCCGCACCCCCCTCCCTGCTAGAGCCTATCGTCAAGCGGCCACCACATGGCACAGCGTGTGCGAAGTGCAGACTGCGCATGACTGCGCCATAAACAGACAGCTTCGCATGTCGCGGATGTCAGCGAATCTACTTGGTGCCCGGGCATACTTCTGAATTGAAGCCAAGAGCTCCTCGTGCTCGTCTCCAAGCAGCTGCTGCCGAACACAGATCGCCTGTTCGGTGCTAAGCCGTCGCGGGATGATTTCAATTATGTTGGCCGCGGGCCCCTCGGAACCGGCACAAGTACCAAGCCTGCTACAAACTGGACATGCAGGAACCCCAGACACTAAATGATACTGGTGCTTCGAGCTCATCCCTGCAAAATCTTGAGTTTGGAAAGTGGATTTGAGAGCGTCTCATGCTTTCACCTTCAATTGGGGCTAGCACAATAAACTGCTGAGTTTGCATGTATTGGGATAGGGTTTTGGATGTTAAGTGTTGGGCGTACTTGGGACGCTTACGCTCTTCGGGTTTGCGGATGCCGTACGCGGTGTTGGACATGCGGTTTGGAGCGCTTGACCGTGCTTCGCAAGCTGAATGCGCGATCCTGGGGCTAACCTGGAAACGATACACAGAAACAAAAAGAAAAAGCTGAGGTTGGTTCAAGCTGCTAGAAACAGCACCCCAACAACGAAATGCAAGCACACGGACGCTTCGGCCGCAAACCCCGAACCAAATCTTCACTCCCAAGCAGCGTCGTTTTCAAAAATTGTCGTTTCGCGTTGGGCCTCAAGGTTTCAGGATGACTTGGTGACGCTATAAGTTTCTGTGTGGTCATTAGATGCTTAAGGCCTGTAAGACTTACCATCCTTACATCCATAGGCAAACAAACATCTTTCAAGCCCAGCACCTGTTCCAGATGCTCTGCGGCATCCACGAAACGTCGGTGAGTGGCACAGAACCTTGACACAAGAGAACACGGGAGTATTGGGAGTATGCGCCTTACAGAGCTTCAAGTACCAGCTGCGCAATGCAGCTTGTGACCTGGGACAGGCCTGCACAACTCCCACCCAAGTCCCGAACGATGAGTCTGATTCCGCCTCCTCTATCGCGATAACGTCATCCTCAACATTCTACAACTAGTTGCGCGGTTGACGAACGACAATCTGTGCCCAAATGCCAGGTTGTCGACATGCTGATGAAGGTCTTCCGGCACCTTGTGCGAGAAAAGCTGACGAGAGCTAGCCCACGAAGTGGAGTGGAAATGTTGCCGTGAGCACTGCTCACACAGCACAGCTGCCGACACGCGAGCTAGAAGTGCGAGTTTGACTGGCTGCTCATGGGATCCCTACCACTCGGTTATTGTGTGTACACGACCGGAGTCATCTTTACTGTGGGCTCATGTGCTGTGATATGTTGCATGAAGATAAGGATAGTACGGGTGATGACCTAACTCTGGCCGAGACACAATGCTCTTAATGTCCTTGAGCAGAACGTCGTCCTCCTGAATGGGACTGCCTGGGCATGCACTCACTTCCCACACATGCAATCTGAGAGGCTGGTACGTCTCAAGACAACGTGACTACTATCAACTCGCTGGCCAGTGATGCCGGTAATGTGTAAGCAAGCAGAAGCCTGTAAGGTTATCGCCTAGCCATATTGGCAAGGCCACCACAGAAAGGACCTCGCCACGTGGTGCTGCTTCGTCGTCCGATGTTGCATGCTAGCAGCTGCTACGAGACCATGCCTCAGATGGTGTCTCCGAATGATGCTTCAAGCGCCGACGAGGAGCCGCCTGGCAGAGTCTGCAGAAGCATCAAGACTTGCCGAGTGTGATTTCTTGTCTTGATAGTCAAAGCGTATACACTCATCCTCATTCTTCAATTCATACTAGTATTGAGTCTCTGTGCAGTAGGACAATAAGGACAAATAGCAACTTGGGAGTGTTCCCGGTACAATTTCAAGCTCAGGGCACCTTTGGCGGAGACTCCGGCACTCGAGGAATCAGTCGGGGAACCCAAGTGCTGGTACCGGTCTTCGGCAACCTGCCGAAGCAAAGACAAGCTCAGGTTGAGAGTTTACGAAACTCACGGCAGATCAACTCAATCAAAGTATTCAGGCCCCAGCCCAGATTCCATTCCTCGGTGACTCCAAATGCTTGCACTTGACTAGGGGAGCAGCTTAGGCTGTGACCCGCTCGCCCTTGCCCAACTTATGTGCGAGCTTCCTGGTGCAGTTGCGACGTGCTTGACTCATCAAGACAAACTCCTCCAAGACCTTGAACCTCAAGATCAAGACCCTTGCACAGCTTCTGAGCCCATCGGCCTTCATGATAGCGAGCATCCTGGAGATATCACAAGATCTCTGGGCATTGCGGTCATAGCCACAGAGTTCTAGAGCTCTGGCGCCTTTATGCCGCTGAAGTCCCATCGGCCCAAGGCACTATTCCCCTCCAGCCGAAAATTGCAAGGGTCAGTGTGAAGCAGCTACAGCTCAAGCTCCAGCTCAGCGCCCTACAAAATTCATAAGATTCGACGCATCTTTCTTTTTGCACACAGACTGGGCTTTTCTGCTGGTACCCAGCTAGGACTGGAATGCCTCGAGCACTGGAGCACTGGAGCATACTGCACTCGAGCTTCACGACCGGTCAAACCCATCGACTTCGTGGAGCGAAAATCATCCAAGCCACAGTCGCCGGAGACCCGCCCTGCCTCAGGAGAAATTGGTTTGCAGGTGGTGGATGGAGGAAAGTACACAGGCATCAACTTCACCCTCAGCAAAGGCCAGAGCTCAAAGACTCTAAGCAAGGCACAGCTTGCATTGCTCAGTGCAGAGAGTGCAAACGGCGTAACAACGGCGTCACAGAAGCTTACGAAGGCGTGGCAGGAGAGTCATGTTGGAAGTAGTGGAAGCCAAGCTGCGTCAGATGCACGGCGGGCTGGGGCTGCATCTATTGGGACGCCCGCTTGCCTTGAAACACTAGGACTAGGACCCCGATGGCGCAGAGGGCATCAGCACAAGCAGCCATGCCATCTCAGACCAGTCACGTCCAGGCGACCGTGACAGGCGCAGGCGGCAGAACCTTGTCAAATCTTGTCAAGGCGAAAAATACGTTCGTTGCAACACATGTAAGAGAGATATAAACATTCGCAAGAATCTGATGCACAGATCTGCACCGCCTGTAGGGCTGGAGGCGAAGCTGGAGCCGCAGCACGGCCTCCGGTGCTACCGACGCACGCTTCAATCCCCACGTCCCGGCATCTGTTCGCTCCCTTGGAGCCTCTAGTCTACTGAGATCTACTGAGCCTACTGACTGTGCTTCATGTTCGTGTGGATTTTGCAACCCCACACCCCATCGAGTGGAGTTGCAAGTGCCCCGGACAAACATGACGTGACCACTTGTCCGTACTTTCTGGGACATGGAATTCTCCTGATTCTCCTGGGCTCCATGGCGGACTAAGAAGGGCTCTCCATGCTTACCAAAGCAAAGGCTGTGAGATGAGGCCAAAAGGTCTGAAGGGTGTGCAGCATGAAGGGTGCAGTAGAATAGTAGAATGCACCGTCTCCGAGCTTCATGAGCTTCAATCTTCACAGCTCTTCCGTCGGTGAACAACACTGAACAACACCCAAACAACAGGCAGCTGACTACCAGAAGCGCTTAGCAACAGTGATCTTAGCTACTTCCCGAACCATATACCGGGACCAAACATGCAAACGCGAACGAAACAACCTGGACAGCGTCTCAACTCTAAACGAGCTGGCTCGATGGCCCTGGAAGACTCTCCAATCAAGACACGATCGGCTGGAATGAAGCGCTGCAGCCAGACCTGAGGTTCTTTTTTCACAGATCTGCGCTACCTGACACTTGACTTCCCATTGTGCCAACCAGGTGCCATCTCTGCTCTTAAAGCCTCAGCACACAGCTGTGTTTCATCGATTGTTTACTAGCGCTGCGTGCCACCAAGCCAAGCTTCTGCTAGCCAAGTGGCCTTTGTCCGACCCAACACGGAGATTAATTCCTAGCGCGGGACGTCGAGAGGCAAGGCACAGCGTTGTGAGCAGCCCAAGCAAGATTGGCATGCCTCCAGCAAGAGGTCATTTTCTCGTTGTAGAGATGCCTCGAACCATTGCCCACTAAGTAAACTTCCAGTGCAAACTACTTGCTTCCGTAAGCTATAGCAGCTAGCTCACTCTCGAGTAAGAAACAAAGCCTGGAAGGCTGCCATTTGTTCGAGTTTGTCTCCAAACTCCGCGCGCTCCTGCCTCGGCATCCAAGAACTAAGAAACTTCAGCGGCATTTATCATTTTGTGAGCTCATGAGACTTCACGGACTTCCAAGCTAATGGCAGTATTTGATGCCTCTCCCAGATCACCACAACATTGTGCGAACCTGCACCCAGACACTGAGGGTCAGACTCATGGGCACGATGTGATCTCGCGAGTTCCTCAGAATGCCCGCATTACCATGCCAACAGAAAACACAGAAAACACAACACGTACGTCGATGTATGTCCACTCAAAATCTCTGCCTCTCGAGCAGCTCGTTCGCCCTTCCGTGCCTGATACACACGAACTTTGTTTTGTTGAAGCGCAAGTCACCAACACTGTTGAAAGCAGGCTTCCACAAAAATGATCAATGCAAACCGTTCTACTGCATCTTAACCTTACAAGACGGCCTTGTCCAAGTCATCGTGCATCTGTTCCAAGCGCGCTGCTTGCTTCATGCAAACCTTAAGCTCTTGCTTAATGCGACATCGGACCAAATGGCACAACACGAGCAGGGAAATCATGCTTCGCAGTACCTTACCAATCTTGCAACGCCGTCCTTGGGGAAGAGCCCTATGCCAAAATGTACTTCTCTCCAATGGCATGCTCAAGTGACTTCCGCCAGCTTTCGGCATTGCGCGGCATCCTGGGAAGCCACCAAAGCCACCAAAGCCACCAAAGCTTGTGGCGAACCCTGCCTCGTGAGTCTCGGAACCGGAGCCAGCAGGCGTGCCTTTGTGTGCGACACACGGGGCGCAAAGAATGCACAAAGCACTTGAACACTGAGACCCGGACTCGCCATGACTTGAATCACCGCATGCACATACTTGCATGAATTCTCCTTGCTCGCTACAAGGATCTGCGATCGTCTTGTCGGCCACGACTATTTTGGTGTGTAAAGAGTATAAAGAGTAAGTGCTGGCAACATGAATGCAGCTGTACCTGCTTTTGACAACATGGCCAAAACACTGCCATGGCTGCGACATCTGGGCTGTACGCAACATTGCAACGCTCGACGCAGCATGATGCCACTGCACTTTTCTGGGCGCAGTGCTGCACAGGTTACTGGGTCCTCTGGAAATCCTGGTGCTCCATGCCGCTCCCCACAAATCCCCACACGTGTGCCCTGACGGTCCCACTTTTGCCTATTGAGACTGAATCGCGGAAATGTAGGGAATGGGGCCCAGGAACGCCCAGGCTGCCAGCACAGCTGCCACAGCAACAAACAATTAAAATCAGCTCTCACCTTTGCAAAGCTGTGAGCTTGAAGAACTGCACAATCGCCGATAGAGCACCGGCATTTCCGCAGATGGGAAATTCACAGCTGCCGCGGCAGCAATAACAAACAATTAGAGAACCAGCTCACCTCTTCGGTGATGCGGCGGGCTCGACTGACTGCACAGTTGGTGGCGCGAGAGCACTTGAACTAGGTAAAGCACAGCTGCCACGGCAAACAAACAATTCAAAACCAGCTCACCTCCGGTGAAGCTGTGAGCTCGATAGACGGCACAATTGGCTACGCCAGAGCTCCGACAACTCTTTAGTTAGGTGATTCACATTGGACTGTGCAGCAGCCGCCGCCTCAGACAGCCGTGCAGAAGCCTCCCTGGCGACCTCGGCATTCGGCGCTTCCCCTCCTGCAGCCAGAAAACGCTGCTGGAGCATTCTCATTTCTTCGAAGAGGACCTCCATCTGCCTTCGGGTCTGTCCTAGGAAGCCACCGTCCGTGATGTTCTGCAGGTTCCCGCTCACGTACTTCAAAGCCTCCACCTCGTCACCATTGCAGAACGACTGAATCTCTGCCTTGCTGGCATCCACCGTTTTCGCCGACTTCACGTCCGCCAGCGCAAGCTGATCCAGCAAGCCCGAGTCAAGAACCTTCGACGCAAGCATTCCCACCTTGGATTGCGTGGCCACTGACAGAAACACTCACCTTTTGCAGTTCTCGATTTGATAGGGATTACGTAAGCTGACTGCGTTTCGGCACAAACCTAGCACTCGACAAATGCTTCCCCGTGGGTCATCCAACAAGTACAGCAGTTCATGACAGGTCACCTGGAATGTCACCTCCGACCAGGTCTTCTGCAGAACTTCATGCGCTTTCTTTTTTGCACGCGCTGAGGTGGCATAGGCCTCCTTCAGCTGCGTAAAGCTGGCTTGACACTTGGAGGTGTAGCTGCGCAGCGCATGCGAAGCATGGCCCAAGGCCGTATTCTGGTCTTCGGCCGCGCTGAGGTAGTCGTCCAGGCTCTTCCGGATTTCCCACCATGTTGAGTCGAAAGTTTCCAGGGCCTGAGCCAAGCGTGCATCCTGAAGCTCAGATATGAGCCGGAGCTTCTCTTGAAATCGCATCTTGAACCAACGCTGCGCGCGCTTTCCCTGGCCGGCCATCTGCTGGTAAAGGCCCAGGACATGCGCCTTAGCCTTGAGGAAGCTGTTCACGTAGGCGACCATCTTCAAGGAGCGCTGCTGGAGTTCTTCCACCAAAGAGAGCTTCCGGTCTGACACGGCCATCACCGTGGAGCGCAGCTCCGCCGCGTCCCCGTGCATCTGGCGCAGCCATCCCTGCAGCTCCGATGCGTTCGCGACGCCCGCGGCGTCCGCGGCACTCCGCCAGCGCCCCGAGAAGGCCCGGACGGCGCGCTCGGCAGCCAAGGAGGCCAGGGGCTGCAAGGCGGCCTCCTGCGCCACAGCGATGGTCTCCGCAAGGTGTCTCTCTACTCCACGGCGGATCTCTGAGGCCTCACCCAAGGACACACCAGAGTCAGAGCTCCCAACATAGTGCTCCAGTAGGACTTGCGTGTTCTTTCCGACGATCTCAACTGCCTCTTCCAATGCGCGGAGAATGGCGTCATCGCCCTTTCGCACAGCGTCTCGTATGCAGTGGAGGTCGCAGAAAGTCCGGGCGAAACCATGCTGGATGGGATCGCAGTCGTCGAGCCCAGCTTGGTTGTGAAGTCTCTCCCTTTCATGCTGCCAGATGTTGAGACCCGCCTCTATGATGTTGAGCCTTGTGAAGGCGAGGGTTTTCAAAAAACTGCCCGGATTAAATTCCAAGCCGAGGCCCATGGGAGCAACCTCCGGTTTTGGAATGTAGTCCGTAAAGCCTGAAATTAGGTCCTTGATCGGGCTTATCGGCAGCGTGGCATAGAAGTGAGCATTGTTCACTTTGCCAATCCCACGAGCCCGGATGATGTTGCGGTCAGTGCACTCCTTCACGGACTTGTAGGTGACACCGCTCTGTCCCGGCCCCACGTTGCCTTGCATGTCATCGATCCAGCCAGTCATGCCTTCACCTTCATCCATCTCCCGGTTCGTGGGTGCCACACCGTAGACATACTTGCATGGATTCTCCTCATCCAAGTTCTGCGCCTCCGCAGAATAGAAGAGTTCACAACTAGTTCACATCAGCGCATGCGTGAGTCAGCAACATCCAACACGATTCAACACGCTGTCTTTAGCACTGCCGTAGACAGCAGGGGTTAGGATTAGCGCCGATGAAGCTGACATTGCAGCTGTCAAGCACCTAGAACTCCAAGCTCATGTTAGGTAAGCTTCTGACCAGCAGAAGGTGGCCTCAATTCAGCCTTTTCGACTTCAATATTCGTTCTATGCAGCACAGGCTTTCCTTGGTTGCTGGATTGCTGAATTTATGCCTGGGTGAGATGATACCTGCGATGAACGCTGTCAGAAGCCCATCCGACGGTGAGCATCAGGGCAGCCCTGTTGGACAAAGTTTCAATCCACAAGGTTTTTGGGCTGTCGATAGGGCCGAAAATGGAATGATTCGGCTCGGACGGTGTGTCACGGAGCCCCGCAAGGGCCAACAATGACATGATTCGGCTCGGACGGTGTGTCCCGGAACCTAAAACCTTTTCGACCCACTTTTGAAAGGGTCGGAACTGAAATGACTCGGCTCGGACGGTGTGTCGCGGAGCCCAAAGCTGGTGGTATCAAGTTGAGGGGTGCAGTGCGCTTACACTGATGCTTGGAGCCCTCGAAAGGGGTAGGGGATCAAAAAAAAATTTATTTGGGATCAAGAAATAATTTATTTCTAGGCGGATCAAAAAAAAACTTATTTGGGATCAAGAAATAATTTACTGAAGGCTTCGAAGGCTTCTTGCACTCGGAGCGGAGGCTGTAAACGCTCAGAAATGCAGCATTTCTGGCTGTTAGCAAGCTCTAAATACCGCAAAAAAACAGCATTCATGCGGGAACTACTGAAAATAGCAGCATTTCTGAGCTTCTAGAGAGGCTGCAGATATTGTATATAGCAGCAGTTCTGCGCTTTCAGAGGCTGGAAATACTGTACACTGCAGCATTTGCTGCAAATACTGAAAATAGCAGCATTTCTGCGATTTCAGAGGCTGGAAATACTGTAAATAGCAGCATTTCTGAGTTTGCAGAGGCTGCAAATCAATGCTGGCATCTCGGCATTAGAAGTTTCTAAAAAATGCATCTACTCTGAAGCATGTATATTCTGGCATAGTATTGTGGAAAGTCTTGTATAGTATTGTATGACATTGAATATTCTTGCATATTATTGTACATTGTTGTATACATTGTTGAGTATTTCTGTATTGTCTTGTATGTTCTTGTGTTTTTGTGTAATATTCCATATTATTGCATGTTATTGAACGCTATTTTCAAAATTCTTGTATATTCTTGAATTTTCTTTGTATATTATTGCAGATTATTCTATATTATAGTATATTATTGTATATTCTTGTATATTCTTGTATATTCTTGTATATTATTGTATATTATTGTCTACTATTGTATATTATTGTAGTTTTCGTACACTATTTTTTATTGTTGTATGTCATTGTGTTTGTGTGTTTTCTATATAGCTGTACATTTTTTGTATATTTTTGAAAAATTGTATGATATTGTATATTTTTGTATACTTGTGTATCGTATTGTATATTGTTGTCTATTATTGAGTATTCTTGTCAATTACTGAAAATTATTGTAAGTTACTCTTTTTTTACGTGTATATTGCTGCATATTCTTGCACATACTTGTATATTGTTGTATTTTTGTGCATTATTGTATATTATTGCATCTTTTTGTAATACATTCTTGTATACCATTGCATCTTATTGTGCCTTCATGTTTTTTTGCAAAAAGTGCTCGCATCATGGGATTGGAAGGATTCATGTGCTTTGAAGCAAGCTTGCCCGGACTAAGAAAACAGCGCCGGGGGGGGGGTTGGGGGGGGCAGCCCCCCCCCCCAATGCTCGCATCATTGGTTTGGAAAAGATATTCATACGCTGCTTGCCCGGCTTTAAACAACAGCGGGGGGTTTGAAGGGGGGGCGCAGACCCCCCCCATTTGCAAACACAATGCTCGCATCATGGGTTTGGAAGGGGTTCATACGCGTTGAAGAAGCTTGCCCGGCGCCAAACAAACAAGAAATATGTATTGTGTATTATGAATTCTACATCAAATAGCAGTAAATATATAATATATACATATATGCTTTGTTATTTCGATTTTATTATATTTTTGATACAAAGGTATGCTATACGATATTGTGTTCTATTCTACTCTATGCCACTACAATATTTTGCTGTACTTTGTTTTAATATATACACACATATATATTATAACATATGATGTTATGTTATGTTTTCCTACATATCCTTTCCTGTCCTTTCATTTCCTTTCCTTCCCTTCCTTCCTTCCTTCCTTGCTTCCTTGCTTCCTTGCTTGCTTGCTTCCCTCCTCCCTTCCTTCCTTCCTTCCTGCCTTCCTTCCTTCCGTCCTTCCGCCCTTCCGCCCTTCCTTCCCTCCCTCCCTCCTTTTCTCCCTCCCTCCCTCCCTCCCCTTCCCTCTCTCCGTCGGAAGAACAGAATATTTATTTCTTGATCCTAAATAAATTATTTTTTGATCCTAAATAATTTTTTTCTTGATCCTAAATAAATTTTTTTTGATCCGCATCCCAGAAAGGGGGCTCCGATGAATTTTGAGCCGTGGGAGGGTAAGATGAGGGGACCTGTTTGCTTGCGCTGGCGGACTTGGGGCTCCGGAAGGCCAAGTAGAGGGACCTGTTTGCTTGCGCTGCCGAACTTAAGGTGCTGGAGGAAATATGCAATTTGCTTACACTGATGGACTTGGGGCCCTGGGAGGGGTGCTAATGGTTGCTAAGCCGAGGGATGTAAGGCCCTGGGAGGCCAAGTTGAGAGGGCTTGCGCTGATGGACTTGGGCCCCCTGGGAGGCCAAGAAGAAGGGTTCTGCACGCTAACGCAGAAGGACTTGGGTCCCTTGGATGCCAAGTAGAGGCTGCGTACTGGACATTGCAGGCTGCTTACGCTCAGGACTTGGGCCCGAGAGCTACACTTCAAAAAAGGCAGCTCGGGCCTTAAGGGTCGTTTTGGTCACCGAAACTGACTACTTGACGACATGTGTCGCCCGGTTTGCGTTTACGGTTTAGGGTTCAAAGAAGGCAACCAACCTGCACCTCACAGCCCCATCCGCGTAACAAACCTCCACCCCATCGTCATCCCAAAGAAGCCCCATCCGCGTAACCGACCTGCACCCCATCCTTGCCCCAAAGAAGGCCCCATCCTCGCCCCAAAAAAAGCCCCGTGCGCGCAACCAACGCCACTTTAGAGACCAACTTTGCGAGCGGCCCATGCAAGGTTTGACTTCACCCTTGCCTCCGCATTCATGTCCGCCAACTTGAAGCTGCGGGCTCCTGGGTGCGACTCGTCCTTGCACTCCGGCAAGTATTCTGGAGCTGAAGCACCGAACTTGATCAGCTGCGGCGGTTTCCGGCGCTTCTCGGTCACCTGCTTGACGCCCTTGGCCTCGAAGGCAGCATCGAAGTCGCTGACAGGCACCACGTACCAGGCATCGGTGTGCAGCGAAGTGTCCAAAGGATGCACGACGTCTGAGTATGCACAATCCTTCCCGGGAACGCACCATTTACCTTCAAGCTTGTCATAACTGAGTGTTCCAGAGGCACCCTGGCCTGGGCGAAAACTCCTGCTTTGCTTGAATGCCATGCGACCGCTGTCGTCCCGCGACTCAGGGCAGTATATGCCTTCCCAAGCCTCCGCCAGACTGGTTTCGAACTCCCTTCTGCCCCCGTTCAGGGTTGGGTAGATGGAGGCAGGCACGCGACTGATTTGGCAACACGTGAATTTGACGCGGATCCAGGCGCCTTTGTCCGAGGCCTCGGTCTCAAAGCTCTTCAAACCCTCGCCCGGTGGGCAGAAGGCACCCAGAGCGGGCAACGCCTTGATCTTCTCAAGGTCGGAGGACTTTGTCTCCACTTGCGTGGAGTAGAGAAGGGTGCAAGCTCCCAAAGAGGAAACATGGCTGCAATTGAACTTAATCTGAGAGCTTGTCTTCTCTACATAGCTGATGATTTGATCTGTGGGACACTTGAGAGGGGAGTCGGTAAGGCCGAAGAGCCCGTGGGACAGAGTCCATTCTTGCTCCACACGCTCCGCACAGTCTCTTTCCTCTACGCGGCCTAAGCCGCGGGCCTCCAAGCACTTGGTGGTGCCGATCTTCTGGATACTCTTGGCATTTGCATTCCACTTGTACTCCCCAGGGAACTGGACTTGGCCGTGCTTGAGGTGGAATTTGGCAAGCGTACCAACTGGTTCCACCGTGATCGCCTCTTTCTCAGACTCGCTGCACTCCAAGTGTAAGGCTGTGGTGAAAGCACTCCCATCCACCTTGTCAAAGTCAAACTTCTGGTTCTCCCCTCCGGTGCATGGGTGCATGTAGATGTTGTTTTCATGGTTTCGATCCAGACATTTATGATTCCACTCTGATCGAAGGTCCTTATCATCTTCATCCCAATAGAACTTCTGATTGTCCCCATTATGGCACCCGTGCATGTACACATTGCTTGTTCCCGTGTTAACGTCCAAGCACAGGCCATTCTTAAGCGAGATTATGTTTCCATTTATCATGTACCACTTTTGCCCATTGTCGTCACTGCAGCTCGCCGTGTCGACGTTGCTCTCGCTATCATAACGCAGACACCACCACGTTTCGCCCAACTGTACCCTCAGGCGAAACGGGACGATACGGTGGATGCTCATGCATGTCCCATCGCTCACACTGGTGATTTTGATGTCGCCCGGGACCGAGAGCGTGTGCTCGACCGCATCTCCGTAGGTGCTGGCAGCAGTGCAGGTGGCTGACATTCCAAGTAGGCCGTTGTAGCTAAACCCAATCGAGGAAAGAACATGCTGGCCACAGCTTGCATCCAACTGGAAGCTGCGTAACGTAGTTGGGGCAGATCCGCGGTTAAGAAGGCCGGACTGCGACTTTGTCGGCACGGCAGTGCCGGCCTGGAACTCGTCCCACATCAAGGTGCCCAACTCCACGGCCTCCATCAGCTGACCGGGATCGGTGTCATTGCAAGCGGAGGCTGTCAAGCGTAGCGCCGCCGCCTTGAGGCACTGGCCTTCCGTGGTCAACGACCGGAACCTGTGCATGGTGTCGGCGGCCCCAGGCATCAGCTCGGCCACAAACAGGTCGGCGGAGCCACCCAGCCTGAGCGCACCGGAGGAAGTGACCGAACGCCGTGTGCGTGTGTCAACTGCAAGCTCAAGCTTCATCCGGCTGACGAAGAAAAGCTCCTGTCGCATTATCGAATCAAGGTCTGCGTAGACTTTGGACACCACCTGAATACATGAAGCGCAGGTGAAGCCATCAAGACCTGCTTTGTTCTGGGAATTGATCCATGCACCAGCTACGCAGCTCATGGTTTCAGACGTGCGCGACCCAGCTGCAAAACGCTCGGACCAACAGGAAGCATGCAGGCTTTGGCCATGCTGGAAAGCCGTTGGAAGTGGCACCTTCCTCGCCAGATCATAGCCGAACCGCCACTGGTGGTTCCGAGCATCCGGACAGAAACCAAGAAAATCGGTGTTGGTGACCTCGTCGTAGTTCAAGCACAAGTCGCCGTCATAACCTATATTCCGCAACACCCCCCCCTCGTCGTGGAACTTCATTTTAGGCCAATGAGTGCACGACCCATATTGAATCTTCTTTGTGAAGTAGTTGTAGTACAAGCACTTGGAGGCATCATGCTCTGACTTCAGCAGGTCGCCGGTGAAGTACCACAAACTCTTTGCTTCCACAGCAGCACATGGCTTTGCTGCCAAGGGAGGGTTGCTACTGGGCTCCAAAGTCAGACAGTAAAGAGATGGTGTGGCGACTGTAAGCTGAGCGCTGTTGTGGAGTTGGGACTTGAAGGTCCACTTCAACGTCGTGCTGCTCGGGCAGCTGCCCATGAAAGTCTGGCTCCAGGTCTTGCCGTTAAAAGGCTGGACGTCCAGGCAAGTGCCATCCTGCCTGGTACGCATGTTCTGGTTCTCGAGGAAGAACTTCTGGGTATTCTTGTCTTGGCAGGACTCGAGGTACAGCTTGTCGGTCCCGTAGTTCAGGCAGAGCCCCGTGTGCGCTTCAACCCTGAGAGACTCCCCTTCGAAGTAGAAGAGCTGATTAGACCCATTGTGGCAGGAGAACATAACTGCCTCTTTTGGTCCGTTTATGTCCAGGCAGGAGTTGCCGCTTTGTAGGGTTCTTCCCTTGTAGTGCAATTCGTCCCAGTAGAATTTCTGGTTGGGACCACCATGGCATGCGTGCACGTAGAGGTTCCCCAGGTGGTTCAGATCAACGCAATAGTTGTTGGCCTCCACCTTCAGGAACTCCCCGTCCCAGTAAAACTTCTGATTGGTCCCATCGTTGCATGCGGTCATGTACAAGTTGTGGTCGGCGGCCATCTCAATGCAGTTGTTGCTGTAGGCGGAGCGCAGCTGGCGGCCTTGAAAGGGGTGAGGGCTGAGTCAGAAAAACGTAGGCAGAAAAACGGAAAGCCTCAATCAGAAAACAGGAGGGCACATTCAGGAAACGCAGAAGCCTCAGTCAGAAAGCGTGAAGGGCTGACTCAGCAAAACGTGGGGGCTGAGTCAGCAAAATACAAAGCCACAAATTGCCGCAGACACACGCTGAGGAAATCATCGTCCAACGGCCCCAAATCCGGAAATCCGCCGACCCCAGCAACAGGGCGGCGTCAGTGAAGACCCATTGTCCCCACCCTAACCCCAACCTCCACCCTTGCCCCTCCCCTACCCCTACATTCCCCCCCACCCCCCACACCCTGCCTCCTGCACCCAAAAAAACAACCAAAGCTGCTTTGACTGGCAGCTTGGTCTTTTTTTTCCTCTCATGCGATCAAACTTCGTGCAGGGTTTAAGGGTCCCCCCCCCCCAATCGTCAAACGCAGTGTTTTCAGGAGTCCGCCCAGGCGTGCACGCCCCTTCCACTGCCCTCACCTGCACCGCCCCACCCTTCGAGAAATGTCCTGGCCCCCCACCAATCGTCCAAAGGCAAAAATCCGGAAACGAACAGGTGACAAAGAGAAAAACGAACACGACATTCAGAAAACGCGCAGCTGTAAAAACGAAGAGGTTCTGTGCGAAAACGCGACAAGCTTCGAACGCGCGAACGGAACCGCCAGAGGAGGAGAAGAAAAGTTTGGTGAAATATTGGTTTCAAGTTGGGCCCAAAGGCCCCTCCAGTGAAATCTTGGTTTTAAGCTGGGCCCAAGGCACAGTTCCGCGAGAAGAAGTCCCCCTCCGGTGAAATGAGGTTGGGCCCCTCCGGTGAAATCTTGGTTTCACGTTGGGCCCAGGCAAGAAGGTCGGTTTTTCAAGTTGGGCCCCAAGTCCAAGAAGGCAAAAGCCCCTCCGCTGAAATCAAATTACACCCAAGAAGGCCGCCCAAAAAGGCCCCTCCGGTGAAATCTTGGTTTCAAGTCGGGCTCGAAGGCCCCTTCCGATGAAATTTTGCTTTGAAGTTCGGCCCAAGAAGGACCCTCTGGTGAAGTTTTGGTTTCAAGTTGGGCCGGTGAACTCTTGGTTTCAAGTTGGGGCTAAGAAGGAACCTCCAGTGAAAGAAGCCCCTCGGGTGAAATCTTGGAAGGTGGTTGAAATCTTGGTTTCAAGTTGATCCCAAGAAGGCCCCTCCGGTGAAATCTTGGTTTCAAGTTGGGCCCAAGAAGACCCCTCCGGTGAATCTTGGTGTCAAGTTGGGCCCAAGAAAAATGACAAGTCACTCACGAGGTTTTACGCATGATGCTTTCGTTTTTCTGAATGCGCCTGTTTGTTTTCGTAGTCGGCCCCGGCGTTGTTCTGACTGAACCCGTCGTGTTCTCTGACTGGCGTGCCCTGTTTTCTGACTCAGGCATGCCGTTCTATTGCATACGTTTTACATACTGACGCTGGCGTTTTCTGACTGACGCTGCTCCCGCCTTGGAAGTACCACTTCTGGTGCTGCCCGCTAGAGCACGAGGTCATGTAGACGTTCTTACTGTGCTGCCCAAAGCTCCAACAGAGGCTGCTGCTGCGACACTTGAGCCGTCGGGGATCCTCAGAGTAGAATCCGTCCCAGTAGAATTGCTGGTTGAGACCACCATGGCACGCATGCACGTAGAGGTTCCCTAGGTGGTTCAGATCAATGCAATAGTTGTTGGCCTCTACCTTCAGGAACTCCCCGTCCCAGTAAAACTGCTGGTTGGACCTGCCGTGGCATTTGTACATGTACAAGTTGTGGTCGGCGGCCATGTCGAGGCACTTGCTGCTGCCCAACGAGCGGAGCTCGCTGCCTTTGAAGTACCACTCCTGCCGCTCATCGTCATTGCAAGGGGCGGCTTCGACATTGTTGTTGGCGCCAATGCTCCAACACAGGTTGCTGCTGCGACTCTTTAACCTCCGGCCCATTGGCACCACGACAGCCGGCCCCCAGTGCCATTTTTTCCAAGGGCTGTCTGGACAATTGCGGCGCACGAGCTTTCCGGTGGACGTCAGGTCCAGGCAACGCTCATCTGCCCTGGACCTTATGAGCTTCCCGTCGAAGTACCAATCTTGGCTACTCAACGGATTGCAAGGGCCCATGTGGACATTGTCCGAACTGGTTACGTCCATGCACTTGGACGAGTCCGCCTCTGATTTGATTCGCTCTGAGCTGCCATCCCAATACCACCGATACTTCGTTGCCAGGCCGCAGTCGTTCACTTCCACGACGTTGCTTTCCGTATTGTGAGTCATACATTTCTGGTTGTGGTCTGAAGCTACCTGCTGCCCACCGCGCGCTTTGTTCCTCCAGGTCCAGAAGTGAACTTTGTCGGGACATCCGCGAACATACATGTTGGAGCCCTTGGCATCCCAATCCAAGCACCGATTGGTAGAACGGGTTTTCAGCATGAGGCCATCCCAATACCACTTTTGGGCATTGTCATCCTTCCGACAAGCTTCAAGACCTACGTTTTCGGAGTGAGAAGAACCGTGATAGGTCAGACACATGTTGTTGTGCTCCACTTTCAACCGCTCGCTTTCATCAAAGTACCACTTCTGGTTCTTGCCCCCATGGCAAGAGTGCAAGTACACGTTGTTGGTGTGAGATGCGTCTGCGCAGAAGCCATTGCTGCCACGAAGCTCCCTCGCCGCCTTGATCGGCACATACTCGCAAAGCCCACAGGTAGTGACCCCGAGGCCACCAAGCATCAGCTTGTGATCGCACTGCTCAAGCAAGTCCTGGTAGAGGCAGTCATAATCAATTCCGGGAACACCGGCGCCCAGAAAGGATCGCCGCTTGGTCACCTTCCAGCACAACGTCGGGTCAGCAACCTTGCAGGTCTTTTCGTAAGTCATCCCGTAGAGGACACCTTCCACACCAACCTCACGCACAAGCTCCGTGCAGCTGCTATAGATTCGACACTGCTTCGTCGACATGACCTCACCCTCCCAGTAGAAGGGGCACTCCTTGTCTATGCAGTGCGTCTTGCAGTTGCCATCATCCAAGCCTTCGGTCTCTGTCTCTTCGATGACTTGGGTGAGGTACTTCTGCTCACACACAAACTGACCATCCACGATGACTATGGGACCAGGCAAGAACTCATTGCTGCTGCCGGCGGGTATGCCAGAAGCACTTTCGCTGGAAACAGGTGGCAGTTTGCCCCAGCCAGTAGGGACACACTGGCAGGGATGGAGCCAGTGGTCACCGACCGTATCGGACGCAGGGTCATCCAGCACTAGTGCTTCGACAGCGTCCCCTTCCTCCGCCCCATCCGCGGTGACGTTGGGCATGGTGCACCCAGGAGCAGCCACAGTGGCCGTAGCCCCTTGGGCATCAAGGGTCATGACCGTGAGATTCGTCGTCTGCCCGAAGATGTCAGAGGGAAGGTCACCCGACTCACCCTTAATGCAGGCCACAGTGCTGCCGTGCAACTCCACGTAGGCCATCGTGCGGTTCTCGTAGTCTTGCGTTTCTTTTGGCTTTGCAATCGCCCAGTAGCCGCTGGAGCAGCCACGAGAGTTCCCACGCATCAGCCAGAAACTCTCCTGCGGATGCCAGAGCTAAGGAATTCTGATGAGATGGATTGCGGATATCGGGATTGAGGACTTCGGAATAGAGAACGTCAGCTAGCGATACCCTGAATGAACCCGACTCGAGACAAACGGTAGCTACGATGAAAGACCTCTTGCTACTCGCTTGCGTGGTGAAGGGGAGTTTGTAGATGCACACAGCAACGCTGTCCTCGACGGTCAAGCCCTTCTTGAAGTACAACGGGCCCTGGGCGATGCTCGCTGAATTTTCCCCGCCCGGGCAATATTTGCCGGAGATGTAGTGGTAGCCAGGCAACTTGATGTCAACACAGCTGTGGCGCTCGCCGCAGCCAGGATACCGCTCTGTAACGGTCACATTCTCGTGAGCGCAAGCAAAGTGATTGACATTGGCACTCTTGCACACGCTACTGTAGAAGTAGCACTTGCCACCATCCATACCCCAGTGCGTGCAAGATGCTCTGCCACGACACAAGCTTCGGCAATCATCTTCAGACTGGCTCCCCTGCAAGACACGAGTGGCAAAGCTTTGCTTCTTCTGCGCCCAGCAGGTGTGGTCCCGCAACTCAATAGACAGCCGGTGGGTGAGGACTGGCCCTGCACCAGCAGGCACCCACTCATAGTGCCCGAAAATCGTGCACGCGAGACCGATTTTCCGCCGAACAGCAGTGACAGCGGAGGCATCCAGCGACTTCGTCAGCGACTCTTCCGGGGTGAGCTGCAAATCGCCGCGGGCCACGTCCAGCGTAAAGATCTGGTGGCCGTCCCATGTCGCCGAACCACTCACGACATCAAAAGCGAACGCTGCACCTGCACAGTTGGCGGAAAAGCGTGTAGGGGGGAGGCCGCTGCCATCAGATTGGGGCGATAGAATGGGCGACTTTTCCCCGACCGTGGCATAGAACACAGCGCTGCTGTAGCTGTAGCTCATGGAGGACCAGGGCGTGGGCGCAAGCACGATCACGCTTGTCTTTGCACTGCCTTTCTCCACCACGCAAACGCCACCTTTCCCCATGTTCGAGCCCACCACACTCGTCAGGCCTCCTTCCACCACCGCTTCAGACTTGAGCGAAAGCTTGCCCGATGTTGAGTCAAGTTGCAGCCAGCTGCTTGCGTCGCCTGGGACGCAGGAAAGCCCTTCAAAGCTTCCCGAGCCTGCCTTCTCCATGTTCACGGCAGGAAGGATGCTCGTGGAGGCGCCACTGCGCAGAACGACCGGGCCAGACCCATAGCTCACATCCCCGGCCAGCACATCGACTGTCGCACTGGAGGTTAGTCCACCCTCCTGGTTCGCCGTGATCACGCAACTCACTTCGATGCTCTGTGCTTTGCCACAGCCCACCTTAGTGCAGCCCGGCGCGAGCTCCAACGCTCCTGTTGTTGGGCTGATGGATAGTCCATACCTCAGTGAAAGATATACAGTTGAGGCTTGCATCAGTCCTGAGTGCTGCATGGTTTTGTCAAGTCTGTGCTGCTTTGCTGTCACTGCTTCTGCTGTTGAGACTTTACCGAGCACGGACCAAGATACTTAGCCAGCTCGCAGTCCTTGTCCACTGAATATGAACTGGCAGTTTGCGGCACCGGGTAACCCTGAACCCCGGTGGATCCGATCGCCAAAGGCCCGACATAGTACGCAAAACTGGTGGCAGCTTTCTGTCCACCTGGTTTAAGGGCTTCTGGTCTACTATTGAAGTCAGGGATGGGGATTACGGGCTTAAGGCTTAATAGCGATATTTTAGGGTTTGCACGGTGCAAGAATTGCAAGCATTGGCCTCCGCACTTGCAGCAAGCAGCTTCAGAGGAATAGCCTTGAAACTTCTCTGCAGAGCAAGATGCTGTCATGCAGCCCTGTGAGACGCTGTTGACCCAACCAGGAAGATCCACACAAGCAATGCACTTGCCGGAAATCTGCGTGAATCCCCCACTGCACTTCTCGCAGGCTGTCTTGCCGCCATTCAGCTTTGCGCAGCCACTGCAAAAGTCCTTACCGGCAGGGCAACATTCCGTCTGAAAATAGGGGGGCGACTCCGTCGGTGAGAAGAGAAGCACCTCGCCGATGCTGCATGCTGACGCGTCCCCACGTAGCGAGGCGGCAAGGATTTCCTGGCCCATGGCCATCCGAGCTTGATGAGATTGATGTGCTTGGGAACCTTGAGCTTGGCACAGTTCGAAGTCTGCCAACCTTGGGTTCTGTAGTGTGTTCGACGGCTGTGCATTGCGCCAATCTTCTTCCTCATGCCTTCTCTTGAACTGGAGGAAGCTCGTGTCTTCACGAAGAGCGCTGTGATTGCGATGAGATGCCTCCTTAAAAGGACAGGCGTTCTCAAGTGACGCATGGGCTACCCCGAGGATAGCCCATGCCAGCCATGGCTGCAACCGAGGCATTTTTTCGAAGCACGGACTAATGTGACAAAGTAGTAGCGTCTTTGCAACTTGTTCTATGACATGAAGAAGGCGGATGTGACATAGTAGTAGCCCAATGCACAGAATCACAATGTCTTTGCAACTTGTTCTATGACATGAAGAAGGCGGGGCCGCGAAACGTTGGTCCGAGTAAACCCAAACCCAAATCGGCGCACTAAAGAAGCCAACGTTGCAAACTTTCGGGGAATCCGCCGACGCTGGTCGGTGCCAGTGAAGCCTTTGTTCTGCTTACCGTTTTACATCGTGGAACCTCCCCACCCTTGCCGACCTTGCCACTCTGAGGGATTCCCTTCCCCTTGCAAAAGACCACCCACACCACCCACACAACCCAAACCGCCTCTGCACAATCGAATCCAAGAGGAGGGGAAGACCGCTTTATGTCTGAAACCCTGCAGCGCACAGAGCGAGCGAGAGACAGAGAGACAGAGAGACAGAGAGACAGAGAGACAGAGAGAGACAGAGAGAGACAGAGAGAGACAGAGAGAGACAGAGAGAGACAGAGAGAGACAGAGAGAGACAGAGAGAGACAGAGAGAGACACAGAGAGAGAGAGACACAGAGAGACACAGAGAGACAGAGACAGAGAGAGACAGAGAGAACACAGAGAGACACAGAGACACAGAGAGACACAGAGAGAGAGACACAGAGACACAGACACAGAGAGACACAGAGACACAGAGAGACACAGAGAGACACAGAGAGACACAGAGAGACACAGAGAGACACAGAGAGACACAGAGAGACACAGAGAGACACAGAGAGACACAGAGAGACACAGAGAGACACAGAGAGACACAGAGAGACACAGAGAGACACAGAGAGACACAGAGAGACACAGAGAGACACGGAGAGACACGGAGAGACACAGAGAGACAGAGAGACAGCGAGAGGGGCAGGGGCAAGGGCAGGGGCAGGGGCAGGGGCAAGGGCAGGGGCAGGCACACACAGCTCAGGGACACAGGAGCACAGCAAACGCAGCCGCAGTAAGGTCACCGGCCACAAGGGCGAGGGAAAGGGCGAGAAGGGCCCAAGAAGCAAGGTGCTAGCAACACCCCCGATGACAAGCCCATCTGCTTCCGATACAAGCCACGAGTGCTCAAGGACCTCTTGTCCTGCATGCTGCACAAGAGCCATGTTCCTGTGCTCCGTGCCTTGCCTGCCTGTCAGCTTGCTGGTGCGCGGTTTTTGCTTTCTCACATGGTTTGCATCTGCATGGCATTTTCATGGTTTTACTTTGCATGCCAGTTCTGCACTCACGCGGTGGCCCTCCACAACCGCAGAAGATCGCAGAAGATTCCTGACTTAAAACGCAAGGCTGGAGAACCCGGGTTTGAATGTTGAACTCATTGCTCACTCAAAATCCCCTGTCGGACTGATCTGCAACACGCTTCTGGTCGTCGTTCAAGTGGATGAATATGTTCATGCTTATGCTACAGGTACCTTCAGTACCCTCAGTACCTTCTGTACTGGAATTGCTTGGGAGCTGTGCGCCAGATCCTACTGCCAACCGCGTCAGCCATCTGACAGCTGCCATCTGTCTTCACCACAGAAACGCGCACCACTCGATGTTCTCTGGCAGGAAACGAACGAGTGCAGAACCCATGGCTGCACTTTCAGTTTGGCGCGCTCCGATGATGCGGTCATGGTCCAATGAAGCCAAGTTCTTGATGAGGCAGTCCATATCACCTTCTCTGAGCTCATGATGATGGAACTCACGATGTTGGGGCTCCTGCACGGGACCAGTGACTGAGCAAACATTACCATACCAAGACGAGTCACGCCATGTCCTGCGCCAAAACCAGCTCCGGGAAGTCTCGCATGTACCGCAGATTCACCGTGGCTCAGTATGTTGCTGCCTCCCACGCATGCACACTCTCCAATCAAAAGCGACCAACAACGGTATCAGTGGCCTTCGTCAGCGGCTTGAGTTGACGCACAAAGTCAGCGAATGAGACGGTAGCACTGCCTGAGTTGGCGGAGCTTAACACAGCACCGGTACCAGATTTTGCTTCTGGGTGCATCCATCACCTTGCAAAACTGCCTCTAAAGAGCCAGGTTAAGGCACTTTTTGTCACCAAGCGCTCTCTTGCTGTCAACAATTTTGAGAAGAGAATGCCTTTCATTTCTGCCAAACTGACAGACTATCAAAGCTGAGTTCGAGCACACGTTTCTGCGCCCGATATGTACAGAGATCCCTCCAGGCCGCTTGGCCGCCAGGAGCACAGCCCCCCCCCCCCTTCCCCCTCCCCCGCAGACAGATCAGAGAGAGCATACATATTGTTTTAGCTACTGGAAACCATCTAGTGCGAGAAGCGGCTCCGCGAGCGCCTCTTGCCGGAGCCTCATTGCACAAGGCCAACAAGTTTGCCGATGCTCTTGTCGCCGCGTGTCATGCGGGAGTAGTTCTCCAGCAGGGAGTCCTTCGATGCAGGTCAGAACCGTAACAAAGTGTTAAGGCGGGGCTGGGCTCAGGGTCATGACACGGAGACATACGAGGCACCAGTACAGCATTGTGCTGCTGAGCCACATACCTGTCGTTGCGGCCTGCGCGCTGCGCTTGTTACATCTTCACAGTGGCTATTCCGATTGTTCCGATGTTTGCTAGGCAACAGGCAACAATGGAACTTGTCCGCCTCTGCCAGAGAGTGGTCGTGCTTGAAGTGAGCGGCCAGATCTAGTTGAGAATCTTAGCAAGCCGGAAAGCTGGAAAGTATTGAAAGTCCCATGCTGCTGGACCGACAGAAAAGCAGGTGCGAATAGTCCTGATGTTTCAAGATAGGTGACTCACGTGCTGCAGCAGCTGTGCCGATACCTCAGTCAAGCTGTCTGATGGATGTTCGTGGGAAATGATCGAAATTTTCGGCCCGTCTTGGCACTATGCAAATATGCCCTCAACAAAAGGAAAAGAGTATACCGTAACATAGAAACCCTGCCCAGGATTTGCCCAACCCCCGGGTGATGCAGGTGAGTGGCCGTACCGCTTTGCCGACACAGGCCTTTCCGGAACTTCTGTGTCCATGCCCTCATTGATCACACTGACCTCTTCCGCATGGTGATATACATGCCCATCACTTCCTGAAGAGCCGAGGAGTTACCAGGGAGTCTGCCAAGAGCATTCCTACAAGAACAAATTCTCCAAATAGGCACAAACGTTGTGCTAACTGCCTGAAGAGAAACCAATGCGTCCACGGCCAGGAGATTGGGACCGATCTTTGAAGCATGAAATACAATGTCTTGTGGTCCCAGCTGCTAGTGCTTCATCACTGGCATCCAACATGAGCACTTTCTGTCCCAGGCTGTGCCGCATACTCTCCAATGCTGAATCCACTAGGCCATTCAACCTTGACTGTCTGGGGTTTCAGCGTTAGACCGTTTCATCCTCGAAAACCTTTGGCTCGGGTTCAATCTTGCAGATTTGGCAGGGGGAAGTGCCCGTGGGGCGTTGGAAGCCGGTGAGGAGGGATGGTCTGCAATGCTGTTTTCCTTCCTCTTGCCGGCTCGCCTTGCAGGAGCTAGTTCACACGAAATGTGATATCCTGCTTCATGCCAGGTTTGGGTAGAATTTTGAGGAAGGGTTTTGACTGGTGCCGGCAGTCATCTACAGAAAGAAGTCCAAATCCGACTTGGCTCTTCCAAGCGCATGGTGACTGGCCGACATCCTCTTCCTAGCACATTGCACCTCCGAACCCTGTGCCGTAAATGAGCCGGACGTGTGAAGCACGTGACGTGATGAGGTATCAACGAATCTTTACTACAATTCAAGCCAAGCAGCTGCGCACGGAATCGCGACACAACCTTGTCCAACTCCTGCCGAGTCTTCTCCTGCTTCGCACGGAGTTCAGCAGACAAATCCTGCATCTCATCGCAAAGCCTCCAAAGCAGGGCGGCAGCTCAAGCAGAGGGCATCTCACTAAAGTGTGTGTGTGTGTGGCACACTGCAGTATCAGAGCGAAACAACGAAACAACATTTTTCGCATGCAAGTGGTAAAGAAGCTGCTATTCACAGCAAGGGGGCTGAGGAGGACGTGGGATGGGGTGTGGGGGGGGATCCTCGGCCAACGAAGACCCCCCCCGGACCCGGCTTTTCTTGTTTTCTTGTTTTCCTCAAGATATTCTTCGAGCTATACCCTTTCGACCTCAGCTACCTCTAGACGCAATTCCTCGTCGTCCGCAAGCAGCTCGAAGCAGCAAGTTCTTTGCCGAGCCTTCCTACAGAGCATTCATGCAGAAAACTCTTGCAAGAATGTTCTGCAAGAATGCTCTGCAGAGCATTCTGGAACACGTCAACAGTGTTGTGCCTTTAGCATCCTGTGGAGCAGCAGTGCAAAGGCAAAGCAGGAGAATTGCGCGGAACATTTGTGCGACGCAAGGCTTCCTTTTCGACACTCTTTATGCAAGGCAGCAGCTTTCAAGTGTTCTTTCATAACTTATGCCTCATCACTGCGCGTGTCGTCTTCTGCATGTACGTTTCTCCGGCACCTGTCCTTTGGAGTTAGTTGAGCATCTCTGGGGACAACGAATCATCATCCACTTCGAATTCAGCGTGTAAGCGGCCAGGCGCCTTGAGCCGCGGGTGTCGATGGGGATCATTCCGACCCCCACGCTTGAGTGTCTTCTTCGGTAGCGGTTCAGGCACGAAAAAAAGAGGCTGCCTGGAATTTCGGTTCTAGTCACATGAAGGGCTTCTGCTCCCAGAACTGATTCAGATTTCTAAGTCTATGACCTTGGAGTTTGGTGTGGACAAGTACCTGACAAAAACAAGAAAAAGCCACGCTCTCATCACAGCTAAGAAGGAACACTTGGGGTGGCAATTTTGTTCCTGGAATTTTGGTGTGGACAAAAACCGTAATGCCACCCCACTGATCGGATTACTTGGAAGTGGCATGTTGTTGATGCGGACAAGCACCAGGCCCAAGCAGATGAGGGTTTACAGTCTGAGTTCGAGCTTGCACTACTGCTCTTCGAAGCTCTTGAGGGCCACTTCAAAGTGACACGCTTGTGGCTGGAGTTTGGTGCGCACACTTTGCCTCGCAACTCAGAAAGGACTCTTGGAAACGGCGCGTTTGTTGCTGGGGTTTGGTGCGGGCACGGGCCATAGCAAGTGGAGACACTGATCATCCCAGCGTACTTGCCGCTTTCATAGTTTGTGACATCCTGATAGTGTATGCTGTTTCTGATACCTCGATGATACCTTCGGCTACAAGTTCTGTACATGTGCCTCTGGTCCACAATTCATGTGATGCCACTCGGTATGCGTTTTATGATCGTTTTATGTCTCTTGGGATGCAGGCAGACGGTGGCATCGCGAGTGGAAATTGAAATCAGCACAATGTGCATTGCAAGTGTATAGGTGTCTCTATTAATATGTCTGTCTGTCTTTGACTCTCGGCAGATCTCGGATCTCATCCGCCTTTTATCCATTCTCCGCAATTCTGCGCCCAGATCTTCCTTGATGTTGGTGAGGTCAAGTTTCTGGAGCGAGTTGATCGCCTCTTGCATCTTGACCTTCCTGAGCTCAGCAGCGCCGTTCAGTCAATGAGTGCTATCTGATTTTGGATCTTTGTCATTGCCGGGATTCAAGTCTGCGATGTCGGAACTGTGCTCATCTGCCACCTGAGGTGTGCAAAGTTGTGCAAATAGCTAGCAACCAGCCCCTGGCTACCTGGACAGCTCCGGATCCCATCCCGTGGCACCTGGCTAAGGTGCTCCAAGCTGGCGCCCGTCTCACCGAAGCGGGTGTCCACCGAACGGCCCAGGCCCTCATGAATGATGCGAGGGGAACGTTGTCACAGAACACGGGTCAAAAGTTGGCCCGTTGTCCGACATTGTATGCATTTGCATGCTGTCCACTGAGCTGCACACATTCAGGCGGGCTTGGAGCAGCTCCAAGTCATGCGCACCTTGCGATGTTGCCTCACCCCGCGCATTGACAAACATTTTCGGGTTCAAGCAAAAAGCATCACAAAGAACGCGTGTCCTCGGCCATTTCTCGCACACATCTTTCGGCTTCTTGGGCGCGTGTCTCCTGCACACAAGACCACAAAGCCACACACAGAGACGCATCAACGCAGACCGAAATCCTCTGCGTAACCGAAAACGCTACAATCTACCAGCAATTAACTTGAGCGCTCAAAGCATTGACACCATGCGAGCAAGGCTCGCAGTGTCGCACGCGGTCATGAAGTTCACCCAGCTGGTTCTCCCAACCTTCTGTCGCAGAAAGCCATCCCACAGGAAGAAGATACAATCACTCACCACTGGTACGAAACACAAAAACAGCTAAAGTTGAGCTGCTAAAGTTGGGGGCGAGGGCACGAAGCGATCGTGGACTTGCAGAGCCCGAAGCTCCATCAACGGGCAGCTCTTCATTCAGCAGAGCATCCACTTCTATCTCCAACTTTTCGATGCGTGCGGCAAAGCCCTGGAGCTGAAGCGATGCACTTGCTATGATAAAAAAGGAAGACATTTCTGACAAGACCACGCAACCTCACACATGGCACGCCTCCCAGCCTTGCCACTGTCGCCAAAGAGCCCATAGAGCCCATCTCCTCCTCCATCCTGAAGCTTCTGGAGCTTTGCCAGCGAAGCTTCTGACCGCCCCAGTCGGGCGAGGATTGCTTCCAGAAGGCCTCCCACAACTCTCTCTTAGTGCTCTCAGAGCGCTCTCAGTGAAAGCTCCTTTTGCCGTGGCTCTCATCTCTCAAACCTTTTGACTTGCCAGCTGTTGCAAGGTGCTTGAGCCCTGCTCAGCACTGAAATATCGGGCCTTTCAAGGAGGATGTGTCCACGGACAGCAGAATGTCGGGCACGGCAAGCTCTGGAGGCTCTAGAGGCCCCGTCGCCATGCCACTGTTGCAACTCGCTGATGCCATCATTATGCCGACATAGAACCTGAACCTCGTAGACTTAGTCGACCATCCTCACCCCTCAAGCTTCTCAGGCTGTTGAGGCTCCTGAGGCTTTTGATGCTTTTGAAGCTGCTGGGGTGGGGGGGGAAAGCCTGGATCCATGACACGGCCGCGCCACGCACACACAAAAGCATGGGCGACGTGCAAAGTGCAGAAGGTTCTACCACAGCAGCGCACGCGGCTTGGTCCACGACCAGGTTGTGCATACCTCCTCCAGATCAGCTCCAAGTCGTGCTCTGATGCTCGAAGCTGGAGATGTGTCAAGGCGCGCCTTGTGAGGAAAGCACGACAAGCGGCTGAAAACGTGCAGTCCTTCCCCCCCCCCCCCCCCGGAGAGCCTGAAATCAGGAAGAGTGAAGCTCTGGCGGCCCTGCGCTAGGAAATTGAAGACATCACTGAGCGCCGTGATGTCATGGCCTCACCAGGTTGCCATTTCTGGCGCAAGCTCAAGCTGCGAGTCGGCATCCTTTCTGCCCTTTCACAGCACTGTGCCGAGGCAGAGGCCGATGAACTGAGACAGCCGAAGCCTCACGAGAGAAAAGCACGAGCCTGGAGGCCTGGACTTCAGACCAAATAAAGGCCACCCGCACCTGTCTTTCTCCAGCTCCTGTTACAAGAACGCTACAGCGCAGTAACGACTGCAAACATGCGACGTGCAGGAAGACAATGGGAAAAGGAGCTCAAATCCAGATATGGGCTGGAAATGCATGGTGTTCAGCAAGGTTAACTGCTGAGCTGATTCTTATCTTGGTGTTCTGCAGAGGAGATGTTCAATCGAACCCAGAGACAGTTCTTGTCTTTTGCACGGATCTGGATAAGCTACCAGCTTGCTTCGGGACGTACAAAAACAATAAGCTCCTGAGTTTAGAATTGTTTTCTCGGTGTTCCGCAGAGGAGCAAGCAAGACAAGTATCTTCTGAGATAACTTCCGGTGTTCTGCGAAGGAGCAAGCACTCGGCTCGTCCCTTCGGAATCCAGAGTCTAGAATCGAATGAGACAGAGATAGTTCGGTTCTGCGTAACACCGGACTCAAGCAACACTTAAACCAAAAGTCAATTGCCCTCAGAGAAAAAACAACGAAATCCAGAGTTGGTTGTACTCACCGAGTTGGTTCCTCCAAAAAAACTAACTGCTGACTCCTGAGTTAAATGTTTCCTGAGCAACAGTTTCCTCAGCAAAGCCTTCAGGAAACAATTAACTCGGCAGCTTGTTGTTTCTTGCTCTAAACCTTAGAAAACACTGAACTCGGGAGTGAATTGGCTTCAAAGGGCTGAGCGAGAGGAAATAACTCCAGGGTCTATTCTTTCCTTCCCCAAGCGCATTAATCTTTTCCTTTCCCAAGTCGTCAGATTTAGCTCCCGAGCTTATTCCCCCCCAAGCCCAGAACGACACCAACAATGAACTAACGAGCTAACTTTCTAAAACTTTTTTCAACTCTTGTTTCCATTCTGTTTCAGCACTCGACAGCATCTTCCGGTCGATTCGCTGTATGACCTCCAAGAGTCCTCGGCAGCCGATGCTGCTGCCGCGATCGTGCGGTGAAGCTGCTGGCGAGCCTGAACGACTCGGGGGAACTATCAGGCCACCGGGAGCCTAGCTCGCAGCTGCTACAAGAAGCAGCTCGGGCTCGCATGGCCTGGACTGACAAGCGGCTGGCACCAGTGTCGTCCTCCCAACCTGGAGATGAGCTCAAGCTCACAGTGTCACTCGAGAGCCTCCCACCCCGCGACTCCAAGCCTGCAGATGAGCTACCCACGATGATGCAGCGGAAGACCGTCCGACACATGGGGCACTGAACCTCTGGATTGCTTCTGTATGGAAAGTGAAAGTGAGAGCCGTCCTCAACGAGACGCAACAAGGGACCGCACCTCTGGACAGCTTGTGGAGTCTGACTCACGCTGCACACGGAGCCCACAGGTCGGGCAGGTCTCGGAGTTCCTGAGATCAAAGCCCAAGTGACACAGAAGCACTGCACAGGTGAACTTCCAAGTATACCCCTCAGCTGGAGAAGCCCCCCTCCCCCCCTTCTGCTTCCCCTTAGTCCAGCAGGGGCGTTACTGCTGCTGAGGCTCTGCAAAACATACAGCACGGATTTGGCCTCGACGTCCGTGCGGCAGGTCCCAAGAGCCTCCAAAAACATGATCTATTTCTGAACATTCTCACGCATCCCAGGAACCGCCAAATTTCCAAGCCCGCTCAGGCTCCTCATACTCCTTCGAATCCAGCGGATATGCCAGCACGCCAAACTCTCTCAGAGAAAGTCGGCCCGGATGGCTGGTATCTCCGTACCTGCATCACATCCCATTGAGGATCCGCAACTGCCATCAGTTGCAAGAATTCACCCCAACAACTGCCTGCGTCGAAGCTGAACTTCCTGAACCAGAGTGCCTGTGCCGGTGCGCAAGCAATCCGAACGTCAAAATTGTCGCCGCCAAGTTCCGGGCAGAGGCTGGAGAAGGTGCTGGAACCACGAAAGTCTTGCACCAGCTGCCAGACATCCGTGTCGAGCAGGTAGCCCTGGCTTTGGGCTGTCCACTCCGTCCACTCCGTTCTCACTCTCCGCAAGACATGCAGACGTGGCCTTGCCCATGGGATCCAGGCTCCGGAAGAGCGCCACGAGCGGACACTTCGGCCGCAACGCCTCCAGGAAGTTTAGAGGTCGCAAGAGGCCAATCAGACCCAACACTGAGGCAGCCTTCCCGTCTTCGGTCGCTGCATCAGCTGTCGCTTGGCGCAGCATGGTTTGCACCACCGCCACAAGCAGCCTGCGCGACAAAACTTCCGATTGCGGCTTTGGCAAAGCATCGAAACCAATTGGGAGAAGGCCTTCTACGTTTTGCAGTACGCTGAGGCTGTACACTGCTTGAGTTCTTTGCATCGACGTGCCCCTATTGTACAATCTACAGTGGTACTGCTATGCAATTGTACAGTACATACTATCTTCCGGCAGGTTGGGGGCTTCTCAGGGCAATCATTGACGGGTTCCGTTCTGTGAGGTCACTGTGTGCCGGTCAGCTTGTCCTGATGGCGCTTGCTACTCGTGCTCCTCGTCTGAAAGCAGCCGCTCTTCTTGCAGCATCACTTGTATAAACTTGGTATTTGCTCCACGACTTCAGGGTTAACACCTGAAGGCCGAACCTGAAGGCCGAACTGCACCAGCACCTTCTAAATAGATGCTGCAAGAGCAACAAAATCTTGCCTGTTCGTTGCAGTGCAGCCCTCGGGCGTCCACATTGGATCGTAGCCTGCACGGCAAATGTACACAAATGTACACGACACGACAGAAGTCCGTGCAGCTTCAGGTATGACAGGTACGAATCCGATCTGCGATGAACAAACCGATGAGATGCGCTGAGACCGCGGCGCAGTTGGCGCTGAAAATGCTCCAGGGACACTCCAGCTCCGAAGCTTGGGGCATAGCGCTGCCATAGTAGGTCCAACTCCTTCCAAGTCAGCCGCAGCAGCCGTGCGCACGTGAGGCACACGCGAGTTACGAAGCTTTTGGCAAGCCGGGCCTTCTCGGCAACGGGAATCTGCTGATCTCGGAAGGCCTCTGCATCAGAGTTTGTTGGGCAGCACGGGAAGTGCATGTGGCACGAGCAGGATGCCAACAAGGCCACCCCACCTGCCGCAGACCCACGATATCAAAGGTCGGCTGCCCCGAAGAGATGTAATCTTAGTGACAAAGATAATGGCAAAGAACTGGCAGAACCAGGAAAACCTTCCCAACAGCCAAGAAGCGAAAAACCTCTCTCAGGCAGGTTTGGTCGAACCCTGCATGTGCCGCCAGTCTCTTTCGGTCCAGCTCCAGGTTCTCAGCCTTTTGGCAAACAAGCACCGACATCTGGGAGGCTCTCTACGTACGCTCAGCTACCCAGGCGCCCTGCCGTGCGGGCAACGGCCGCGATCAGCCTGCAAAGAGTATATCGATCTGCTGCAGAAGCCGCCGGCGCATCCAAGAAAGGCCTGGCAGACACAAAAACTACCAGGATCAACGGATCGTTGGATGACTCGCTGGCCTGGCCACGACGAAACACCTGCGAGGCTCACAGAGTGAGGCTTCTTTGCTATCGCCTCCTTAAGTTTAAACCCATATTCTCTAAGTGAGAGCCTCTACCACGACCAGAAACATGCAAAGAGCTTCAGCGGAACACACATTAAAGAATCTCGACGTGGCGGGAGGCCTGAAAGCGGCTTGGCAATGGCTGCAGACCACATTCGGGCAACCAGCCGAGTCAGAGTCCCTCTGAATTCGAAACCCACCTTGGCTTCTGAAAGCTTTTTGGACCAATCTGTGGGCATGCGAGCACATGTCTAGCACAACTGCACACCCTCCCAAGGCAGGAGCACCGTGGGCACGGCTCTGAGTACTGCAGCAAGTACAGGATCGACTTGGCTTCATCATCTGTGGCAGAGTCACACATTGCTTTGTACTCCTGGCACGGGGGAGATGACGCGAGCTTGGCCTTGCTTGGAAAAGCTTAAGGCAAGGCTTGGCAGTGTGCAAGAATCTCTGTGCAAGAGCCAAAAGGGGACCCACTGAGGCCTTCGTCTGAATGGGGAAGATCAGCTTCCCAAGGTCCCGGAACGTGAGATGACCAAGTAAACCGCCTGCTGCGATCCATGAAGCAGAAAACTTATGCAAAAGTCAAATGATTGCAACATATTCTGTAGCATATTATTGTGCAACACATGGATCCTTGCGGCCTCCGCGTCTCACGTTGGCCTCGTGCACCAAGGAGCACAAGCTGGCAAAAGACACCGGTGCTTCGTGCTCCTGCGCAAGGCCAGTCAAGAGCTACAGCTCAGAGGAGCCCAAGCACACGACAGGCAAAAGTGTCGGACTGCGCTCATGCTGCTCATGCTGCCCATGCTGCACCTTCACCAGTTGCAGCAGGTCTGTATCGAGCACGTGGCCCTGCGCAGCACGCAAAAACAGGCGAAAGCAGCTTGGAGTGACGAACAGAGTGGCTTAAGGGTACTTGTAGCCAACATTAGCCAACAAACACCCTACATCCCAAAGATGTGGCCACCCGAAGCCCCGCCGCCCAACACCCCGCCCGTCCCGGCCCGCTGTGCTCTGCCGATTTGAACTGAGACTGTTTCTAAGACTTGAGCTGGACTTGAGATGATGTTTTTGGGCCTTATCCCAGGGGTCGAGGACTTTGAAGAAGGCCGGCAGCCCTGGGACTTTGGTGTGAGCATTCGTAATTGCAGTGGCATGACGAGGCACGTCTGAGCTCAGCCGTAAAATCTCAGGGACGATCCGCAAGCTCCAGCGCCGGGACCCAGCATTGCCTGGCATGAGGTGTCTCCGGTTCGAAGACACCTCAAACACTCCCAAAAAACCCAGGCTGGTGCCTCACCTTGGCATCCTCAGCCTCGGCATCGCAGGCAGCTTGGCGGACCATGGCCTCTGCACATCTTCGCATGCTGAATTTGCCGACACCCGTACTGATTGGCTCAGCGAGTTGAGTGTAGAGCTGGTTAACAGCAGCTTCCGGCTTCGTGTACCCACTCGGCTTCCTATGAAATCGGCACCTGAATACACAACCGTGTAGCTACAGCCCCTAGATATCGCCAGCCCATGCTAGCCTGCTAGTGTAGCTGCATGATGCAAGGCGGCCTGGAGAGCTGTTCGCAGCATTCGCAGTTCTGAAGCATCTTCACGGGGAGGCGCCCAGAGAGGCCCCTGACGGTTTTCCATCTTTCTTGTGGAAGTTGTGTGGGCTTGAATTTGTGTGGAGGTGCATTTAATGTATATTTAATGTACTTAACAGGCGAAAGTCGTTGAACGTGGGTACTTGTGGGTAACTCAGCACTTGGTGACTTGCCACACGCGGTTCCCAAAACTTGAGGCGCCTCGTAAAAGCCATCGGGCAACCTCAAGCGAGGACTGTGACCCGAGCGGCTCACATCAGCTCTGCCAAGCCTGGGCCGTCCATGTTTGCTGCACAGAGGCAAAGATGTCTGGAGCGCTATGTTAGTATTGCTATGTTGGCCCTTCAGGTCCAGTCTCGGATGGTCGCGGCCGGCCCAGGGACGGACTGTGGAGCCTTCCGCTGCCCACCTGGGCAGACATGGGCGGGCAGGGAATGCTCGCACGCCCCATCGTGCATCATGTTGCATCGCTCACACGTGGGCCGGGCCGGAGATCCATCGCGCCCTGCACAGCCACCGGCCTCTGAGGGCATTAAAGGGCAAAGGAAGTACACACACACACACAAAGGTTCACACACACGAACACACGAACACACGAACACACGAACACACGAACACACGAACACACGACGAACACACGACGAACACACGACGAACACACGACGAACACACCAACACACGAACACACGAACGCACGAGTCTTTCCCATTTGCATTCGCTCTGACAGAAGGGCGCCTCCACCAGCCAGGCCCGATGCGACGGGGAAGTGGGGCGGGGCGGGGCAGAGCGCTGTGGTAGTGGCAGCCGTGGCGCAAGCTGCCGTGGCGACCCAGAGCCTCGTGAACAGCGCAGCTGCCCTGTCAAGAGTCTGCAAGATCTCAGGTCTCCAAGGGTGCCAACCTCTGGGAGGCGAGTAGTGCCGCTGCCCAGGCACCTCAAGACAGCAACAGCAAACAGGACGGACCGCGAAGGCGTTCTTTTGATGCGAGGCGACCTCTTCTTCCCACCATGGCCATCCACGGCCATCCACTCGTCCCGGAGGAGCGCCCTTTCAGAAGCGATCTGAAAGATATCCAGCATGAAAGTGCGCGCTGCACTAGATGCCATCACCGAAATGAACCGCCAAGGTACGGGATCGCGTGGCAGCGCACGTGGCGAAGAAGGCGCATTCCTTTGCGGTTTTGCGATGTGTATCACTCACAGAGTACCCCTGCAGCGTGTAAGCCAGCTGCATCATGAAAGGCATACCCCGATTGGGCGCAACGTATCCAGACCTGTGCTCACAGGATAGAGCATCAGGGGCCCTCCCGCGTGACAAGGAGCAGGCGCTGATCGGGGAGACAAGGCAGCCTTCGGCATTCAGCAAAAAGAGCTTTCGCAGACAGAGTCTGAGCTGTGAATATGGTCAGCCTTGGATGGCTGGTAGAGGCCCACAGGTCTTGCTGGCTCCTGAAGGTCCATGTGCTAAGCCTAACCTTGCATGGCTCCCGCTGGGGGCTGGGCAAGCATTGGAGGGGGCGGTGCGGAAAGCCTTAGGCACATGCACGTAGCGGTTGAAGCGGACATGTCGGCACTCACAGATATCGGCCCAAGCCGCTGATGAGCCGGGATGACCATGTCAACCACAGGATTGCGAGCATCTTCAGGCAGAATAGCCCTCTCCCTCGCGTTTGACCATTGGTCACAACTTCTTAATCACAAAACAACCTCTCCAGGCCTGCTGCCGCCATTTGCTTGCCTTTGCGAATGCGGTGCCGTGTGCCGCTCACGAAAGAGCATGACACAATGCATGCAACAGTGCCTGAACGGCCATTCCCTGGACTGCCACAACGGCACCTGGGCCGGAGCACCCGGTCCGCCTGGGCCACCAGGTCCGCCTGGCGCTGGCAAACCACAAACCGCTCTGCGAAGGTGAAGATTCAGGAATCTCACCTGGACTTCGCCGTGGCGACGATGCCTGTCGCGACAAAGAGCCTGATCAGGGGCACTGAGAAGTCAAACTCAGCAACTACATTGCAACCTCCTCTCCATGGCCTATGCAGTTGCTGGCCTCCGCAGCAGCCTGTCTGCACCAAAGGCCAATGGTCTTGCTGGAGCTCAATGGTGCTCATACACTTCAGAAACTGCCTGTCTTGCTGCACATGCAGCGTAGCTGCCCAGACTCGGCGGGGGTCTCCTGGAGATCGTGGCTGGGCATCGAGCCGCGACTGTTGCAGCCGCCAAAACGGAACTTCATTAACGCGGCATGGGCCATAGCATGGGCCATCTATGGGCAGGGTGGGCTGTTGACGGCTCAGCAAAGCTCCGTACGAGCACATCCTAGCACATCCTCAAGCTCCAGTATCTTGTCTATCAACGCGTGCCTGGGGCTCCATGAAGCACTGCCTGCCCCACTTCGAAGCTCACCTGCGCAGGTCACACTTGACACCTTGTTCGCTTTTCACAAGGCCACAACTCCAATGATTCGCTGAAAGCCCTCACATCCGCAGATGTGTCTCTCGCCTCGTTGGCCAGTGGCTGCCTGAGGAAAAAAGAAAACAGCATGATTCGCACTCTCACGAGAGTCTTCGACGCTTTACAATTCGACCAACCATACAGCCTTCTGCAGATCCAACCGCTCCGAATCCAATCGTGCTGTTCCCGCGCACTCCCCCCCCCCGGTACCATTGGATCCAATTTGCCCCATTACCCAAAAATGTCTCTTTAGATACAACTACATGATACTACATGTTATGTGTATACATATACATGCAGCTGCGTTTAAGTCCATTGGGAACTCCTGCCTGGAAAGCTCTCATCTCTGGACCGCCGCGAATCCAACCTGCACCGCTGCACCGCCCCATGCCGGCTTCGGGAGCGACGTGCAACCTTTTAAAGTGGTGTAGAAGCCCGAGCCTGGCTGAGGCTTGAGGATGAAGTCTACAAGTTCCTGCGCTTGGAACAGATCCAGACACACGGAAAGCCTCACCTTGGAGCATTAGATGTTTTCGAAGTCTGCTTAAGTCTGCTTCCTATGGTCAGCCGCACATCTTCGATTCAAGGCTTTTGCAAGGCTCCTCAGCAGAAGCTGCGGGTATGATGCCACCACTGGTCCAGTTGCACTCAAGGCCCACCCGGCGCAACAACGCTTCGCAGCGAACATCGTCGCAGACCTAGCACGGAGAGTTCATAAGAGGACACTGGACTTGGAGCTTCATAGAGCTTCATCATGGCACCTTGAGGCGATCCACCAGCAAATGGCGGGGCCCGCCAGGGGCGGTCAACAAGGCCTCCTCAGTGGCAGAGCTGACCGCGAAGAGACCAACAGCAACGGAGTCACGCGAGTGACGTAACGAGTGACCACTGAGCCAGGGACGAGGGACTTACGGTGCGGCTGCAAGTCTGCAAGTCGACGTCGTTGAATGCCGAGACCTTTCCGGGTTGGCGGTCACAAAGATCCTAGAAAGGTAGGATGTGAGGGATCAGCCGCAACAGGTACATGGCCCCGCACAGCACTACCCTGCTCTGAGCATTGCGCGTGCGATCAGATCGCGCTCGCCTTCGATCAATCGGCAGAACCTGGGGGGTTGCAAGAGGCAAAGCTGCAGCGATCGAACAGCACCAGCCCGTCAGAAACCTGTACGACACTTCGGTCGGAATGATCTGGCTCGATGGACCTGAGCTCACGCTCCCTAGCACGCGGCGAACGGCCGTGCTCATGGCAGCAAAGGCCTCCGCGGTACCCACTGCGAAGTAGCGTGGCTTCCTGAACCGTTGCCCCAGTACCCAACCGTTAACATGGTCTGATCAAGAAGATCGTAAGCGACCACGTGCCCGCCTTCAGCCATGAGTTTGCTGGATCGCGCGGCAGCACCAAACGGAGAAAACCATTGTAACCTGACACTGTTGACAAGGAGACCTAGAAAAAGTGATTGCGGCGTCAACTACAGCATCGGTGCATGTTGTTTACACACCAGATGTACCTCCTCAAACTCCGGTTCCAAGTGCTGAGTTGCTCAGCAAACTTCGCATTTGTTTTGGCAGAACGCTCAGGTCCGAAAGAAATTCGTTTTTCCCGTTATCAGCACCATGCCTGGATTATGTATGTGTGCTTGCCTGTGCTTGCCTGCATCCATGTGTGTATTATTATATACTATTGCATTTTTTGTGTGTAAGTCCAGTTTGTTTCTGAACTGTCTATCTATCCGCCTGAGTGTCGACCTACCTAAGCCCTTAAGCTCAAGACTGAAGTGAGCACATCGGTTGGCAGACAACGAGTCTGGGTGTGCCACGTAGCTCTCCGTGTGGATTGAGCACTGGCGCCAGCACAGCCGCAACCTGAAAGTGCCGGGCGAAACAGCGACTGCTTTCACAGTGTCCGCAAATTCCACAGCTGGCCTCCTCCACAAGTATGCCAGCAGCACTGTGGAGCTGTTGGCCAAGCCAGCTAAACACGTCGTGCACGCTGATCCAGCCCTGCCGGAGCTTCCAGAACGTCTGCCAAAAAGCACCCCGACACGCCCTGTACCTGCTGAGCAGAAGACCAGTGCGCGAACAGGCTCCTCTCGGTTCAAATGCATGCGGCATCGCAAGAGTACGACGCTACACTGAGGGAGGAAGGACTCATGACTAATTCTGCGAACTTCCCCAGTCAGTCAGGAAGAACTCATTCGGATCGAACTCACGCAGCTCGCAGAGGCGACATCTTGCCTGGCGACTTTGAAGGAGTCTTTCTTTTCGGCTCATGATGCCTCCTTTCACAACTCGAGCCTGTTCCAGAGCCAGCTCGCCCTCTGCAGCAACCTGCACGGCAGAGCCACGCTTCAGATCCCGAGGCATCCGACCTTATCAAGGCCTGCAAAACAGCCAGCGCCGAGGACTCCTGCTCGCCGCTAACGCCCCAAGCATCCGGACCTGCAGCGGAGGCTGTGGCAAACAGAAACGGAATCGACAAAGACGGGCAAAGGAAGAGCACCTCAGATCATGCCACTGTCGACACAAACCCTTCGCGCCTGCCATCGCGCACCGCACACCTGCAACAACAGGAGCGCTGGATGCTCTCACTGACAAAGCCCTCGTCTAGCCGGAGCTCTTGCAGCGGGCATGTGAAGCAAGGTCTTGTTTGACCACTCTGCGCGCGACAGCGCTCCCGCAGCAGTCACCAGCCTGTGCAAAGCCGGTCTCTGCTTCAGTGGACTTACCCAAAACTGCCCTACTAGAGGTGCTGCACTCCTTGCATCAAAGGTGCAGGGCACAGGAGGCAGCGTGGCATCGAAGAAGCTGCGGCCGGCTGCAACAGCACTCCTGGACGTGTCACGAGGTGTTGAGCGCTTCACCACACAGGACATTGCTGGAGCAATGAATTCCATTCGGGCCCCTTCGAGTCCTCATGCTGAATGTGTGTGCAGCCTCGAAGCTGGGAGCTCCTTGAGTGTGAGATGTGCTTCAGTATGTTTCAGTTCAGCAAAGAGCACGGATTAGCCAGGCCACTGGAGGCCGCGAGCATACGCTGCAGGAGGAAGTTCTTGCCCTCGCTCTGGCGCAAAGCGTCTCGGAGCAAGGGCGGGCTTGGACGTGAGGGCACCTGGGTGCAAAAATGTGCGCGACATGAGGAAGGGGTGAGGGTGTGATTCATGATGTCATGCTGCCTAAGCCCTGGCCAAATGGCCATGGTCAGCAGCTCCTTGGGACCTGGCTTGCTGTCCAGGCTGTCCCATGGAGGTTAGGGCAGATGTAAACATTTCCGTTGCCGTCAATGCCATCGCCGCCGGTAAAGGCTGCTCTTGAACTGGAGCCTGGCTAGGCTGGTCATTCAGCCCGGCCAGGGCCTCCAGCATTGCCGATCTACGGTACCTCGACACGTGCAGGAGCATCAAGCATCCGAGTCACCATCAAACAGAACCTCCAAAAAATCACTGTGGATGTTGGATGTTGGGGTCTTCAGCTTCTGCTCAAATCTACATCCAGAAGAGTCCGGGAGGCTCCTTTTCATCGGCATGGATCGCATGGGTCGTGTGCGTCTCCTGAACCGTCACGTCCTTCACTTCCTTCACCTTCGCTGCAGTAGCAGCCGTTGAGCGCCGCAGCGGCAAGGCACCACGAGTTGTGGTGGAGACCGGGGGCAGCACTGCCTGAGTACATCAGATAGCAGAGCTTTCCGAGTAAGAAGCATCCATTCGTCCATTCGTGCATTCCGGAAAACTGCATCCTATGCCAGCGAGTGGCCCCTGTCGTGGCTTCCAGGAAATCTCGGTATTGATCAGCGAGCATTGCAACGGACCGCGCTTAGAGCACGGAACTTACTCTGCTATTTCACACCCTGCAAGGGTGTGTGGGTATTGCACCGTGACCCAGTCGCCCTCCGGCTCGTTGGCCCAGAGAAGCTGTCTGAGCTGACGGCTTCGGGGGAATCAGAAGTGAAGGCGCACCCAGACATCCAGAGCAGACCGACACTAAGCCACTAAGCCAAAGTGCAACACAGCAACACATCCTGGCCTCTGGCGAAGTGTTCGGCAACTCACGAGTTGGAGACATGACCTCCTTTTCGCTAGAACATGCTCTACAAGCGCTAGACGATATGAGTGTGTGGGAAATCACTGTTCAATGCCTCTCAAACTTCGAGTCTCTGCGCCAAATTGTGCGTCACTTGCCGGCTTAGTTTGCCTCTTTTTAAGCTCACAAGAGCACAAGCGGAGCAAATCCACATCGCGAGAAAACAGGCTCAGGGAGGTGCTCACTGTGTCAACATTCCTCTCTGTACTGGAAGCAAATCCTTGTGATTGACGAGGAAAGCTTTCTTTTGCCTTCATTGTGCCGAGGTCACGCGGTTGCAGTCTTTTGCTGCCTTTCTTTGGCGTGTACCAGGATCCCTTAAAGCAAACCGGGGTTCGTCAGCCCTGTAGCGACTTCCCGGTCCTTTGGCAGATGTGAAACCTTGATGGGCTGCTTCAGAAGAAGTATCTTCAGCACCATGGCCTTCACATGGGTTGCCCATTTTGCCTTTCAGGGTGCTGTGAAGGCTTTTCACCACCGATTCTGAGCGCGCTGACAGATCACGACAGATCGGCCTCCAGGACAAGATGTCCGCGCCACGAAAACCGAGGGCCTGGGGGGGGACAAGTCGGAATGCGCGTTGCCTTGCCTCTTCTGTCCCAAGGCTACCACCAGAGGCTCTTTGGCCGCAAGTCGCGGGTCTGCAACGTGCCCTGCCCGGGCGAATGCATCAAGGCACAGAAGAAAATTAGAAGAAAGCTTTACAAGCCTTTGCTGCACACTTTGGCGCACTCTTCAAACCCTTGCCTCCATGAGGTTGAGTGTCTGGCCCATCCCTGCAAGAACTCTGAGGCTGTGGCACTGTTATCCCACAAAAGGAAACTCCTAGCTTCTGTCATCTCCTGATTACACACATTCTGTGCTCTGATCGCGATTTGAGTACTTTGCCTCATTGGCTGGCGTTACTCTGCGTGTCACCCGTGTTGCCTGCTGACTTCTCGAGCTCGCCGCTCTTGGCCCTGGAATGCAAGCATACAGTAGCATACAGTAGAACAACATATTCAACTCGTTCACCCCCAATGTCGAATGAAGCCCCTCACCTCACCCTCCTCGCTGGCAACAGGCAAGTACAGCGCCTGGCAACTTTAAAGCGTCCCATCGCAGCGGGATAATGACTCCTAGCCACAGAAAAGGCGACAAAATCAACTCCCCGTCGCTCGCCTTGCCGTGCCATTTGGCTTCCTTTCCTCCTGCACATCCCAACCCAACCCACAGACATGGAAGACTCGAGAACATAAATAGTGGGCATGCTAACACACTCCCGCTTGCTTTAAAACAAACCAATCGAGGCTTCACCCGTCTTCACCCCTGAGCTCAAGACGCTTGCGCTTCTCTTTCTTTTCGCACCAGCATCCCAAGAACGTGAGAACCTCAAGATGAATCCGCTCAAAGCGCTTCGACGGATAGTAGAAAACATACAGCCTCATATAGCTACGCTACTTGTACTTCCTCAACACAGCTCAGCTTCAAACAACGAGGAGAAACAGCACTAAGCCGGCCAGTGCTTGGTAGAACCAGGGCGACTCGTGGACCAGTGCCTCGGCACGCATCCCACATTGTCCTCCGCCGGAAAAAAGATGAATCAATGAAGGCCTGTCACGAGCGTTATGCAATAGCATGGCCGATGGGCCGATTCAGCCGATGATGCCGATTATGCCGATTAAGCCGTTGTGTCGTCTTGTTCTGCAGTCTCTCTTAGCCGCTGACTAACACGTCGGTGCCTTTGACAGGAAACCACGAGAGTATGCGGCCAGCAAAAGCTGTGCAAATACGATGTGCTCAGACAACTCTCCAGTCTGTTGCATCTGCAGTGATCCCATCATGCCCGCGTACCTGCTGGATTTGCCTCGCGCGCGGATGCCTCAATACAAGCTCGCTTACCCCAACATGTTCTCAAGATGCAGGGCCCCATCCCAGCAATGACCGTCCGAGATTCCTCGTGTCTCTATCGGGACTGTGACAGCAGGAGGGGCTGCTTTTAACACAGTTCAGCACGGCGGGAGGATCCATTCGATTCCTGCATTGCAGAGCTTCCTGAAAGCGTTGCACATCAAGACGACTCGCCACGAGATCTGTCCATTTTTTTGTTACTCAAGGCGTAGTCACCTGCATCCAGTTTTCAGTTCGAGGAACTCGGGAAAGTAGTGCTCTCAAGTCTTCAGGACAGCAACCGGGAGTTCCGACAAAGGGTACCTTATCTAAGCCTTCCACTATGTGCGGAAACATCCAACGCGAAGTCGTCCTAGAAGGTGGCGCTGAGGTCAGAGCTGCAGGTATGAAAGCGCATCTCGCAGGACCAGAAACCGCTGCCTCTAAAGCTATACTCCAGATGAACAAAACCATGGCTTCGCTTCAAAGTGACTGCAGAAACATGGTCGGCTCTGCCTCATTGGGCGAGGCAGAAGAGGCGTTTGCTCCTGACAGTCAAAGCTGGCTGGGCACGGGGGGGGGGGGGAAAGGGTGTTCTCAATAGGCCCAGTCATGAAACTCGCTAGTACTGCACTTCAGCGCCTGTCAAACGGCACTGCTTCGTGGCCCTGTAGTAGCTGAAGATAGTGCAGTTACCAGCCTGAGGTGTTCGCTGGCTAAACATTTGCTTCTGCATGAAGCCTGGCATGCTACCCTTCTGAAGCCAAGCTCGGGAACCGACTTCGTAGCACTTGGTCTGGCACTCTGGCGCATTCTGAGCAGCTACCTCCTCTTACGAGGCATCAATATTCATGCTCCACCTCTCCACCACCTCTCCACCTCTCCACGTGCAGCTCACACATGCTGAGGCTCCTGGTGGCCGGCAAGGAAGTCAACACCCTCCTTGCGTGTCTGTTCGCTGCTAATAGCCATGCAGTGTAAGCTTCTATAGGGCCGCGTCGCGGCATCAACACGCAAGGCAATCCATGTTCTTCAGTCGAGGGTCCACAAAGCAGCTCGGATCTGCTGTAATGGCCAATGTCATGGGAATTGCCTCCTGACAACAGGCTACTGCAATCTCTTGCAAGCACAAGACCTGCAGCAAGCCTCTGGATTTGCCACAGGATCACCGCTGGCCATGTACCTACAAACAGCTGGTAAATGCGGCGAATAGAACATGTACGAGTATGAGTATGTACAAGTATCTACCGGACATCAAGAGGAGAATCTTGCACATCAAGTTCCTTGAGAAGCTTGCGGGACGTTTGCTGCCAGCAGCGCGTTTGCCACCTCAAGCTTGCGGCATTTTCTATCTTCAGGCACCCCTCCCCCCGGTCTTCAAGGGCCCACACATTCTTTCGGAGTCCTCCATTTTGGTCATAGGCTGACTTGTCAGCCACATCTCGAACGGCCTCAGCTTGAGTAGAAGCAGCACAGGCCATGAAACAACGTTCAAAGTCCGTCAAGAATCCCTTGGCTTCCTGCAGCGCCAGATGGAAGCAGGACCTTTCAGCACATGGGTCTCGAAATATCCGACAGGACCACCCTGCATCTGGCCCCTCGCCTTTCCCTCCACCAGAAGGCTTCCAGGCAGCAAGGTCACTGCAGCTGGCTTCCCACCGACATCCTGGACCTGCTGCGACAGATTCAAGTGAGTCACTGAACTGATTCTGTCCGCTGCTCCGGCCTCAGATACGGGGGTGCCAAAGTGGTGGGCAAGAGCTTCTGGAAGGCCTGCGACCAAATGCGAGAGTCTAGCAGGGTCGGCATGCGCAACTCACAACTTGGCTGAGAAGCCCACTTGCATGAAGGCTGCCTAGCTGAGATTTTAGCAGTCGAGAAAAAACCTTAGTCGTTCTTCAAGCTTCACCGTTCCACACTCATTTGGCAAAAGGACCGAGGGCACCGCCACCGAGGCAATCCGCGCCTGGCCACGGAAAGCATCGTTACATTCAGACGGAAACAGAAAGGAAGCGAGAGAGAGAGAGAGAGAGAGAGAAAGAGACTGAGACACTGAGAGACTGAGAGACTGAAAGATAACAGCAATTCGACGGGGAAGCACAGAAACTCAGAAACCACACTCAGCGTGTCAACGAAAGCAAGATCAAATCCGTCCACGGCTTCGCTTGGTTCTGGGTTGGGGAACTGACAGTGGTGGTTTTGAGAAGTGCCTCGGCGGTACCTGTTGATCAAAAGTCAGAGCTTAAGGGCTTATACACGGGGTTTAGAGGGGCGTTTAGGGTTTCACGGTGCGTTGGGCGTTTACGCTTCAGGGCTTTGGGAGCGTTTTAAGGTTGTTGGGGCTTTTGGGAATTGGGCGGCGTTTAGGGTTAAGTTTAGAGCCTCTGGTGTTTGTGGGGTCTTTGGTTGTCTTGACGATGTGTGTGCTTGCCATCTAGACTTTATATGTATCTTTGCAGTATGGTTCTTAATACTCGTATCCCAAAGGCACACCCAATGTATACACTCGCCAATGTTACAAGTTGCCATATTATAACAGGAACTCAGACCTAAAACAGGCATATTGCGGGGTCCCGCCCCTTTTCTCTGCTACATATGCGACGCGAGTCGTGGCCCTTCGTTTCATTCGTACGTCCCTCGCTCATGCGTACGTTGCAAACCAGTCTCAGAGACGTCTTCAAAAAGAGAGAGAGGGAGAAAGGAAGCAGCAGAAGCAGCAAAAAGTACCTGAAATCAACATCGCGCGAGATTGCACAGTGCAACCCAGGCCTTGAACCGGGCCACGCAGACAGCGGGTCCTCCGGCTGCCTTCCACAACTAAACCCACCATGATTCAGATCGCAAGTACCGATGAAGCACCATGCGTCACGTGACTTTTTGTGGTGGACAAAGCGACAAAGCAATCTGATGCCTCAGGCTGCGGTAGGCCGGAAGCAGCGATGGGGTGCAGCTCACAACTGCTGGAGTTCCTGCCCCACACAGCAGTACACTGCAGGCGTAGGTCCTTGCATGACCTATGTGATACGCCCTGCCTCCAGTATGTAAAGTAGCCACAACCCAGGGTCCGCACACATCTCGCCTGTGGCGGTTCCGAGCTCAAGATGCACGTGATTGCACGTGTACTACTCTCGCGTACGCGAAGCGCACGCAGGCCTGACACGCCGCGAGGCCGTCCTGCAACATCAATGGCCAACGGCAAAGGTCATTCTGATCCTGGCTGGTTGGTCCTCTGTGCTCTGGTTCTGGCCCGAAAGTGCGGGTGAGAATGCCTGGAAGCTCCACGCTCAGCCGGCACGCCGCCCAATATTGTGTCAATACAGGTCAGATTGGCGACTCCGAGCTGCGGGCACCTCCATGTGAAAAATCTGACAAGCCTATCGGAGTCCTATCTGACTCCCAGCAGCTGCTGAGAGCGAAGCTGTCGTGACCCAGCACCATCCTTGAAAGCTGTTGGTTGTTGAAGTCTGAGTAAGAACTCGGTTGTTGAAGTCTGAGTAAGAACTCTTCACAACCCGGTCCTGAACATAGTGCAACGGCAGGGAGGTAGTGTGCTCTGCATTTTGGTGGGGGTCACCAGGTGCAGCCTGTGCCGCGACACCCGTGGCACTTTGATACTCCAGAACTGGAGGCGTGCCTGCACATGAAGAGTCGATGCAGGCCCCTGGCCAGGCATTCCACTTCACTCACAAACACAAGCGAAGAGCTACGATTTAGCACTCAAGATCGCTCAAGAAAGCACCGGCCTTGCAGCCAGGAATCAGACTCATAGAGTTGCGAGAGCACAGCTCCTGTCTGATTCTACACATCGAGCTGCTGTCTGCCCGAAGGTGTCAAGGGCTACGCCAAGAAAATGTACCGGCCTGTGCAGTGATCCCAGCAATGCAAGACAAGCACTGCGCTGACCTGCTGGTTGGAGGGGCTCCGAAAGCTCCATGTCCAGCGAACCGATTTTCTGGGTGGCTGGCACTTCTGCGCAGCAGTGAGAGGGTGCTCGGCTGCTCGTTGTCGTAGTGGTGTGGTGGAGAGTTGTGGTAGGGAGGTCCTCAGCCACAGGTTGCTGCCACTGCGACCTCGAGAAGCTTCATGAGGCCAAGGCCGTAGTGAACCTGTAGGGCTCTGAGGTGTTACCTCAGTATGGCACACAAACCAGAAGCAGAAAGCGTTTTCTACATCGACTGCACAGGTCCCACCAACACACCGATCCACAGGCAGTGACCGTGTTCTGGTATGGGAGATGGTGTATTGTGACCTGTGCGAGGGTTACGAGACGCCAACAAATGCGCAAAGAGCTCGTAGAAACAACAAGGTCCCCCAGCAGTAGTGAAAGATGGAGTCGAACTCGGTTCTGGCACACAAAGATGGATGACCATTCCAAGCACATTCGACTGGCACTCAGGCCTCGTGAGAACTCCGTCGTCATCGGCATCTAAGAACAGGAAGGACTGCTTGGCCGAAGGCTTCCTGGACAGAATTGGTGCCCAAGATGCAAGAAGAGCTGCGCACCAGTGTTTATGCAATTGCTAAGCGGAGCGGCGTGAAGTTGAAAGGCGGCTCATAGGAGAGCCACACAACTCCCCACCTGCACACATGGAAGAGTTGTGCACTCATCCCCCCCTTGAACCCAAGATAGCAAGACATTAAAGGCCTGGACTTGTCCAGATCATGGCCTTCTGCCATGGCGTCCTGAAATAGAAACAAGAAAATGCGTTCTATCAACAATTGCCTCACAGCATGATAGGGCCATATGGGAGCCAGGCCCATGCTTGGCTGCTGTTCCAAAAATGCGAATGCAGCCACCTATGCGGAAATCGAGTTGCAACCCGCAGTCTGAAAAACACAGAAAACCAATTGGCTTCCGGCACACAGTACGGGAAAATGGACAACTCCTGTGACGAAGGGCGGCGACTCAAAGCGAAAACTGCAGTTGGTTCTGAGCAAGACAAGTTCCGGACTGTCGCGGCCACGTCAAAAGCGGTAGAGAACTCCGACTTGGACACCAAGTCGTCCTGATTGGTACTGCCAGCATGAAATCTCCAGATGAGGGATTTTGCAGAGACTTTTGCAGAGAAGTGAAAGGTGATGCTTGCCTGCTTCTCCAAACTGTCAATGTATCGAAAAGCATCCTTCGCATGCAGAAAAAAAGACTGACAAACCCGTCGAAACAACGATGCTAAAGGTAAAACAAGGGCTGATTTGGGCGTTTGAATCCCGGCACGGGCAAGGTACGCAGCACCGTCATAATGAGCCTCCCCATACTCACCAAGTGCTGCAACATCATCATCATCATGCCACCTCGTCTCGAAAATGGATTCACACGTTTGTTTTGCAGGGGGCACTACAAGTTGCGCACTGGATCTGGTGTCGTATGGGCCTGGACCATGCCCGGTTCCAAGGTCGTGCGTGAACTCCGATCTCCTAAAACTTTTTCAAAGCAGGATTGGCAATGTCAAAAGAACAAACGAATACTGAGAAATGATCATCTTCGAACGTTGATGTCACATTCTCGAAATTCGCCTTCCAAGCACCTCAGATCGAAAAGGCTCATGCCGTTGCCCTACAACCTCCACCAGGCGCCTTCAGGACTGTCATATCTCGTTGATATCCACGCACTCCAGTTGAACACAATCTCCCGGGCTTGGGGGGCATTGTACCTGAATTCACACAACATGTGCTTGATGTTGCACTAAGAAAACCGAACAATTCGGTCACACAAGTGCTTAGCCCTGCCTGTGAGAAGGTTGTGGTGCATCTGTTTTGTTCATCCAAACACGAAAACAACCCAAATGGATGTACGTGTGCAAATAGGTTGTGTTCAAATGTTGGACTGCATGCTGTCATTTTGTGCACGACAACAGTAAGAGAAGGAGTTTACTGCTAACGCCTTAGAATTTGGAATGCTTGTGGTCACGGCATTGAGAAAAAGCCCACGGAGCGAACCATGCCATCTTTCCATAACTCGATGCCCGATTTCAACGCATGAAAATGCAACACAAATAGCGCAAAAACACCATGACAACAACTTCGTCCACTGCATGCTTCGTTTTGGCGCAGGCATTCGCTCGCGGAGTGCAGGGTCACTGGGTTACGCGGATGACGGTTGAGTCAGTTACACGTGTTGGGAGCAAGCCGAGGGCGGGTTGGGAACAGGGGGGAAGCGTGTCGGGAACGGCGCAGGTTCGTGTCGGAAGCGCGCCGAGGACGAGTCGAGAACGCAGCCGGCGTGTAGAGCACGGACGGGGTCGAGTTGGGAACGTTTGCCACCCAGAATTAGGTTTTGGAAATTTGAAATTTCTTTAAGGTTCTTTTTCGAGGACTTGGACTTGGGTATACAGTCTTCTTTTGAGTTTGGAAAGGTAGCCGCCAATCTGTTCTAGGATAGGTACCTATTCTATAGGGGCCTATCGGAAAATGCATAGACCCCTACCCCTACCCGTCTACCCTTGAGAGGGGCACATAGGCACCTCCCATAAGTGGGACAGGGGCCCGTTCATAGCGGGGTCGGTCTGGCATAGACCCCTATGCGGGCGATAGACCCCTATCCCTTTCAGATAGGTCCCCATGCCTAGAAACCCCTAAGCCCTAAACCTTAACATACCCTAAACTAAACCCCTAAACCCAAAAAAACCCACACCATAAACCCGAAAAACCCCTTAACCCTAAACCCAAAAAAGCCTAAAAAAAAACACACACACACACACACACACACACACCCTAAACCCTAAAAAGCCCTTAAACCTAAACCCAAAACCCTTAAACAGCCACACCCTAAACCCTAAAACACCCCTTAACCCTAAACCCAAAAAACCCTCAAAAAAAACCAAACCCTTAACCTCAAAAAAACCCCTTTATCCTAAACACAAAAAACCCTAAAAACCCATACCCTAAACCCTAAAAAACCCTTGCTTGCTTGCACACTCCCAACCTTGCGGGAAACACAGCAGCACCACATCAAAATTGGTGTTCGAAGGTGGCTGCAGGGAGAAGCAGGGACTGTTGCCTGCATCACTGACATCGCTGCACTCTGCGCCAAGCACGGTAGAGCTGCACGAGCGGGCAAGCACGCGGCAAGCTACCAGCAAGCAGAGCGTGGCTGCCAATGCGAACCCCACACACACTGCCCATAACTACCTGTATGCATTACCTCTCACTCGACATGTTCATTCTTCACTCCAAGCTTTTGCATGAGATCCATGGTTGCGCTCCATAGATCGGCGCCTGCCCGGAGAGCCCAACGCCCCCATCAACGATGAGCGGGCTAACAAGAGCCTGTTCCATGTCTTTGTGCTCATCGTTGAGTCGCAAGAAGAGCTTCTTGTGCGTGGAGACGTGCATATTTTGGACACGGCAAACCGTCACTGCACCAGCGAGCTGCGAAGCCTTGGGCCGGTGGCTCGCAAAGAAGTGCTCGATGATCTCCTGGTCCGCCGACCCGAGATTGGCCTTCAAGCAAAGGAGCAAAGCAACCAAAGCATACTCATCTGGTTGCCCTTCTTGGTGGCCGGAGTGGCCACGTGTGCGGTCGGCATGAAGCTGGCGAGCCTGTTCACAAGCTTTGATTGCCCCATGATTCGCCTCAAACTTGATGGCGGCGTAAGCCATGCTACAGAGCAAACGCAGTCTGCCGCAGTCTTAGGCGTGTGATGATCAGGAGCAGCTCTCGCTCAAGGTCCGACTTGTTGCTCGCTACGGCCCTGGTCTTGGCTGGCTTCTCGCCTTCAAGCTGAGGCGGAAGATGCGCTGCCCGCTGGTCGGCCATGGCGCTGGAAATAGTAGTCGACGCGCGTTCTCATTACCCAGCAGCCGCGGAACATCACAGATTGCACACTTGCAAGGCAAGCTCGCGTGCACTTGATGCACTGCGGCGCTGCCTGCCGTCCGGCTACAGTACCCTCGTCTGATGCTATCATGCAAATGGTTGCACGCAACTCGCACAGAGGCCAAGGTAGCCCGGCATGCGCAACTGGTTACTATTACTGATGTGCCCAAAAAAGGTGAAGAGGAGCGCGAGGTGCTCCTCGGGCCTAGCCACAATGCGCTGCCACCACTGCAGGCATTGCACAGACAATTCAGCAGGCGCCACACATGGTCTTTGGAGAGGGCCTTGTATTTGTCCGCACTTTTTTCGCCCGCTCTGCCCTGTAAGACCTTTCTACCAAACTTGAGGAACTCCTTGTCCATGGTTTGCACATCAGGTGCCTGCACACGAACAGCAACCAGTCCGCTGTAGGCAGCTCCCACAACCATGCTCTTGAAGACGGTAAGTCCCCATCTTTTGACACAACACATGGCCCAGAACTTGCCGACAGCATAACGCTAAAAAAACGCTTAGCCCTAAACCCAAAACCCTAAAAAAACCCACACCCTAACCCTACAAAAACCCTTAACCCCAAACCCAAAAAAAATCCCAAAAAAAAAAAAACCCACACCCTAAACCCGAAAAAACCCTTAACCCTAAACCCAAAAAACCCGAAAAAGGCCACACCCTCAACCCCAAAAACACCCTTCACCCTAAACCCAAAAAACCCCTAAACCAAAAAACGCCCCCAAAAACTCATTAACCCAAAAAAACCAAAACAACCCACACATTAAACCCTAAAAAACCCTTAACCCTAAACCCAAAAACCCTAAAAAAACCACACCCTAAATCCTAACAAAAGACCTTAACCCTAAGCCCAAAAAACCCTCCTGGACTCTAAACCCTAAAAAACCCTTTAACCCTAAACCGAAAAACCCTTTAAAAAAAAAAACGCATACCCTAAACCCTAACAAACCCCTACCCTAAACCCAAAAAACCTCCTAGATTTTAAACCTGCAAAACCCTTTAACCCTAAACCCAAAAAAACCGAAAAAGAGAGAGAGAGAGAGAGAGAGAGAGAGAGAGAGAGAGAGAGAGAAAGAGAAAGAGAGAGAAACAGAAAAAAAACTTAACCCTAAACAACCCCTTAGCCCGAAACCCAACCAACAAAAAGAATACACCCAACAAAAACCCTGGTGCGAAGCACTCTCCCGCGCACTTTTTTCCACATTTTCCAAAACGCAGGTTTCAGCACTTTTCAAGGTTTTTAAGTTCAATTTTCATCGTTTTAAGGTGTCGCTGGGTCGTTGTTCAGCTCCCTGCAGTGATCTCAACCTGAATTTGTTCTGAGATTTTTTTCAAAGAATTTCTATTTTTAGAAAATTGACTTTTTGTTTTCTGAAACACCATAACATGTTGTTTTTCTTCTTGTTCGAAAAATATTTTTAACTTCCATTCTGACTGACAAGATGGCACGCATGAATTTTAAAATTAGCAACTTTAAGACGATTTTTGCAACAAGAAACTTTGTTTTTTTACATTGGGCGTGGTGTTTTTGTTTGGTGTTTTCGGACATGTTGATTTTTTGATTTTTGAGCCGGATCAGTTTAGTTGATTTAGTTGCAAAACAGTTAGTAAGGCTCATCTTGTTCTCAGCTTCTTGCGTCAAGAATATTCGTCAAACAGGAAAAATTTGGATTTTGTCTTTTGTCGATCCATTTGAAAAAAGTTTGCGCGTGCAGTTTTTTGTGTCACAGTGTGGCTGGAATTGTAAATTCATCAATTTAATACTTTCTCGTGTTCCCCAGCATCTTTTTTTCATTGATTTTTGTCAAAAAATGAAAAATGCATTTTCCAAAAAAATCAAAAAACCATTGACTTTTTTGAATTTGTCGTCAATGCCTCGGATGGACTGTCTTGAGACACAAACCGTTGACATATTTTAAAAGAAGAGCGGGTTGTAGTTGTTGTGGTTGTTTGTTCTGGGTGTGATTGGGTTCTGGTGCGGTTGTGGTGTGGTTGTTGCGGCTTGTTGTGGTTGTTGTGGTTGTCGTGGTTGTGGTTTGTTGTTAATGGTTGTCACGCGACACCATTGGCAGCAGTAGTGGTGTTGTAGCCGTCGTGTTGTCATCGCAGGAGTGGTCGCCAAAGTTGGAGTGGTAGTGGTGTCGTAGTGGTCATGGTTGGCAGCAACCGTCGCAGTAGTGGTAGAAGGGGGTGGTAGGAGGAGGAGGAGTAGTAGTAGTAGTAGCAGCAGTAGTAGTAGTAGTAGTAGTAGTAGTAGTAGTAGTAGTTGTTGTTGTTGTTGTCGTAGTAGTAGCAGTAGTAGCAGTAGCAGTAGCAGTAGCAGTAGCAGTAGCAGCAGGAGCAGTAGCAGTAGCAGTAGCAGTAGCAGTAGCAGTAGCAGTAGCAGTAGCAGTAGCAGTAGCAGTAGCAGTAGCAGTAGCAGTAGCAGTAGCAGTAGCAGTAGCAGTAGTACTTGCTTAAATTGTTGAAATGTTTTTTGAGTGCAAAACTGTTTTTGATTTGGTTTGCGTTTTTTTTGTATTTTTTCCTGACCTCTTTTCTGGCTCTTTGATTGTCTCTGATTTTGCTTTTGTATGTTTTCTGAATATTTGTTGTTCTATAGTGTTGTGAATCGTTTGATCCTTGCGGCTTCTATATATTTGTGAATCGTTTGACGCTTGACGCTGGCGGCTTCTAGAGACCAGAGGTTTTGGCTTACTTTGTTACACTGCAGCTGAAACGTCGAGTTTCATGGATTTTGCAACTGATGGATTCTGTAAGGTCTCTGCTCTGCTTCTTGCACAATTTTTTCTCGGAGGCTACAGACATAGCGGGAGAGTGCTTCGCCCCCATTTTGCCGTTAGGCAAAAAATCCAAGTAAAGAAACTCACACCCAGAAAACCCACACCCTGAACCTTTAAAAACCCCTGAACCAAAAAACCGCTAAAAAAAAACTAACCCCAAAAGCTTTTACCCCACCAAAAAAACCTATCAAAGCCACATCCTAAATCCAAAAAAACCTTTAAACCCCGAAACATTCTGTCAACCTCAACTCTAAACCGTTCAACCCTTGACCTACCAACACCCTCTAAACCTCAAGACTTCAAGTTCAGGAGGATAACATTGTCGATGACACCGAATTGTCTGTGAACTGTGGATTCCGGGGCGTCGTTCAGTAGGAACGTGTTTCCAACAACAAAGTAGCGTCCAACACTCCAGTTGCAACGTTCAACCTGAATCAAAACCATGTCACCCTTCGACATCTCAAATGCTGCGACTGCAACGACCTCGGCTTGACAACTCGTGTCATCTGGACATGAAGAAGCTCGAAAAAGCTGTGTGTTCCATAAAAGCAAACAAATGCATGCAAAATGACAGTCAACACTCAGTCAACACTGGCTGTAAATGCGCCGGCCCGAACTTAAGTTGCCATGCGTCCAACGCCCCAAAGAAGAAGAAGATATAGGGAAGGCCGACGCCTCCAGCGAAAGCCTTGTGAACGTTAGTTTGTCTTCTTGAAGGGCGTTGTTGATGTTTAAATGGCGGAAAGCGTTCACTCGGCTGACACGTAACATTGAGTCGAAGGTTTCGAAGCTTCTCAAGGCCTTCTCCAGTTTGCTTGCCCGCTGGAGACCAACGTCAGCTTGCAATGTTATGCAGAAGGCCTTTCAGAACTTTCTTATGAAACTTTGAAACCTAGCGGCCGGATTTGCAGTGGTCCTGCCAAATGCAAATTAGTTTCACTTTTATGGATGAAGACTTATTGCTTGAACTTCTTTGAGAACAAGCGCTGCTTGACTCGCGGCTTTCTTGGCTTGGACCTGGGGGCTTCTAGAATGGTATTGTTAAGAACACCTTCTGCGGCCAGAAAAGGCCGGTACCGCTGTAAGAAAGCACTGCTCTTTGACAAACACCATTAAACACTGGCTTACTACCTGTGTTGTTGCAGTCGAACAGAGTTCCTCTGTCGCAATGCTCTGCCCATAGCCAATGTACATTTGCACTGTACTTCAAACCATTGAAGCATAAAACTTAACATTGACGGTTAGAACTGCTTGGTTGTGTTTGAAAAGCAGTGCAAGACTATTTATATTCCCTCTTTTAGCAAAGCATTACCGGGCATGTTCTGCGAGCGTGTAACTACTTTGACAGTGACTTTGCTGGAATGCCGTTTTGATTTCCAAGGTGCTTTAAGGCGACTGTGCGACTTGTGGATAAAAAACCTGCAGCCCTGTCGCTGCGAGGTGCTGGGGAGCTCCTTCTTAAGGATCGAGGCCAGTGCTCCAAACTGCGTTCCGTGGAACACCAGCTCATGCCCAGGTGGCATGGACTCAGTGATCAAAGCGCCTGTACGCAGGGAAGTCTGCGCTCCCTCGTTGAGCGCGAAGACATGCGGAAACCTGGTCTTTTTGATTCGTGTGTGCAGGTAGTCAGCCAGCAGGTGGGCAGCCGTGGGGTACCGCGTCTGCTGGGCTGTTTTCTCAAAGCGAGCTTTCACTACCTTGTTGACGGACACAGTGGCCATGCTGTTCCACACAGCCGGTGTTCCATGTGAGGAGTCCGATTTTGGGGGCAGGCAGCAGACACTATTGTCCGGATCACACTGCACCTTCTCCATGGCGATATCCTTCTCTTCCCCAGCCGATCCCGGCCCAGATTGCTCTGGTGCCTTGCGCCCATCGTCCGCTGTCTGTCCAGCTCGGTTGCTGCTGGCTGGTTCGTTGCGCACACCACCTTCTCCTGCTGTCAGTGGCTTGCCACTGCCAAGCATCAGTTTGCCATCTCCAGCCCCAGTCCACGCTTGCTGCTGGCATTTCCCACCAGCCGGCGGGGCTCTCCTCATCTATGCCTCCACACTCCTTCCTAACTGGCAGTCTTTCAAGGTCCAGGCCCACCGGTTGTGTCTCTTGCACACGAAAAAGACTCGGCGGTCGTCTGGTAGAGCGGGCTTTCGCTGCCGGCGATGGGCCATTTTTCCCCATGTTCCTACCTGGAGGGAGATCCCTTAAGCGCTCGAGGTCTTTGCGTGAGGCGAAGGGGGTGGTCATGGTGGAATGCATGTAGGAGACAGTGAAAGAGTAGGTCCCAGAAACTGTGTGGCCTACCTTTCTGTGTAAAGGGTGCGGTGACCGCAGACCCTTGATCCACAACAAATGACACAGCGCTCAAGTGATGCTTTCGTGAGTGATGCAACGTTGCCCTCACACCCATCACAGTTCGACAGATCAAGGTCCTGCCTGGTCTCTTCGCCGTCCGCCCGGGTTAATGGCACCGACGGTCGCCATCTGAGCAGGGCAGCATGATATTGGGCGGCGCTGTTAGCACGACAACAAACACTGGACCGACGCAGGGTCTGCCAGAACTTTGCGTCAGCATTGGTATAACTACAGAGTGTGCGTCGCCAGCTCAGGGTTGAGCCTTTGCCATTCTGGCCCCACACCCGCGCCTTGAGCGGTGCAGGGAGTGACTGCTGTGTGGCTTGGCCCACGCTGCTGGGCCACACGAAGCGCGCGCATATACCTAGTGCCCACATAGGGTGTTGAATGCGAGTCTGCCCGGTTACAGAGCTTTGTGGCTCACAGAATGAGAGAGGCGCTCGGTCCCGGTCCCGCCTGTCAGAGGGTGCGGTGTCCGCGTACCCCAATTTGTTCTCGTCGCAGCTCAGCGGTGGCTTGCAACCTTGGTGGGGCCAGCGCGCCCCAACACTGGGAGAGTGGAAAGTCAAGCTATGTTGTCGTGCGCTCGTGCTAGCACAGACCCACCAGGTTGATTTTGATCCTGCTGATGACAGGCAGTGCTGCAAGTTTCGTGCCTGAAAAAGCGGCAATAACCGAACCTGTGCACAAGCTTCACGGGTTACCCGCGTGGCATTTGGGAGCCACTGGACTCCATGCCGGTTCGCCTGCACAGGGGTAATTGTTCGCATGCCTTCAGAGTCAATCAACCAGGACCAGTCTGAGACCCTACTGTTATGAGCCCAATTGAAAGAAGTCTTGATGCTAAGCGTCAGCCTTTGCGCCAGTTGATCTGCGACTTGGATGCCAGCTGCAACCCTATCCGGAGACCAACATAGAGCTCTCATGCGCGCAGCCAACATGCTTCTGACCTCCTCATATTGGTCCCCCAGGTTGTGTAAGTGACGTCCCATCACGAGCGTCGCATGTGAGGGTCCTTCCGGAGCCCGATATGGGTTGCATCCCGGGTTCAGCTTTTCCACATACAGAAGCAGGGCTTCGACCACCAGTACGGCTGCCTGCTCCTGAGCGTTCTCACTAGCCCTGATCAGAGCTAGTACCTGGTCAGGGGCATATGCGTCCAGGCCAGGCAGATGGACCAGCGAGCCAGAGGCGTGTGCAACACTATGAGTAATGGCCCTGTCAGCCACCAGAAGAGACCCTAGAAGAGAATTGAGACACACACGGGTCTCATTCAGATCTGGAATGGGTGCCGTATTTGGCTGGCAACTTGCCCAGGGTGTGGTGACCACGTCCCCTGTGCCGCCTGTTCCTTGCGTTGCGAGGCTGGCCCCATTGGAGAAGTGTGCAGCAGAGCCTGTTGCCAGCGATGTCAATCCTGACACCATTGGTAATGCTGCCTCAGGGACAACCTGGGATTCCCGTTGGTGGCTTGTCATGGGTGTGGTGTCCACATACCCTGATCCATGTCGCATTTCACTTCCTGCCGGGCGCTTCTTTGGCTTAGCGCAACCAATGTAGGATGCACTCCACAGAACAAGCAAACGCAGCCATGTTGAGTATATGATGCCCCTTCGTACCATGATTGAGTGTGACCTACTCACTGCTGCAGCCAATTGCTGAGGATGCACGATTTTCCTTGTTGCAAGTGCACAGCGGAGGCTGTGTCGCAGTGTCAGGGCCCAGGCGTCCCAGGCTTGTAGTCGTCAGGCTATGGCGCGTGGGAGACAAGAAGGTTTGTTAGCGAGGAGCCTGTTCTAGAGGAGCTTCGAACGTTCAAAGCGGTGCTCAAGGCTCAGCAGACAGCTACAATGATGCACGTCCGAGTGTCAGGCCAAGACACTCAGGAACTACAAACTACCCCTTTCACTACAAAATGTTGAGCCCAGATGCTTGTGCGCGCTACAACGCTAGAACCAATGGAACTGAATCAAATTTCAAGGTACAATATTAGTAATGGGGCCAAAAGGTGTTTATTGCTGGCCCGCGAAAGCTCCTTATGCTAACGGTCAACGGGTTGATAGTGCATTAAAGTCTGAGCCTAGAGAAAAACCCCTTTGTGTTTCTTTGCTAGCTCGCCTGAGCTTTGGGAAAAGGGAAAACTTTCTTTCATTGGCCTTTTGCACTCATTTTCCAGTCTCTGACACCATTGCTTGCGCATGTTCACCGGTTCAAGTGCCTTGTGAACGATGAGCATCTGCAAGTTCTTGGAGCTGCCAAATGTTTTGCATCAAGCTTTGAACACTAGACTCAAGCTTCTGCAATGTGTCAAAATTTCTAGTTTCTCCGCCCGTGCGCGGTCCATGGACGCTGGCCTCACAGCTGATCGACTGCAGGTCCTTGAGGCTCGCTTGGACAGTCACAGTCGTGACCTTGTGCTGCTCGGGCGTGCACAGCGTCAGCTTACGCATCGTGTTGTTTCCTTGGAGTCAAGCATAGCATCTCTTGAAACTCGTCTTGGAGATCTCGAAGCTGACCTTGAACAGGCTTCCACAAGGTTGGCTGCCATCAATCATTTCTTGCACATCTCCATAGGACGTTTGGCCAACTTGTTGCGTCGTTTGTTGCGGTTGCGCCCTGCTGGCTTCTGATGTCTGAAGACAGTGCTTCTGCCCCTAGCCATTGTCTACGCTGCATTGGTCCTTGCACTTGCGCCACACCGCTGCTGCATGTGGTGAGACGTTATGCCCTCCATCATTCCAGAGCTGGTCTTGCGGATAATTTGGGGTCTTTGGGATGGTCTTTGGGATCGCTTGAGTCTCCGAGTTTAGCAGCACCAGGTACCCCGGGGCTGTTGGATGAGCCCGGCTCGCAGCCAGAGCCAGTAGAGCAAGGCCTCGTGGATGCCTCAGGTCCTGCATTGGACTTGTCGGACTTGTTTATCGGGGATGAAAGCTGTGGGGAAGGCCTTAGCGACTTTGAGGGCTTCGGAAGTCTTAGGGAAGGTTCTCCGGTGCCGAGAGAGCATTCTGTTCTTGGTGTTGGCACTGGTTTTTCACCGTCCGAAGAAGATGGGCATGCGGCGGTTCCTGAGTTCGAATTCTCCGGAAGTCCCAACTTTGTGGTGCCGACCCCGAAGCCAAGCCCATTGAAAGGTCGTCCAGACATCAGATCGGTTGTTGAGCAGGTCGGGCTCAGAGTCGTTGATCCCGCTTCCCACCTTCGGCTTCCTTGGGAGACTGGCATTTATAAGGGTCTTTTCGAAAATTTCCCTGCGCTGTCGGGGGTGCCATCCTTCACCGTTCCTCCGGCACCTTTTAGCCTGCAGATTGTGCCTTCGGAGCCCATGGGAAGTTCGCCCGCGAGGCCCGGACCTTCGGTGGCGCCATGCAAAGCTTTGCGTGCCTTCAGGTGCCATCATGACATTGCATATGAGGCCAGGATAGAGGCGGTTTTGGAGAAAAGTTGCCTTAAGCTTGTGGGGTTCCTGAACTCTTTGGAGCTTAACGCCAGACCACATGCGTGGCCTGCCGGTCATGATGACCAGTGCATCTATGTCAAGGCCTGCCTCGGCGTGAAGTCGCCATTCACTGTCGAGAAGCGTGCAAATTCATTGGTTCATCTCATGCGCTGGATGGTTGAGTACAAAGGGCTTCTTGTGAGCATCACCGAGGATGGGCTCTGGGATTACTTGTCATACTTGAAGGAACATGCTGCAGCGGCCTCCAAAGGACAGGCTTCCATATCAGGCATCCGTTTTGCGTTGCATGTTCTGGGAGTGTGTTTCTCCGAGCACGTGTTGAGTCGTCGATGCATTGGATTCGCCGAACAAATGGAGGCCTTGTCACGGGAGTCTTGCCAGGCATCTTCTTTGTTGCTTTCAGAGCTTCTGGCGTTGCACGGCATGTTGAAAAACAGTGCGCTGGAGCCTTGGGACCGAGCTTCCGTGGCGTTCTTGATCATCTGTGCGTATGCCAGAGCGCGAGCCAGCGACCTTGTGAGAGTCCAAAGGGTGTCGGCCGACACCGCAGATAAATTTGGGTTCCTTGAGATAATGCTCAAAACTCATAAAGGGGCTAGGAACCCTAAGCTTAAGTCCAAGCTCCTGCCTGTGATTGCTCCGTTGGTTGGGGTCGATGGATCCAACTGGTATCACGATGTCAAGGCTGCTCTGGAAGCAGTGGGCTTGTCGCTCGATGGCGACATTAACGGCCCTTTGTTCCGTCCTCCTAGCGACGGTGCGGGAGGAGCTCCAGGTGTGCGTGAGCTTCGCGCTCATGAGGTGACTGCTTTGCTGCATTCTTTCCTTGGGCAGCCCGATGCGAATCGCCGGCTGTCTTCACACAGCCTCAAGGCAACCTTGCTTGACTGGACTTCAAAATTTGGCTTGCCTCCTCAGCAACAGCATATCCTTGGACGCCACTGTGATGCTGTCAAGGGAAGTGCACCATTGTACTCGAGAGACCTGGTTTATGATGCCACGCGAGCTCTTCAGAGCGTCATCATGGAGGTGCATCATGCCCGTTTCGTGCCCGATGCGCCGAGGTCCTTGAGGTATCCACAGAGTGTTGCTCAGTCTCATGTTGATGTGATTGAAGTCAAGGACGAGCCCGTTGGCGAAGCAGTGCCGATTCCCACGGTGGGCAAGGAGCCAGAACCTGCTGAGCATGATGCCAGCCCTGCTTCAAGCTCCGATGTGGAGTCCTCC